AAGAACACTTATAAATGCACTCTTAGAAATGTTTGAAAGTTATTTATTAAAAAAAACTTTTTTAGTATTAATCAACAAACTAATTATTTATTATTTTGATGATTGTGATAGCTTATGAAAACCCCAAATATAAAATCTCAGAAAATTTGAGTTACATGAAGTTGGGGAAAAAAAATAAAAAATTTAAATAGGAGTTTAATTACAGAAATGTAATCCCTCTGAAAAGTATTGATGATGCATATGTAAATAGTTATATATATATACACTAAATATATTAGTTTCACCTTTTGATTTGAATTACTGAAATAAATTAACTTTTGCACCATATTCAAATTTGAGTTTCATATATATATATATATAATATATATATATATATATATATATATATAGTATACACACATGCCTATACATTTCTATATACATGCACCTCAAATGAAAGGCCTCTAATTCATGTATTGTGGTGTTTCAGGATGATGATGGCGAGGATGACTGAAGCTGAATTAGAGGAATATTATCCACATTTCCCAGTCGTTTCCAAATTGCTTCTTTGGCTTTTTTGTTATTTTTGGGGAGCAAGATGCTTCTTTTTCCTCTTCAGATTGTTTTTTGGTTTTGAGCTCCATCTTTCCTCTATCCTGAACTTGCCATGTTGAAGTCCCAGACTCACAATAAAATGACTGCAAACCTTGCCGACATGGCATCTACCATCTCAATTTCCAAACGCATTTCGAGGTAAAAAGCAAAACACTGTAGTTATTGGCTGCACGCCGTCTGGAGTAGACTTGCGAATAGTGTTTTCTGTTTTGTTTTGGTTTTTTTTTTTTATAAATATATATGTACAAATATGTATTATTTTTCTTCCTGTTAAAGTTTTGTGTGGTTAATTGAACAGAAGCCATGGTGCGCAGTGATCCGCTAGCTCTAGCGTTCTCCACCGTTTTGTTACTTTATTCTCGCGGTGTAAACCCTTCACGTTTAGACATCAGTAGTTTGGTCCTCTTGTAACCATGTCAGTTCAGGAGGGCTGAGGAAAGAGGGGATGTGGACACCATCATTGAGTCTTTGGTTTTTATCTTGTCTTGTTTTAACAGACATTCACCAGATTTGAAATGGATAACATTTTTGATAAAGAAAATAAAATCTTCCAAAAAAAAAAATAAAAGAAATCATGCTTGTAACTTCTTTCCCCTTCTTATTCACATAATTTGTGTAGTGTTGTGTTACCGTAAGACACTATATAACTGTTCAGTTGGTTTTGCTCAATAAAACACTGTTTGGGATTCATCCAGTTGCAAAGAAACTGCAATGAGGTTTTTATTTTTTATTTTATTTAAGTCAATAGGTATTTTCATTTCACACAGGCCAAAAACAAAACCAGGCATTCTAGTCTTGATTCCCATATAAATCTTTTTAAAAAGTATAAATTGTGGTCTGGCTAATGGTCAACTTCGAAAGATTTGGGTGTCATCAGCAGTGTCGATGCGAAGTGTTCCTGCAGAAGTCTGTCGATTATGAGCGCCACAAAACGTCTGGTCCGACGCGTCGAACTCTTCTCGGTTCACCGTCCTGGGCCAGTCGCTGGGCTGAAACGCCCAACCTTATCCAAGAGGAGGCATCACATCATTACCACACTTACACTGAGATTTCAGGTTAAATGTATAAGAGAAGTTGTTTAATTCTTGTTTTTTAAAGTTATTACTGTAAAAAATAAATGTTACCTTAAATGTGTCATTTTGGAATGAGTAACCCACTACAAATTAAACCAGAACTTTACAGGTGAAACAAAATTAGATATAGTGCAAAAGTTCATTTATTTCAATAACTGGTGAGTAGTGAAACTAATATATATTATATAGACTCATTACATGCAAAGTGAGATATTTCAAGCCCTTGTTCCTTGAAAAATCTTTGCATACGAGTCTATATAAGATGACGCCGTAGGATCGCGTCATGTAAGTGACGCTAAAGGGCGCCTAAAACGTCAAATATTGAAGCATGGTCAAAGGTGACGCCTTGGGGTGAGAATGCCTTTAAGTTGAGCTACTGAAATAAATGAACTTTTGCACCATATTCTAATTTTCCGAAATTTCACCTGTATACGTGTGTACAGTGATTACATGTAATCTGGATTACAATCAGATTACAAAAATTACTCATAATTAGATCAGTTGCTACAGTTTTCCAATAGATGGTTTGATGTTATTCTCACAATGGCAGTAAATTATCCATTGATTCTACTTTAACTTTCTAAAAATGTCACTTATGTCTTGGTGTTCAGAAGCTCAGGAGTTTCACACACAGACCGTATTAGTCACTGAAAACACTGCATTTGATCACTGGATTGCATTTGATAACTGGATTTACACGTTTCACTTTTAACAAGTGTTTTCTCAACATTAATCAAGTTGATTTCATATTCATAAACCAGTCTATATATCTATATTATATATCTATCCATCTATATCTATATATAAATAATCTCAGAACAAAACTACTTAGGCTATGATTCATTACTGAAATTTATAAAGATATTTACTTATACATGGCATCATTTTTAAGTATTGTACTAAAAAAAAAATCTCAAAGAACAAAACTGCTAATGTTGTTTCATTTACCTAATTACTTATAAAGTTGTATAACGTTATACACTTGTATACAGTTTTAAACACGGAACACGCACCTAGGTGTGTTTTGCACCGCGGGCAGGAGGCGACGGTCCACGAGTGACCGGGGAACCAGGAGAAGTGGCTGTCCGCCGGCCAGTGCTTCAGAACATCTGCTCGCTTAAAAGTCACGACTTCAAACTGGAAGCCTTGCGGATTCTCGAAGAGCTGAACCGAGACGCGCTTCCCTGCGATCACCGTGTCGTTCCGGTGTGACAGAGCCAGGCGACTGGGCTCGTACCTCAGATCCGTGTCTTCCGCCACCTCGTGCCCGCAGGACCGGCACAGCATCAGTCCCGAACACCCGAGACCGAACCGAGCCCTCGCACACAACAACAGCGACACAACAACAACAACATCAACACACCGCGCGGCGCGAAACATGACTGGAAGAAACATCCTCAGAGAGACTTCCCGCCACTGACACGAGCGAAAATAACTCGTGTTTCTCGTTTAAAAGCTTTAAAACACGTTTATTTATAACATGGATTAAAAAAATGTTTTTATAAGCGAATTAGCAAACTGCATCGCTAAGTTCCTACAGCTGAAATAGACATCACCACGTAAATGACAGCGCCCTCTAAAGGCGGGATGAATTAGTTAATTATTAATGAAAGCGCTATATAAATTAGCTAAATGCTTTATTATGAAAGCGCCTCATTCATTCATTCATTCATTAACAGCACGTTCGGCACGTTTTAATGGGCCCCATCATGTGTGTTCATAAAATACAATGGATACAATATTCAACTTTATTTTTTGTTTAAGTTAAATTGAAATAATGGCGTTGTTTGGAGGTTTTTGGTTGCAGTTCTATTAAGGTTTAATTTAAGTTTTAGACATGTGTTTAATGTTTTTTATTTAATTGTCATATTGTTTATAAGCTGAGCTGTATTTAACTGTTCTGAGAAAAAAAATAGAATGTAATGATATATAAACAATTCTGAGGATTAAAAAAGCAGAATTGTGAGATTTGAAAATAAATGCAATTACCTTTTTTGTATTCCCTCGCGGAAAACAATCTTCCATATTGAGCTGACGTAATTAATAGAAATGGATCTGATGAACTTTGTGATGTTTTGTGGTATTAATTGGTGCTTTTACTGATCCACACTCATAATACACTTGGTGTAATTGTTTAATCCTAATGCCATATAAATTCATAAATATCCACATCAATATACAGTGCATTTCATCTTATATTACACTCCATCATAGTCCAAAAATTAGGGGAAACTGATTACAGTTAACAATCATTAGTCTAAAACAGATAATAAACTTGGGTTGGGGGATTATTTTCATGAATTTGAGATTGACTGGATATATTGAGACACCCACATGTATTTGAACATCATATAATTACATGCTCAGATAAATGAAAACAAACTTAAAGTTAGGATGGCATGATGCTCTATTAAACGAATCCTCTACTCTTACATGAACACATGTGTCCATTGCTAGTACTTCGCTTCAGTGTTAGCGTTAGAATAGTTAAGGTTATAATATTTCCACACACTTCCATCCCTCAGGACCTGAAGAAGGCAGAGCCCAGCTCGCTCTGGGGAGGCGCAATCTGCTTGGTTCGTAAAGACGCCTGGGTCAGAGAAAGTACAAAAGTCAGTGTGCATTAGTTATTAAAGGGATAGTTCACCCCAAAATGAAAACTGTCAGTAATTACTCTCCCTCATGAATAAAGATGAATATAAGATGACACTCACCTCTAGAAACTGTTTGAGTCTGGTTACCGAGCCCATCTGACCAATGCTGGTGACCGCTTCAATTCTGAGGGAATAAAAAGGTTTAGTTTAATCAATAAGTGAGCAGTTTACACCAGGGGCCAGTTGGATAAACATAGCCAAGAACTAGTATGACCAACTAGCAGTTAGTTAGGGGTAATCAGTCTTACGGTTCGGTATCAAATTAGACCAGAGTATGTTTAATGTAACTAACTTTGTAAGACTAGTCTTACAGTTGTTTATGCAACTCGCCCCTGGTATTAATATTTGTTTTTGAGTATTTAATAATCACTGAGACACATTTCTGATCAGGGCCTAAAATTGTATTTTCAAGACCAAAATGTATTTTCGATGCTTCAAAACATTGTAACTAACCCACTGATGTCACATGACTACCTTGATGATGTCTTTACTTCCTTTCTGGACAAGGACAGTATACCATACACACATTTTCAATGGAGGGACAGAAAGCTCTCGGACTTAATCTAAAATATCTGAAGATGAACGGAGGTCTGATGGGCTTGGGACGACATGAGGGAGAGTCATTAATGACATCATTTTCATTTTTGGGTGAACTAACCCTTTAAGTGAACGTAAACAGTTAAAAAAGTAGACGTGTGTCAGCATCAGTGCATTCGTTCTTAAAGTGACAGTAGCCTAATTTTCCTGATGCTGTCCGTGTTTATAATGTTAATCAAACAACAAAGGACAAATAAAAGAATACTCACTGCTCTTGATTAAATAACCTTTTTAACTTTAACAAGGATGTTTAATTTATACAGTGAAGGGTCATTTTACATTTGATTGCTTACATATTCAATTTCTCTGTACCTGAAATCTACCGGAAAAACCTTAAAAGCCCTGCTTATTGCATTTGTATTTTGTTTTATTGTGCTTTTGCTTGCAATCTAATTATTTGTTGTCTTTAATAAATGTATATTAGTTAGGCTAGTAGTTTTAGCTGTGGTCTTGAAATTAGAATAGAGAATTGTGAATCTTCAATGGTACTAAATTCCTATTTCATGGCCGGTAAAACATATTTATAGCAAGTACATTTTCTTAAGTCATCAGCCAATGGCAGGAAAAGTCATTTTTAGGCCTTGCACCTGATTTTAGGTTCATTAGGTTCATTTATGGATGAATTATATATATATATATAGGGTATATTATGCATGTATAAGGCAATAAAACAACACATTCAAAGTATAAGAGGGAAAAGTCTAAAAAGACATGTATAAATACCTTGGGAAGTATTCCTCGATAATAAGCAATATCAGTTTCCAGAACTGGCCGCGATATTGTTTCATTAGGGCATTTCCACAGACCTAAAGAGATGCACATGCCAAAAAACATTAAGTGCGAACGATAATTAAAAACAATTTGTTTGCAATAGGAAGACAAATTTACCTCCAGGAAGTCGAAGAGGATAGTTGCTGTGATGTCAGCGATCGGCTCCATGTTGAGGATCTGGGCCAGCCAGCGCCAGCCGTGACTCAAGCCGTGAGGATGAGGCTGTCAACAGAGACAATATTACATATTCACATTCATACATATGACCGTCGCATACAGAATCATTCTCTATGTTAATATTGACCCTATAAAGCATATTCATATTTCTAAAGCCTTGTGTCAAACTCCTGGAGTTCCTGGAGGGCCACAACCCTGCAGAGTTTAGCTTCAACCCTAATTAAGCACACCTGATCAGCTAATCAAGTCCTTCAGGCTCATTTGAAAACTGCAAGTGTGTGTGTGTTGAAGCAGGGAACTGAGTTTGACACCCTGAAATGATCAACTTGATCAGAACTTTACTGATAAACAAGTCGCCTGATTGATTGGACCTTTTTTGAAGCAAATAAATGTATTATTATAATTGTACAAACACTTACTGGACTGAAGAAACTTAGATTTCATTTATTGTCTATACATGATTTATTAGAAAAATCATGAGTATCAAATGTGGTCATCAGGCTTTTGAGGAAATCATCTCAATCATCATTGTATTGCATTGCATTATAAGATTTAAATCTATAGAGCTTTGATCATACTAAACATTTAAATATATTCATGGCAGATATATTTATATGCATATTACATAAGTATCTGCTAGACTGTTATAAAGATATGATTGAATAAAACTGAGGTGTTTTTTTTTCCTCTTCGAGTGTGAGTTTAATATTCTCACCTGATGTATCAAATCTGATTCTCAACGTAAAATACATATGCAGACTTTAAAAAAAATATTTGTCTAAAGGTTCAATAAATTGTTCTATTTGACTATTATTTCATAATTGAAGCTTTAGAGGGTTAATGCATGTAAATGAACATGACTAACCCCTTGTTTGCCAGTGTAAGGCCATCTCATCTGGATTATCGCCGCATAGAGACGAATCATCCCAGACATTCTCTTCAGGAAGCTGTCCGGCCCTTCCACTTTAGAGTTGTCCACACGGTATCCCAGAATCCTGATGGGAAAGGTACAATCATAATGCTTTACACTTCAAAAAATATTAAGATTTAGATATTAGATATCCATTTGGACACAGTTTAAACATAAACAAACTGATGCATATTTGTCAGTCATACAAAAATGAAATTTCTGTAATAGTTTCAATTGATTTAATCTAACACATTTAAACTAATTGAATATATTGCTTGTTCCACAGTTACATTTTTTCAATTGTTTCAATTTATGCTGATTCTAAAAAATACGAATCAATGCGTTTTGAAAACATGATTATTGAAATAAAATTAAATGCAAAAAGTTAATAATCCACTATGCCATGACTGTTGTATTCCTGAATAATATGCATCATCAGTTTATGTTGAAACTGTGTGATCCAAATGGATGGAAAAAATCAACAAAGACATTTGCTTTCCTTTTCCAACCCCAAAAGGGACATTTGTAATTCCTGAAAGGTCAGAGGTGCCGATGGTAATCAAGACCTGCTAATTATCGCACCTTATGAACAGTGGGGAGCTGTAATCTGCTGATTGGTCGGTTTGAATGTCTTTAAAACAGCAGGAGTAAACGGTTATGCGTCTCCCTCGTCTACTTGTGATTCGAGACAAAAACGCGTCTTAACACCAGGTGTAAACGGCCTAGATATTGCTTTAAAGTGTCAGGATGTTCACTAACAATATATCGCTGGTCAAGCATTTCAAATGTATTTTTTACCCATAAGGTCTTTAGTCATCCGGCCTGAACCACTGTAGTGAAACCACCCTTACAATATGCAAATCAAATACAGAAATCAAAGTTTAACTTCCGGCAAATTTAGATTTCCTCTGGCAAGAGCCCATTTCCAATCCGTCGAAATCGAGGCACTAATCAGAAATGTTGGGACGGGCTTTACACGATGACGATAGCGCTGGGATTTTGAAGCAGGTTTTGTAGCCTACATTACAAAGATGGATGCCGCCATCGAACATCACTCGTTCGAATCAGCTATCGCGTCTGTTTTAAGCGATTTGAACGTTTCCTTTTTGTTAAAAACCGAGCAAAGAACAACATTCTGCATACGTCATCTCCTTCATCGCTCTGATTGGTTTTAGGTCTACCCGTGATGTCCATTGGTGACGCCCCGCTGGAAATGATTTGTCTATTAACCAGGCTATCTTCATTTAGGAACCGTTCTTGTATTTTAAATGATGATGCATGGACAAACAACCAATGCAGATGCAAAAACACACTCTGTGTGAACGGCCCGTTAATTTTATTGAATAACATTTTTAGCCACAACTTTCAGTAGATCCAGCTGATCGAGCAATCCTCTTACCTCTGGTAATCCTCCACAGATGTGCCACGCTCCATGGGTGGGTAGTGTGGCACAGCATACGGGCACTTCTTGTGGAGGTGGGCGAGTATAAGGTCCCCAATTTTAGGATGCATTTCCATTATTCCTGACGCCACAGCGGCGATGGGGAACGCTGCCGAATGATTGGACGCCACCTCCTCTTCGCCTTGTTTCTGCAAATGCATTATTAAAATCAACTTTATTTGCCTTCAAAAATCTACTCGCTCTGTGTAAAAACCTGCCTTACCACAAACTTTTCCGCCAGTCTGTAACTGACAAACTCCAAACCCTGCGGATGCTGCGACGTCGACACACTCTTTCCAGCCGTCACCACTGGACGTCCCGACAACAGCTTATCGATCTTCTCAAAGGCCTCCTTGAGCGGGGAACCTACGCATATGCAAACCACATTTAAAGAAAAGTAACGGTATAAAATATTCAGTGGAAATGCAAACAAATGATTTTGGTTTTTCTTGAAAATAACTGCACATGTTAGAACATTCAACAACCAATCAGATTCAAGCATTTAAAAGCCCAGTAGAATAATTAGCACTTAATATTTTCCATTCGCACTGTGTATTTCAACATGGAGAAGCTACAACGGAGAAACATGTCAGCTGTGTGTGTGGATGCTAGAGCTGCGATCTCTCCTTTTAATTGATTTTCAGGTAGATGAACCAATTTCGATTCTTTACTCTTTACACGCCGTCGAAATTTCCGGCTTTCACTGTTATACGGTAGGGGGCGCTATGACATAATGCCACAGAAGCTACAAACAAGCAAAAAAAGAAGCAGAAACAAGCGATAAAAGCATTGCTTATGCACTTTTTGGTTCAAAATGTTGCTTTTTTATTAAACTCACCCACAATTCAAGTGTTGATAAAAAAATAAGGCATGAAGCTTGAATAAGATGGGTTTGTTTAAAAGCAGAACCTTCTTTCTTTTTATATATTGTATGTTCAGATATTCACACAACAAAATATTCTGGGGGACACGACATTTTTTGTGAGAAAATTATCAAAAACGTTGGCCGTTGCGGGGAACTTTTTATTTTATTTTTAAAAATGCTGGCGGTGGAAGAGTTAAATCTCACAATATCGATTTTACTATATAACGTTTAATGTTTTCAGCTGATGCATGAACAAAACTTGACTAAACTTTATTTCTATTGCACCTTCCATCAGAAAGTAGGGCTGTGAAACGATTAATCGCATCCAAAATAAAAGTTTGTGTTTACATAATATGTGTGTGTCTAGTGTGTATAATAATTTTGTATATATAAATACACACACATGCATGTATTTATTTAAGAAAATGTGTTATAAATATATCAAATATTTATATTTATGTATAATATTAATATTGTAGAAATATACATAAAGTATATCCATGCAACTATTTCTTAAATATATACATGCATGTGTGTGTATTTATATATACAAAATAATTATACGAACTGCACACACATATATTATGTAAACACAAACTTTTATTTTGGATGTGATTAATCGCGATTAATCGATATGTTTGTGTACAACTCAGTGTTGATTATCCAATCGATTTGATTAATAAATAAACATCATTTTCAGCTAAATGCAAGGTGTTTTCAGTAAAAAATGAATAATTTGTTCACCTGAGCTGTTTGCGATCTGGCTCACGGGTGTGGTTGCAGCCTTTTGGAGCTCCATTTTTAATTTCTTCATCTGCACACATTCATAATATAAAACCCAGAAGGGGAAGATAGTTATTCAGTACAACGGCACACAGTATCCATTATCCAATGAGATGCTCCTGCGAGCTGACCTGCGTGTCTTTGGCTTTGCTGAGGTCTTCAGAAGCCTGAGCGCACTGGTTGGCCGATTCCTGCAATGCTCTGTACCATTGTAAAGTGCTGTCATCTGCTCCTGTCTGCAAACCTGCAGAGGTGAGGAAAAACAAGTCATTTATTTGTATAGTACTCTATAGCCATATTGTATTTATTATTTTGTCTAGTATATACAGTATATAAGTTTTGCAAGCACACGCCTCAGCGTTTGAATGCCATTAAAGGTTGTAGCATCTGTCATTTTCATTTGAAGTTCAAGTTTGATTACGAGGTCTAAAAGTATATATTTTATAAACGAAACGGACATGGATGAATCATTCATATATATAACGTACAAAATACAGTGATGTGAATAAGTTTGGACACCCATGCTAAAGTTGCCTAAAAAGGGATATTGATCTTTTGGATATTGATCTTAATGCCTTAATTAGAAAAATGAGGAAAACTCCAACCTTTAAGGACACAAATTTTCTTTGTGAATGAATAATGTATCATAAATAAATAAATGTTTTTCCTTAAAATACAGGGTGCATAAGTCATTGCACCCCTATGTTAAATTCCCATAGAGTCAGGCAGATTTTTATTTTTAAAAGCCAGTTATTTCATGGATCCAGGATAATATGCATCCTGATAAAGTTCCCTTGGCCTTTGGAATTAAAATATCCCCACATCATCACACACCTTCCACCACACCTAGAGATTGGCATGGGGTACTTTCCATAAGATCATCTTTCAATGCAAATCAAACCAGCTAACTGAAGTAAAACCATGCCAATCTCAAGGCATGGTGAATGGTGTGTGATGATGTGGGGATATTTTAATTCCAAAGGCCAAGGGAACTTTATCAGGATGCATATTATCCTGGATCCATGAAATAACTGGCTTTTAAAAATAAAAATCTGCCTGACTCTATGGGAATTTAACATAGGGGTGCCCTGACTTATGCACCCTGTATTTTAAGGAAAAACATTTATTTATTTATGATACATTATTCATTCACAAAGAAAATGTGTGTCCTTAAAGGTTGGAGTTTTCCTCATTTTTCTAATTAAGGCATTAAGATCAACACCCAAAAGATGATTTTTTTATTCCTCTTTTTAGGCAACTTTAGCATGGGGGCAAAAACTTATTCACATCACTGTAGATAAGTGTGCATTTCATTTCATGTCCACAAATATTTGCATGATGAACTTTTACATGCATGTTCTCTTGCTCCCTCACCTTCTCTTTTGGTTTTCTCTATAGTGGACATTGCAGCATTTTTCTTTTGCTCCTCTTGCTGGGCTTTCAGCTCAGCCTGCCTCTTCTTCTCCTCCTCCTCTTGCTCCTGTTCTCTCTTCTTCCTCTCAGCAGCCTGTGTCACCTCTTCCTGCAGGCCTCGGACCAATGACCTCATTTCCTGTAGCGCTCGCTCCGCCACAATCAAATCCTCCACGCTCAGAAACTGACCCTGAGAACAATTTACATGTTACATTGATGCGTTTAGCAGACACGGTTATCCAAAGCGACTGGAATTGAATATAAGACATATATATTAGCAAGTGTTGGGGTAACTCATTACGAGTGACTTGAGTTACGTAATCAGATTACAAAAAAAAAAAAGTAACGGATTACTTTTTTTACAATTTACAACAAATTATCCAAGTTACTTTTTCGAATAAGTAAGTAAGTAAAACCTTTATTGTCCCACTAAGGGAAATTTGTCTTGGGCCATCACCCATGCTGCCGTCAGTATACAATTAACACACAACAAATTTAAAAACCAGACAATATTAATAATATAAATTGCATAAGTTACAGCTCCAGACCGCCACCATTTAACATCTTTACTTAATAAGTAACGGTAATTTTGGTATCACATTTATTGACTGACAGTTCTTCTGTCAACATGTTGAGAGAAATAAAGTGAGGAGGCATTGTGTGTGTGTAAACATGATGTTTATTTTAATTCTAGACTAAATGTGAACGCATTTACTCATTTCACTGCCACAAAAAAATCAGCATTCCTTAAAATGAATAAAAATAATGCAATTATTTTTAATTAACTATATTAAATTACACAAATACACTATATGTATTTTTTCTCACTTGCTCTGCTGCTGACCTTCCATGATCTAATTCAACCATACTAATAAGCAAAAATGACTTTAGATTAGATTTAGAAATATGAGAGTTGAACTTCCTTCTCCTGTATCCTATTGTTCTTTAATCCAGAATGGCATTTTACGTCATCCCAAACGCGCACGGTGCATAATAGAAAACAGAAAAGTGTTTTATTTAACTAAATACATCATAATCAGCTAAAACGCATGTGCGGGTTACTTTACTTCCCGAAGAAGTGCGCACCCGAGTCATGGTTCGAGTGCACCACTTCAAAGTAGTCTCAGGTTCGGTACCCCAGTGCGCACCTGAATCCCAAGTCATGCGAACCGTGCCCCATTCCGAACTAAACTGCCAGTGTGAAAGCACCCTAAGTAATGCAATTAGTTTCTTTTTTTGGGAAGTAACGCAATATTGTAATACATTACTTTTAAAAAGTAACTTTCCCCAAAACTGATCAGCACTGTGTGTCGACTCACGTCTGCGGAGGCCGGCACCACATCTGACACCTGCGAGCACAGCTGGTTGCCACGGGTGATGTAGGGGGTGTGGTCAAGGGCGGAGTCTGTGTTTGTGGAGGGGCGTGGCTGTAGGAGCTGGTTGAGTTGTAGCACTTCCTCCTGGATTGCATTAATGGCTCTGTGACGCTCCCTGCCCTCCACCTGCCGCTGGCGCTCGAGCTCCGCCTCACGGAGACGCTGCTGCTCCATCTCACGCAGCCGCAGGTTCAGGATCTGCAACACAGAAAACCCAACAGGTATTGCTATTTACTAAAGGTGTAAATATATCGTGTCACAATATATCGCAAAGCAAAAATGCAACAATATGTAACGTGGATACAGTGTTGGGTGTAGTAATTAAGTTACTGTAATTTAATTACTTTTCCCTTGAAAATGTAAAGTAAGGCATTACTCTTCATTTATCTGTAATTTAATTACAGTTACTTCTGATGTAATTGAGGTAAATACTGTGTATAGATCAATCCGATCTCACAGCGATTCGTGTGCATTTTATGGGGTGTCTAAATATTACGACCGCACTCGTACAAATTCGTATGAATTAGCCGTCTTGTAAAATATGTATGAAAAAAGTGTGAAATGTCATGCGATCAGACACAAAACAATAGTGGGTTTAACATCAAAATGTATTGTCTGATGTTAAAAAGTATGTTTTTATAATGTAACCTTCTCCACCTTGGACAGTTTAAGGATAATTCATGCAATTTTATAGTATTTATTTGAAAGAATTAAAACAGATTCATGTCTATTCTTGTATTATTCGGCTGGTTGAGATTGAAATGGGATTTTGAAAGTAATTAGTAATTAAAAGTAATTAAAAAAATTTTAGAGAGAGTATCTAATAGCATTGGTAATCTAATAACATTGTTAATATGAGATAATCTAATAACATTATTGAAGAGGTAAGTAGTAACTAGTAATTAATTACTTTTTTAGAGTAACTTACCCAACACTGCGTGGATAGTATGAATAGTTCATCCAAAATAAAATTACTGTGTGTGAAAAAAATCTAGTTTTCAGAGTCAGTACTACATTAAACTACTATACATTGAATTGTGGCTCCTGATAATGCCAAATGTCTAATGTTACCATTAAAAAGTGGCAGACATTATTTGAAATATATCTAGTGAGTGACAGAGTGCAAGCATATTCGTCTAATTATAATTCTGTATTTTCAGCTTTTAATCTGGTGTCACTATTGTCCTGTGCATTGGGTTTCCAGCACCAAGTCCAATTCAACATGCATTAGAAAAAAACATTACTGGTGTGCATTGAGACAAAACAATGGCACTGATATATTTTCAGATAAGTCAGTGCAAGTTGCTTTCAGTTAAAACAGCTCACTAATGTTTTTTAGCCTTGTCTGTGAAACCGGGGGTTAATGTTTTAAAGTTGAAATGTATGAAGTGTATGTTGCTATGAATTATTGATCATGGAATTTTAAACTTCCGCTTTTTAACCGGTTTAATCATACTTTTTGTTTACTTGAAATCTGACGTCTAAATTGTTTTAGATGCTGTCGATAATATCAACCAAATCCTAATAATCTTACTTTCATTCTGTGTCTGTGCTCCTCTCGCAGCTTCTCTTGCCGGCCGATACTCTCCTGCGTCCTTCGAACACAAAACACCAATTAAAACGAATCCTGTACATGACTCAAACACGTGGACTAAATAAGTAATGAATGCATCAGATCAGGGGTCACATACTCTTTCTCCATCATATCTCTCATACTCTGGTGTTCCTGTCTCTGCTTGAGCTCCATGAACTCCTCGAAGCGCTTGAGCTGCTCAGACTCCCGGTTGGCCACTGTGGCCACCAGCCGCTCCTGTTGCTCCTGTCTGAGGCTCAGCTCCATCTGTGAGAGAAAACACACACACACACACACACCACCATCAGAGTATAGGGGGCGATTTCAGACACAACCAGAGTCTGGTTAGTCATGTTTTGAGCGAAAGAAGCGTCTTATGCTCACCAAAGCTGCATTTATTTGATCAAAAATAATAATATTTTGATTTTGTGAAAAGTGTTGTACCTTTGCTCTGGCCTTGTGTTTCTGCTCACACATGCGGATGCAGCCGGCCGTCTGTGTGGCTCTGGGTGACAGGACGGAGATCGACGGGGTTGAGCTCACACTTGCTTCAGGACTGACAACAGGAGCCTCCTTTATTTCCTCTCCTTTCTGACATGAAAAATAAACCATCAGCATTGCAGTGCTAAAATCTTATGAGCCTCAATATGACCAAAAATGTGACTTCTTTCACTCAAGCATGAAACAGAACAATATATATTTATGAGAATTATGTTGAGCATTATCAAAAAAGGAACATATTAGGGATGAATGATATCGGTATCGGCTGATATATGCGTACATCGGTTGTGCATTCATTACTGCAGTGCATTGTGGGATTGAATAAGTGTACTAGATAACATCCACTATGGTTTCGGACATCATTACAAATGTCTGTCCCCTCAAATAATGCTCTATTTAAGGTTATAGGGGGTGATTTCGGACACAACAGCGATGTAAATAATAAGAAAATAAAGAGTTTACATCATTGAACAATAAATGATGTAAATGTATTCTAGTTCTAGTGGACCCCATAAACAAAATTATGAATATGTAAATGAGCATATTTGGATTATTATTCCACTGTTGTTTCATAGTATCAACTTTTTTCCCTACTGAAAGAAATATTCCCACTGGTCTTACAATCTGCATTTAGCTTGTGTGTGTGTTGTTGTAATTTGAATCAAAAAGCATTTAGTCCCAGTGACAACAGATTAATTTAGCGGTTTTCCCTTGTAAAGCAGTGGCAATGGGCACATGTCACTCAAAATGAGTCTGCAGCAGTCACAAAAATAAAACTTTGTGCCACATATTTCCATATTAGTGAATTAATGTGAGAAATATTAACACGTAGAGTTCTGGAGAACAAAACAAAACCTTTAGGAATCCCAGATAAACTTCATGATTGAATCCTCCCTTACATTAGCAAGGGTCAGAGTATCATGTGGTTTTACACTAGCACTGGTTTTGCATCTGTCAATATTACAATTCAACTTACACCACAAATTATGTTGCAGTTCCTAATTAAGTTAGTATTAGTTGCATTTAGTGCTCACTGAAATTCGGACCCCGGTTCTAGCTAATACATTCCTGGGCAATTTGGGAAGTTTGTATTGCAAAGTCATGTTACTGTCTCTTTAAGATAAACCTATGTAAACCTGATAAATAAATGTAAAAGTAACTTATGTCATGCATTTCGTGGCCTAATAAGCAAAGACGTCACCTTCTCCTCATCCTCCTCAGTGAAGATGGAGGCCGGAGGTGGAGAGCTGGGGGAAGAAACCTGTCTGGGGCTGATGGGAAGCGAACCGCAGGCGGCGGCATCTTCAGAAAGACCAGGACTCGTGTCACGAACACATGAGGTCAGAGAGCAGGTCTTGAGCAGCGGGCGAGGACTCATTCTCTTCAGAATCTGTCCTGACAGAGGAGACAGACTGGACACCTCGATACAGCCAGCCAGAACATCCTGCAAAACAACAGATGACGAATGAAATAAAGATCACATGAAGAAACAGAAATATAAGAGTCGCCCAATGAGACTTCGTGATGGTTCGGATGCATTTATTTAACATTTAATTCCTTTATGAAATATTTCAAAACAACAACTTAAGGTTTTATTGTACACTTTTCTCTTTAGTTGAGTCAATATGGCTTGTTTCCACCGTGGATCTTAAAATAAACTCTTTTCTCACAATTCTGACTTTTATTCTCAGAATGTGAGTTTAATATATCTTGTGATTATTTATTTTGCTAAAAAAAAAAAAAAAAAATCTGAATTGTGAGATAAAAATGTGAAATTCACTTTTATGTGAAATGTGAAATTCACATGTACTTTTTTGGCTCTAGCAGACCAAGAACTATAATTTAGATCCTTTACAACAAGTTACTGTGGCTATACAGTGATGGTATCATATAATAATATCAATTTACAGTAATAGTATCATATAAATAATAGCATGGTACAGTGATAATGTTATAACAATATCATGCTACAGTGATAGTATCATATAATAATAACATGGTAGTTACAGTGATGGTATCATATAATAATATCAATTTACAGTGATAGTATTGTATAATAATAACATGGTATTCTGATACATATGATAATTACCATATTTATGCCATGATATCATAAAGGTACTTCACAGAGTAACGATACCAAGGCATACAAAAAATGTAAGCAATGTAAGCACCATGGTTAATTTTTGTTAGTATTAAATGTGATTACAGCATCATAATGCTAAGATATGAGCTAAATAACACACTTCTGAAATTGTCAACATGTTTACCTCCCCCTTTTCCAGCCAGTCTGGACTGTATTTGAGCTTCCCCTTCGGAGAGTTTTTCAGGGCCACTAAAGTTTCAAAGCGTAGATTTTCAGAAGGCATTTTGGGACATTAGGGATTGTTTACCCCTCACTGATTTACTTTACGTGAAGCGTAATAACTGAAAATCCCGATGTAGCCTGAACAAACCGCCGGTGACACTGCCACTTCCGCTTCCGACTACAACTTAAAAGTCCGGATGACTAATTAAATACATGTTTCGATAACTATCATACAATACACATATAATACAGAAGCGCAAACAGAATAAGAACATGATTTTTTTAAATATAATAATATATTTAATTTTATGACCAATATCAGTTTATTTCACATTGTCAATAGATGGCAGTAGAGTAAACCAAAACGCTGACAAAAGTCACCAGAGAAGAGCGCGCGCAGTATGGCTGGGTCACAGTGGAGGGTCAGTCTAATATCAGTTTATATCTATATTTCATTTGAAAATGTTGAGTAACTCGTTTTCCGTTTGTTTTGTACATATAGTAAATATTGTATACTGTCAGTGTATTTGCATAATGAAGTGTACTACCGGTACTTAACCCAAGTCATTAATGCATACCAAATACAATGCTACTACTATACTTTTGTTGTGAATTACCATGTCATTCTTCATAAATGTTGTACCTTTACTGTGGCAGTACCACTAAATCATTCATTATAACCATTCAGTACTAAATAGTACCATTATTGTTTGTTTTGTAGTTTTGCCAGTAATGCTTCAAGACTTTTGTATCAATTGGCCCTAAATATTTGTTTTTTTGTTTTGTATTTTTAATTCTTGGCCCCAGCCACCACGTTCCTGTGACATCTACTGGAGTGAATTCAAGCACTGCAAGAGTTTATTAAACAGATTCCATGAATATTACACCTACGGCAAAGCACCAGACTGCCAGCAATGGAAACAAGACTATTACACCTGCAAAGAGTGGGAGAAAAACCAAAGCACACACGCCAAGGTGAGTCTAGAGACAGATGTGGGTTTTAGCTTACATTACCAGTCAAAAGTATGGAAATAAGTCTCTTCTGCTCACCAAGGCTGCGTTTGTGTGATCAAAAATATAGTAAAAATGTGAAATATTTTTTACAATGTAAAATAGCTGTTTTCTTTTTGAATATATGTTAAAGTGTAATTTATTCCTGTGAACAAAGCTGAATTTTCAGCATCATTACTCCAGTCTTTAGTGTCACATGATCCTTCAGAAATCATTGTAATATGCTGATTTGCTGCTCAAGATACATTTATGATTGTTTTATGTTATCCTGCTTCATATTTTATGTTTCATGCAGCAAAAATGCATGAAATTGGTCAAAATAAGATTTTTATTAAAAAATAAAGGCTGTTCTTTTGAACATTGAACCCTGTAAAAAGGCATCCACAAAAAATATTAAGCAGTAAATTGTATCATTATCATCAGTAATAATTGATAACTGCAGCAAATCAGAATGATTTCTGAAGCATCATGTGACATTAAAGAATGGAACATTTGTTTCTGCCATTGAATAAAACAATTTAATAGGTAATTGCGAACGTATCTCACAATTCTGACTTGTTCAGAATTAAATGATAAAGTCAATAAAGTAAAATTACAAGATAAAAAGTCGCAATTACCTTTTTTAGTTTGTATTCTGGAATGGAAACCACACTAAATACTGGAGTAATGATGCTGGAAATTCAGCTTTCACAGAAATTAATTACAATTTAACAAATAGTTACATAGAAAACAGTTAGTTTAAATAGTAATATTTCACAATATTTCTGTAATTTTTTATTCGACCAAATAAATGCAGCCTTGGTGAGACGCCTTTCAAGAACATCTAAACTTTTGACCAGTTGTAACCAGCTGTCACATTGCTGTTTATACTGGTCGGGGAGTTACCGATATGCCACTCTTCTCTTAATCTGTGTGTTCATCGTCTCATACACATCATCAGGAAACCCTCCAGGCGAGTGAGAGGAGACGGGTCGCTGAGCAGAGAAAGTTCACTCCGGTCTGGGAGCTTCGGCAAACCCCTCCGGCTGACTGGCATCTCCCGCTCAACCAGGACAAACCACAGGACTCTTAAACACACACATGCAGATCATACAGGACCATGAGGATGCAAAAAGCCAGCACTGAACGTCCCGCTGGGAATCTCCTCACACTACCTCTGTTCTGACTTTCCTGGTGCTCGCTTAAAAAGTCTTGATCAAGTTGAATAAAATGAACAAAGCATTTCATGAGAGAGTAAATATATCTGTAATTAACGAATAGGCTTTATATCCAGAAAGCCCAACTCTTTCATAATTTTGCAGTTTTAAAGTATTTTAAATCTATAAATGCGTTTATAAATTAAGACATGAAATGTTTGGCATTTATTGTTTTACTCGAGCCCTTATTTATTGCGCTACAGGAATCAGAAATGAATATGTAAATGGGTATTATATTATATGTAGCATCTGTATTCTGACACTGACCACCTAAAAGTCACTGCCATAAAGCTAAATATCCCAATAAAGGTATTAATAATTGAACAAACCTTAGTGTTATGTTGCGGGTCAATTTGACCCATTTTGATTTTTGAGTTGACATTTTGTGACTTTTTCTCATTTAGGGTCATGAACATGCATGCGAAGTTTCAAGAACGGGTGTTTTTGACATATACGCATAATTCCTATTACGTTTGTGATGTTCGTGGGTCAGTTTGACCCACATATTTGAATGTTTTGAGGCAGTCATATAGACCCGAAATAATGACATTTCTTGGTTAGGTTTATTTATTTTAGTTACCTACCACCTTATGAAGCTAAAATAGAGCCTTTCCACACTTATTTCAATACAGTAGAATATTTTACGTCTGCTGTAGATCTGATTTTCTTGGTGCTCACTAGGAAATGCAAAGCAGTCTTGATCAAGTTAGTGCAACTCTTGAATATGTAACTAATAAAATGAAAGTGAAATAGTCAATACGGCACAAAAATATTAGATAATGTCCGATGTTTTGATTATTTTCCATTCAAACTCTGATCTGTGGTGAATATCAAGGTGTTTTGAGGTGTTTTTAATATGCTTAAAGACAAACCATGTGTAAATTCATGAATCGACAGCATTGCTGAGTATTTCCTCCTTAAAACTGATGTCACAAACGACCTTGTAACCAATTAGGTCAACGTGTGATCATCAACCAGTGGATCTCTGAGTGAGGGAGTGAAGGCGGGGCTCATTTGCATATTCATAGAGCCGCATATACTAAATGAGGCAAGAGTGTCGAGTTACATTTACGATATTTTACGGCATGAAGAATTTTTTTTTTTTCAAGAATGTTGTTTAGGTGATCAAAGATGAGTTTTAAGGGATACAATGATTGACTACAAGGGGACTTTAACTCTTTCAGTCCAAAAGTCATAATTTTGCAGTTTATGACACATTTTAAGAGTTTGGTATTTATTGTTTCACTGGAGATCTTATTTATTGCACTACAGAAATCAGACATTAATATGTAAATGGATAATTATATATCTGCATTGTGTGACTGACCATCTAAAAGTCACTGGCATAAAGCTAAATATCCCAATAAAGAAATGATTTAAAGACCACATCAAGGCTTGCAAAATCTTTATTCTTTGTCCTCGTGTTTGTCCTGTTAATGGAGCAGACGAAGAACAACACATTATAATAAAGATAATTTAGCTCTTCATTCTCACAGTCCGTTTCTCTGATGATTTTGACGTCAGTCATGATCCAGAAAACAACACTTGTATCCCTTCTGAGAGCCGTAACTCGGCCTCACTGCGTGTACACCCGCGTAATGTCGTTATATTTGCCTTCTGGGGCCTCGTAGTTTGTAATGGGCGGCGTGTAAGAGGGGCCGTCGTGCTGGAAAGGGAAGATGTCGGTATCGGGACTAACGGCAGCTTTATAAAGCTCTTCTGACTCCAGTTTCAGCTCCTCCAGCGCTTGTCTCTGGGCCTCCAGCGCCTCCTGCATCTCGTGCATCTCCGTCAGGTGCTGCGAACGCTTGAATCGGGACCATTCCTTCAGCAGAAGAGCTCTGCGCTCGCTCTCCTCGAAGCTCAGTTCAGGAGCCTCACGGATCCTGGAGCAAACGGGAATCATTCAAATCACAATGTATATAACGCTTATTCTAAGTCTGTTTTCCCTACTATTTAATGCCATGCATGTAAAAGCATATTAAGTTAGTAATATAAGAAGTTTTTGGTGTCTACAGAACACTACCGGTCAAAAGTTTGGATAATTACGATTTTTTTTTAATGTTTTGGTTTGTGTTCATCAAGATTGCATTCATTGTAAATATTGTAAAACAGTAATAATGTGAAATTTCAGTATAATTTCAATGTGAATATATTGTGAAATGTTATTTATTCCTGCGATCAAAGCGGAATTTTCAGCATCATTACTCCAGTCTTCAGTGTCACATGATATTATACTAATAATTATAAATAATAAGATTATATTATTGAATATATTAAATTATTTTATTACTATTATCTTAATTATTAATGTTGAAAATAGTTTTGCTGCCTAATTTTTTGAGGAAACCATGATACTTTTTTCCAGGATTCTTTGAATCAGAAAATTTCAGCTTTAACATGACATGAATAAAATTAATTTTCAAATATATTAAAATAGAAACAGTTATTTTAACCCCTTAACTGATAATATCCTAGACCAGGGGTGCCCAACCCTGCTCCTGCCGAGCACAGTTCATCTCCAACCCTAATTAAACACACCTGCCTTTAATTTCCAAGTGACCCTGAAGACCTTAATTGGTTGCTTCAGGTGTGTTTGATTAGGGTTGGAGATAAACTGGAGGACAGTCGATCGGCAGGAGCAGGGATTGGGCACCCCTGTCCTAGACGCTTGGCGCTCTTTTTTTAATGGCCTTTTTTCCTTTCACATATTTTATTAATCATCATAAATTAGGTATCATTTGAACGCTTACATACTCAGTATTCATCCACTGAAACCACTTTAAAATCTGACACTTCTAATCACTTCTAAAATCTGAAAACTTACAGCAACAGCACAATTATTTTTCTAATCTTAATAAAACATATAGTTGGAAAGGTCTGAGACTCGGGGCTCCATATTTGGTGACTGTGATAGAAATTATATTGAGACAGAAATGTATTAATTTGTCACAGGAGAGCATAATGTGTGCATGACCCGGTGGCTATTTTTAGTATAGCGCCTTAAATCTCATATGAACTTAAATTTTTGTGATATCAACTTCAAATTTGGAACAAAACTTGGTTTAGACATACAGTTTTGATTTTATAGCATTTTAGAGTCCAAATTACTTTCTAAAACTAAATATTTGTGTAATTTTGTACAGTACATTTGCTTTAAAGTAAATTATATGTTTGCGCTTTCATTTTTTTAGTGTCCTCATTAAAAAGAGACCAATCTTTGGTCTGTATTAAGTTTGGATTTTGCATTTTCTCATTTATGCGACATTTCACAATATTACTGTTTTCACTGTATTTTTGATCAAATAAATAAACTCCAACCAGTACTAAACAAAATTCCCATATTATCTCAATATGTGTCATTTAATAGACTTCACTAGTCCTCTACACATGTGGAGAACAGGAAAATAAAGGATAAAGTATGTGTGTCCAGTTCATTAACCTGGTCTCGTCAAAGCTCTTGGCTGATGTAATGAAGTCTTCAATGGGAATCAGTTCGGGAGGAACTCTCTCCAGCTTTTTAAGCTTCTTCTTTAGACGCTCTTTTATCATTATCTCTCGCCGCGGGTCCACCTTCTTCTTCTTCTTGGGCTCTGCTCTGTTTGATAACACAGAAATATCAACATTTTCAGGCCGAAGCGCTGTATTTTCTACAGTTAAAATCACAATAAACTGATATGAAACAGTATTAGAAGACTAATTTCTGTTTTATAATAACACGTGGTTACAGTTTTTAACACATAACAAAAAGCAGTTAAATGTCCCTGTGTATTATTTTAAGTAACTTGTAGTACCATTAAATTCATGATTACATGGTACATTAAATATGGCAGTCCCATTGTATTTCCATATATGAAAGGAAACTGCAGTAAATATATTTAGGAAGAAACTATGGTGATTTACGTAAGGGAATAGTGGATTTGCACTGACCTTAATGGCACTGAGGTTTTCAGGGAAAGCATTGATGTGAACCAGTGACTGTGTCTGACAGCAACCACAGAACTGCTACTGTAACAGAGTGATTTATCATCATCATCATCATCATCATCATGACCTCTATAAAATAAATACTGATATATTCAGATGCACGTGGATTTTTCCACAGTCAAATACATACCATGATGCTTGACTCGATATAATCCGGCTTGCAGTGCGACACACAATCCCCGCCATAATTCACAGTAATATCGACTTTACAAACATCAATGATGAGAAATTAAAACTGTTTTACCAGTGTTTTACACCTTCCGGTGGCCAATGCGAATCTGTAGGTCATAGTAAAAACACGTCCGTTTAACATACGCACTTTCCGCATTACTATATCTTCATCTTCGACTCATATCAGCAATAATAAATATCATACTTGTTATATAGATAATTTAAAGTAAGTTTACGTGTAAAATATTTAATATTTGGCGTAGTGTAATATTTGACAGGTTTGTCGAATGTTGTGAAGTGAATGTTGAGGGTAAGTGGGTGAAAGGTCAGCCCGGTGTGTGTGTGTCGCTCAAACGGTCAATAACACAACTCAACTACAATCACTATCATGTCTCTCCTGAGAGGTACGTAAACTTTATAAATGTAACGTTGAATTAAGTGCATTATATTGAAACTACTCGAATGATTTGTTTGTTTTCTCCGCCTTTGCTTCTATAGCTACAAACTGCACTTGAACTTCAATCAATGTCACTTATTGTTATACTTTCCTTCTGTTTCCTATTTGAATTTATTTTCTCGTTTTATTTTTTCTAACCAGCTAAAACAGATCTGAAATATTCATGGCGGTGAATTTAAAGTTTATTTAAAGGGATTTTGTCTTCAGCTAATTATTGAGAGATTCAAAGCTTCATTTTGAATCATCACTATCATCATCATAATCAAAACTAAATATAAGTAAAAAATAAGAGTGCCCTGTTCTGTAGGAAAATCAAACATCCGATCAAACTATATATAACAGTCATTACTGACAGAATTAGGTTAAAGGTGAGGTCAGTGACACACATTAAAAGTCTTGTTTGCTTATGTAATGTTTACTGATGTAAATGTTGCATGGTTGCAATGCATTTCTACATTTTGCATATTGTAAAGTGTTGATTTTCTTTAAATTAAGTGCAGTAAACTGACCAGGGCTGCATTCCCTTAAAGCATTTAAGCCAACAATTGTCACCAATGAGTCTCTACCATCAATTTAGGGTTACTGTGCTTTTGAGAAAACAGCCCAGATCTAAGCAAATCTCTCTGGTCTGTTTCTGTCTAGGTGTGTTCATAGTCTCGGCCAAGAGAACGCCGTTCGGCACGTATGGAGGCGTTCTGAAGGACCACAGCGCTACGGATCTGGCTGAACATGCGGCTAAAGCTGCTCTCGCTGCTGGGAATGTGGCGCCGGAGCTGGTCAACAGTATCATCATGGGAAATGTCATGCAGGTGGGATATGATATTCAGTATATTTCAATTTTAAGACACTACAGGTGAAACTTGAAAAATTAGAATAACGTGCAAAAGGTATAATTTTGATGATTATGTCTTACAGCTTATGAAAACCCCAAATTCAAAATCTCAGAAAATTAGAATATTACATGAAATCCAAAAAAAAAAAAAAAACGATTTTAAATACAGAATTGTCGGCCGTCTGAAAATGCATCATGCATATGTTTATAGTTATATATATTAAATATATTAGTTTCACCTTTTAATTTTAATTTCTGAAATGCATGAACTTTTGCACGATATTCTAATTTTCGATATAACTCTATTTTCGAGTTTCACCTGTACATGCACTGGTCAATTTTGAGATTTTGGATTATTTTGCTTCCATACGATGTCCTCTTTCAGACTAGTGGAAAGAAAACATCCTAGTTACTTATTTAAAGGGTTAGTTCCCCCAAAATTAAAATTCTCCTATCATTTACTCGCCCTCAAGCCATCCTGGCTCTTCTAAGCTTTGTAATGGGAGTGAGTGGTAAATTCATCCATCATAAATGTAATTCATAAGCCTAAGTGGGTTAATAAAGGCTTTCTGAAGTGAAGCCATGCATTTGTGTAAGAAAAATATCCATATATTTATAAATCCTATTAAGTATAATCACTGGCTTCTGGTAACGTCTGTATGTGAGTCTAGTTCCATTGGAAGAGTGACCTCTGACCCGTTTTACTTTAAAGTTTTACTTTATCTGTTTGCATTTGCAGATTTTATCTACTAAACATATCTTTAAAAGTCAGAAATCTCCACTTCAGCAGCTTTAGTTTACACACACACCAAACTTTACAATTTCTCATCTATATTCTGAAGGCTTTTACAGAGGTCTATATGACATTTTACTCCTGTAAATATGGTAAAAACTTTTTTTTTTCTGACTGTTGACATATTCAATATATTTTTCTGACTGTTGACATAAAAATAGAAATCCAAATTCTGTAAAAATAAATAAATAAACAAAACTTTTACACTAATGTCAACAAAATGAAAACGGAATTTTTAACCGGACTTTATCCAGTGTTCAGTCATATATCTAATATATATAGTTACTTCCATGTAGTTTAGTATATTATATGTATAAGACAAATCATGCAAGTATCAACTATTATGACTGTTTGTTTCTTTTGTAACATGCCATGGAAAAAGTGTATTTCAGTATTGGTCTATTCAGATTTATTATTAATCCAGACTAGTTTGACAATATACCATATATTTTAACTTATTACAGCTCGGCAACTTTACACTTGATCACAGTATTTACCACTGATCCACGATAAAGTTATTTGCACATGTCAAACTGATAACGCAGGGGAGAAGGTCTTGTTAAGGTCGTTGTAAGGTCTTTGTAAGGTCTTAAAAATATTTAAAAGGTAGAACAATTAATCAACATTTCAGAATTCTATGAACAATTTAGAATTCATTTTTTTTATTTTCTCTCTCTCTCTCTGTCATTCAGAGCTCTGCTGACGCTCCCTACATCGCGCGTCACGTGGGTCTGCGGTGTGGCGTTCCCATCCCAGTGCCGGCGCTGACTGTCAACCGCCTCTGCGGGTCTGGATTCCAGTCTATAATCAACGGAGCACAGGTACGAACCCCAATCGACGGCTCAGTCATTTCCTCACAGGAGATGCTGATCAGTGTGTGTGTGTGTGTGTGTTGTGCTGTAGGAGATCTGCCTGAAAGAGTCAGAGGTGGTCCTGTGTGGCGGTTCAGAGAGCATGAGTCAAGCTCCTTACGCTGTCAGGAACATCCGCTTCGGGACAAAGTTTGGAGTTGATTTGAAGGTAAAGATCATCAGGTGTTCAATGATTTTGAATTTAAAGGGGTTGTGACATGGATTTTTTTATGTTCCTTGAGGTTCACTTATAATGTTAAGAACGGTTTGGCACAAAAAACAAATACAGGTGAAACTCGAAAAATGTGAATATCGTGCAAAAGTTATAATTTTTATAATTTTGTCTTCAAAATCTCAATTCAATTCAATTTTTATTTATATAGCGCCATTACAACACCCAGAAAGGTGCACAAAGTGCTTTCCATAAAACACATAAAAAAGACAACCGTATATAAAAAATTACGAATTAAAGCTAATCTAAGCAGTTACATCAAAATAACTAAAAACAAAACAAATGATTACGTGTTGAAAGCCTTCCTGAAAAGAAACTTAGACTAACTTAAACTCTAATCTCAGAAAATTAGAGTGTATTATTGGAGTACAGTACTTATAAAGCTCTGAATAACGTGTGTGTGTGTGTGTGTGTCAGCTGGAAGACACGCTGTGGGCAGGACTGACAGATCTGCACATAAAGCTCCCCATGGGCATCACAGCAGAAAACCTGGCAGAGAAATACCAGATCACACGCGACGACTGCGACCAGTACTCCTACGGGACGCAGCAGAGGTGGAAAGCAGGTGAGCGAATGCAACGACCTCCCAGCACTGCATCGCTTTACACACGCACACACACACGTCTGGATTACTATCTTTGTGGGGACTCTCCCTAGACGTAATGCTTTTTATATTGTACAAACTGTATATTCTGTCCCATTAACACTAACCCTATCCCTACACCTGCCCATCACAGGAGACATTCTGCATTTTTACATTTTCAAAAAAATAAAATAAAAATCATTCTTGATTTATAAGCATGTTTACCAATGGGGACCTCGATTTGGTGACCTCGAGTCCCCATGAGTCTGTGTGCATTCAGGTTTAAGTCCCCACCGGGATAGAAAAACACTCACACACACACATCTCTCTCTCTCGGCTGCAGCTCACGAGGCTGGGTATTACAATGCTGAGATCGCGCCCATCGATGTGAAAGCCAAGAAGGGGAAAGTGTCCATGACGGCTGACGAACACCCGCGTCCACAGACCTCGCTGGAGCAGATGGCCAAGCTGCCCACCGTCTTCAAGAAAGGAGGAACCGTCACTGCAGCCAACGCTTCGGTGCGCAGAACTGAACATTCCAATAGAATTTTAATAATTCTAATATGCTGATTTACTGCTCAAGAAAGGGTTCATTTTTTTGCAGGAAACTGTGATATATATTTTTCACGATTCTTTGATTAATAGAAAGTTCAAAAGAACAGCATTTATTTTATTTTAATAGACATTATTTGTAGTATTATACGTTTACTGTCACTTTTGATCGATTTATTGATCAAATTGGTCTTTGCTGAATATAAACATTAATTGATTTTTCTCTCTTGATATTTTCCCCTGATAATAATCAGAAATTTTTCTTGAGTATCAAATCATCATATTAGTATCATATTTCTGCTAAAAATTCACCTTTGATCACAGGAATAAATTACACTTTATATTCTATATATTCACATAGAATACAGCTATTAAATTGTAATAATACTTCACAATATTACTATTTTTACTGTATTCATGATCAAATAAATGAAGTCTGGGTGAGGAAATGATTTAAAAAAACACCACATATTCTTTATATATATTCATATATATATATATATATATATATATATATATATATATATATATATATATATATATATGTACAGAATATCAACCATATATTCATATAGACCATTGTCCAGAAACACTTCCTGTTTCAGTTTGTAACTCTTTTCTTTATTTCACATGTAAAGAAAACAGCTTAAAGATGTTTGTTTAACTTTTTGATTCAGTTTTAAATGTTCTGTTGGTTGTATTTTATCCCAGCTTTTATGTAGTGTTAAAAAACTGAAACAGGAAGTGCTTCTGGACCAGTGTTTACATTTTGCAAAATGGTCTATATTCATATATATGTGTGTGTGTGTGTGTATACACAGTGTAATAAAGCTTCAGGAGAATGAGGATCCATTTGCAGTTTTATTATAATCGTCGTTGTACAGTCAAGGTCAATCACCAGCAAACACAACAGTAGAGATAAGGCAACTCGTAATCCAGAAACAGGCATAAGATCAGGGCAGGCGGCAAACTCACATAAACCAGTCCAGTAGAGAATATAGTTCAGGGCAGGCAGCAAAGAATCAAGATGAGAATAAACAGTCCAAAAGTAATCCACGGGAAGACAAGACACAGGAAGAAACGCTCAGAGTTGATCACCAGGGTAGATACAAAACTTCACAATGAGAGTGAGTCTGAGAGCACCTTAAATAGTCCACTAATGAAAGTCAGGTGAGAGGTAATCAGTGCTGGGTATGTGGGAAATGTAGTTCAAATGGTTTTAATATTCAGGAGAGAGTTCCCTCTGGTGGTGAGCAGAAGGAACCGCGGGAGTCTCGTTTGTGACAGAGCCCCCCCCCTGCGAGCGGCTCCTGACGCGAAGAGGCGAACGACGCCGGGGTCTTCCCCGAGGTCGAGGGGCCGGTTTTTCCGGGTGCATCCTATGGAACTCAGTCATGAGTGTGGGGTCGAGTATGTCCTCTGCATTAACCCAGGATCGCTCCTCTGGTCCGTACCCCTCCCAATCCACCAGATATTGAAGGAGTCTGCCCCGGCGTCTGGAATCAAGTAGATCTCGAACCTGATATGCCTCCTCGCCCTCCACCAAGATGGGTGAGGGGCCCTGGTCACCGATCTGCTTCTCCTGCTCCTCCTCCTCCGCTCTCGGACCACCAGCGGGTTTAAGAAGTGATGTATGAAAAGTGGGAGAGATACGATAATTAGAGGGTAATGCCAAACGAAAAGAAACTGGTGTAATCTGTTTAACAATTTGGAAGGGACCCACATACCTGGGACTGAGTTTCTTGCAAGGAAATCTGAGGCGTAGGTCTCGAGTGGATAACCAGACCCATTGACCTGGAGTATATTCGGGGTTGGGGCGACGGTGACGATTGGCCTGCAACCTCTGTCTCCTGACAGCATGTAGCAAGTGGGTGTGAGCCTGATTCCAGATGTCTTCGCTTCTCTGGAGCCAGTCGTTGACTGAGGGTACCTCGGTAGGTTCCCCTGACCATGGAAATAGGGGAGGTTGGAAGCCCATTACACATTGGAATGGGGTTAGTCCGGTGGAGGGTTTCTGGAGGGAGTTCTGTGCATACTCAGCCCACATGAGGAATCGGCTCCAGTCTGCTTGGTTCTGATGACAATAGGATCTGAGGAACCGGGTGATCTCCTGATTGAGACGTTCTGTTTGACCATTCGATTGTGGGTGATATCCTGAAGTGAGGCTAACGTTGATGTTGAGTTGTTGGAAGAATGCTGACCATACTCTGGATGTGAATTGTGGCCCTCGATCCGACACAATGTCTTCAGGAAGGCCATAAAAGCGAAACACAAAGTTACACATGAGTTCAGCAGTCTCAAATGCTGTAGGCAACTTGGGAAGTGGAATTAAACGACAGGCCTTGGAGAAGCGATCTATGACCGTGAGTATTGTGGTATTCCCATTGGACTTGGGGAGATCGGTAATAAAGTCTAAGGCAAGATGGGACCATGGTCGGTGAGGAACTGGCAATGGTTGCAGTAGGCCAGATGGTAACTGTCTGAGATGTTTGCTTGTGTTGCAGATGACACATTCATTAAAGAATTTTATTGTGTCTGCCCGCAAGGTTGGCCACCAAAAGCTGTTCTGAAGCAGGTGAATAGTGGCAGAAATTCCAGGATGACCGGAGCTGAGTACGGAATGAACTTGGTGTAGCACTTTCTGACAAAGATCCTGAGGTACAAACAGTTTGTCGGGGGGGCATTCGGGAGGAGGGGTCCTTTGTGAATTGGTCTGAGTAAGCTCTGTCATGATGTCCCACTGAACTGGGGCCACAATTAATGACTCTGGAAGAAGGGTTTCCTTGGACTTAATGGGACTCAAACCATCATGTTGGCGTGATAAGGCGTCTGCTTTGGTGTTCTTTGAACCGGGACGATAGGTAACAGTGAAGTCAAATCGTGTAAAGAAGAGAGCCCACCTTGCTTGTCGGGGATTCAGTCTTTTGGCAGATCGTAAGTATTCTAAATTCTTGTGGTCAGTCAGAATCACAAATGGATGTTTAGACCCCTCCAGCCAATGACGCCACTCCTCCATAGCGGCTTTCATGGCCAACAATTCCCGGTTTCCGACGTCATAGTTCTGTTCGGCTGAGTTAAGTTTGCGGGAATAATAGGCGCAAGGATAGAGCTTGGATGGGGATCCGTGCCGTTGAGAAAGGATGGCTCCAATACCCGTATTTGAAGCATCCACCTCAACTATAAACGGAAGTTCTGGATCAGGGTGGTGGAGAATGGGAGCAGATGTGAAACGTGACTTGAGTTCTGCGAAAGCCTCCTGTGCTGTAGTTGACCAGGTGAGGTGTGAAGAACTTCTCTTAGTCATAGAGGTTAAGGGAGATGCTACCGAGCTGAAGTTTCTGATGAAGCGTCGGTAGAAATTAGCAAATCCCAAAAAGCGTTGTAATTCCTTTAAAGTTGTTGGTAGAGGCCAGTCTAGAACGGCTTTGACCTTCTTTTCGTCCATGGCAACACCCTCCTGACTGATGATGTAGCCCAAAAATGACGTGGTAGTCTGGTGAAATTCACACTTCTCTGCTTTGGCGTATAACTGATGATCAATGAGTCGTTGCAATACTGTTCTTACGTGTTGCACATGTTCCTCGTAGGTGTTGGAGTAGATAAGAATATCATCGATGTAAACAATGACCCAACGATTAAGCATGTCCCGAAAGACGTCATTGATGAATGCCTGGAATACGGAAGGACTGTTGGACAGCCCAAAAGGCATAACCAAATATTCGTAGTGACCAGTGCTCGTAGAAAAGGCTGTCTTCCATTCATCACCGTCCCGGATGCGAATAAGATTATAGGCGTTGCGGAGGTCTAGTTTGGAGAAATACTTGGCATTGCGGAGTTGTTCTAGCGCAGCTGGTACTAGAGGGAGGGGATATCGAAACTTGACAGTGATGTCATTGAGACCCCGGTAGTCGATACAAGGGCGTAGGCCCCCATCTTTCTTCTTAACAAAGAAAAAGCCAGAAGCTGCAGGTGACGTGGATGCTCTGATGAACCCTTTTGAAAGTTCCTCCTCAATGTAGTTCTTCATGGCTTCTGATTCGGGTTGTGATAGGGGAAAAATTCGACCCTTAGGTGGTGTTGTCCCTGGTAAAAGTTCAATGGAACAGTCGTTTGAGCGGTGAGGAGGAAGTTCCATAGCCTTGGCTTTGCTAAAAGCCTTGACGAGGTCAGAATATTCAATGGGAAGAGTGGGGAAAAGAACAGGTTCGTCCTTTAGTGCAACGCTCTGAATGGAGAGTGAAGAGCTGCCATTTAAACAGTTGGAGTGACATGACGGGTCCCATTTTATGATTCGACCTTCCTTCCATGAAATGAGGGGATTATGTTGACGTAGCCAGGGGAGTCCAAGAATTACCGGGTTATGAGGTGATGTAATGATGTAGAAACGAATTATCTCAGTGTGAAGGGTCCCTGTTTGTAGTTGAAGGTCCACGGTGGTGTGTAGAACCCTTCCATCTCCGAGAGGCCGCCCATCTAGTGCTTCCACTGCCAATTGAGAGTTGCAAGAGATTAGTGGGAGTTTTAGTTGTTGAGCAAACTCATGAGACATAAAGTTCCCGGCTGCTCCCGAGTCTAACAGAGCTGCTGTAGAAATATGATGGCCCTCTAAAGACAATATTATAGGTACTTTGATACAAGAACTGGAGTGATGAGCTTGAACACAGGGACTCACCGAAGAGGAGTTACGAAGAGGTGGTCTTGTAGGACACGAAGCCCTCAGGTGACCCGGCTGACCGCAATAGAGACAGAGATGTTGACGTATGCGGCGTTCCCGCTCTTCCGGAGTCAGATGAGTATATCCGAGCTGCATGGGTTCAGTTTGAGACAGAGTGACTGGGTTTTGTGTGCTGGTTGGTACCGTTCTGAGTGGACGACGTGAACGGATCAGATTGTCAATCTGAATGGGGAGTTCGATGAATTGATTCAGTGTTTTCCCTTCGTCTCGGCAGGCCAGTTCGGATTGCAACTCCAAGTTGAGTCCCTTGCGAAAGAGCAGTTTGAGCGTGCTCTCTACCCAGTCAGTTTGTGCTGCTAAAGTACGAAATGTCAATGCATATTCTGCTGCGGTACTTCTGCCCTGACTCAATGCGAGTAGTTGATCATCAGCTCTCATACCTCCCTCTGGGTGTTCAAATACTTCCCGGAATCGTTGAAGAAAGATTCCAAATGATGGAAAAGCAGTACCATCTTCTTTCCAAACCGCCGTTACCCACTCCAATGCCTTGCCAGTGAGGAGTGAGCATACCAAGGAGATCTTGCTGGCATCTGTGCTATACATAGCTTGTTGTTGATCAATGAATAATGAACATTGTAGTAGAAATCCCTTACTTTTCATTGGGTTACCATCAAATTTATCAGGAAGAGCCAGACGTGGGTTAACTGTGAATGAAGATGGTGGAGAGGTGTCCACATTCCTGTTCGGTTGAGAAGGTGCAGGGTTTGGAAGAGACATTTGCAAACGCTGCAGTGTCCTGACAAGCTCCTCTGTTACTGTAGTTAAATGGGTTAGCTGATGTTGATGAACGGCGAGTTGATTGGCTTGAGTGGAAATCTCTGTGGATATTTGAGCCAGAACTGCTGGATCGTGTGATGGTGAAGTTTTCTGTAATAAAGCTTCAGGAGAATGAGGATCCATTTGCAGTTTTATTATAATCGTCGTTGTACAGTCAAGGTCAATCACCAGCAAACACAACAGTAGAGATAAGGCAACTCGTAATCCAGAAACAGGCATAAGATCAGGGCAGGCGGCAAACTCACATAAACCAGTCCAGTAGAGAATATAGTTCAGGGCAGGCAGCAAAGAATCAAGATGAGAATAAACAGTCCAAAAGTAATCCACGGGAAGACAAGACACAGGAAGAAACGCTCAGAGTTGATCACCAGGGTAGATACAAAACTTCACAATGAGAGTGAGTCTGAGAGCACCTTAAATAGTCCACTAATGAAAGTCAGGTGAGAGGTAATCAGTGCTGGGTATGTGGGAAATGTAGTTCAAATGGTTTTAATATTCAGGAGAGAGTTCCCTCTGGTGGTGAGCAGAAGGAACCGCGGGAGTCTCGTTTGTGACACACAGAATATCAACCATATATTCATATAATGTTTTTTGAAATGTTTTGAAATGAAATTTTTGAAATGTTACTCAGCAGTGCCACTGGTGATTTTGTGTATGCAGTGTATTTGCATGTCTTGATGATGTCACTGGCTCCACCCACAGGGCGTGTCTGATGGAGCTGCTGCTGTGGTCATAGCCAGTGAGGATGCTCTGAAAGCTCACAAACTCACACCATTGGCTAGAATTGTGGCCTATCACATCTCAGGATGTGATCCCAGCATCATGGGAATTGGTGAGTCCGAAATCCACCAATTTATTCTTATATATTTAGGAGGGGGGAAATAAATAAATAACTATATAATATTTTTGTATATACAACAGGGCCTGTACCTGCCATCACAGAAGCCCTGAAGAAGGCTGGTCTTTCACTCAAAGACATGGACCTGGTGGAGGTAGACTTATATCTACATACTCTAGGTTTCTAAATGGGCACATCATACTATGCATGAGTTAACTTGCCCACTTAAATGTTAACTAGAGTGATGAAGAGTGGATTTATTTTGATCTTTTTCAAAGGTCAAGCAGGGTTTCATAGACAGTCAAACCAAAATGTATTTAGACATCTTCAACATTTCTCACATCATCACAATTTTTTTCGCTATAGTTTAGAAAATGGTAATAAAACATGAGCAGAACTCAGTGGATATTTGACTGGTTTTGTCCGTCCTTCTGTTAGACTCTCACACATGAATTATCTTGAATATCTGTCAGCTGTTAAATTTAACAACACAATTAGATAATACCAGTTTAGCTCAACCAGTGACCAAGCAATGTTTCATGTTGTTCCGTCAGAGTGTATAAAAAGAGCATTAGCAATTACAGAAAACACACTTAAACAAAACATGATCAGCTCAAAGTGTCTGGATAATATTTAACTATAGTGTCCTGCACACTGTAGTAAAAAATGATATCTGGTTTCTGAGTGATTTTTGGTTTGACTGTATCTGTCAGGTCAACGAAGCGTTTGCTGCTCAGTATCTGTCCGTGGCTAAAGCTTTGGGCTTGGACCCTGAGAAGACCAACGTAAACGGAGGAGCCATCGCCATCGGGCACCCGCTCGGAGCCTCTGGGACCAGGATCACTGCGCACCTCGTGCACGAGCTCAGGTAAACACACTCACAACTGCAATCTTTCCATCCAAAGGGCTGAGTTTAACTTGGAATATCGCATAAAACATTTGCAAATAAAGCATCGTTTCCATCCCATGTGTTCAAGAGCACAAAATCATCACTTCCTGGGAAACTGACACAAAATATCTGTAAGAAAAATGGAAGTAGCTCTTTTTTGTTGTTGTTTCGACTGTAATAAACGCTGTAAAGTTCTTGCATTCGGATTCTGGTGTTTGGGAACATGGATCCTGTTCAAAGTCAACATGAAATTACTTTCTGTTCATAAAATGGGTTTTGAGTGCCATTTTAGGTTGTGTAATCTGATCATGCATTGCTGTGTTTATATTACATGAAGTCACGTGTTGTATTCTCTGTTCACAGGAGACGCGGTGGGAAGTATGCGGTCGGCTCTGCCTGCATTGGTGGCGGTCAGGGAATCGCAGTTATACTGGAAAACACAAACTGAGAACATCACACACACATGTTGCTGCAAACCAATCAAGTCAAATTAAAAACCTAATTCACACTGTCTTCCTAAAGTCTGTAAAAAAAACATAGCCTGTGTACAAACATGGAATAAAAAGTTTATTTTGCACATGATGATAGTAAAATGAGTCCAGGATCATGTGAGTGAGTGATGGAGCCGTTTCTGTGCAGAAGTTGCAGCGATCAGTGATGCTGGAAGTAACGTGCCTTGCTGTACTTGTGTCTCTGTGCCTAATCCAACATCCGGCTCGACTCACCATCTCCATGAACTTCTGCTGCTTCCCAGAAATGTTATATATTTGCTCTGTTTTGATTTAACTCTTGATTATGGACTTTACTAAATGGTTTTGTATAGAATGTTGACTAAACATGTTCACCGACCAGAGCCCTGACTGTTCTTATCAATAAACAATGTGCGGTATAATACCACATTGTGTAATTTCCCTCTTGGCATGCAGATTTATTCATATATAGGTGGAGTTATACATACTGAAATAACAACGGTGGATCAGCCGTAGCACAGTCTTTTAATAATAACTAATGAATATTCTTATTCTAGATCAGTTTTCTGTTCAGTTGGAGTAAATTAATGCACTGTTGTCTTGTTTTAGACTGTTATTATATAGAAAATATACAGTCTAAACCCTTTTAAAAATTGCGTGAAATATTGTACATAGGATTTAAAATGTTAAAAGTGGTGTATACATATATATTGTATTCACGTATAGTATACACACACTTAAATATATATATATACACACACACACACACTTTTCTAACATTTATGTACAATATATTTATGCATACATTCTTCATATTACATTCTACATAGGGTAAAATATTACATAGCCTACATTCTTTAAATGTATAACAATTTACAAAACTTTGTATTGACCGTTTCTAAATCGGCTTTATTGCTTTAATTCACTTCTACAATACAAAAGTACAATTTGCGACAATTTCACAAAAGACGAGAACATTATAATCAAAGGTTTTGATATATTTACCTTTCTCAGCCGAACAGCGGCAATCGCGCGCAGTCAGTGTGGCCAAAAATAGCGCGTGTGCCTTTAAGAGCGGAAGCAAAACCCCGAGCGTATCACGTCACGACTATATATACGTCAAGTGCCCGGATGTCGGTCTTTTTTTCTAGCTGAAGGTAATTGTGGCTTTCGTGTCTGTTTTGTCCAAGTACAATCTGCATTAATCTGGTTAATCTGCTCGTAATATTTCACTCCTGTTCATATATGAATGTTTGAATACACACATAGCGCTAGTATCCGTGAATATTAGTGGATGTGATGTATGTTTTAACGTACGTAATGAATGTTCGGCGCGCTGAGGCCTGACACCGGTAGCATGTGAACAAACGGGATTTGTGTGTTTATATTAATATTAAAAACCATAAAATCATATGTGACGGCTTGTCATGAGAACAAGGGCGTTAAATAGACTATAATGACGCTTGTTCGTCTAGACATGGGTTTATGTGTTGTAGCATTAATGCTAACAGGCTAGTCACGTTGAGAAACTAGCGTTACAGTAACAACATGCTTATACATATATATTATACACACACATATATGTATGTTAAAGCTGAGGGTTCGTTATTATTGTGGTGTATCCATTAATGTAATAAGTTGTACGATCAACAGTTAATGATATGCAGCAGATCAGATATTCAGATTAGGGTTATACTCCATTGTGAATAGAATTAGTAAAATAGCAATGCTAATGTTGAGCTATCATGTGAAAAATACTACACAAAAAATCTAAATTGACTTTTAGAGCAGCTTTACTATTGGATGATGCATGTTATTAATGTCTAAAATCTTTGTATGTATTTATATTTTAATGTGTGTCTTATTTTCTCAGATGGCTGAGGGCGATAAGAAGAAGGTTGTCCGAAGACACACCAGCCGTAACCCTGTGCTGGTCCGGGGCATCGGCCGCTACTCCCGCTCTGCCATGGCCGCCCGCAGAGCCATGTACAAGAGGAAGACCAAAGCTCCAGTGACGAAGGTGACTGGAGCAACTCTCTGATCCAGGATCAGTCTCACCCCTTCATCAGCTGTTTTCTGATGCTCTGTCTTGATGTTTCAGGTTGAAAAGAAAATCAGGGAGAAGAAAATTAAAAAGGAAAAGAAGAATTCCACCACAGTCACCAAATCTGTCGGCGGAGACAAAAATGGAGGCTCCCGGGCTGTAAAACGCCGCAAGATGGTGAGAGAAAGACGTTTACCACCAGATCCCGGAGCCTATCCGTTTTAAAATAGGTTTAACATTCAGGGACATTTTGACCATGATGTAAACGTGTTTTAGTCCTGTGGAAGACTTTCCTCCAAAAAATAAGACTTTGACTCTAACTCAGAATTGTGTGATCTAAACTAATGCAATATGTTTAGTTATTGTGGTTTTAATATCAAAGTTAATGCACTCAAAGCAATTTAATTCTATACATTGATTAAAAAGTTTGTTAGGAATTCTCAGATTTTATAAATTTCATATATGTTCAACGCAAATTTCTTTTGTATATTATGAAAAATGTCTCTTTTCATGCATCAGTGTTTATGTAATCCTTGAAAAATTAGGTTTTTTTGCTGCATTCAGTCCTTGAAGTTTTTAATCGGATACAACATTGTTTTAGTTCAATATCGAGGGCTTGGAGCTAGAAGGGCGTAAGTGGCAGGAGAAACATAACAAAATTTTGACCACGCTACAATCACCTGTATCATTAACCTTAAACCACAAACATTGTAACCACAGGCATACTTGCATGAAATGAGAATTTAAGTAAAAAATCTATGGCATATTAACACAATGAACATGTTCTGAAACATTTTCAATAAGTCAAATAAGCCTTTTTGTTGCTTTATTCAATACAGTTTGATCTATTTTTGGCACCATTGGATAGAGCTCATCGAGACCTTTATTTTGATATAAAGAAGTCATATTCGCCCCAAAATGCCACTTGCGCCCCTCTGGCTCCAAGCCCTCGATATTACCTTATGACCACTTTTCACAATGCAAAATAAATACAGATTTGGAGGGTTTGGCCAATTCAATCATAGCAGCCGAATAGACCTTAATCAGAGTAATGGCATATTTGAACAACAAACTAGAACAAGGCTGTGAGGGATAGAATAACAATATACATTTTTCAGCTGATGAAATGTCTTTTCGGAAAACTAGTCAAAAACTCAACAAGTTGTGTGATCTAGGACCTTTAAACTGTGTGTAAAGGCTTGTTTAATCTCTTTTCAATTCAATATGGCGTCTAACCTGACAAAGGTCTTTTGCATTCAACGTTGTGTTTTACCACGTTCATGTTCTCATCTCTCTCTCGTTTCTGTGTCCAGCCCCGTTATTACCCCACAGAAGACGTGCGCCGTAAGCTGCGGAGTCACGGCATCAAGCCCTTCAGTCAGCACCGGAGGAAACTGCGCAAGTCCATCACCCCTGGAACAGTCCTGATCCTGCTGACCGGACGCCACCGCGGGAAGGTACATGCTCGCACGCTCCGTATATACACGCTCAGCGCGTCATTTAAACTAGTCTGTAGTAGAGCCAGACCGATATATCGGCCGGCCGATATTAGGCATTTTCCATAATATCGGTATCGGCAGTTATAATGGCCGATAAATCAATATTTCAAAAATAAAATAAAAACGGACCAAACACGCTTCAATCATCTCTCCTTGGCCTGTTATATTGAAAATGTATGTTTTACAATTTGCAGTATGATGTTATCTATTGCTAAATTATGGCTCATCATAGACTAGCAAACCACAAAGCTAGCTTATGCCACTGTCATCAGTGGAAGAGCGCTAACGTTAACACTAATGAGCTTGGAAACCACGATGAACTTTTTCTGGCTAAATAAAGTAATGATTACCGTATTTATAACTAGCATATCTCTAGTTACAGTCCCTGCATTGTAAAACGTAAGTTAGACTTGCGAGGAGTGAACATTTAGACATATTGGATTTTAAAACCCAAAAATATTTGTATCGGCCTTAAATCCTTTATCGGTCGGGCTCTAGTCTGTAGCAGGGAAATCTTAGGTGTGTAACAATATATAGTGTGACAATAGATCCCAATGCAACGATATGTATTGTGGATAGTGATGACGTATATTGTGAATAGTTAGAAAAAAGAAAGAAAAAATTTGTGTGTGAGGAGCAAAAAATCAAGTTTTAGTGTCAGTACTACATTGAACAAGTTGAATATAATGTATAATAATGCAATGGTGGAATACTTTTGGCTCCTGATAATGCCAAATGTCTTTAGAGTGCGAGCATATTCGTCTGTATCTTCAGCTTCAGAATCATCAATATTGTTAATCTGGTGTGTCTATTGTCCTGTGCTTTGGGTTTCCAGCACCAAGTCCAAACCTAGTCACTTACACACACAATGACGATGTAATATCTAATTTAGCATTTTAATCAACAGTGCATTTTTTTTTTGTTAACTTATCACCACGTGATTTGGAGTATTGCAATAATATCGTGATGTGTATCAAATCGTGATGCGAGGGTCTTGTTGCACCCCTATCAAATATCATCAGACTTTGGTTTTAAATCTCAGAAGTTGATATCCAAATCACAGCTATTGTTATTCACATGTGTAGCAAATCAATGGGTGAAACGCCTACATGCAAAGCAGCGACCTGCGCAGACACTCACTCCCACACAAACACTTGTTAACTCTATTCTGCTGAATTGGGGGGATAAGTTGCACTTGATATTTGCATTGCAAAAGCGGTTCAGATGAGGATTGCAGCAAACGTCACAGGCTGTTAACCGTGTGTGTGTGTTTCTTCTCCAGCGCGTGGTCTTCCTCAAGCAGCTGGACAGCGGCCTCCTCCTCGTCACCGGTGAGTGAGAGAACGTCTGTCTGTTCAATGGATGGAGAGGATTTTGAAATAAAATACAGTAGTCAACGTTTGAGGTGGATCAAAACCTTTCATCAGAGTTATACGTGAATTTTGAACAAAACCCGTTCTTGTCTTTTAGGACAACTTTATGAACTTTTTTTTAATCCACTTCAAATGTTGACTACTGTAAATGAATTGGTGTGTCAGTTCGTGCAGGCTGTGACTCAAGTAAACGTGTTAGCAGTTTCAGAGTCTTTTAATTTACTCTGATTGAAGCTGCTCTGAAACGCTGAGCTGCACGCATGTAAATGGACTAATACTAGTATATCAATATTAGTAATTTAATTATTAAAAGAAGTCAATTTTATCCCTTAACTCATCTTTAATCACCAGAATGACACAATTTGCAATATTCTTAATGCCTTAAAATATCTTGAATGTAACTTGACACCCTTCCATCATTAAATATTTGTGGCTCTATGAATATGCAAATGAGCCCTGCCTCCACTCACTCACTCAGATCCACTGGTTGACGATCACACTTTGATCTGATTGGTGACACCATGTTTTTGAGACTCTGGTTCACTGCAGTTTTAAGGAGAAAATACTCAGCAATGATGTCGACTTTACACATGGTTTGTCTTGAAGAATATTTAAAACAGACATTGTTTTTTTTATAAAATTTTACAGAAACGTTTTACAGTATGATTTAGTATTACAATCATTTCTTATTTCGTTTAATTTAATCACAAAATCATTATTTTAGTCATGTTGAATTGGTCAAAAACAGTGTGAATATGGCATAATGAAAACTTGTGAAGAGTAAAACAAAGTACCCACACCCAAAGATTTTCCCCAAATCGCTCAAGCCTAAAAAGTGAAAAGAGCATTTTAATTTCGTGCAAATGAACTATTCTAGAATGATTAATAGTTATTCATTTATAGTTCGTCATCTTGTAAAACTTTCTTTTTTCTTTATTTTCATAATGTAGAAAATCAATCATTAGTGTGCAGCTGTTATTGTGGAGTTTGTTCCAGTTTGAGGGAGTGAATGATTGATGGCTGTCTCTGGTCTCTCTCAGGTCCTCTGGCTCTGAACCGAGTGCCTCTGCGTAGAGCTCACCAGAAGTTCTGCATCGCCACCAACACCAAACTGGACATCTCTGGCATCAAGATCCCCAGCACACTGGTCGATTCCTACTTCAAGAAGAAGAAGATGAGGAAACCCAAGCACCAGGAGGGAGAAATCTTTGACACAGAGAAGGAGGTAAAACACCAATGCTTGTGCGGGAATCTGGATGGACGGCTCTTGGCTGTCAACGTTTCCATGACAGATTTGCTAGATTTTTTTTTTTTTTTTTGATGTCAGTAAAAAACTATTGTGAAATGACTGTTTCCATTGACTGATGTTATGTGATCAAGTCATTTTTTTTCTCTCACGATAAGTCGTTCCAAAAATCATGGTAATGGATGTTGGTGGATTTTTATATATCATTCATAGCCACCGCACTAGCCATTATTGTTAACCGGAGACGTGTGTGCGTGTTATCCAAGCATTAATGGGAAGGAAAGACTCTTATACTGTGAGCGGTTTCTATCTCATTTGGTCTTGATTGTAGCATTTTTGTGAGGTTTAGAATCCGGTATTCCTGTAATTCTTTTGTCTTATTTAATGAACAATTTTTCAAATACACTGACTGCACCATCTAAGTCAGGTGATTGTAAATGTGCAAAAACTGTTTCCATTGCAGTTTTGCGAAATAGTCCTTTTTCAAATCGCCTCATGTGAGCAGACAAACATTTTTTGCGATTAAACAGAGCTAGTGACAGCAAATGAGTTTTCTGATGTTTGTCGTTCTGTTTCTGCAGAAGTACCAGTTGACGGAGCAGCGCAAGGCAGACCAGAAAGCAGTGGATTCTCTTCTACTTCCTCTGATCAAGAAGGTTCCCGAACTCAAGGGGTACCTGCGCTCCACATTCTCCCTGTCTAATGGAGTGTATCCACACAAACTGGTTTTCTAAATTGCAAATAAAGTCTCGACCCATATCACTTTCTCGGCCTCAGTTCTTGCATTTTATGTTGCACACCAAATCATTCAGGTCAACTTTGTTGTCTGTATGAGGTAGTATTTTAAAAATAGCTTTGCAAATGTTCCATTGCAGTCAGCTTAAAATAAGTATTAAATTGTTATGAGCAATAGCACTCGATTTCTAAATCAGTCTGCTTTGAGCATTCATTTCTAGTGGCTATTTTTAGGTTTAATGATCTGTGGTGCGTCTACACCACTATTGTTAGAAATGTTTTTATATTAATGTTGACATGAATGTACAAGCTAATGTTCCCATCAACCTATTTTGCTTAAGAGTTGTGCATAGCTTGTATTCTTATTCCATGAGAAGCACTTCTTGAATTAAATGTGACTGAAGTTAATGTTTGCTGGATGGGAGTCCATCCATGATCACCGTAAGATGACTAGAAATTACTAAAATGAATACAAGTATCAAAATCATTCATTTGAAATGCTAAGTTGAAACTGTGCAAAGTACAACCCTGTTCATAGTTTATTTCAACCAATATTACTCAAATTCATACTTGCATAATGAAAGTTAATGTTTCATCAGTAGGTGAACAAAACTCAGGCCTGAAAGTTTGTGAGATGTGCATTAAACTCACAATTCTGACTGTTTCTCTCCCTTGCAATTTACTTTTCCTTCAGAATAGGTTTTTACCACAAATTCTGAAAAAAAAGTCAATTATAAATTTAAAAAAAAACTAAAATTTAAGAGTATATTTCTCATTTACCCTCTTGGAAATGATTGCTCCTATTACCATCATCAGATGTTGCACCATAAACCTTCAGACACAAAATTCCAGGCAAACGGCCAAACCATTTTGCTTTAATTAAAAAAAAACGCAGGTGACATAAAACGCTGTATAGAAAACAAGAATAAATACAGTTGTTTCGTTATGGCATTTCCCTCCCAAATGGCCGTTTTCTAAACAATAATCAGAATGAAAGGAGAAGAGAAGCAGCCGAGAGAAGGCAGGTCCCAGTACAGGAATGGTTCGCCTCGTCAGTACAGTCAGTTCATTGCGGTCTGTATAATCATGTGGCGTCGCTCAGCCCGATTTGAAGAGCAAGATGGCCACCTGACCCAAGTAGAAGTAGATGAAGTGTTTGGTCTCGTGAGTCACGTAGCTGCCGAAGTTCCTTCCCACGATGCAATGCCAGGTGGGGTTGTACTTTTTGTCAAACTCCTGTGTGGAAAGAATAAATTTAAAGTCAATTAATATGAAATGCTGTTTTTGACTCAAAGCGAAAGGCGTGACTTTATTAAAATTCTTCAGGAACCAGTTTAGAAGGGAGCGGTTGAAAACGAAACATGCAAAGACACATTGCAACTTGGAATAAGCAATGAATCATGCACAATTAGACCAGAAACACTAATAAATGTTGATTTTGGGTTCACTTCTCCAATAACCTGACAATAAATGCATTCATGCGCACATCTTCACTGCTAAATACAAACCTTACAAAGAAAATGGACGCCCATAAAGTGTACAGTCCAACTAGTGTTGTCAAAAATATGATATTTAGATATGCATCGATACTGAAATATCGGACACTGCTCCAATACTCAGTTTCGATACACTGATACAAGCGGTGCGTTCTCCCTTTCTTCTCTCCGACCGGTGTATTGACACACACTTCTCCTCTCACTCGTCTCATTCGCTCCGGTTGAGTAGCCTAGTGCTTGTATTGGACATGATTTCAATAATTCCCGCAGGTTTCGCGGTCACACCACTGATACTATACAAGCGGAGCGCAAAACAACTCGAGAACCAAATTGAGGCTTATCACGCGTAAACTGTCAAATACACACAAAATGTTTCTAAAATGGCCGTTTCGGCGTGTATTCAGATAAACAGTTGTGAAAGCAAACACATGTTGTGTATCAGTATATTGGATCCGCGCATATGTTTTTAAAAGTGACTGCAGCCTAATAAACCTGCTTCTGTCTGTCATTAATGTTAATCAAAGAACAAAATACAAAGAGAAAAATCCCTCTCTGCTCTTGACTGAATCACTTTTGTAACTTTAATTGTAAGCATTGATCTGTAGTGTAATATTTACAATGAGGACCATCTGAGGTTATTTTATATCTTATTTATTTATAACTTCAGTGTGACTTATTTCCAAGTGAAATAGAGGATGGGGTTTTATCTTAGCGCAACTCCTCTCAATCCCTCGCTCACAGCAGACGGACGGTTGTTAAAGATATGCAACCCAAGCCGTCAAACTGAGAGGGAACGTCATTCCAGAGCGGAAGATTTTGATTAAAGATTACCACGACAAACACGTTTTCTGTGTATTAACTTTTTTTTCTGCACGGATGAATTGTTCACCAAAAGACTAGTAATGTGCGCTAGACTAGTAAAGTAAATGGGGTTAATTTTGATTACATGATGACTTCAATGTCTTTATTTCTATTTATACTTAAGTAGTATTTCTTACACGAATACTGCTGTTAAAGTCACAGCTTTAAATCACAACTTGAAGCTGTGATTATTTCATTTGTCGTTCCATTTGCAATTTGTTCTTATGTTATTGCTGACTGTTTACTTGTCTTGTTTGTATAAATTTAGTTTAAATATTAAAATAAAGCCCCCCCTGTGCTGTGAGAAAGCCATTTCAACAAAATTACCCAAATAATATAGAAATAAAAATGTCTTTATGGCAGTTTTTCACATACCGAAAAACTAAATAAACGATACCGAATATAGATATTTTTCAAGGTATCGTATCGATATTTTCCGAAAAACGATACCAAATATCGATATTTTCCAAGGTATCGTATCGAAGTTGGATAGTAATATCTAAATGGCAGTTTTCCCCATGATATCGATAATGGTATCAAATATCGATATTTTGCAAGGTTTCGTATAGAAGTTGGAAAGTCCTGCAAACCGGCGATTACCTTCTTGATATAGGCAGCGATGTCCTTCTCGATGTTGTACTTCTCCAGCGCCTGTGTTGCGCACTCCACCGCGTCCTGCTGCATCTCCTCGGACATGTCCGCATTCTTGATCACGGCCTTTCTGTCAGACATGGTTGTTCTGTAGCCACAAACATTTCATGAGGAATGGGTGACATTTCATGAGGAATGGGTGAATTTAATCAGAGACCGCCCAAACAACACCCTGTGACGCACCCACACTGCTTTGTGCCCTGCCCTAAATCAATCCCACAATCCCCAAGCATCTGCTGGTGAAACTGGTGAAGGATGGCCAGCCATCAGAGTCAGGATGGGCATTATATAAAAAAAGCACATCAGATTCTCCACAGCCATTATTCCATCTTTATTACATAACATCACGTGGCGTTTTTCGCCAGGTTACTGTTGCCATGGACACCTGAACTAAATCCAGTACTACAGTAGATTTTCCCAAACTTATAATTATTTTCAAATAATTTTCATATAATTTAAGGCTGAACAAACCAACTTAATCATCTTAAATTACCAAATCAAATGCATGTGAGATGCGTTAATTTATTGGTGGGATATAAATGAATGGCGCCATGGTTATTTTTAGAAATGAGAAATACTTCGCGCGTTTTTATATTAAATTACAGACTTCTGCATCTTCTTATTTATACTCTGAACAATATTTGTTTTTATTATTTCATTTATGTTTAAGTCCGTAGCTGAATTAAATATAGATGTGCACTCAACTAGGTACAGTTTCGCTTGCTCTGAACGGGAAAAAAAACACTAGATATTTAGTTGTACTGACTAATATGCAATAGAAAAGGAAAAATGTAAAAGTTTTTACCTTATTTACGTGCAGATTTCCGTATAAGGAGAGAAAGGAGTCTCACTCGCTGCTTCTGTGATGCTCCCGCTGTGTGCTTGACCAAAGTAATGTAGGTGTGTAACGGCCCGTTGCCTCCTCCCACTCTTGAATCTTATTGGCTGTCGCTGCAATACCCGGCTCTGTGATTGGTCAGCTCTGCAAGAGTCTCGTAGCAATGTTCCCCTGCATTTTATTTCAGACCATCATGCCTTGCGTTCAAGACGCTTCGCTGAACTCCATAGCAACAATCAGAGAGGGAATTCTCGAATTCTCCGAAAGAAGGGCGGGAGAAATGCCAGAAACGTTGGAATTTGATCGTGGAAATATTTATTTTTAACCAAGGTTTGAAATTAATTATTTTCATAAATATATATGTTTAAACAAAATAAACTGAGGGAAAAGTTAATCGCAGCAGACAAATGAAGCTGCAAACATTTTTTATCGACATAAATTCAAGAAACTACATGGCAATCTCGCAAGCAGGACCCTTCAAAAGTTTGAAAACATTAAAGGTGCTATATATAGGCCTAACTTTTCTTTAAAATGAATCATTTTTTATTGCCTGTGTGTGAAGGGGTTGTAATCACATATTACAATGATCCACTTGTAGGGTTTTGCTATTACCTCTGAGAGCCAGTATTGCTATTTCTCCTTATAGAGTCTCCGGGTCGGATTTTTCTGCGAAATCCATTGGATGTGACGTGCATGCACGTTCCCGAGCCGGCACTGGAGTCTGATAACACCAAAAAAACTCCACACACACACTCCAGGTGAGTACAACACCCACTCCAACACACAAACTCCACATAAATATAAAAAACAAAACAAAAATGTATCTGCTGAAGCTCGTCAGGCCAAACGTGAATCGGATCGACTAAAACACGGATCAACATCGGCAGAGCGTTTGCATTATGGAGATACCTCCGCTATTATTATTCTGATAAATTACAAGTTTTCAGATATTTATGATAGCTTTAAGATATGCTGAAATAAAGGTAAACTGTAATGAAATAGCAAGGTAAACTACAACATATATGAGACATGAAACGAATACAAAAGCCTTTTCCGGCATAACAAAAAGTCGGTGCTTTAGGATGTAACTTTTATTTTATGAACTAGATCTACTGTCTAACGTCACTCATCATCCCACTACTATCATATTGTTTTTTAATACACATTTCCAGACACGTTCAGTACAGTAATGTTACCTTCTACGATCTTACTGTTACACTGTCTAGTTCACTAACAGTTTTCGTTATCATATTATACATCCACCTGTGTTGACATTGCTGATTGTGAAAGATACACAAATAGTGTAATGCCTTAGGCTAGATAACACCACAAATGTAACGTTATCATGGTACGAGCATGGAGCATTAGTTCAGTCAAGCTGATAACAGTAGCCTCTTATTGTAGCGTTGCAGTGGGAGTTTGCATGAGTTTCCAGCATGTTGTGTGATGCTTTCTCCGGTGTGTGTAAAGTCTCAGTATGGCCGTGTACTTGTGTTCGAGCATGCGCGCTCTTGTAAAAAATGGTTGCAATCTGAAACATCACCGATAGAGGCCGCTAACAAATACATAGAGCACCTTTAATATAGAAAGCACATAAACAACCCTCAAAGTGACAAGAATGCACTCACAATACTTTCCAAATATAATAAAAAACAGAAGATTCATTCTTTGCATACAGACAGGATTTATATTCATTATGCAAAAAGGCACGGCCATAAAGCATTACTTGTATATTTAAAGCTGAGTTAGTCAGTCATAAGCCAGTCACTCACTGTTGTAACGTCACCAGCTGGAGTTCCCTTGAGAGCCACTAGAGGGCAATCCACTCCAGACTATTAGCACTCCCTCACAAACTACATTTCCCAGAACTCACTGCTCGGACTCACTGATTGCATTCACCTGTGTCTCATTACCCTGTTAGTCTATATTTAAACCATGTTCATTCATTCACTCACTGTGAAGTTTTGTTTGTTGCACTGCATTTCCGAGCGTTTGTCTGGTTTCATGTCTCTTGGTTTTTGGATTTTTTACCTGTTCCGTGGATTACTCTTTTGCCTCTGACCCCTGCCTGTTTTGTTTGTGTGTTTGTTTGTTTGTTTAGACTGCCTACCTGTGTTTTTACCTATTACCTGCTTATTGGATTACGTGTCTGGGTTGCCCCTAATTAAAGCTGCATTTGGATGTCACCCTTCGTGTCTTAGAACAGTTTGTAACAACTGTGTTCGCTGTGCAGTTGCAATGCGTTTTACTTATAAGCTTCAATAAATCTGAGGAAAAGAGTTTCCCCGTTGCATATAGCTACGCAATACGAAGTGACCGTTCTCGAAAGGCAACTACATTAAAAATCAGTGCAGATTTCACAGCAGAAAGACACAAGAAGCACAAGCTAAAGGTGGACATTTTATTAGTTGTGTGGAGAAAATACATTTTGTCTGAACTGTTGCTGATCCTCAGGCAGATTTGAAGAGTGTAATTCTGTTGTCATCAACAGAGAAGTAGATATAATTGTCTGGTTTGTAACGCACGCAGTAACCACAGTTCCCCACAATGCAGTGCCAGGAGCGCCCATGCCTTCTGTCAAATTCCTATAAGGAAAGACACAATATTAATGTTCCACAAACTCACATCAACAAAAACACTCAATCTCCACCATCAAGAAAACTGTATTTCACTAAGATAGTCTAGTCTCAGTAGAACCAACCGTCATGATGTAGTTAGCAATGTCCGAGGCACCTTCATGCATATTCACAGCCAGAAGAGCGACCTGAAGAGCCTCACGCTGCATCTCATCACTCATCCTTGATTTATGGACCTCAAGTGATGTCTTCGACATGGCTGATCTGCAGTCGTGAACACAGATTTTGTTTTAATTAGCAAGTATGAATGTAAATAAACATGACAGAACCTATTTTTTGTGAAGGTTCAACAACTATTCAGCATGAAGACTAGCCAGCTGACAATTATGAGAAGGAATTGTTGGCCCGTAATACTATTATCAGATGAAATCAAACTTTAGTTGTAAGTGTGGAGTAGTATTAACAAAAGTTTGGGGTCGGTAAGATTTTTGTATGTCTCTTCAGCTCAACAAGGATGCATTAATTTAATCCAAAATACAGGAAAACACTGACCTTAAATAATAGTCAGAAAACTGAATATTTGAACTATTAACAGTTTATTGAATCTTTAGACAATATTTTAAAATAAATCTTTAAAAAAGTCATACTGCATGTGTTTTTGTTACGTATAAGCCTTTTTTATGCATCAGACTTTCATTGCTCATATAATGATGATTTCATTCAACCGTCAGACTATTCAGGTAAAAAGTTAACGCATCAAAGTATTATTTAAATGTCCGAGGATTTAAATCATCATTTATTTTCAGTTTTTGGAAATACTTTAACTTGCCTTTTTGCTAGATTTAAAAAGTACGGGCTTGTTTTCACCTGGTTTACACAGATCAGTGTTTTTAAAATGACGCCACCGGAAATGATTCAGGGCCAGACACGCGCAGTAGCATTCCAACGCGTGTGTTATTGTTTACGTGCTTGAAAATGTCAATTGAGAATGAGGAGTCACGTGCCGATTTGGGCGGGGTCTGAGCCGCCCGGCCATGATGGTAGGACACGCTATTGGTTACCACGGGCAACGCCTTTAGAACCCATAGACGCGACTAAACATTCCAGAGCTCTTTAATTTTCGCGCATTTATTATTTTGGCAGGACAGAGACGGATCTAAGAATACGAGAAAAAGGAAGAAAGTAAAGCAATGCTAAAAGATAAGGTGAAAGAAAAGGGACCTTACAGGAACAAACTCTCACAAAGTGCAAAACAGCTGTATTTGGAGAAGCAGCATCAATATATTTGTTCTTTTGCACTAATAACAGTATTATTATTTTATTATTATTACTTATGTTGTCCATGAAACTTATGTTGTCCAAATAGCCTATATATTTCAGTTCTCAATAAATATTGTTAAGCCATATCAAGTTGTTTCAAACATTTATTTCAATTAAATAAAAAAGTAATGAACAAGGCACTCAAACAACACTTTTGCATATGTTTGTTAAGGCACAGCAAACAGTGAAAATCGTATACTAAAGGCATCAGCAAACCCAGCAATCCGGCGTCTCCTCGTCAGGTCAGACTCTCCCTGCTGTGTCCATTTCGGTAACCCCAAAAACTTTATTCCATTGTTCCTATATGTTTTCCATATGTCTCGTGTGAGTTACTGGAGGAGTTCTTAACCCAGCAGTTACTTCCAGGCATGGTAAAACAGTGCAGTATTGCGAGAAACTTCTCTACTACTGAGCTAAAAACACACGTAAACAATACTGTTTTGCCGTGGGAATCGTGAATGCGTGGTGCTGAAAGCATTCTTTAGAGATGTTGGCCCATATTGATAGGATAGCATCTTGCAGTTGATGGAAATTTGTGGGATGCACATCCAGGGCACGAAGCTCCCGTTCCACCACATCCCAAAGATGCTCTATTGGGTTGAGATCTGGTGACTGTGGGGGCCATTTTAGTACAGTCAACTCATTGACATGTTCAAGAAACCAATTTGAAATGATTCCAGCTTTGTGACATGGTGCATTATCCTCCTGGAAGTAGCCATCAGAGGATGGGGACATGGTGGCCATAAAGGGATGGACATGGTCAGAAACAATGCTCAGGTAGGCCGTCGCATTTAAACGATGCCCAATTGGCACTAAGGGGCCTAAAGTGTGCCAAGAAAATCATTATACCACCACCACCAGCCTACACAGTGGGAACAAGGCATGATGATTCATGTTCTCATTCTGTTTACGCCAAATTCTGACTCTACCATCTGAATGTCTCAACAGAAATCGAGACTCATCAGACCAGGCAACATTTTTCCAGTCTTCAACTGTCCAGTTTTGCAATTTGTCGCCTCTTTTTCCTATTTGTAGTGGGGATGAGTGGTACCCGGTGGGGTCATCTGCTGTTGTAGCCCATTCGCCTCAAGGTTGTGTGTGTTGTGTCTTCTTCACAAATGCTTTGCTGCATACCTCGGTTGTAACGAGTGGTTATTTCAGTCAAAGTTGCTCTTCTATCAGCTTGAATCAGTCGGCCCATTCTCCTCTGACCTCCAGCATCAACAAGGCATTTTCGCCCACAGGACTGCAGCATACTGGATGTTTTTCCCTTTTCACACCATTCTTTGTAAACCCTAGAAATGGTTGTGCGTGAAAATCCCAGTAACTGAGCAGATTGTGAAATACTCAGACCGGCCCGTGTGGCACCAACAACCATGCCACACTCAAAATTGCTTAAATCACCTTTCTTACCCATTCTGACATTCAGTTTGGAGTTCAGGAGATTGTCTTGACCAGGACCACACCCCTAAATGCATTGAAGCAATTGCCATGTGATTGGTTGATTAGATAATTGCATCGAGAAATTGAACAGGTGTTCCTAATAATCCTTTAGATGAGTCAGAGCCCGTCTAACGGAGAGCCTTTGCACTTCCTATTAGCCCCATGGGCTATATGCACGCATAAGTTCCGCATTTGACGTAAGGATGCTCGTCCATTTCCGGTTGTGTAGATTAAAGCGGAGGAAAACCGGAGAAAACGGGATTATGGCAGAGTCTTCAATATTTACTGTCCTCCCGTCTTTGAAACGAAACGTACATACGTTTAGATGTAATTTTATATATAGTTATGTTTATTTAATATAATTTTAAAAAGAAGCATAAACACAACGAGTGGTGTCTGTTTTATCTGTTTTTGTGACTAACGTTTCATTAGTATAACCATGGAGTATAAAATTCAATATAAATTCTCGGTATTGCATTGGACTCTATGATCGGCGGAAGTTATCGAGCATCCTTAATCCTTCACCGGAAATACCGCCGTGCATAGAGCCCATTGTGCATCACCTTGGTTGCAGTTCCATTATAATTCCACTGGAGGTGATCGCGGGCGAGAGCAGAATGAATGGGAGTCTATGGGGCTAAACGGCAAAATGTGTCTCTTTCACCTGCTTGTCGTTAAATCAAAATAGATTTTATTGTTGATTCCGCAAGTTCAATATTGATTATAGGCCAAAAGTCGAATGAACGAGTACTTATGTCCTTTTGATTTCTTACAGGTTAGGCTGTTGTTGGCTGGAACACGCTAGCATTCTGCTATTGTGTGACGTCATCACAGTTTTGAACGGATTTTTAGAACAGATAAGTGAACTTAAAAATGCAATTTTCAGCTGAGTGTATTATCTTAGCCCTCCCCTTTGAGTGCAACTTTCAAATTACTTGACAAAAAATTACATCCTGAGAAAAGTGGATTTTTGGGGGTGAAACCCCATTGACTCCCATTCATTCTGCACTCGACCGCGAGCGCCCCCGCATGGACAGAGACGCGTTACTGCAGCCAGTCCAGAAACTGGAAGTAACCAGCCAGTGCCAATTCTCTTCAATTAGACATTCTCTGGATGAGTGTAGGTTTAATATGTTTTGGGAAGTTTTCAGGATTCTTTGATGAATAGAAAGTTCAAAAGAACAGCATTTATTACATTATAAGTGTATTTACTCTCCCCTCTGATCCATTTAATTGATCCTTGCTGAATTAAACTATTATTTTATTTAAAGAAATGTACTGACCCCAAATGTTTTAAAACATATACATAAACGAAAATAATTAAAAACCTTCTTACATTGTAAAAATTCTTACAAGGTGTCTTACCTTTTGCATGTGATTGTATGATGATTCACTCTGTTTCTGTAATACTTCGGACGTGATGGACCGAAACTAATGTAAATGTGGATCTGACTCCTCCTGTTCTTTACATCACAACCCCACAACTCACTTGACAACATTTGCAAAAATAATGACCGTGTCCAAACATACAACATCAAACCAAAGCATGTGGGATATATACTGTATATATATATATATATATATATATATATATATATATATTTGATACAAATTGAAGTAATATGGTCACCTCAGCAGACATGTGAAGCAGCAACATCAGTTCTATCAAACTGTAAAAAATTATAGTTATCATTTTAATGGTAAAGACTGTAAAAATGCCACAGTGAAAAACTGTTAATTGGTTAGCAGAAAGTTTCCATACTATACGGTAAATAACTGTGATTTATATAATGGTACAGTTTTTGGAAGTGAAAAAGAACAAGTGATTGTATAATTTACAGTGAAAAAATGTAAATTGACATTCCCGCAATTCCCTGCGTGACACTTTACAATTAATGTATTTTTTTAAATAACTGTTTCTTCATAATTTTCTTCGTTTTTTTTTCTAATCAGTTATGTGCATAAGGGTTTTATGTTACATTTAATGTTGTTAAATTAATGTTAATTGCATTTTTTTAAAATTTCATGTTACCATGATGACTGTGCAGCTTCTATGTATTGGTATTTGCTTTGTAGTGGAAGAACTACATGTGAATAACTTTGATTGATCACTTGACTGTCATTACTATTGTGTTTGATGTTTGTCAGTGTATTGATACTTCAAAAGGTCAGTAAATTAACATTATATCAGATAATGAAATACGGTTTATTGCTGTAAAATTATATACGGTTAAAAGACTGTACAACCTAAAATGTTGCTACCGTATTTTTAACAGGAACTTTCCACAGCTGCCCGTAAATTTAACGTATTTGTTTTGACAGTGTACAGAAAACATGAAATAAAACTATATTTTGCAGTTTTTACATGTGAATTTGCGAAATTAGCACATTTAGCACTTTTCACTTATTTTTTTGTGTAAAGACACAGATGAAGGTTTTGAACAAACTGAAACCAAAACTATTTGTGTGAATTGTAGAACAAGTAGGACTAGGTTTTTAAGCATAAATTTAAACAGATGTAAAGACAGGATCTCACACACACGACACAGATCAGTTCTGAAGATCTGACAAACAATGCAGTCTCAGAGCATCTGCACTTATTTATTTTTATTCAACTTTCATAAAAGCTTATAATGGACATTTAACATCAAACATAACTTAAGACAAACAGATATTGGGGAAACTTATTATTTCTACTGCAGTTCTTATTTCTAGTGATTGAATTCAATGAGTCATTGAATATTATAAGATCTTTACTAAAGAAATTAAAGAAGGGTGTTATAGACATTACATTAGCTTTATATATGAAACTTCCCAAGAAGAATTATTAACTTTAATGTGTTATCAATTATATCTGAGCCAGTATTACAATCCAATAAGAAGATCATAGTCTCATCTTTTCGGATTATTTTGTAGAATGTATCAAAAAACATCATAGATTTGCTTCCAAAAATCTTCAGAATATTTACAATTACAAAACAAATGTATGAGAGTTTCAGATTCAGAGCGTGTGCACTTCCAACTTTATAGACCCCTCAACTTTTATTTATTTATACAGCACATTTAATGGCAACGTTGCCCAAAGTGCTTCAGTTATTACTACAATAAGGGGGTTGGGGCTTCTGAGAAATCGAATGCGAATATCTGCGATTGTAGAAATAATATTATACTGCCACTTTGCCTCCTCTGTTTTTGACCTACCTAACCGTTTGCTTTAATTTAAGGGGAAATGTAATTATAAAATTAATAAATACAGAAAATCATAGAAACTGCCTATTTTAATATCAGTGTCAGGTATAGTAAGATACTTGCCTAGATGTCTCTGCTCGCTCATTTATTAAAATCAGCCAAATGAAATTTTTCAAACCCTGCTCACTGACAAGCTAATTATTCATGAACTGTAACTCACTGCACTGGAAGAGGTACCAGACATACAAACTGGTTATTTTTACTGTCTTGTGAGTAGATGCATGACACTGTAAAAATATGAACTAAAAACAAAACCCCTCACCTATCAGTAAGTGTCATCATGACACAATGACATACTTGAACTGAAACCAAAACCAACTATTATTATACTAAAGAAAAAGCAAGATAAGATTTTAAGTTTTCAAAAATCAAGGTGTGTAATGTGCATCACAAAAGCTTGAGTGACAGGAGGACCACATTCACGTCACGATCGGTGTCTGAAATAAACACTTTGAGACAGTTCTGTTCACTGTATTCTCAGCAAAACATCTGTATATCATCATACAAGAACACTTGATTATTCAGATGTATTCATTTAAGAAAGAAATCAGAAAACAGACCTGAACTGATGTGTGGGAATTTTAATGCAAAACCCAAATTTCCTCACAATCTTTTGTGTCATAATATAGTAGACTATTATCATGATAAAAATATCCCGATAACATCACAATGGATCGTTGTCAGACTTTAAATAACACAACCACAGACAATCATCATTCATATATTTTCAGTTCGCTTTCTTTCATAACAGTGTCAAGTATTTTGAAATAAAGACGTGTTTTTGAGAGGATGACAATCTAATAGCTATTGTCACAGCATTAATGTCATTTCTCAGTTCACTCAAACAAATTTATGACCTGCATTTAAAACAAAATATACATTAAAAAAAGCACCAGACTACTGAGAAATAGCAGATTTGTGACCTTCAAACAAACACACACACCTTTCCCTAAATGTCTCTTCTACTATTAAAATACACTAGTAGAGAATAGTTGAACACACACACACACACACACACACACACACACAGTTTTTGAGTTTGCAGTTTTGTCTCTCAGGGTTTCACTCGCTGCGTTCCTTTGGTTCCTTGTATTTCCACTGGATGTAGTCAAAGATGTCCTTCTCACTGTCCACCAGCAGAGGCTCTCCAGCCACACCTGTGTGAAACAGCGGTCACGTGACTTCAGGTACTAGAGATATAATCCCATCATAGGAAAGAACGAGTCACCAGATCAACAAAGTAAAGCAGCAGCAAGTAAACTAGACTTTTGGAAGAACACAAACTCAAAATGTGCGTCCCAACTCGCACACTTGTGCACTATTCTACACCATTTTGTAGTATAAATAGTGCGAGTAGATGATGCACTTTTTCAACCAAAAAAACAAAGTGTGTGACGTTGGACACTTCATACACTCGACTGTCGCAGCTTTAATAATGTAGTGGAGGGGGAGCTATCAGACTCAAACGTTGAAAGACAAAATTAATGTATTAAAAGTTCATACACTACACGATTTAGTACATAGGGCATAAGTGCATAGTGTGTAATTTAGGACAAAGCTATCTATGGGCTGCGTCCGAAATCACATACTCTCTCGAGTAGGTACTTATTTTGAATTTGAGTAATCAGGGCTGCTAAAAAGTATGTTCTTTTCTAGATGTCTCACGGCGGAGTCTATCGCCAACACACCGGCGGCCATCTTGTCACAGGCGAGCTTTCTGGCGGGCTCTGTAAGATGAGTGATCAACACAAACACAAATACTCTTATCTCGTTAATGTTGACGGATTTACAAACGGTTTCTTGCAAACGTTATTAACGTGGCTATAATTCTGGATGATTATTTATTGGTACACTTATTATTCATAAGTGTGCAGAGTCATAACTACATCTCTGACGTTTATAACAACCCAAACCATTTGAAAATCAGTAGAAAATTGAGCAAGTTATGGTTACTTAAAAAGTACATGCACCATTAAAACACAATGTTACGAGTGAGCGAGCTGACTGTGGCAAGATGGCTGCCAGTGTGGACGTTGACCTCCATTGGATAGCAGCGCTGACGAGACATCTAGCCTTTATTATGGATATCTATACACGTCAGGTACACGCGCTACAAACAGCCTAAGTATAAATTGGGCTAAAGTGTGTGTTTCTCTCACCAGTGACGCCCACTGGGCGGATGGTGTACTCGTTGAGCGTGAAGCCCTTCTCCAGCGCGTGAGTCCTCATGTTCTTGTTGAATATGTCACTGCCGGTGAAGTACAGCACGCCGCAGTAATACTGATCTTTAGGAATGAGCCTGCACAAACACATGAGGAATATACTGGAAAATATGACATTTGACTAAGGTCAATCTATGATAAAACTGGACGTTTTTTCTCTACAGACGTCAGGAAAGATTGTGCCTTTTAGAATTTAGTTTATTTTATATCACAAATTTTAGTTAGTTTTAGTCTATTTGAAATTAGTACTGATGTTTCCTTGTAACAGCAAAATAATCACGTTTCTTTAATGACAATTTAAGAGCCGGTAATAAATGCTGAAATGTCAGTAAAACATTCACTGCATTCAAGATATTGATAAAAACTTAAATAGTCACATCACAACATCCCATATAACATCTGATGAAAAGAGCAGGGATAAAATTTAACAAAAACTAAAACCATAAAAAAACATTTTGGTTGTTTAAAATATTGTAAATTAATAACTGAAAAAAAATATATTATATATGTTTGGATTTAAATAGGCAAAAGCATAAGAGTCTATGATTGGAACATTATTGCAGTGATTATTATTTTATAAAACCAATAAAAATGACAAAACCCAACAAAAGCATTAAAACTTTAACTAAATGAAAAATAATATAACAATAAAAACTCATTTAAAATATGAATAAAACTAGAATGGCATATCAATAATCCTAAAATAACAGTGGAAAATATATCATTATTACACAAATAATTGGTATGAACCTGATGTCAATACGGCGGTGAAAACGTTCTTCCTCATCCTCGTCTTCTCTCTGCAGCCGACACACACCCTGAGGAAATAACACATATTATTTATCGTTCATTTATTATTTAAGAGACACTCTGAGGCAGACAGAGACTCACCATGAACTTAGTGTCTCCTTTAGACAGCGTGTCGGTGATGAAGCCGATGGACTCCAGATGATCCACGACGGCGTGAAGAAGCTTCGGCTGAAACACAGAGTCCCAGCAGGGGTTACGAGAGGAACATAGCTTATGTGTACCTATGATAAGCATATTCTGTCTTGATAATCTATAAATCGTGTTCCAGGGGGCGGGGCTTATGTATACATTTTAGGGTTAATGACCTTAAAAGGCTATTTCTTTAAAAGAAAATATCTCCTTTTGCTTTGAGCGTCGTAACTTTGCAGATGTTTATGCTCAAACAGCAATATTACACGCTAACTAAAGTTAGAAAAGTGATATCATAATCAACCACCCCTTTAAATCTTCCTAAAGTCTTCAAAACGGTCCGTTTACCTGTTTCTCAGACTGAGAGGTGAAGTCCGGATGGGTCAGCAGAATATCAATATCACCACTCGACTCGGCTCCTGAACATTCACAAACACAGTTATGGCACATTTAGATGATAACTGATGTCAGATCTGTGGATGAGAAGTGTGATCACCTCTTCTGTAGCTGCCGCAGATCGTGCCGATGTACACGGGGTCCACCACTTCCAGTTCTTTGAGGATCAGAGTCTGCAAACATCAGTTAACATCATCAATACTGTGAGACTTCACAGATGTGCATCAATGATTCGCATCAAGAAAAACGCCAACCTCCATTTTTTGCATTTCTGTACGAGGGATTCTCTTCTCAAATTCATCAAAGTACCTTTGAGAGATGAAGAGAGGAACAGAAAAAATACCATCAATAAAGCAGAATACATTCATGAGAAATACATTTAATTTACAAATAGAAGAGAGGTTTTCAAACTGGGGTGCAGATCACGCTAGTCCATGGAAATGTTAAAAATTATATATATATATATATATATATATATAAATATATTGCAATAAATTGATTGCAACACATTTAAAATGTATTCAAATAAAAAAGGAATAAAATAAATAATTTAATTTAAATAAAAAAATAATTTCATAAAAAATAATCTAGTCCACATTTATAACATTCATCTTTCAGTCATAATTATGAGATAAAAAGTCAAAATTATGATAAATTAACTCATAATTATAAAATAAACAGTCCAAATTATGAGATTAAAAATCATAAAAGTCAAGTATTAGATAAAAAAGTCAAAATTAGGGAAAAATAAAATCATGATCATGAAATTAAAAACTCAAACCAATGATATTAAAGTCAAAATTATGATATAATAACTTATAATAATGAAATAAACAGTCAAAATTATGAGATTAAAAAGTCAAAAATATAATATATATATATTTTCTGTAAGATTAAATTTTAGACTTACTTTAAGCCGATCTGCTGATGGTGGTTGAGTTTGTGTTCGATCTTCTTCAGATCTAAAACATCAGATGAGAATTAAAACATGCACGTGACATTAAATGAACACAGTTCTGCAAATACCACATACAAACCTTCCAGGTTCCTGACGCCCTCGTCAAAAAACTTCCTGGCTGCAGCAGGACTAAACCACAGAGAAAGAGTCTGAATTGAGTTTTACACAACACTAATGTTATTAACAACTGTACACTAGAAATCAAGAGCGTCGTACCCGATTCCAGTCACTCTGGTTAAGAAGTTGATGGAGGAGCTTGTGTCGTCATTACGAATCTACAGAACAAGAGCATGTCACAATCTATAGACCCATATATATTCAATGATACCAAAACTCTCTGTGACAGTGACTTGTTTCCTAAACAGGCCCAAAGATTAAATCATCTATAAAAACATGAACTTATCCAATACCTTTTCCAGCTTACGCAGTTTTCCTGTTGTTAAAAACTCATCAATTTTCTCTGCTATCTTTGCACCAACTCCATCCTGAAAGGAAAAAAAGCAATTTTTCATTCAATCAAATATGTGTTACTTACTTTTCCAGACACTAATGCTAGTAAAAACAGAGTCTGTACCAGTTTCTTTGCTTCCGTTCCATTTTTGATCTTCTGTGGATATTTGGAGATCACAGACGCTGCTTTTCTGAACACAAACCACCAGACGGGATAAATATAGGTTACATGTGTCATATGTCTAGTTATGATATTATATTTACATTATTAGACACATATCTTACCTGTAAGCATTGTATTTATGGATGGCTCTGTTGACATTTCTCTCATAATTGGCTAACTCTGAAAGAGAAAAACCATTAAGAGTTTACATATATGTCAGTGTATTAGCTGCAAAATCTTACTATAAAACGATTTTTCATATTAGACATTATCTAATAAACAAACAAGCAATCAGGAGAATCAGAGAAAACGAGATTTAAAAAAAAATTATTATATATAATGTTAATATAAATATAAAAGATGATAAATCTAAATATTAAAAAAAAATTATACTAGTGGAGCATTAATCTTGAAACGTTGATAGCATGTATTAAACAAAAATGGGGATCATTGATGTTTTAATTTCCACTCAGGTGTAAATCCAGGTCTAACATCCCATTAAAGTGAAAATTTCTTGTTTTAAAAGGACTTGATGTCAACAAAACCGATCTATTTCCATTCATTCAGCATTTAAAGGTCCAGTTAGCTTAGCCACATGCTAACCTGAGCTGTCACAACAAAACTCACCTGTGAGGAAATCTGTGATCCCTTCGTTCAGAGATTCTTGTGGCGCTTTTCGTTTGCTCATAGCTGAGAGGGATTTATAATATTTATGAATATATGTGTTTGATTTCACTTTCAAGACGACAGCTGAGCAAGTGTCCAACACTACAGGACAAAGCCTTAGCATTAGCACTGTAGCCACGCAAGATTAGGCGTGGTTTAAAGACGCCCCTCCCATTAAACGTTCTTCGCCCAATTAGAGGCTTTTTAAAGATATTTATAAAACTGGCACGCCCACACTCTAAATGTATTTTCTTCACCTGCATTTATCGTTAAGAAAGATAGCATAGGAACACGTTTCAAGCTAAATATATGACCAAAATTAGGTTTTAAATGATCAAAAAAAATATCTTATGTGAACTGATTTCATACACCCACAAAATAAATTAAATAACACACCAGTTGATTAAATGATAATAAGCATTCATTGTTTGTACTTTTATGTAGTGTAATAATGCAATAACATTCAAAAGTTTGATGCAAACATATTTTGGGCCACTTTATGAAACACAGTGTATTTATTAATCTGATCTACAAAGAGTTGTTGTGGTTGGTGCAATTACTGAACAGCATGTGTAATGTGATATTACAGTCAAAACAAGCACCACTGTCATAATGCAATACTAAAATTAATTTCAATTAAACTATTGAACATAAAGATTTGCTAATACTATATTAAAAGACAGCATTCATTTAAAGGTCAGCACCTTGCCATAGTAGACATTCAACAACTGTTACTGTACATGGCAGCAGAAATACTTTAATTACAGTCCCTCATTTACAAACAATTCTGAACTGTCAAACAAATCCACAGAATACTATGGAAACCAACTTTTGCCACAATGAATCAATGATTCATGCTTTGGTAAATGAAAATGATTACATTAAATGTCAATTATTACACAAAAGGGCAAAATTATGACATTCAATTGTAATTATGAGATACAGTCAAAATTATTAGATTAAAATGTAAAATTATGATATAATAGCTTATAATTATGAGATAGACAGTACACATTATGAGATTAGAACATCTAAATTCATAAATTCATAATTTCATAATTATGAAATAAAGTTCAAATTATAAGATTAAAAAGGAAAAAATGGATAAATAAAGTCATAATTATGAAATAAAAATCTCAATTATGAGATTAAAAATCATAATTGTTAGTCATAATTATGAGATAAAAAGTCAAGATTGTTATATTAACTTATTGTTATGATGTAAAAAGTAAAAATTATGTTATACTGATTTATAATAATGCAATAAAAGGAAAAATTTGGAAAAGTTAATTTGTATGTCATAATTTAGATTTTTTTTTTATCTTATAATTTAGATTTTTTGAATCTCATAATTTATACTGTATTCTCACGATTTAAACTTTTTATGTCATCATTTCAACCTTTTATTGACTTTGTAATCTCATAAGTATTTTTCACCAACACATGAATGCAGAATAATATGATAGCAAAGGGAGAAAAAAAAATCAATGGTTTCTGCCACTAATATGTGTAATATTCATGCATTCAAACTCAGGACACTGAGGAACTTCTGCAAACTAATAAATACATAAAATATAGAAGAAACAGCAAGACACAGACACGAGTGTTGTTTAAGAGTCGACTTTCACATAGACTTTGTCACGTGAGAAGATTTTAATGGCCTCCTCGACTTCCGAGAGTCGCTGATCGAGTCCAGCGCGCCGAGAGCGAAGACCCAGAGTGTCGGCTTTCATCGAGAGAGACTGCAGCTCGCTGACCAGAGACCTGTGAGCTACACACACACAAATCATAAATACCTACACACGACACGATAGGTGAAAAGTGACACTGTTGACGAAGACGTACTTTCTTTGAGCGACTGCAGCGTCTGCTGTCTCTCTCTCTCACTCATCTGTGTGTGTCCGGCAGGAATGGAGGGATCAGGAGTGTTTCTCCTCTTCTCCTCCTCCTCTTTTTTCCACTGCACCTTCCTCTGCTCCAGACTAACAGACACAATGAGAGAAGGTCAATGTCTAGACCGAAACTAAGCGTTAAGTACAGTACGTACAGTGCATAGCAAGCCGTACAAATGTGTGTAAAACGGTACAAATTTTACTTTGCATTGAGAGAATGTACAGCACTTATTTTGTTTAAAATAAACAAGCAAACAATATTCTCAATATTTAATTGCAGTAATAAGAGCCTCCTCTGAGAATAATGATAAATCACAATCAAACTCCAAGATTATATACTAAATGTTCAAAAGTTTAGGTTCAGTAAGGAATTTATATTTTTATTCTGCAAGGACGCATTCAATTGATGAGAAAGTGACAGTAAACACAGTTATAATGTTACAAAAGATTCTATTTCAAATAAATGATGTTCTTTTAAACGTTCTATTCATCAAAGACTTATGAAAAATAAAACGCATCATGGTTTCCATGAAAATATAGTAACTGTCCTGAACATTGATAATAATCATAAATGATTTCATCATATTAGAGTGATTTCTGAAGGATCATGTGACACTGAAGACTGGAGTAATGATGCTGGAAATCACAGGAATAAATTACACTTTACTATATATTCACATAGAAACAGCTATTTTAAATTGCAATAATAATTCACTATTTTTACAGTATTTTTGATCAAATAAATGCAGCTTTGGTGAGCAGAAGAAGACCCCAGTGTTTTGAATGCTAGTGTAAATCATTGACTCACTATTCCGGCACTTTCCCCTTCACGGCGCTGGGTGGAGCTTTCTCTCGGAGGTTCAGTTCGGACTGAGATCTCCTCAGGCTCGTCTTCCTCGCAGCACGAGCGTTATGACTCACAAAGTCCACCGTGTGTCCTCTCACGTGCATCTACACACACACGTAAACACACATCATGAGAGAAGCTACCTTACGTATTGGACTAATAATGTGTTCTGTGTTTGAGTTGAATCAGGCTGATCCGAGTAAGAGCTTCAGTTTTGGAATAATATGCGTATAAAATATAAAGTGTGAATATTTTAGGCAAGGCAAGTTTATTTATATAGATCATTTCATACACAATGGTAATTCAAAGTGCTTTACATAGAAGAAATAAGAATAATTAAAACAGTTTAGAATAAAAATAAAATACAGTGACGATTCAGTAAATGCACAGCTGAACAGAAGTGTGTTGAGTCTGGATTTGAGTGTGAGTGTAGGAGCACATCTGATCTCTGGAGTAGCAGCATAATCAACCCGGTCTCATCCCAAGACGTCATATAACTGACGTTTTGGGACGTCTTTTGACCATACGTCAATATTCGCCTTTTTAGGGCCCCCTTAAACGTCGGTAGATGAGGTTATGGGATCCTAACTCTACCCCAGACCTAAACCTAACCCTAAACCTACCCCGTCACCTAACTGACGTTAAAGGTAAAGCGTCAGTTGTATGACGGCCCGGGATCGCCATCTACCGACGTTTTAGAGGGCCCTAAAAAGGCGGATATTGACGTATGGTCAGTTATATGACTTTTTGGGATGAGACTGTGTTGGCATAATAGCTAAAGGAGGACTCTCCATGTTTAGAGTGAACCCTTGGTGTTCTAGATGTGATCTCTGATGTGATCTGTTGGGTTTATATTCAGTGAGCATATCTGCAATGTATTGATTACACACTTCAGAGTCGGCGTCTCCTGCAGCGTCGTTGGGTGACGGTCCGCTTTCTGAGCGGCGACGTGAAGGCCGACCTCCAGCGCCACACTGAGAATGAGCCTTCAGGAACTGCTGAAACTCGGCTTTCTTCGAGGGGCTCGTCTCCTACACACACACACACAGCTTTAAAACCCTTGTTTTAGTGCACCTGCTGATTGACAGGGTCAGAAAGAATGCTGCATTTTTATTCATCGAAAAAACAAGGAAATCCCGCACACTAACAATATTTGCAAACAAGTATCAACATTTTATTAGCAATGTTTCAATCGCATGACCTTTATCAGGCATATATGCCATATATCATCAGGTAAATGCCTGATTAAAGTCATCTGACTGAATGAAACACTAATACAATTTTGATACTCGTTTGCAAGTGTGTGGGATTTCCTTGTTTTTGTCGATTTTTGACCTGACTCATTTGGTCATTTCTCCCATGCTCCTATCACCTGCAAGTGTTTCTATTCATCAAGACTGCATTAAATTGATTCAAAGTGACAGTAAAACATTTATACTGTTACAAAAGATTCAATTTCAAATAGATGCTGTTCTTTTAAAACTTTCTGTTCATCAATCATGAAAAATAACCCCTTCAGTCTTATCACATGAAGATGGGTTAGTGTTTATATTGCTAGCACAATATGCTCAGAAATAGTTTTGACCTCCAAATGTGGTGGAAATCTCAAAGCGTTTTGGACTCTGATTGCGTGTGAATTTTGCATCGTTACATCAAACCGATCAGACATAATAGATGTTAATATCCAAGTGTCAACAGGCACAATTGAGGCACAATTGTCACAATCACAGTCGGTTTATCGACAGTTCTAGAAATTATAGTGAAGTAGTAATTTTTTGAAATTATAGTGAAGACATTCAATGCAAATATACCGTAGCAGTGTTTTTAATATTATTTATATACTATTATACTATCTTATTAATATTCTAAATTAGCCTTTATCATTGATATCAGACTAATTTTAGTTTTTTTTAAAGTAATTTTAAGGGATTTTGTAAAAAAAAAAAAAAAAAGTGAAATATTTCTGTTTAAGTAATTTAAGTATTTTCGCTTAAACATTTTACTTCAGTTGTCAAGGCACCATTTGTAATTTCTTAAGTTTTTCATCAAACAATTTTGATTTTCAGCTTCATTTCAATTAACAAAAAATGATTTATAATAGTTTAGTTTTAGTTAACAATAACAATACTGTACAGTATATATCTATACATATATGACAGAAAATTGCAAACAATAAATGAGGTATTGCATGTTTAGATGTCTTGTTTCTCTGCAATGACTGTCTAATATCTAACTACTAATGGAATGTAACTCACTTCTATTGCACTTTGAGATTAGCAGGGGAAGAAAGTGTAAATGAGTTCGCTCACCTGTAACTGGGCCATGACCCTGGACGGGACGTCCTGGTATTTTGGAGAGATCCAGAGTGCTTTGACCGGCATCGGTTTGGCATGTTCCCTCTGCGCCTCCAGCTCTCGAAACCGCTTCTGCACTTCACGCAGCTTGCGCACATTTTCTTTACCGAAGTCCCGTATGACAGGCTCTGCCAAAGAAGGAAATAACTAAGAGGAGGAGAAGGCAGACTGAAAGAATGAGCAACATACACTAGTGTACAAAAGTTTGGGCTGTGCAAGTGTTTTTTAAAGAAACAAACACTTTTATTTAGCAAGGATGCATTGAATTTATCAAAAAAAGTAAAGATATTTATAATGTTACAAAAGATTGTATTTCAAATAAATGCTGTTCTTTTGAACTTTCTATTTATCTTTCAGAAAAATATTACCTGTTTTCAACATTGATAATAATCATAAATGTTTCTTGAGCAGCAAATCCTCATATTAGAGTGATTTCTGAAGGATCATGTGACTGAAGACTGGAGTAATGATGCTGAAAATACAGCTTTGATCACAGGAAGAAATTACACTTTAACAGTTCTTTTAAATTGAAATAGTTTTTCACTTTTTTAATGTATATTTTTGTCAGTCTTAGTGAGAAAAAGCCAAACTTTTAAATTGAGGTGTATAATAAATCATTAGCTGTCTAGAAATTCAACATTAACTCAATTTTAGGGTTCAGCAAAAACTTTTCTCACTAGTAGGTTTGGCTGGACTGGGGTTCAGCGCCACTCCCTCCAGTCTTAGTAGGTTTCCCACAACCCCCCTCTGCCCTCTCTCTAGGATGTGAACAGCGCTGGCACCGATGCGGGGTCGAGGGGTGGCGCGGGCGCTGTAGCAGCCGGGGTGGAGCGTGGGGTCCGGGGCCAACGGGCCCTTCAGAAAAGGAGACGAGCCGCTCCGATCGTTGCCCTCCAGCCGACCTCGAGCTTCACCAAGACAACAGAGAGATCAGATGATCCATCATCACACATGAAGAACACAAGCGGCAACCTTTCCGTCTCTCTCTTAAATCCAACACTCAAGTGACTTAAACTGCACTTCATCAACTGGCCACTAGAGACCAGCTGCAAAAGAGAGTCAATCCCATAGACACCCATGTTAAAATGGCCAACTTTATAGCAGAAAAAGATATGTTTACAGCCTGGTGCAAAAAGTGGTTTTGGTCTGTATAGCTAATTTTGCCCTTCATGACGACTGTGAGGGGCGTGATTTTCTTTTATAACTCATCCAGTTAAAATTTAAGCTGTAAAGTTCAGCATGTTTAAGGGCGTGGCCACTTGAGTGACAGGTGGATTGCCGCAGGTGACGTCATAAACACTATATTTTCTATGAGCGAAGATCACAGGTTCAGGCTTACCAGAGGAGGGGCGTTTGTAATAATCAGGAAAAAGCGTAGGGTCCGGAGGAATGGGTCCAGAGATCGTCGACGGTCCTTCACACATGCTGCTGCTACAGGGAGATTTAGGACAAGACTTTCAGGCTTTTTATTCTGTAAAACTAGATTATTGCAACTCATTGTTTGTCTGAAAGTACATTTTATATGTGTCATTTTACTGTGTGATTGTACAGCACATTGGTCAACATTGTGTTGTTTTAATTGTGCTTTATATACAAACAAACAAACAAACAAAATAAAACTTGATAACAAACTTTTTTTCCCTTACAATTAAACTTAAAGTTAACTTAAAACACTAAAAAGTGGGCCAGTTTAGTCCTAAGTAGTATTGAACTAGTACACTTACAAGTACACTACTAGTACATTGATATTAGTATACTAACTACATATATTAATTATCCTTAAAAATAGACAAATTACTTAAGAAGGCTATATTTAACAAAACGAACTTGAATTAGCAGCTATACTTATTTTTAGAAAATGTAATAATAAGGTTTATAATTATTATCTTCTGTGCAAAATAAAATAAATCAATTTCTATCTTATTATTTAGATTATATTTATCAAATATTAGTTAATTATTTTATATTCAGACCTAACGCTCTAATACTGCTCTTATATAATGCAGGTCAACAGGTATAAATAAACATGTATTCATTTATATCAGCTTCTAGCAAGCAGGATTAATATATATAACGTTAATGTGCATAGCAGCTATTACATTTCACTTATTTGATCACTCTTGCCGTTAGTAAACACCTGCGGATTCATATAGGGCCTACTATTATATTCAGAATGATCAAGCGCCATATTAATCTGCGTGTGAACATTAAAGGTAATATATATAACGAAAACGAGTTCCTGAAGTAACTTACCTTTAATGAACCAGTCAGTTATTTGATAATTGTGCAGATAAAAAGCGATATCAGCTCTATTTTTCGGTTACACGCAGACTGATGACGCATTAACAACAAGCGCAAAGCTTCACCATGGTAACGTTTTAAAGAGACAGTAATGGTTTTGTAAGACAAGCCTTCACTGCAAGACATTAATTGTGGATAATATTGATAAATACGCTAACAAGATAATTATGTATGCGTTTCATATGTATCCGTATGGTCCCTATCTTCATATTTTCAGTATAAACCCGATTCTGAAGAATATTATATGTCTGTCTAAAGTGCATTAATTCATTTAGAGAGAAAGGTTTGGGAAAACAATAATATGTTTTTCCATGGAGAAATAATAGCTGCAAAATAAAGATTAAAAAAATAATTTACGTTTACATAATCTATTAGAAGGATGAAAACGCTGCGGACTGCGCATGCGCGGTTCACGCGCCTCCGTCGCGTTCTCCTTCAGTGTGTCCTCAGTCTCGCGCTGTAGTGCAGAAACACCGTTTGGCAAACCGACACGGCAAAACACGGTAGGGTTTGCTGATTTACACTGAAACATTGCTCGATACTCCAGAAAAACACAAGTGTTCAAAGACTCTTTTGCTTTCAGCCGAGAAATTATGAGCGCAGTTGTTATTTAGTACACACCAACGTCAGTTATTGAGACAGTTCGGGTTCAGGGCCGCGGAGACGTCATGGCACTAGTATAATACTGATGATAATAAAATCACTGTTACACACATCTACGTTTTATTCCTTAAACATGCATCTTAATTCTCATACAGGACTATTACGCTTCTAATCTAAGTGGTTTGACGAACAATATGTCAGTGTTTCATCAAGGACACTGCTCGTGTAACTTTTTGATTTTGACGGGTAACGTTATAAAATAACGGATTGTGTTCCGCGCGCGTTACCTCAGAAATATCGGTCAGAAATAAACTAATAAACCCGCTCACTAATGCAGCAAACGCTCTCATAGATACTGATCATTGATCTTCAAGCTATCGAGCTGCTCCCGTTATTCGTTGTCTGTTATCTGGGCGTTGTGCGTGCGTCGTCGCGTCTATAATACGCGATGGTTATGCAGCCTTGAGCGACTTTCTTTCTTTGGTGTGTGTTGGACGCTGCTGGGAATACAAATGATTTAAAAACATAATCAAATCCACTAAAACACCCTCAGATCGTCCATGTGTGTAAATGTGTGTGTGTTGTGTGTCGTGTTTGGCACACTTTGAACTCATTGTGACGTCTGCTATTGTTCTTAGCTCTGTACATTGTCGTTAAAAAGTAAACTATATCTAGGTCATTGTGACATAGACTCACTATGAAAGGCTATATTGAAGCGTTAATGATTTTCTTTCTTTGTTTGTTTGAGTAGAAAACAAAACTGAAGTCAAGCAGAGCTGATATAAACAGTATAAAATGTAGTTTAAAGATGCCAAAGGGAACCATGGCTGCTTTGTTATTCGTGCATGAAAGAGTTGCATATAAAGAATAATATTTAATAGTATAGTATGTATGCATGTGTGTTTGAGTGTTTGTTTCAGAATTATAGGGAAGGTGTCTAGTGTACAGATTATATTTTTATAGATATTTGCACTTTTCTGCTTCATCAAATATTGATTCTGCTATTACACGGCTCCATCTGGTTGGTTTCTAGAGCACAGCAGCACCCATCAACTCCATTACATGCATTTAAAAAGTAACAATAATGATCACAGATAAAGTTACTTTTTAATGTATTGCTGGCATAAATACCTTTCTTAATAGCTATTCATTCTCAGCTGAGCAGTGCATGGAATTGGAGTCATTTTTATTAAATTATGCATTGCAAGAGTTAGTTATTAAAACATAATCAATTTTGCACATTGGTGATCTTATTTAACAGTCAATAAAAATATAGTCAAGACACAGGGAACAAGACCATATGGATCCGCACAACAGACCAGTACGCATATGTTTTGCATGATTAATCATGTTTAGTGCTCTATACGGCTCACACACTGCTTTTGCTGTGGATTGTCATTGAGATTGTGTGTTTTCCCATGAGCTGCACTCGCTCTAATAGCCTCTGGCTGAGGATGTTCAGTGGATTTGTTCTTGATTGATGACTGTCTGGCACCAAGCTGAGACCATGCGAGATGTTTTAGTGAATGATGAAAAGCAGGTGGATTTTAAATAGCTTTAAAGCTGCTCTGATTCGTTGTTTATTGTTCACTAGCCGAGACAGCCGTCATCCAATCAGTATAATAGTAGTATTTGGCTGGTCATGTGATCTCAACATGGCGACCGCCATTAGATCTAGAGAAAATGTCTTTTTTTTTTAAACACATCTCATGCAATGCATGCATTATTTTAAACAGACCTTATAAAAATGCAATTTGTTGTTTCTTAAGAAAGAACCGATGATGCACCCATGGTGTCAAAGTGTTCGATGTTGAAGAAAACATTTCCCATTTCGTAACGCCTCACGTCACATGGAGCGCCGGTGTCAGTTGAGTCTATTTTTGGAGTGTGTGTCTTGGGATCTGGGGGAAGGGGACACACTCTGTAAAGATGGGGTCTCCGGATCCCGTAACCAAAGGGCAGAGGTTGCCATGACGACCCCCTATGTCACTGCAGATGTTGCTATGGCGACGCCCTCGGTCTGACCTCACTGACCCTTGATCTGTCATGGTGGGAGTCGGTGCGCTGTGGTTTATGGTGTGTGTTTGATTGTGATCTCTGACCCCAGATCATGTCTGAGAAAGGACAGAAGCAGAGAGAGACACAAGTGAAAGGAAGCAGTGAGACCTGCCATCACTGCAAGCCAAACACATGCGGTGAGTTACAGATAGATGGATAGACAGATGGGTAGATAAATGGATGGATGGATGGATAGATATATAGATAGATAGATAGATAGATAGATAGATAGATATATAGATAGATAGATAGATAGATAGATAGATAGATAGATAGATAGATAGTAGATGAATTATAGATGATATATGGATAGATATATGAAGAGTTCAGATGCAAAAGCCTCTAAATGCCATTTGAAATTTTCTTCTTTAATGATGATTTTTATCAAACTTGTATATTTAAGTTCAATAATTTCACTTAAATAACAATTAATAGGTAATTATCATTGTCATTTAAGTGAAATCACTGAACTGAAATATACAAGCTTGATAAAAATGATCATTCTAGAAGAAATCTTCAAATGGCACTTAGAGGCTTTTGCATCTGAACTCTTCATATATAGATATGGATATGGATAAATAGATATATGGATGGATGGATGAAAGTATGGATTGATGGGTGGATAGATAGATAGATAGATAGATAGATAGATAGATAGATAGATAATTTCAATAATTTCACCTAGTCTGCTTAAATTCTGACTTAGACACTTTAGAGCTCAAATAAAACACATTTTTGTGCAAAATAATAATAATATAAAATTGCCTTTTAAAAAAATACAAGCTGTGCAGTTTTGCTTAAAAACCTTTGGTACACATGCACCATACACTTCAGTTGTACTTGCATCACTGTTAACATGTTTTTATAGACAATATACTGTGGAACGAAACCTGTAGCTGTAGTGAACCCAGAGCTTTTGTGTGTGTGAGCATAAACACACTTTGCTGTAGTTGATGGTGGTCTTAAGGCGCTCATGTGCTTCTTGCACACTGAGTCTGAAATTTGCGCACGTTAAAAAATAAATACGTCCTCATGTTTACATCACATTCACACACATGCCTCTGAAAATTTCCGTCATCGGATCAGATTCGATTTTCTGCGATTTTCGCATCTGTAGAAAGTATTTTGAGAAGTGTTTTGAAAAGTCAGAGCAACCAAATGACAAATATGAAAAATCGCTTATGATAATTTCGGACTCGGTATGCAAGGACCTTAAGTGTTTGTAACGAAGAGCATTAACAACACCTGTGCTAGCTAGCATGCTTCCAGCGCCGTGACTGTCCTAGCCGTGTGTGTGAGACTGAACCGTGTGCTGCTGTTAGTTGTAGACCGCTGTAAACTTACATGAACGATGTCACACGGCTGATGACTCGGTTTAAAGTGTGTTCTCATCTTTTTCTGTCCAGCAAACATGGCCGTTCCTCCTGCATACGCTGACCTCGGCAAATCTGCCAAAGATATCTTCAGCAAAGGATATGGTGAGTGACAACCATAAAGCATGACTGACAAACAAACATCAACACAAATTTAATAGTATATACAGTTTTGGAGTATACATATATACAAGATATATCATATATGCAAAATTAATGCAGTTAGATTTCTGTATGTACAGGTGAGACTCGAAAAATTTGAATATGGTGCAAAAGTTCATTTATTTCAGTAATTCAACTTAAAAGATGAAACTAATATATTATATAGACTCATTACATGCAAAGTGAGATATTCCAAGCCTTTATTTGTTATAATTTGATTGATTATGTCTTACAGATATGAAAACCTTTTCACAATATTCTAATTTTGAATTTGGGGTTTTTATAACCTGTAAGACAATCATTTGTGTGAACATTAGAGATTTTAATTACAAAACCTTTAGCTTGCTCTCTCTCTCTCTCTCTCTCTCTCTCTCTCTCTCTCTCTCGCTCTCTCTCTCTCTCTCTCTCTAAATTCAAATCAATTCAATTCAATTGAGCTTTATTGGCATGACTGTGTAAAATAGCATAATATTGCCAAAGCAATAGTAATATACAAACATATATGAAGAGTTCAGATGCAAAAGCCTCTAAGTCAGTGGCGGCTGGTGAAAATTATTGGAGGGGGGGCTGAATAAGAGGGGGGTCTGGGGGTTCCCCCCCAGAAAATTTTGAATTTAAAGATGTGATTTCCTGCATTCTGGTGCATTTTAGGCCTTAGGCCATGCCCTTACCTATACCAATAAAATAACTTAAACCAGTCAATACCAATGGTCAAATAATACAATAATAATAATAACAGTTTGACCGTTAATGATACTGAACAAGTTGCAGCATGTTTATTATGCTCTGTGTGCTGACAGAAAAAGTGCAAACGCATAATATTGATAAATTATAATATAGGTAATACAAAAAATAATAGGTAATACAACAATCTAGTTTAATCAATCCCCAGCTGTAGAATACATATTTTTGACAAATTGACAATTGGATAATGGATAACAATGTGTTGATACTAGAGAAAGAGAGAGAGAAAAGGCTCTGAAAGAGAGGGTGGGACGATATTCTTGAGGGTAACACCCAAGTATGAGAAGAAAGTTGATTTTAACTAGTATGAAACACAGTAATCTAGCTCAGAACTTAAAAACATCAAAAAACAAAGCAAACACACAGGTATTAATATTCCTATAACTATTTTAATATCAAATGTGTGTGAAACAGTGTTTATGTGAGTGAGTGAGTGACAGAGACAGACAGGTCAATTCCCACGACTAACTTTACATTATTTCCACTCGACGTCACTGGCGCTGCCATTCTGCTCTCATCTGAGGTAAAAAAAATGTCCCGTGGTGCGCGTGCATGGTGCACTCCCATAATCTGATACTGTGGGCGATATTTTCAGCGCCCCCAAACCATAAAATTTGACGGCGCTGATTGGCGAAATATAAACTTTTTTGCATAGCAACCGGGGAACCATTGGCTTAAATTCCAGCACCGTGGGGCTGAGCGAACTGGCGCCCTGAGAAGACAGCCTATTGGCTATACTACTACACCAACATGATAAAAGTAACGAAAGTGAATGCAAATATCATTCTGGTGAGTTCAAAACACTTTTCAAAGTAAAACCATTATTAGCATATAATTAACCCAGATTATTTTTCAAAATGATAAATTATAATATATATTAAAAAAACAGACAGACAGGTCAGAGGGAGGGCGGCGCCCCAGCGCCCTCTATGGGCGAGCCGCCCCTGCTCTAAGTGCCATTTGAAATTTTCTTCTAAAATGATCATTTTTATCAAGCTTGTATATTTAAGTTCAGTAATTTCACTTAAATGGCAATGTAGATTACCTATTAATTGTCATTTAAGGGAAATTACTGAACTTAAATATACAAGCTTGATAAAAATGATCATTTTAGAAGAAAATTTCAAATGGCACTTAGAGGCTTTTGCATCTGAACTCTTCATATGTAGATAAATAAAAGTGAAAAAAGCAACAACAACAAAAAAATCCATTATATGCATAAATATATCACAATAAATAATAATAATAAACAATATAAATAAATAAATAATAATAGTTTATTTCTCTCTCTCTCTCAATTCAATTCAATTTAAATGAGCTTTATTGGCATGTCTTGTACAGTTTTGCCAAAGCTTTGGCCATTACATAAGCAATGAACAAATAATCAGTCAATAAATCAATCAGTAAACAAATACATTAAGACATTTATATAAACAAAAAATAACAAATATGATAAAATGATTTAATTTGTCTTAATTTGAAAAAAATCTCCCTTTCTCTCTCTCAGGCTTTGGAGTGGTGAAGCTGGACCTGAAGACCAAGTCTCAGAGTGGAGTTGTGAGTTGCTCTTTTTCTCTGTGTTTCTTCACTAACAGACCTGACGCACACAGGTAGATGATGTGCATGACTGATGATCATGTCGAAGTGTCGGGGTTTGCGTCTGATATCTTCACTGTGTGCTTTTATGTAAGAGTTATTCTCCTCGTCACTCTCGCTCTTTTATTAAACTCAATTCATGTTTACTTGTGAACATCCTCTTCCTGTGAAAAAACATCTTCAGTTAGAGTTGTGTGTGTGTGTGTGTGTGTTTAAATGTGAGTGAGTGAGTGAGTGTGTGTTAGTGTCTGTGAGTGTGTGTAGCTCCTGTATCTCCCATAAATCTGAATGACTGCATCTGTATATCTGTCTTCTAACCGGCTTCTTTCTCTTTCTTGCTCTCTGTATTGGATGCCGGTGTCAGATGGTAAGACCGAGATGTTTTACAAGAGGATGTGGTTTTATTTCTATTGTTTGTCTCTATTGGTGACTCCAGCTAATTCTGTTCTTCACTAATGCTGGGAAAGTTTCTTGTCTTGACAGTTCTATATGAGAACAATGTTAACTTATAAGTACTTATTGAGCAGAATATTCCCATAATTCAGTTTAAACACAAGTTAACTGTGAACTCTCAACTTTTTAACACTATTTTCTGTTTACAAAGGCAAACGTCATATTATGCTTTAGTCCATGTAAAGCTCGAGTTAAAAACTAACTTGGTATGAACTAGTGATACTTCATGCGCAGCCCAACCAATTCTTTCTTCAATTCCTGTTAATCTGTGAATCCCTCCTCTTCCTCTCTCCCACAATCCTGCATCTCTATTGTTGTTCCTCTCTTCCCCTGCATCCTTTCACCTCCTGTGTTTTCCTCTCGTTTCTCAGGAGTTTTCCACCGGCGGCTCCAGTAACACGGACACCGGAAAGGCGGCTGGAAACCTGGAGACCAAGTATAAAGTGAAGGATCTGGGCTTGAGTTTGAACCAGAAGTGGAACACGGATAATGTTCTGACATCTGAAGTGACTCTGGAAGATCAGGTGAGTCCAGGTCGCCATTTCTAACACGTGCATAAACCGTTTTAAATGGGTGTGTGATGCATGATTTTGTCTTGTTTCTGTGAAGCTGGCCAACGGTCTGAAGCTGGGACTGGAGACTTCGTTTGTGCCCAACACCGGGTACGTCAACTCTCTCAAGCAACAGAGTTTACCTTAATATATAAGTGACGACTTCTTTAATACAGAGAATCTTAGAAATTTTTTTCAACATGCATACATATAAGACCAACAATATGCATATAACAAATAAACAGATTTATATAAAAATGTAAAAAAAATAGTTTTGACGGAGACCCACTCAGTGGACACCAACACTACCTATCATTTAATAATTTTACTGCCTGTGGCAAGAATGAATTTTTGAAATAGATGAGTTTTTAAAAATAGCTGGCATCCTAAATCTTCATCCCGAGGTTAATATTAATTATTAATTAAAATTATCAAACAGAGGATGTCTATTTTCATGATGTATCATTTTGTTAATTTTGGATTTTTGCATTTTGAAACATGACAGTTGTGAATTGTGTTTACACTTTGAATATTTATTGTGACGTTCTAAATATTAATTTAAGATATTGAGTATGAATTATATTTAATTGTTGGTTTATTTTTTTTAAATATCACAAAGCTGAGGTAAAAGGCAAAAAATGGTTAAATTGTTGATTTTTAATTTCTGTCTATTTTTAGTAAGTTGACCAGAAGTTTTTAAAGCCTTACTTTAAGTACTTTAAGTATTAATTCAATAAAAAATTAATTCAATTTCAAAAAATTAATTCAATTTCTACCTAGTTGACCAGAAGTTTTTAAAGCCAGATACTTGAAGTATTAATTCAGTAAAAAAAAAAAAAAACTATATATATATATATATATATATATATATATATATATATATAGTTTTTTTTTTTTTTTTTTTTTTTAAACTATATATATATATATATATATATATATATATATATATATATATAGTTTTTTTTTTTTTTTTTACTGAATTAATACTTCAAGTATCTGGCTTTAAAAACTTCTGGTCAACTAGGTAGAAATTAAAATTCAATAATTTAATTAAGTTTTGTCATGTTTAAAAAAATAAACCAACAATTAAATATAATTCATACTCAATATCTTAAATTAATATTCAGAACGTCTCAAAAAATATTCAAAGTGTAAAGTATCCCGCTTTAAAAAATGATGGTCAACTTACTAAAAATAGGTCGAAATTGTTTATTCCATTTATTTATATACAGTCGTGCTCAGAATTAATGGTATTACTGGTAAATATGATCAAAACTGGCTGTAAAAAATAAATCTGCATAGTTTATCGTTTTGATCTTTCATTCAAAAAATTGCCAAAAATCTAACCTTAAATTGAAGTAAAGGAATTGAAAGTGGGGGGAAAATCACATTATGAAATAATTATTTTTCTCCAAAACACGTTTACTTTACTTGTTTTAGCTTACTGCTCCCAGTCAGTGTTGAACACTTATCCTCTCTCTGACATCTTCAGGAAGAAGAGCGCTAAGCTGAAGACGGGGTATAAGCGTGACTTCATGAATGCGGGGTGTGATCTCGACTTCGACCTGGCCGGCCCCACGGTTCACGCCGCAGCCGTTCTGGGTTACGAGGGCTGGCTGGCCGGTTACCAGATGGCCTTCGACACGGCCAAGTCCAAACTCGTCCAGAACAACTTCGCTTTGGGCTACAAGGCGGGAGACTTCCAGCTACACACCAATGTGTGAGGAAACACTTTTATTTAGACGTGGGACTCAGTCCGCAATATTGACTTTCTCCCATTCATAAGTAGCATGAGTGAACCGTCTTTATACATGTTAAGTCTTCGGTTTGAGTCAGAAATCTCCACTTCAGCAGCTTTGCAAACTTTAGTTTTATTCCTGTCTATATTCTGAAGGGTTTTACTGAGAGGTTTGTTCATTCGTCTGGTTTATGACATTTTATTCCTAAGAGCTTTTTAAATTTTTCTGGGGATATCCCAAATTCCCTCTCATAAAACCTTTAATATGTCACTGAAATAAAACAATAATTGTGAACCTGGTTTTATTCAGATTCTCTACTGGATTTAATTAGATAATCTCTTGTTTTTAAAACCTTTTATACGAAACAGTTACAAGTATAATATATATTAGTTAATTTTTTACTTTTGCTTAAACTCTGAAAAAGCATCCTGTTATTTTAATAATTATTATAGTTTTTATAAATAGTTTGAATTAATTTTAACTTTCCTTTTAAATTTTTGTTAAAGTTTTAGTAATTTTGTTGTTTGTTTGTCAATTTTATTTTTATTTTAGTACATTGTTAAACTAAATGTATATTAGAAATGTTTTTCCCCTCAATATTTTATTTTAAGTGACAAAGACAAAAGTGTTTTTTTTAAATGTTTTTTTATTTTTATTTTAATATAGAAACCCTGGCTCGTAGTGCTAATGAGATGTGATAAATAGTATTTCTTCTCCTGAAAGTAATGGTGTGTGTGTGTGTTGCAGTAATGATGGCACAGAGTTCGGCGGCTCCATCTATCAGAAGGTGAACGGTCAGCTGGAGACGGCAGTGAATCTGGCCTGGACTGCGGGCAGTAACAACACACGCTTCGGCATCGCTGCCAAATACCAGCTAGACAAAAACTCCTCCATCTCTGTGAGTCTACACACACCATCCTGTCCCTGCCCTTCGCAAACTGACAAACATTACTGATGCTTGATGCCAATGTGTGTGTCTCTGCAGGCCAAAGTGAATAACGCTAGTCTGGTTGGAGTAGGATACACACAGAGCCTTCGGCCAGGTAACCAAACACTTTACAAATCAGGCTTTATAGAGGCCATATTATGTCTTTTACAAAGGCTTGATTTTGTGTTTGGGCTCTACTGCAATAAGTTTTCATGCTTGAATGGCCTGGTGAGGGAAAGAACTACAATCCCATGAAGCATTACGAACAGCATGGTTGAATTAAAAGCGATGGAGAAATATATAACTACTTAATTACAAATGTTGATTATATATAGCAATTAATTGCATCCAAAATAAAAGTTTGTGTTTACATAATATAAGTGGGTGCACTGTGTATAATTATTTTATATATATATATATATATATATATATAAATACACGCACATGCATGTATTTTTAAGAAAAAATATTATTTATATATAAATATTTATATATAATATAAATTATATAGAAATATATATACAGTATATACATGAAAATATTTCTTTAATATATACAAGCATGCATGTGTATATATATATATATATATATATATATATATATATATATAAAATAATTATACACAGTGCACCCACTTATATTATGTAAACACAAACTTTTATTTTATATGCAATTAATCGTTTGACAGCCCTAATATATATATATATATATATATATATATAAAAACATTTAAGATTTGAAGAGTGTAGGAAGTGGGCGGAGCTAAAGAGCTATTTTGTTTTTTGTTGCTTTTTTCGACTCTGATTTAAATTTTCTCATGAGCATCATGGGTAATGTAGTTTTCACCAGAAATGCCACTGTTAAACACTATTATTTTAAAAACAAGCTGAAATAACAGACTGACGGCTTCAGCAGAAGCAAATACCATTTTTTAACAAACAAATACCAAGTCTTTTATTGTTCAATATAATTTCCATATGGAGAAAATGAGTTTTTATTTCTTGAAATCGACTGTTGACCTCTTCCGAAAAGCACAGTGTGTCTGATTGGTCGTCTTGATCAGTGTGTTGTGATTGGTCAAGTGTGTTTGGGAAATGTCCCACTCTCACCACAACCACCAGTTTAACACACTACTAGCTAACTCAATCAGGCCTCGCCCCTTTATTCTGTATATTAATTATTTAAATGAGGAATATTATGACATGTTTGTTCCCGGAAGAAACTCAAGATTACAATGGAGGCGTTTCAGGAGTTCAGAAACACTCAAAACAGCAACATTACACACTAAAGAGGGTTGTAAAATGCATAATAGGTCCTCTTTAAATCTTTAATAAGTGGCAATGAAGCAAAAATGAATGTCTTGTATCGTCTGCAGGTGTGAAGCTCACTCTATCTGCTCTGATCGACGCCAAGAACATCAACGCCGGAGGACACAAGGTGGGCATGGGCTTCGAGCTGGAGGTGTAACGACGCACAGAAGCAGAGAGACATCAACGGAAAGAAAAGAAACACGGGGAGCTGACAGCACGACTCCAGCGCCTGCAAAAACACACTTTCGCCTGTAACTCCTGGTTAACTAATCTGGCCTTAACCCTCTAGAGCCTCAACCAATGAGAAACAAGATCACCAGTCACATGATTTCTGTCCACACCAATCCTCCATCACCAGCTCGTTATGTGACAACATATCATAGCTATTATTAATGTTACACACGTGGCACCCTGTCATTTCTTGTTTTGAAACTGAACTAGATAAATATCCTGATTGTTTTAGTTTCCGAACCGTCACACAGGAGCTGATGTGTGTGTAGTGCTTATAGTTCAAGGGTTAACTGGTACTTTCTGAATGTCAAGCCCCTCTCACTCACATTTGTCCAGTTTTATTGCCAAACACGTATTTATCACACAAGTTGGTTGTCTATGTTTGTGGGCTGGAGTTAATAGAGGACGGTCCATGACCTTCTCTGCATTTCTTATTTTTACTCCCGTAAAAAAAAAAAAAAACCGTATTTATGTTAAAAGAGGAGGACTAGAAGAAGAAACTGATGTGGAAATTAATAAAGAGGAACGTTGACTGAATTACCTATTCTCACTTGCCTTTTATCCTGGTTAGAAGTAATGTTTAAAAATAAATTACACTAGAAATCAAAAACAAACACACAAATCTTGAATACACCATTACATTTTTTATTTATTTTTGTGTGAAAAAAAGGAAATAGTTAACTAAAACCAAACTAAAATGAAATGAAATATAAAAACAAACATTTAATTCAGCAACATAGTTTATTTTCAATTAGTTTAACTTGACATACTCAAAAAATAAAATTAAAAATATTAAAAGTTTTTCTTCAGCATATAAAAATAACTTCCTCAGCTGAAGGTGTACTTTGTATATTGTTCACATGCTCAAGGACAGGTTTATCTTTTGTCATGAAATCTTCAGGAACACAATAACAAACGTCCACATGGCCAATCGACTCGACGTGATGTAATGAAGAACCGACAGATTAATATTTACATTTAACACACACTTTTATCCAAAGCAACTTACAAATGAGAGACAGCACAAGCAATTTGTCATAGAGCCAATACATGTGAAGGCGTTTGCATAGAAGACGGCAACAAAAAAATCAGAAAGGCTTTGATACAAGAAACTTTGGTACTCAAATTATTTTTAAAAAACAGGTTTAAGAGTTTATAACCCTTTTGAAGGTAAGAAAGGCATCCAGTTTGACTGGCCAGCACACACTGCCTGCAGTATCGTGGTTCCTCCAGTTGGTGGCGGTACAGCATCATTTCGGTTTGAGGTAAAGGGCAACAGTGACGTCAAGCCAGATCCTGTCCTCCATTCAACCACTTCCACTCCCTCAGTATCTAAAGGAGAAATGTCAGTATAATCTCTGTGTGTCAAAAGCTGAGATTCAGATATGATAATGAGTGTTTGCTTTCTGGCCAATCACAGCAGAGCAGCTCTCAGAGAGGCGGAGCTTAGAGAGACTGAGCGTTGCAGACACTGAGAGTGTTGCAAATTAGCTTGATACACGCATTGGACGGCTTTTGTCACTATTATATGTGCATCTATGTTTATTGTATCTGTCCTTATAGAAATAAAACATTAAATATATAAACTTTTCTGGGAGACAAAAAGTCCTTCCTGCTGATTACCTGCATGTTGGTCTCAGTTTCCTGAATGGTGTCTTGCACTAAACTCTGCAGACGGCTCTCAAACATCTTACTCTCCTCGATCACAAGCTGAGACTCGTCTCTAAATAAACACAAGAGAGAAACGTTGGTCATGGAAACATGCAAATGTGTGTCACACACACACTGGCGCTGGACTCACGTCTCCGGTGTGTCAGGAGGGCTGCTGGGATGTGACGGTCTGTGTGACATCAGCGGGTGTCCGGGGGCCGGTGGGGTCCGTCCTCCATCTGGACTGCCACTCACGGGACTACGAACCTTACTCTAAAACACAAATAAAGAGTCAATATTCAGAAATTAATGTTAATTAATTACTGTTAATATGAATTATGATTATGTTTTGAACTATGATGTATAGCTGTTTTGCAGTGTTTTCGTTGTCAAACTCAAAAATGTGTTAATTTTTAATTATTAAAAAATGCCATTATTTTATATAAAAAAAAGTTAACAATTGTATTTTATTGACCAAATATTTTAGTTTGTCTTGTGTACTTTAAGCTGTCATATGGACACCTGTGGGGCATGTTGTCACATTTCACTTCCAATCTTTTGGAGTACATCAACTGAAAAGTATAAACTGTATTAATGCAAAAAAAAAAAAAAAAACACATAATCGTACTAGATATGTAAAATATATGAGAGGAAAAAAATACTCTGAACCCTAACAAACTGAGAAAGTTAAAAAGCGTTAAATTGTGCCCCGCTCTCCTCTATTGTGTATTATATACACCCTGGAGGACTAGTATGAGTAGTGTACGTACACATGCGACTTTGAGCAGGTTCCACAGCTCCTTCTGTCTCTTCTCCTGCAGATGAAGCAGTCGTTTCTCACTCCGGGCCATCGCGCTCACCATCCCCTCCACACGGGGCAGCAACTCCAGCACTCTCTGACGGCACACCATCGTCTTACTGCACACACACATACGCACACACCTTTACTTTAAATATGTTTAAAATAATGAAATATTACAAACACTGAACAAGTCACTCTTTAACAGTGACAGTATGCAAGATAGAGGAAGGAACATATGAAGGAAACACAAAAACAATACAAAAGGTACAAAATAGTATCTGTAATAATTAGATACAGAAGATACACAATTAATTGATCTGAACATTCAAAACCTCAGCTGCCTATCTAGTGTTTTCACAATATCCCAGTACAATTTTACAATTCTCTAAACCAATTTTTGTACCATATCAAAAACAAGTCAAGTCATAGTAATAGTGCTTGTTTAGTAATAGTAACAGAATGTTTCAAAGCATCTTAAAGGCATCTTAAAGGGATAGTTCACACCCCCCCCCTCCCACCTCCAAATTTAATTCTGTCATTTACTCGCCCTCAAGTTGTTCCAAACCTGTATGAATTTATTTCTTCTACTGAACACAAAAGAATATATTTTGAAGAATACGAGAATATGAATTCCAACTATCCATATAAACTGAATATTGAACAAATAAATGCTAATAAGTAGACCTAAACAGTACATTAAATGTTTAAAATGTTTTTTTATTATTAATTAAACGTTATATTTAATGTTATTTAATATTAAAGTGTATATTAAATTAACACTGAACGTAAAAGAACAGGTTGTAGGTTTATTTCGACAGATTTTTATTGTGCCGTTTGTTGCCATGTTTATCTAACGTTACCTTCAGATTCAATATCTAATTTAAATACGGTTGTCTCTCCAGAAATTTTGCATTATGAGGGCTACTTGAGCAGCAATGAATTAACCCAAAGTGCTCTTTATAATCCATGAAATTGTCAATCACTTAAAAAACTACACTTCTCAATGAATATATTATTTACAACGTGTCTTCGCGAACTCCTCGAGTCGAGTGGAGTCTGTCTGACCTCACCAAACGTCTACGATTGGCCAGTGCATTCTCGTGCTCACCAAACATGTCTGTGATTGGCTTAGTTCTCCACTTCAAAAATACGACGTAAACAGAAAACCGTTGACGCTTCAGAGCGCGCACACGCGGTTTAAATCTCTCAGTCAGCGGCAAATTACCGAAATATGGCCGTATTTTTACAATTTTGTCTCAACTTTGTACCGAAATACAAGCGCGTTTGACATTTTGATTTGCGTTCTCGCGCTCAATAGTAATGTTTGGGATTGGATGAAATGTTCACCTCTTCTTACAAAATTCCACAATCGAAATAACGTTAGGTGTCTTTGATAAACCTAACGTTACTGACCAGACGAAATTGTAAAAAGCATCACTGATGTTCTCCTGACATGAAGTAAGTTCAAAAGGTAGGAAGCATAAAAGTATTACTTCTAAGATACTTAAATCAAATGTGTTGTTCACTGTGCGTAAAATAATCCCAGAATGCATTCGTTAAATACTAAAAACCGATTAAAAAGGTTTCCAATGCAAAATGTACTATTCTATCATATATTTATGTGGTGCATATGAAGAGTTCAGATGCAAAAGCCTCTAAATGCCATTTGAAATTTTCTTCTAGAATGATCATTTTTATCAAGCTTGAATATTTCAGTTCAGTAATTTCACTTAAATTGCAATGAAGTTACCTATTAATTGTAATTCAAGTGAAATTACTGAACTTAAATATACAAGCTTGATAAAAATGATCATTCTAGAAGAAAATTTCAAATGGCACTTAGAGGCTTTTGCATCTGAACTCTTCATATATATTTTTGGGCTTATAATATCAGAGTATAAAATTATTAGTTTTTAAACATGCTAATGTTTTACTATGTAAGAGGTTCAATATTATAATCAATGCTGCCCATGTAAGTTTGACAACAGATATGAAAACTAGGGATTGGAGCAGAGCTCATATTAGCCTACATCACAGCTGTCAATAATGTGTCTGCAGAGAAGCCTTTAATGTAATGAAATCTGATTCGTTAATTAAATGTCTCACAGGAACAGACCTCAGGTGTGTGTAAAAGTCCCGTAACTTCCTCTCATAGAACTGTACGGCTTGAACCACCAGTTTGATGACTTCTTGACAGTCGCCATTACTGCGCTGCTCTGGAGACAGGAAAGAGACTTTCAGATCACGTGACCGAGAGGCTCATTCGGTCTGAAGATGTTGACAAGTGTATCTTACCTCTGGGTTTCTCTCTCAGTTTGCGGAAGAGCTCCATTGCCTTCACCTCACTGCAGAACACAACACAGGTGAGTGGGAGTGTATGCAAACACACACACACACACATGGAATTTCAAGGAGTCAGACACTGGCTTACATCAGTCTGCTGGGAAACAACAAGTCATGTTTATAATGTTTTAGATGACAGTAACACTTCTGAGGAAGAAGGAATCACTGGATTTGATAAAGTTAGTGGGGTTCATGACATTAAATCGCTGAAAGATATTCAAGTTTATTATATAACGCCTACTGTACATATTTGATTGTAGTGTTGTCATGCAGTCACGATACTAGATTTTGCAACTTCGATACGATACATTGAAAAATATCGTTATTTGATATCGATACCATGGGGAAAACTGCCATACAGATGTTTTTATTATTATCTCTTAATTTTTTTTTAAATTTTGGTAATTTTGTTGAAATCGCTTTCACACAGTAAAGGGAGGCTTTATTTGAATCTTTGAACTAAATTTACACAAAAAACACAGTAAACAGCCTGTAATAAAATAAGAACAAATAAACAAATTGCAAATGATAGCACCAATAAATACAATAGAGACATGGCATGAAGTTCTCAGGTGGCTCTATAGTATTCAGTAGTAAAATTAATTATTCATAATTTTGTACGTATTTGACCGTTTAAGTGCAATAAGCCACGAAAAAGAACTTAATTAGTGGTGTGCACGCTTTTGGTGTGAGCACTAAACCTGCGGCAATTAGTCAAATTTTGCCCAATACAAGCACTATTCAACCGGAGCGAACGAGAGGAGAACGTGTGTGTCAATTCACCATTGAAGAGGAGAGAGGTATTGATACTGAGGATATTATCGATAAATATTGATATTTTTGACAACACTATTTGATAGGCCTCTAAATTATCATCAGGATCAAAACTTTGCACACAAAAAAAAACCTGTCACACACAATCTATGTTATGCTTTCTGTCATCTGATTGATAGTTCACACTTTTTAATCAATTAAAGGCCTCTAAGTATCATTGTAAACACATTACCTTCAGATCGTAAAAAGATTTTTTAATCTTTAAACTGAGGTCTTTTTTTCCTAATTGAGTATGAGCTTCATATTCTTACTAAATCATACCATATGAGCACTAAAACCCCAATGTATAAAATATGATTCACACCAAACATTGTATCAACAGTATGACTACATGAGACTAGTATGTGAGTGTGAGTGTGTGTTGGATTACAGCGCCTCTAAGGCCTCTCCACTCCTCCACGGCTGTCTCTGGAGTTCAACAATATCAGTTTGAAGGGTCATCATCTCCTCTTCCAGTTTAATCGCGTCTTCTGTCTGATGCACACAGAATTACAACACTAAAACACACGGTTACAACCACACAAACATTCGCTATGATAGCAAATACTCAGGGGTGTGAGTCATGACGACATCATACGATATTGGGTTCACGAGAACGAGACGAGATGATATTTTTAAGAAGCACTATATTTAATATTCAATGACAAAATATGACTGGGAACATATTTAACTGAAAGTCACAAAATGCAGGTGCATTTAACTAATGATTATTTTGGTAATTGTTTAATTAGTTGAATAATTATTTAATCGGATAATATTTTGTGGGAATAATACGACAAACAAACAAGTGAACAATAGCTTTTAAAATGACAAAATACATATATAATAACAACAAGGCAATAATAATTAGTATAAACAATCAAAATCATGGTTTTCTTGGACAACATAAAGTGAAATACATAATATTATCAATTTATGCACATGTGATATAATAAATACCTGCAGAGGGCGCCAACGGCCTTGTGATTGTTGTTGTTACACTTTACAACATGATCGAATTCTTTTTTTAATATTGGCCAAACAACTTTTAATTCAAATGACCACTTAATCTTTAATATTTGGCCACTTCTTTCCGACAGCAATGCTACAGCTGCTGTAATTTCTTGAACAAGAACTTGTGGACATCCAAAAATGCAAACTCAAGAGCGAGTGTTTTATTTTGAAATCGCAGTCAGCAGTTCACATAATTAATAACATACTGATGTATTCTCCAGTGATGAGTGTAGTTTTAAAAATGATCGCACTATGCTATATTGTGATTTTTAAATTGTTTTAATATATCGTGCACAGCCTTAGAAAATGATCTAATAATGCGGTTCATGGATCGCGGAAAACGAGAAAATATTTTGATATCGCGAGATCTCGTCACAACCCTAATTAACATAACATCAAATAGGCATGTACCTGTCCACAGTCGAGGGCGGTTTGCTCCATTTCTCTCCAGACACTCAATAATTTCTCAGAAGCTGGAAAATATGAGCAGACAGAGACAATTTATATAGAGACATGCCTCTTCCACAATCCTCAATACAACTATATAGGGAAAACCCGTAACGCCAAAGATGGCGGGTGTATGCACATGCCCCGCCCCTCCCGCTGGAAAGCCAATCGTCTGCTTTTAACAGTCAAGCCGGGAAACATGTAAGCCTATCGTCTGGTTCCACTGACGCATGCGCACAGTTGAGGTTTACGACAGTGGAGATGAGAACCTTTGTGCATGTGTAGTAAATGTATAACCTGTGGGAAAAAGACCTTATTTTGGGGCAAAGTCATCAAACTTTTTCAGCGATTTTTATAATTTTTTTTACTGCTGTTTTCAGTAGTTTATGTCCCGGTGACCAGTAAAAGTGCAGTTCTGACTCTTTACCCATTCATTTACATAGGAGCCTGGTCTTGTTAGTCCGAAATAGAAGCCCTGAGGCGTTGCCAAGATGGCGGCCGAGTGGCATGACTTGCCTAAAAGGACTTTGGAGCAGATCAACACTTTAGGTGTTCAGTCATTCTGAAAGTAATTCTAAAAACAGAGCTGAGTGTTGGTTTGGGTACAATAAGGGCCTTTCTCAATCTGTGAAGTTGACGGCAGAAATATCCCAGCATTCAATTCGGCATTCGAGGACAGTTTTTCTACATTTACGTACGCTATTTCATTACTAAATTCACTTCTGAGAACATTTGATGTGAGAAATCAACTGTGTAGATTTCAAATATTGCCATTTTTACGAAAATTTATGGCGAATCGGAAATGTGCTCAAACATTTTCGGAAGTGAGAAAAGCGCCTGCGGGTGTTAAGTTAGCTAGCGAGCTAACCAGCCAGTTTCCTCACAGACTCATTTTACCCCACAGTCAAGAGACCACTGCAGCCTGGCTGTTATCGTCAGTAATTCTCGTTATGTTTGGGTACTGCGCGGGGGTTTTATTGCGCAATACCAGCAAGAACACATCGTATCAAACTGTCAGCAGCGTTCTGTGTGTGTGAGTACATTCTTCCAAGAACAACTAGCAAGAGCGTTCTCCCTAAGAACACAAGTCCGTTCTTTGCATTCTTGGTGTTGAGAAACACCCTAATATTTCATTGTGAAGATGTGTCATACCGATCCCCGTAGCTCTCTGCTCCTGGTATTTGTCGATGTCGATGTGTAGACTAGTGCTGAAAAACTCCAGCGTGGCTTTTAACCTCTGGTGCATCGACACCATCTCGTTCTTCTGCTTTGACAATGTGCCGTTATGTCTGAGGAGACTCATGCTGGAGGAGAGAGAGAGAGTGAGCGAGTCATTTACAGCCTCTCGCAAAAGCTCTATATGAATAAATTTGACCTTACTTGAGTAAAGACTTTACAATAAAGTAGCATTAGTTAACCTTGTTGTAGAGTGTTACCAATAAATATTACTGGTCTTGTGATTCTATGGGTTCTAAAAAATAAAAAAAAAATCATAATCTTTAATTAAATTGTCAAATTTTTATTATCTTCTGTTGTTGTAACCAAGTGAGTGAGGGGGAAATAAAATGAACTAATAATATCACAGACCACTTTTTATGATCCAATCAAATACTGATGTATTCATCATGAAAATCATGTCTCGCCCTACATTATTTTCCTGCCAAATATTCTGGTTCACATTAGAGGACTAAATATATCGTAAATAAATAAGAAAAAGCTCAAAACTCGTAAACCTTGTGCTATGTTGAAACCCTATAACACTTTAATAGCTTTAACCCTTGTGCATCAATTAAAAAAAGTTACACATAGGTAAAAAGAGGACAAAAATGTCCATGTCAAAAAACTGTCATAAAAATGTGACGATTTGGAGCACAGACTTAAGTTTGGTATCATTTTAAAGAAGACCCTTTGCAGATTATTGCTGAAGTAAAAAAAAAAATAATAATAAGTAAATCCCCAAAAAAGTTATATAGGTATAAGTTTATGAAAATTATTTATAAAAAATACTTTATATAAAATATATATTTTATAAATCAGGTTGAACTCAAAACTGCAATAAAATCTAAGCCATAAATCTAAATAGGTTGTGTTCCAAATTTGAGGATGATATCTCAAAAAATGAGCGTTCGGTAACAGTTTGTTTGGGCGTAGTAACATATTTTCCCCATTGGGTGCCAGCAAAACCCCACTGGAGCTCACAGTGATTGGATTTGAATTTGCAGTTTTTCTCTCTCAGTATTACAAACACACACCCATATTTTTTTATAACACACTCTGACATCCATACCAACACACCCACACAAATATTGTTGCATAATTTATCCAGTTGGCTCTATAGTATGCCGAATCAGAAAACAGGAATAAAGCGATATTTGTTTTATAGGCCAAACTTAAAAAAAATGGCGCCATCTGATAAACAATAGTAAAAAATAAAAATTTGAAGCCTTGCCATCAGAATGAAAGCCTCTTAACAAAGATAGCATCATTTTATAGTTAACTGAACCGGGGATTAAAAATGGCAGTTTTAATGGGTTTCAATGGGGACATTTTGGTCCAAAAGGCACTGAAAGGGAGTATTTTTTGTACCTAATACAAAAATATTTTTTTAAGAAAATGACGGTGAAATAGTAAAATTCCAATAAAAATACACACCTGTGCCAAGTTTTTTGCAGTTAGCTTTAACACAGGCAAAGTGATCAAAAAAACAAAACTGAAAAGGACAAAAATGTCCATAAGGATGCACAAGGGTTAAAAAAAATAGCTTATAAATCACTCGTTACGTTATTTTATCACCAAATATTGGATTCAATCTTTTTGTCAACTTGTTTTCTCTCAGTCAAGACAGGTTTTGTGTTTATTTTTGAAACTGACAGCCTCTCACATCGGCGTCAGTTCCTGTCTTACATGGCTACTTTCTGTCCTTGCAGCAACCTCTGCCAGTCCTCCTTCAGCACGCGGATGGTTTGCCACGCTTGACCCCATGTGCGTCTCTGGGAACTGTAGGGCAGAGAGCGCTTCGGCTCGTTCTCTACATCACAAAAGACAGAGCAGTTTAGTGACTCTTCTCTGAGGTGTAGACACTACCAGTTTCACAATCCATTATTACTGGCTTTAATATATCAGACAAATTTTCTTATCGGGTCGATAATGAAAACATTCAAAATGGTGGCCGATATGTTGTGCATCCCTAATTTGGTAACACTTTACAATAAGGTTCATTAGTTAACATGAACTAAGAATGAACAATACTTCTTCAGCATTTATTAATCTTAGTTAATATTAATTCCAACATTTACTAATACGTTAGTTAGTAATTAGTTAACATTAGTAAATGCACTGTGAACTAACATGAACGCACAATGAACAGCTGTATTTGTATTAACTAACATTAACAAAGATTAATAAACACTGTAACTAATGCATTGCTCATCGTTAGTTCATGTTAGTTAATGCATATACTAATGTTAACTAATGAACCTTATTGTAAAGTGTTACCCCTAATTTTAATCTGTACTAAAACCGATAGCTGAAAAGTTCTGATTGTTTATTATAGTTCTTCTGCACTTTGAATGCAATAAAACAATCCCAAAAATGTATAAAGTTTTTGTAACATGGAAAAAAAGCTATTAATCTTGTTTTTAAAAGGACAACGTGTACATTTCTGTCAATATAGTGATGAAGTCTTTCAACTAATGAGGTGAACAAGGGAAAGAAATGGACAGTAACTCACGGACGAATCGGACGTTCTCAGGAAGGACACGTGGCGTAAACTGAGGCTCGTAACTGCAGCACGAACGGTCAAACAGGAAGACGAGCGGCTCATCCGTGCGCCGGGCGTCCACCAGCTAAAAACACAACACAATTCGTCTAAACTGGGTTGGATTAGTGTTCGATACTGAATTTTAAAAAATGTGGGGCTTTAAGCAGAATCACAAACACCTTGGAGTGATCGTTATACTCATGAGATCATCACATGTCTGTGATTGACTTCAATGATCAGCGCTTCAAAAACATGTTGCTCTTCAGCGAGTGCTTGCACAGATAGACACGGGAGCGTTTATTAGAGTATCGGTCCGCTGCAACACTTCCGTGTGCTCTCAAACGCTCCTGTGCGTTGATCATTTTAGCCAGACAAGCATATCGGATGAGCTCGTGAACTCAATGGCCAATCAGAGTTGTTTATAATTACGCAAGTGTTACATTTTTTAAATTCCAGTACCGACTTGGTATCGAAGTCGTTACTTTTGACAACATTAGGTTAGATTGACTTTAGAAAGTTGCTGTAGCATCGAAAAGGTGTCAAACATACGCTATAATCGATGGCACACTGCATGACGTTGTTCTGCGGCTCGAGGGCAAGTCCCGCCTCCAGCAGCAACTCCTGATTGGCCGGAGGAATGCGAGTGTCTTGTGCGATTCGTTCCTGAAGGGACGCCACGTCTTCCAGCGGCTGCACAGAGTAGGTGAATATTTCGGCCGAGGTCATGTTGAGCACGTGGACCAGCTGAGAAGAAAGAGGCGATAAAATTAGGCATATTTATGCACGACACTGTAGCATAACGGGGAGGATTAGGATCATTTACTGCTGTAATCATTCCATTAGAGCTGATTATTTTGATAAAACGATTAGTTGGTCGATTATTTCTTCGAATAATCGGATTTAAAAGCTTCTTCACCTTTTTATATTGACAAAACGCACTATTCTGCGTCCTGGCCAAAGCTGTCCTTCACACTAATTTGCCAACTGAATGCTATAGAAAACATATGTCTATATCTTTGCTACGTACAAAAGAGCTAAAAAGCAAAAGGACAGTTTAAATCCCTACATTCAAAATTAGGATAATAAAAAAAATACAAACACAAACTCAGATTTTAGATCATATTTAGATATTAAACGTATGTCAAATAAGGGCGGTTAACTTTGATTGACAGCTGATAACGGGCTGCTGTAATTTGACGCAACTGGCGTCTTCCATTCACGGTGGGCAGACATAACTAATCGACAATGACATTCGCTGTCGATTTTCATTGTTTCGTTGTTGCAGCCCTACATTTCATCATCGAGAGCTTCAGCTTACCTTTAGATCCAGAATGCGCCGTAATTCTTCAAAGCAGAAACAGGAACTTTTCGGAGAGTCTTTGACACTCTCTGGACTGGTTTCTTTACTGTCCTCCTCCGGATCTTTGACCCCCTCCTGACTGTCTTTGCTCTGCTGTTTTAAATCTTTGCCTCGCTCTTTCGGTGACCATCTCAGCATCATTTGTAGCCAGCTCTCCAGCTTCCCAGCTAACAGTCTGAAACACATTTAGAGTTAGATTAACCAATCCAGCTACATATGAAGAGTTCAGATGCAAAAGCCTCTAAATGCCATTTGAAATTTTCTTCTTTAATAATCATTTTTATCAAACTTGTATATTTAAGTTCAGTAATTTCACTTAAATAACAATTAATAGGTAATTATCATTGCCATTTAAGTGAAATCACTGAACTTAAATATACAAGCTTGACAAAAATGATCATTCTAGAAGAAAATTTCAAATGGCACTTAGAGGCTTTTGCATCTGAACTCTTCATATTCACTCTGAATGGGGTATTTTTCAGTCAAATTAAACAATTTAGCTGTACTTATGAATGAATCAATCCCTTCTCGGGTCAAAATGACCCGAACACAACATGATGGTTAATAACAGATTCACGCGTTCATGTAGTCACAGGACTCACTTGTTGAGGTTGTGAGGGTTCGGTAGATGTTTGGAGAATCGAACTTCTCCACTCAGATCCTCATAAACCACAATATCATCCAGTTGTTTCTGCAACAGCTTGCCGTGCCTGAGGAGAGAGAGATGTGAATTCAAGCAAACCTGGATGTATTTTGAACACACCCTTCAGCACCGGCGTCAGTCTTGATTTTTCTTACATTCTCTCAGTTATAATATAAAAACAGTCCATGTGGTGAGAATACTGGAGCACATCCAATCACAGTACAGCAATCTCCGGAATAATAAACGATTGTAGCAGGAATATTATCCTTACTCAAACATAAGATGTTAGAACAATAGTGCGTCATGCAAGTTTATGAAGGTGTTTTCTGGCTCAAGCTGTCAGGTCATGAACCGACTGTACTTTTGTTTCGAGTCTCGCTATTGGGTTCATTCACATACAGAATATAACTTCACATTGATACCACTTTAACACTGCATTTAAACTGAGTACACACATGCCACCACAAGTACTTATGAAATAAAAAAGTTATTTATTTATTAATCATTACTAATTTTTTTTTTAATGGTTTCATTTTCTCACATCTGCATTCGGTTTTACAGTTTACCGTTCTGTATCAAACATCCTGCTTTATTTAGCAGGATAGGAACAGTGGTTTTCAAAAAAAGGCCAAAACGGTATATTTTTTTCAATTCACCCCATAAACACTGATTTTGGTTTCTTTAGATACCCAGGATCCCCACAGTCTTGGTAAAAAAACATGAATATATGAGGAAGCCTCATTTTAAAAGTGTAATATCTAGACTTGGAATAGTAATTCATGGAAATTAATAAAATCTTAAAGTGCCTCTATTATACTTCAGGGCTCCAAAACAAAATTAGGAAACTTCTAAATAGTCATTATTTTTAAGACTAGGAACCCTGAAGAACATTCAGCTCCTATAACTTTTGGAGAAATGAAACTTAATATACAGAAACTAGGAGTATCCAAAGATGTAAAAAAAAGTATGTTCACAGCAGATGTACAGAATAAAACCTGTTCGCCATTGAATACTCGTGTCAATAGAGGCCTTGGAGTCAAAAAGGTTGTGAACCACTAAAAGAAAACCATCAGACCTTGCAGTGTAAAATTCAGACAGCTGAGAGAATAATTACCATTGCACGGGTTGCCAGTTTGGTAGAAAAGGCCTGAATCCTGTGATACACTCAAAAACCAGCGTCCCGAAACTCCAATAATCCACCGCCACCGTGTACTTCTGCTGTTCTAACAGCTCAGGGGCCTGAGAGAGACCCACAATACAAGACACAGACAAAACACTGTATATCAGTAAAGATGAGATGCTAAACAACCAAGAAGTCTGGCATTTTGCACTAGTTCGTTGATGTACCCACCAAATACTGCAGCGTCCCAACAAACGATGTGCACAGGCTGCTCTGGTCCAGTTCTTTAGCATAACCCAGATCTATGATCTTATGGACCAGCTACAAGATGCAGGAAACATTCATGCTGCTTTAATTTAGCAATAAAATATGAGAGTGAAAATAGTGCCGTCTTAATGCTTTTAGAAAACAGAATTACTGCAAAATGTTAAATATATATATAATTTTTTTTTAACATAATTATTTAGTGAATCTGATCTTTTGCATAAATTCTCCAAACACTTACCCTTTTTTCTCCTTGTTGAAGAACAATGTTTTCTGGTTTGAGGTCTCTGTGGATAATTCTCATCCCGTGGAGGTACGTCAGTGCCGAGGCTGAGGAGACAGATTAGTTTTTAATTGGAAATATGAACATTTTAATGAGATAATCATCAATATAACTTTAGACACCAATGCTCTGCCAGTCCTGAATGTACTGTATGTTACTGTGGCCTCAGTGCCATTACACCAGATGTGTAATTATTCAGGTAAATAGATATAAAACATGTCTCAGAATGACATACAGTTGAGTAATGTAAATGATGAGGGTATTTACATTTTTGCGTGGACTATCACTTTAAGACTTCAAACCCAACACTCCAGTTGACTGCCAGAGTCAAATTCCAAGTAAAGTTCCCAACTTATTTTTCTAAAGGCTTCCCAATAAATCCTCAATGATAAGGTCATGTAGGATCAGGATCTAACACCCCGGCGATTTTACTGGAAACATGACTTCCACATCAATTGATGACATCTCACATGTTGCTTTAAGGAAACCACAGTGTTTTTACTTAAGAGAGAAAATTGGCCAGTGACTAAATCCAGGTTCATGTTTGTGATTTAACAAAAAATTTCTGGTGGACCACAGAGTGACGATAAGATACGACATGTATACAACGGCATTTGTGACCCATCATTAGATCTGGTTTGAGGTTGTTAGTTGTTGATCAAGTGTAAGCAAAGAGAATCTACTCACAGTGGATAATAAACAGCAGACTTACCTCATCAACCCAATCCCAGACATAATATCTTATCTCTATAGAGACTAAAGGTTATAGGTCACTTATTCTCACCCTCAAACCAGTATGAATTTTATTTAAGTTTTTCACGGCACACAAAATAAGATGAGCCGCGTGCACGACGTTCTGAAAGTTACACATGAAAATACCGTAGACCAATTCCTAGTTCTACTTCTCAGAAGAGAAATTAAGGTTTATTAACCAATAAATGAAATTGGAATTTCAAACTAGTAAGAAATCAGTTCCTGATATCAAAAATTGAATTTGAATGGCAAGTCCAACTAAAAATGACCCCAGAAATCTCACATGTATTTCCCTCAGAGTTTCACAAGAGAACTGTGCTCAGATTTGAGCCTCAATTCAATATGAACTCAAACATTTCTCATCAAATGATCTGAGCTGCTCCACAGTCATTATAGCTCTTTACTCTTACTGCATAACCTATTGACTCATTTGGGTCTGTTTATATTTCTAGGAATTCTTAAAAAAATAAGTCTTAATCAAAGTTGAATGAATCATAGTTAGTTAAGCTAAACACTTCCTTTTCTGTTCTACATAAGTCATGTTCAGTTAAACCAAAAAATATTCAGACACCACATGTACTCTTTAATATATTTTCAGGACACAATAGTTTATTTATGTAAGTTAGGATGTCTGAATAAATTACGGTTTGATTTGTAGATTTGGAACGACATAAGAGTAAATGAATTTTTGGAGAAACTATCCCGTTTAAGTCCATACGTTTTAGTAGAGCCCCCTCCATTTTCTTGCTAAAAAAAAGTCTTATGCTGCATAATGTATCAGACTTCTTCTCTATGTGTGTGTGTGTGTGTGTGTACATCAGATCTGATTCATATTCTCCACCACTTCCAGCTGCAAATCTGGGTTAAATATGTTATGTTCTGACATTTACAAGACCTGATGTGATACAAACGCAGATTCAGCAGAAATGTAAACAGACGCAGTCACCACACGACCTCTGTTTACGGCTCACATATGTTCACGTGCTCACGTGATAAAGGTCAACTAGTCTGGTTTGCCGTCTGCTGGGACTAAAGTGCTGGAAAAACTGAGTTAAACAGCTGCTTGTGTTATTTGTGTTGTAGCGCCCTACGAAATCTGTATTATTTCTTCCCAAATCCCTTTTTTTCTGTTCTAATTTTTCTGGATTACGTTTTGATGGTTAAATTAAAATTCATTAATCAAAAAACATGTCTAATTAAATTAAATGCAACAACAACTTATGCCCGTTGCAACAAAAAAATCATTTTTACAGCGGTTTTATTTTTTCAGAAATTTTGTTTACATTATTCTGGATTCAGTTTTAATGGTTTAATTAAATCTTTTAGTAATTAAAAGCATGCCTTATTAATTAAATTCATAAAACTTTATTTTACTTTACTATGTAATCAAATCAAATGTTTTCAAGTGCTGCACATCATAGGTTTACTGTTAAAATTAAGAATTAATGTATGAAAATGTATGTTTTGAGTTTTAATAGTCTTTTGCATGTTGATTTTACAGTCATTAATCTATAATACAGTCGAAGTGTACAACCCTTACATTTAAATTTGCCAAATTCTGTGGCATTCCTCGTTATAATGCAAATTAAATTTTTATAACCAGACTCCGCAATTCTGTCTGCGTTTTCAGCGTTGTGGAAATCATAGCACCCTGGTGTTGCGATTGTTGGGAATAACTTTGGACCGCCATTGGCTGGTGTATGCGGACTCACATATATCTTGAATCAGTGTCAGAACAGCAGCTTCTCTCATGCCACAGCAGTTCTCAAGCAGATTCAGGTACTGAACATACAGAAAGCACAGAGGTTATTTTGATAATGCACCCTTACTTTAATCATTGGAATATTCATATACCATGGTTTGTACCATGCTGCATGTCCAAAAACCCATGCTATCACCATGGTATATGCCCAAAAAGCTTTTTTGTGCGTGCCAAACCTTGCGTAGGTCTCCTCCCTGGCAGTACTCCATGGCCAGCAATGGCAGGTCATTCGTAGCCAGTTTCTGGAGTTCTTCTGGAACGTCTCTCGCCGCCACCACATTCATGTGATTCAACCTGCAGAAGAGAGAGACGCTTTATTATTACGTGCAAACACTAAAGAACACGACGTACATATAACTGGTTACACAATGTTGTTATTAAAACAATGTGTTGGTAATATTCAGACGGCTGGCCGGCCCTGCCCTACACGGACCTCATATAAAACACACGCTCAGGACAAAGAGGAATAAAAACAGATGGATTCCAGGCACCATAACAGGATAACTGCAATGGCAACACGTAAAACTATCATTTGAGAAAATAAACAGCTCGTTTTAACCTTCATATGCAGCCATCCTGACATAATTGCTGTAATAACAAAAATTAGGCCTTGAGTAACACCGCGTGAGTTGCATAAGAGTTTCAGTACATCTCTTGCTTTTCTTCATCTCGAGAAAGATTAAACATCTAAACTTTGAAAATGTCACATTTTACCTTTCCTTCGATCACATGCCAAATACCTTGAACAAATCTCTTAATGTACTTGAGATAATTTTCAACAGCAAAACGGCTCTCTTAAACCTTACTGTTAAAAAAACCCCCAATTCACCAGTTGAGTCGATTCAGTATCTTAAAAGCCCACTGAAATGCCTTATTCTCAATGTGTCGATGTAATTTCCACTGAAACAGGAAGATAAGGCGGGACATATCGAACAGCTTATATTATTAGGCCAGAGCTGTTGAGCTCAGTAAAGCCACAGTTTCCTCCATGTTTAAAATAGTAAATGTGTGAACAAGTGACCGTTTTCAGCCGCAGCTTCAGCGCCTATTCATAATTTAGGGGGCGGAGCTTCAGATTCTAGAGAGCATTTGATTGGACCGGAAACTCTGAGAAGTTGAAGTGCAGACTCAGAGTGATGTCATCAAAATCATTGATCCATTTTGGTGGAAGTGAGAGACTGTTAATTTTGAACGTTTATATTGTCTAAATGTAAATTTTGTCATTGTTTTGAAGCTCACTAGGTAGTAAGACTAACATATAATTAGTAAAAGCCCAAAAAAAATCCATTTTAATTTCATGGGGACTTGAAGTTTAATTCAGCCATACTATATAGTATGCAAAATTGGTGCATCACAAATCATAAGTCGAACTTTAAATTTTCAATTTCTAACTTAAAAAAAAAAAAGTTTAGCCAATATTACCCACAACCCTTTGTGCTTCGGAAGACATTAGGTGTGTTCGACTTGAAGAGGCGACTTCGACTTCTCTTTCACTTTTTTAAGTGAAACCCAAGTGAAGTAATAATGAATTTTAAAGTAGGCTTAAATGGAAATTCATCCCGTTTTCTAAATTAATGAATTTCTAAAAAACTCAACCATCTGTTCTGATGAAACAACAGGTTTCTCTCTAGTGTCGTATGCCGGACCCCACCGATTTCTTACAATAGACTACAAGCACGCATTCAGATCTGCCAATATACAATCAACAACTGTTGGACAGAACTAAGTCTCCGCCCTACATTGCCCCAATACTGCTGTATAATGAGATTTATACGGCTTCAGTAAAAATATGCTAATATCTTATATCTGCTAATATCTTATGGAGTGTTGCTTTGCTTCTTGTTTAAAACATAACTAGTGTTCAAGATGACCAAACCTTTTTACCAATCAGCGCTCTGAATCCTAATCTGAAGGAAAAAATTCCTTGTTTGGAAAGTAATGAAGCAGACAGCAAAGGCTATGTTATCATTACAGGCCCCTCACGGATACACTGAGTTGGGTTACGGTGGACACGTCAGAGTCCAACACGCTCCATGAATCATGAGTTATTTATCACGACGGGTGAGTTTAATCGGACTTCGTGCCATTTTGACGTCAGTCTGTTTCTGAGCTGCTGCCAACACAGTCAAATACCCCTGAAGACATGATGGGATTCCTTTCCCACTTAAGAGGTTCAACTGAAAGACATTTCTGAGATTGAACATCATTATTAAGTGTTGATCATCAGTGAATGTGGGTGTGAACTATAGAAACTCAGTCCTGGGTGTTTTCCCCAAAAACATCTGTCTGGGATGACTGTGGTTTGGCGACATACACACTGAGCTCTACAAGAGGGTGTTTAAGTCCAGGTTTGTGGCTCAGACCAAGTCTGGGGACAGTCTGCTATAAATTTGAGAAAACCGGCACGTCCCCCAACCCCTCTCGCTCGTCACACAACCACTGTTAACGAGCGCAATCCAACCACACCGCAGCGTCACGGAAACACTCACACTGTGACACTCGACAGACAACGTTAGGTTTTAATCATTCAAATTCATGTTGCATGCATAATTGAACGGGTTTAATTTGGATGACACCCATTTTGTAGCCGTCCTGCTGCATAGCTGCCAACTTTTGAGTATATCTTGGAGTGGGTTTTTGGATTGGGGGGTGGACGATGTAAAAAAAAAAGTGTAGGCTATTGTGATTGTCAACATTTGGTTCAATGTTCAATTCAAATTTCAGTGACAGCATGGTGCAATATTTGGGATAGGCTACTGCTTTTATTATTGCTTGATTATGAATTTTACAATTTCATTTTAAAGGTGCATTGCGCAAGTATCTAAGTTTTTGCAGAACTACGCCCCCTCTGGCGACCAGCGAAACTGCAACGGGCTCATGGACCACACGAGCTGTTCATAACCAAAGGAGCATCACTCCTAAATAATAACGACTCGCCTGTGTCTATTAAACTTTGACAAAATCATTCTTTCAACCTGTTTAAAAAAATTAATTTATTCAGATTAGACTGCAGAAATAATTTTGTCAGAACCTCTAGTAAATTTCATATTTTGTTTAGCTGTTTGTTTATCGTGACCTCTGTTTGAAATTAAAAAAATTGTGATTCTCAATTTGTCCAGAATCGTGCAGCTCTAGTTCACACCCAAAAAACTTAATACAATAAGCCGCTTTCCAATAAACAACTGGACATGAATACAGCCACAACTAAATCAGCCCTAAACCAATAACCTCCAGAGACAAACAGAGATGCACTTGCTCCTAATTTAAGATGAGCCTGAAGGTGTTGTGACGGCACAAACCGATGCCGAGGCCACTTTTTACTACTGCGGTGTCATAAATCCATCCCTCTTTGTTTTGCTCAGAACTTTTGTTCATAAAAACACTTATAAATAGCCGAATAACAACAGAAGGCTTTGCGTGGTTGCTTAATGGACTGCATGGTAAACATAGCTGAGATTCAGTGGGCAAAAGATGGAAAAATACCATGAAAATAAGAGTGTTTTCTCTTTTAGGAAGCATCTGCTGTGACGTGAAAGCCAACATAAAGTTATCAGCCAAAAAAGATGGGTGTAGTCCTTAGAAGAATTACTGTGTAGGGGTCATTGCATTATATTATTTTCATTTTTGAATCACCACTGACATGCTCATGTACCAAAAACAGTTAATTTGTTTTTCATGAACATTTTCTTCCCTCTCTGATACTGATCAGACTTCTATGTAAATGCATTTTGAAATTAGGAAGAGAGCTGTGTGTGAACCGCACTGAGGGGGAAGACTCTGGACACGATATATATTCACCTCTTCATGATCTGAATCTCTAAACTCCATCTGCCCTTGTTCTTGGCGCTGAGCTCCTGCCGGCACTGTTTGATGGCGATCTGAACGCTGCTTTCCTGTACACACAGATATACCAACACATGTTAGAAAACATCAGGTGCTCTTCGTTTCGGAGTCACACTTGTCACACCCGGTCAAAAGTGACTAATGTTGTAGAGTGTCACCCCTTTCCTGCGGTGTACTTTTTTTTTTTTTTTTAGAATTGTGGCCGATTTGTCGATTGTACATACAAAAATTCAGAGATTTTATTTATTTTTTGTCAATTTCCCATTCATTTCCTATGGGTCGGTCATTTTTGACAGAAGAGACTCATTTCTTACGAACACTTAAGTTGCTCGAATCATGACCTCAATTTTTTTTGTGTTCACATACCCAATGCCATAAAAGTCACCAAGTTTTGTAATTTTCTGAAGAAGCTGTGATTTTTAAATATTCAAAACAGATTTCTTTAATCACAATTTATTGGTGTTTTTGTGTATAAAAGTGTGTGTGTATGTGTGTGTGTAGGGGTGGGTATGTCTGTTTTGCACTCTTGATATTTTAGAGTGTCACCCCTTCAATGCTGAGCACTTTTTTTCTGCATCGTGGCCGATTTGTAGATTGTACACACAAAAATTCTCAAAGTTTTTGTGTTTTTGTCAATTTCCCATTCATTTCCTATGGTCGGTCATTTTTGACCGAAGAGCACAAGTGTGACTATTTTTTTTACGACCACTTAGCCTGCTCGGATCATGACCTCAATTTTTTTGTGCGTTCACATATCCAATCCCATAAAAGTCACCAAGTTTCGTAACATTCCGATGAAACTGTGATTTTTAAAATTTCAAAACAGAACATTTTTTGGTCAGAAATGACCGAAGAGCACCTGAGGGTTAAGAGAGTGTTAATTTAGTTGTGTACATATATGTTCCCATATATATGTTTTTTTTTTTTTTTTGTAATGTCACAAGTAATAATCTCAGGGTTTACATGATTATTTTGGTATTGGTAGTGGTATACTAAAAAATACTTGTTTGTCACGTGTTTATTTTTCTTCTTCTCACCGACTCCTAATGGTTAGAGGACAGTTCCTCGAATCATTTCAAAGAATAGTACAACGCCTCAACCGCTTGGAAAGGTTCCCGCGCTGTCACGGTTTCGGTTTGCGTCATCACAACATTTCGGCCGTATTGTTTCACTGGAAAAAATCTTTAGTCCGAAAAACGAAAAAGCACTTTTGGGCCATTTTTGGTGACCGAATATTCGGTGCATCCCTAATTAATACACATTTTAGTTTTTGGAAACTGTCTTGAGGGTGAAATGTTTCTGTGACCTTAGTGAGTCTACAAGCATAATGAACGAATGATAAACAATGAGTGTTTCTGTGACGAGTGAAGAATTATGTCATACTAAATTGAAATTCAGGGAGGAAATTTATAAGGCGGCACTTGAATTCCGTCTTGCCCATTTCCTACGGTACTTCCTTTTAGTTCACGTCTCATGGCGGGAATTATGACGACCGGTGACATCAGCCGGAAATGGCAGAAAGAGAGAAAAACCAATGCAATCAAGGTGAGTAAGGAAACATGACACATTTTTCATTTAGTGAACATCATGACAGGATTCATGAGTCTTTAACTGCAATGGCACAAATCTATGGGGAAGATGCTTAAATTTTGCACATTGATTATTCAATGTGGTCTCTGACGTTTGCACATAGACACACAAAAACTGCATTTTCACACTGGTTTCATCAACATCCCCTTCACCAACACCCTGATTATTGGTGACATGACATGATGTCATCACTGACCACCAGAGAGGGCGAGTCTGAACACAAACTGTGCTGGACAGGATATCAAGACAATAAAATGGGATTTTCTCTTTAGATATGACTCTTATATGACTAGATATGCTCTTTAGATATGTTTTTATGGTCCAGTGGGTGAAAATGGTAAATCTGATCCCTAATTTAAAAAAAAATAACCCTGGTAACAGCAAACAAGAGGAATCATTAATGTTTAATCTCCTTCAGCATTCTTTGAAGGCTATATGACCGTCATGCTCGGTAAAACTCTTTAAGGATGTGTGTGTTTCAGTGTAACTACAACAGGCAATGAGTGATCATGATGTCACAGGGACAGGAAGTGGGACACAGCAGGTATAGATGCATTTCCTCCTTTCTCATTGTTAGAGTCCCAGTGCTGTGAATGTTAATTCATGTGAATCTGAAGTGCCTCTATTTTAGGATGTTCAAACACCTTTATCCTGATTTGCTGTAGCAGGATGGGGTGCGACGACCGTTTACCAGCAGATCGCCCAAAAAAGACACAGACTCCAATTTAAGTAACAAATTAACATATGAGATTTAGCTATGGAATATAACATCCTGGAATAGTATTCCTATTATTATCCTAAACCAGTGATCGGCAACGTGTGTCATGAAGTGCCATTTTTCATTAAAAGACAATTGCGACTTTTTATCTTACAATTGCGAGTTTACGTCTCGCAATTCTGACTATATAATGCAATTGCGATTTTATATCTAAAAATCTGACTGTATATGTTGCAATTCTGGCTTTATATCACACAATTCAGAGAAAAAAGTCAGAATTGCTTTTAATAATTTTTATTCTGTGGCAGAAACAAGATTCCATAATATATTGTATAATAACCGTTTTCAAACAATTAACAAAATCTAATTAGTAATAACTATAAATTATGCATAATTACATGCAACTAACACTAAACCAAACCTAACCCTAAGTACAAGTAGTTACTTAATATTACTCAGTACTTAAATGTATAATTACTGTGTAACATGGATGCCTTCAGTAAAGTGTAACCCAAACTTGCTAATTTGCTTAGTAACATAGAAATAGAGCAGAATGTTGACGCAATTTTCAAAGTTTTGAGGTTTAAATCTGGATATTCTCGGATCATGAATCACCCATCATAAATTAAAATAATTATAGTGTTCCTTTCTCCACACTGAGCATCTGCAGTAACGCCTATATATACTACTCAAATATGCATTTCACAATGTATTTAAACAGGAAACAATAAATCAATTGAATGCATCCGCCGCTCCTTATGATCCTAAAGACACATGCTAAAGTCATCTACTTCTGTTTGTCCAACCGGCCTGATTCATGTATAACACAACACTTTAGATTTATGTCCCGTTTTTAAACCATCCCAAGCTTTATAACTCGCCCTAAAATTCTGAGGAACATGAGAAGTTGATAAGAGCGTTGTTAAAACCCTAAAACTAATCTGACGTTATTGCAGCAGCCACAAGGATGTTGATGCAGGAAAAGGGTCTAGTGTAAATCACGCTGAGGGATGAGCATGCATTGGGTTTATGTATAGTATAGGAATCATATTTTACCTTGTTTTGCCAGAGAGTGACATTCCCGAAGCCTCCGGTTCCCAGTCGCTCTTTCAGTTCCCAGGGGCCACACATCTGCGGCTGCATGGATGGAGGACGGCTCATGGCGGACCCTCAAACCCTGGAGAGAGAGGAACGCGATAACAACCATTAATGTTAATGTTAAAGGGATAGTGTCTTAGGCCATCAATGTGTACTTACATTTATGAGTCATTAAATCATGTTTAATTTGGACCATAGACCTGCATTATATGACTGACAGACAAGAACGGTTTGACCTAAAAATATCAAAATTGAAAATACTGTGGAAACAAAGACGCCTACATCTGGATGCCCTTGAGGTAAGATAAAACATATCAAAAATTAATTTCAAAGTGAACTATCCCTTTAAAAACAGATACACTAGGCGTGTGTGTGAATATATGGTGAGGTTAGATAAGACACATGCCTTTGGTGTGAGAGACCCGGGTTCGAATCCACTGTGAGACACCAATGTGTCCCTGAGCTAGACACTTGACCCTTAGTTGCTCCAGAGGCCTGCGACCTCTGACATATATAGCAATTGTAAGTCGCTTTGGATAAAAGCGTCAGCTAAATAAATAAATGTAAATTAAAATACGGGAGCTGAATATGGCATCTGAGGATGTCCTCAATAGTAAAATAAGTGTTTTATGGAAATTACTTAGTTTTTTTATTATTATTATTTGGTATGTTTAATTTATTACAAATGTTTACATACATGCAAGTGTGTGTGAGGGTTTCGTTTAGTCTATAGACAATTAAAAACAAAATATAAGTGAATAAAAAGCACAACACTGATGATAATCCGACTTATTTCTTGAGCAGCAAATCCTCATATTAGAGTGATTTCTGAAGGATCATTTGACACTGAAGACTGGAGTAATGCTGAAAATCACAGGAATAAATGACACTTTACTATATATTCACATAAAAAACGTTTTTACTGTATTTGCTCAGATAAATGCAGCTTTGGTGAGCAGAAGATACTACCGACCCCAAACTTTTGAACAAAATATATAGGCTACATGTGAATGAAACGCTGCTTTATAATCGGCGACATATTTGTACACTGATTATCAAACTTTCATTAAGCTGCTGTATCACATAATAATACTAACTAAAGTCCAGATGTTTACCGCTGTTTATTCGCAGTAAAGTAGCTCGTCGTTAATGTGAAGTGATTTTACCTGCTGCTGTCAGACTTGATCTGATTTACTCCGAAACACTTCTCAAAACAGACGATTCCTGCGATCTTTACACATCTACGGGTTTGTTTTTCGTAAATCAGTCAGTAAATGTTTGTGATTATGTTTGAAAGCAGAAGAGCATTGAGTTTCTCTACTTCCTGAAACTTTCCTTTCCCGTAAATATTGTAATAGAGCAGACTCACGAAGTAATATCCGTACTCACAATAGGCTACTATACACACTACATACTATACATAATGATCATACTTACATTTCTGTACAATAATAACCTAACACTTTTTGACTTTCTCAAAGTTTTTTTTGTGTGTAAATTCACTTGATGTTAAGAGTGTTTATTTTTTCCCCTCATGTCTAGCATAATTATTATGAGGCTTTGTTTTATTTTATATATTTTTTCCCCTGAAAGAATGGAAGAGAAATGGGACAACATGCCCCATAGTACATTGTAACATATGATCATATGACCGGTTTAAATGTTATCTGATGTAATCAATATATAAAATATATAGCCTACAAGACAAACTAAAATATTTTGTGAACAAAATATAATTATTAACTTTTTAATATAATCAAATTATTAAGTTTGACAACAAACATTCCACAAAACATGCAACATAGTTCAAAACAATAATCATTAATAAATTCTGAACACTGACTCTCAGTCTTTCTCATGGTTTCATGAAAAAAGTTGTTAATGTAAATTAAATCCGCATTAATAGCATAGTTGAATTGTGCCCCAATCACCCCAATACTTAACAAATTAAAATCAAATACTAAACACAATACTGTAGAGTTCATGAACTCTTTTTATCTTTAATCTTCACACTTGACAGACTTTACTCATATAGTGTTTAATGCATGTTAAAGTTCATTCAAATAGTGAAAAATGTCATCAACCTTTTAAAATATATTTTCATAGGCTATGCTGAATGCATATATGACAGATAGGATGTGCATTATAAAGGTTTATGCATTTCCTCCATCTCTTAGTTTGAATCGCTGCTGTGTATGTGATCATTTCCTCGAAAAGTGAGTTGTTAATGATGATTTCCTTTGGTGCCACCCTCCTAGAGGACAGATTTACAGATAACCTCTCTCAGCCTTGAAAGATGGAGTTTCCTTCATTTGTTTTTTTTTTCTGTCAAAGGATTGATGTGTAAATCTGAAAGAATTTCGACTTAATTGTTTTCAAATCTATTGGGAGCAATGCAACTTTAAAAAAAGGTCAAATAGCCTATTCATGTTTAATCAAATGCGTAAAAAGCAACATATCAAGTTCTTAAAAACATCTAAATCTTAAAATCAGCTAAATAATCTGGGTCTTGACTGGGTCTTTCAGGACTCCATGACCCGTTTTCTCTTTAAATGTCCAAATAAAATGTTGCTTTTATGGGTTTGTTCCTCAGAGATGTTCATTTACAAGAACTGTTGCTGTTCCTAAATTTCTACATGGTGATTCAACCCTAACCTTAACATGATCAGCCTGATGTCCTGCGTCATGATGAATTGGCTACTCTGCTCTCTGAAAGTGAATCTTTCGGCCTACAGAAACTCTCTGAAGTGTCCTGTGGAAACATGTCAACGGTGAGTAAATAAACAGGGTAAACAGCTAAATCTTTATAATTAGATGCTCTTATGAACCGCATGTTTCCACATTTCAGAAATTCTACAGTCATTTGCGTATGGCACTTTGGTGGCGGTCCATTCGGGTCACTAGATGATGTTCTGGTGTGGGTGACGAAGAAGGCATAGATGTGACGTCCTGAACCTCTCCAGCTGCTCTCGGTGTATGTGTTTACACAGAAGTTTCCTGTTACCGTGCATAACACTGGATGATACAACGAGATAATCTGTGCGTAATATTATACAGATAAACATGCTTGAGTCACACAAAACCGACACACAGGCTGTCACGATCTATATTGTATTATATATACAAATTATCATTCTCTTATTCGATTGAATCAATACATGTATGAATCAACATGAATTAAAATAACATTGCGTTACATAAATTCACTAGGCCTACACTTTCATCGCAAACAGACAACTATGATTTCCACTTTTTGTCAGGCTGATTTGTTAGTAGGGATTACATCTGTACACCAGTAGGTGGCGACAATTAAGTGGGTATTGAATCATTCATTCAACTGATTCATCCATGAACGAGTCATTAACGCTCAACAACGGGCTGTATCCCAAATCGCATACTCTCTTGAGTAGGTACTTATTTTGAATAAGTAATTACTTCACAAACACTAAAAGAGTATATTCTATATAGTATGAACTGGTTTAGTATGAATGTATTCCTACATCCGCCATCTTGTCATTCGTAAATCCTCTCCCATGGCCTCATGGGATAGTATTGTCCATCATATGCACTTCAGAATCTCGCTGTAGTCGAGACCACCTCACTCGAGTCCGAGTCGACACCGAGACCAGAGAGAGTCGAGTCCGAGTCAAGACCGAGTCCATAGAGAGTCGAGTCCGAGACCAGAGACGGTCGAATCCGAGTCGAGACCGAAACCAGTGAGGGTTGATTACCTAATTTACTTTTATTTACTTAGAGAAATCCTTTTTTTTTTTTACTGAATTTACTTAGACTTTAAAAAATATGATCAGTTTAGGGTAAAAAGGCCACATAGTAGGTGGTGTTAAAAGTAATTTTATTACAATTTGTCATGCGCAGTTGCGCACTAGAAAATCACCAATCACTGGGCGTGTCAATCAATTTAAAGAAATATTTTATTAACATAAATTAATAATCATGAAAAATATTTTTAATTGAACTCGAGTGGACTCGGGAATAATTCCGAGTCCTAAAAAAAATGTTCGAGTACGAGTCAATTCCGAGTCCAAATGGACACGAGTCCATGACAAGACCAACACCATGGGCGAGGCTAGCCCCTTTTTAGGGGTGCTTCAGCACCCCTAAAGAGGAGCTCAGCACCCCTAAAACTTGGAGCAAGAAATGTTGTTATTCTAAAAATTTTGTTCGTCTTTGACACGGTTAAATAATGTCCAAAACATACTCAGTAGTTTGAGGTTTAAAATGAAATGAAAATGAAAACATTTCTCTTCTTCTAACGTTACTTTCTTTATACCTGCACCGCTCAGCACGGCCGTCATCCAGCGCGAAACACACGCAGAGTTATGAGAATCCGGGCCGTTAGGTAGTTTTGTGAATCAACTGAGACGCTCCAGAGCTGTCTCACACACTTTTTTTTCTTTCAGTTGTTCCAATTCCAAAACCATATCAGTGAGTACTGGAGTCAGTATCCTGAATCATTGGTACACCTATAATAAGTGTTTATTTTCGGACTGTTTTAATCTAGCGGGAGTCGGGAGTTTTCCCGGTGAGCCGGTGGTGTTTCGAGGCCGCGAGGGCCGATCTGATAAAATTTATACATTGCAAGTTCGCCATGCGCCCAAGCGAGGGGAAGAAAAAAAAAAGTTTTTTTTTTTTGCATTTTCGATAACGGAGCTTTGCCTGTCTAACGGAGAAGTGCCTGTCTTTCTAGTAAATAGATGCACGTCACGGAGTACTACAGTGGCGTAGGTCGTAGGGCGTGAGTGAAGTTAGATGCGTTCGACCTGAGTTCGAATCTGCCTTTTGCCTAACTCTCTCTTCTCTCTTTTCCCAACACACATGAGATGTAAAATGTATTATGTAAAATGTATAACCTAACATAAAGGGCTCTAGTGTTATATTTTGCCAACAAACTAAAATCGAATCCATGATTTGGCTTTTTGCCTATATAAAACAGCACAAATTTTGCTGGGTGATTTAAAGAAAAGTGTGCACTTTGCTCACGCGATCAGCATGGTTATATATCTGGTATTTTCTCCTAAATAAAAGCTTACGGGTTTATTTCTTGCAAGTGTAGAAATATGATAAAAGTATTTTAATTTTCCTATAGTGTAATGTTGACTAAAATATACTTTTGAAATATTAATTTTCATTATATAGTACATTTATAGGCTATATGGATTTTACATCATAGGAATAATTAAATAAATCATTATTACATTATTATAATATTTGTGTGTGATCTTAAAACACCATTGATAATGTAATGTAGACTGAGACTCAACTAAAAAGATGTTTGAGCCCTCTTTGTTGTCCTGGTACAAATCAATGCTTTTTCTTTGTTCAACGAGCAGTTCATGGGTTGAAGCTCTTAATTTTGATCTCTCAGAGAGCACGAGATTGATGCATTTAACCTTAAAATGTACAAAATTTTCTAACGGGGGAGCATGCCCCCGAACCCCCCTAGAGGAACATAGTCCACCCAACATAGTTTAACAAATTTGTTAATATCTTTAAGGTTGCCTGTTTTACTGCTGGCTGGGGAACTACTGATGAAAATTAGCTCTTTTAACTAATTCGGGTACATTTTCATTGTTCTAATGTTGATTAATGTGTACACTGCCCCCCTTACAAATAACTAATTAAATAAATAAAATGAAGAGAGAGGGGGAGCGTATATGGGTGTAAAATGTGGGTGGTGGCAGTGGGGCTCATTGGGTGCTCAGCACCCCTAAAGCTCTGACCCTAGAATCGCCCCTGACCAACACCATTAAAATATGGTCTCGAGTCCGAGACGAGTCCGAGTCTCGAGTACTACAACTCTGCTGGAAGATGTAGTGAATACGAATGAATACTTTTTGCCAGTTTTATGTGTACTGTGAATTGTCACGAAATTTGCGATCATTCACTGAACCGATTCATTGAACAGCATCAAGAAACACGGATCAGGTTTTGCAATGGTTTTGTTTGGATCAATTTTTGTTTGGGGAGCGAAAACAACTAATTAGCGGGCAATATTGTGCCAAAATGTAAGTTACTCATTATTAACTCTTCGTTTGTTGAACTGTGAAAGCAATATCACACAGGCGCGCTCCCGAGGAAACCTAGATCAGTGGTTTTAAGAACCCGCCTGGCTCCATGATGGAAGTTGAGACGTCACATGTTTCCCTCAAAAACACACACTTAATATACACCCACATAATAGTGGAATAAACTAAATATACACCAGGATTAGTGGTTAACAGCACAGGCGCCCGGGGTGAATTAGTCGTCTAATTTGTTGTCTTAATTTTCTGCCGAGTAAAGCACAGTCTTTTATGAACAGTCGGACGCACAGCTGGGGAAATAGGAATCAAGAATATTTCATTGTTTTCAGAAGCAGCCTTCCCTAACGTTCACCCTTTAGCTATATTATTAGAAACACATGAATTATGATTTTTAGTCTGATTTATGATTATAAAATGTTTTTGCTATCTTTCTTTACAATATATCTGAACGTTTCTTTGATGTTGTCTTGTATAGGTGCCTAACGTTACATACTTCTTGGGTTCAGCATTACATCACTGTGATATGTGTAATTACTCACTGATCTAACGCGCATACCGGACTCGGTGTGTGTGCGTGGGACTGTTCCTCTCCCCGCCCCACATCAGCATCATCACCTCCGGAATAAATGTCCCGCGATTCACCAGCTGAGACCCAGAGACCCGGAGGAGACCAGGCGGACACTTTATCAGAGATACTTTGGATTAAGACGCATTTGCGCGCATTGGAGAGGAAGCGTAAAGCGCACTTGTTTCTGGAGGTAAGACGTGAACACGGACACTTTATTGAGTTATTGCTTGATCAGGTTTCGTTTGCAGAATGCAGACCAGGACTGTGCCTCAACACGCTAAGCTTATATACATCATATAAGCATATAGATATATGCTATATGCTATAGATATGCGTTTATTATATATATGTTATAGTGTAGCTAGACTACAATATTGCATTGTGTTTGATAATAATATATAGCCTTGGGCTACTCATTAACATGTGCAATTGTTTTCTTAGGTTGTTATTTATATTTTGATGCGACTGAATTTGAAAAATTGATTAATTATTTTATAGATTATTCTTTTACCTTTAGTCAGGTTGAGTCATATATAATAATCATTTTGACATTTTTGCATTTATTTAAAAATGTTTATTATGTTTTAGCATTTTGTGCGGTGCATATAAAATGCATAGCCATAATATAAGCAGGATTTAGAACATATATTATCATTTTGTAAATATAATAATATCATAAAAATAATGTGATTTGTGACTTTCATGTGGTACAACGCAAACTGGGATTTGAGACACTTGAGTAGATAGCCTACTTACTTGTTGTTATAGACTACAGACTTGTATAGTGTTTGAAAAAAAAATATATATATATATAAAATACAGTAAATATGAACATGTGCAGTTTTCTTAAAACTAAAGTTGTAGTCAGTTTGATTCAGTCATTTTTGTACATATTTGACATGTTGTATAAAATACAACTATAAAAGTAAAAAACTTTTACAGAATATTATATGTAGATCTATTATAAAAGGATGTTATTGTGAGGATATGTCAGTTGATCAGGTTGATCCGGTTTGGCTTGAATAAAACCACAAGAAGCACTTTGTATTTACATTATATAGGCTATAAAACCATTGGTCTGTGCTTCTCTAATAAATCCGACAGAGTTCAGATCTGAGTGAAACTGGAGCATTTACAGTAATCAGACTATAATACATGTCGGCTGTGTGACGTTGGCACTCAGGAATTCAATATTCCCCAAATAACACTCTGCTGTGTGTAAAGCTGATCTTATCTGCAGGATTACCAACATGTGTGTGTCGTGAACATCCAGCATGTCTTGTCTACTCATTTGAATGATCAGACTTTACGTTCGTTGCCAAACAAACTATCCTAGATTGGCCCAAATACCTCTGGCTCTTATTAAGATCAGGGCAATGTGTGTGTGTTTGCCGTCGGCTCATAGTCAGCACATTCAGACCACGCTTTAATGCGTTACAGACACTGCTGTGTTGGCAGGACTTGCTGGTTTCAGTCAGATTCTTTAAAGGTTGCTCATAACTCCTCAGGTTTGGTTGTGCTGATGTTGTTTTCTGCTCTTATCCTCCGCTCGTTCAGCCCTGGTATTATCGAGCGCTTGCAGATGGACAGATGCAGGGCAGAGAGATATATACGTACACTCTCGTTATGTGAACACTGTGTGTGTTTTTCTTTCTCTCTGCGTGCGGTGACTCAGCTTCACTCCTTTACAAGCGCTTCGACTCACTGATCACGTTTGCTGTAATCTATCCTCCATTCTTCCCTCCCGCGAGTCTTCTGTCTGCAGGACAATAGCGCTCTGTTCTGCATTTGGGGCCGGAGATGGGGTTTCACACACACACACACACACACAGAGGAACTACAAACACACTCACACGCTCATAAAAACAAACACACACACACTCACACAAAAACAAACATAGAAACTACAAACACACACACAGAAACTACAATCACACTCACACCCACATAAAAACACACACACACACACACACCACACACACACACACTGAAACTAGATAGAAACTACAAACACAGAGAGAGAGAGAAACTACAATCACACTCACACGCACACAAAAACAACACACACACACACACACACTCACACACAGAGAGAGATAGAAACTACAAACACACACACAGAGAGAAACTACAATCACACTCACACCCACATTAAAACACACACACACACACACACACACACACACACTGAAACTAGATAGAAACTACAAACACAGAGAGAGAGAGAAACTACAATCACACTCACACGCACACAAAAACAAACACACACACACTCACACAAAAACAAACACACACACACACACAAACTGAAACTACAATCACACTCACACGCACACAAAAACAAACACACACACACACAAACTGAAACTACAAACACACTCGAGTCACATGCACAGACACACACACTCACACACAGAGAGAGATAGAAACTACAAACACACACACAGTGAGAAACTACAATCACACGCACTTAAAACAAACACACACACACACACACACACACAGAGAGAGGAACTACAAACACACTCACACGCTCATAAAAACAAACACACACACTCACACAAAAACAAACATAGAAACTACAAACACACACACACAGAAACTACAATCACACTCACACCCACATAAAAACACACACACACACACACTGAAACTACAAACACACTCGAGTCACATGCACAGACACACACACACACACACAGATAGAAACTACAAACACAGAGAGAGAGAGAAACTACAATCACACACACACGCACACAAAAACAAACACACACACACACACACACACTGAAACTACAAACACACTCGAGTCACATGCACAGAAACACACACTCACACACATAGAGAGAGATAGAAACTACAAACACACACACACAGAGAAACTACAATCACACGCACTTAAAACAAACACACACACACACTCACATGCACATAAAAACAAACACACACACTGAAACTACAAACACACTCAAGTCACATGCACAGAAACACACACAGAGAGAGAGATAGAACTACAAACACACACACACACACAGAGGGAAACTACACACTCTCTCTCTCACACACACACACACAAACTACAAACACTCACACGCACATAAATACACACACACAGAGGGAAACTACAAACACTCTCTCACACACACACAAACTACAAACACGCACATAAACACACACACACACACACACACACAGAGAGAGACAGAATCTACACACACACACTCACAGACACAGAAACTACAAACACACACACACTCACAGACACAGAAACTACAAACACACACACACACAACACACACACACAGAGAGAGACAGAATCTACAAACACACACACACTCACAGACACAGAAACTACAAACACTTTCTCTCTCTCTCTCACACACACACACACAGACACTACATACACACACTGGAATTACAAACACACTCAAGTCACATGTACAGAAAAACACAAACACACTAAAACAGAAACACACACATAGACAGAAACTACAAACACAAATTGGTGCGTATTAAATGTTGCATAGTTTGCCAGTGACAGTGTGATGTGTTTTGTTCAGTCCTGGTTCGGTGCACATGTTGTCTAAATGTAGAGAGTTTTCGGCTAAAATGCTGTGAAAAAAACCCAAGACAAACTCTGCTAATATTTCAGATTCATCATTATATGCAGTGCAGCGTTCGCACTCAGATGAAAGTATCCCGTGTGAAGGATATGTAGACTGGAAACTGCGAGCTGTGGTTGATCTGTGACTCAGAAACACAGAGCTCCTCCTGACTCACGAGAGCCGTTAAACATTCAGAATGAGGTCAAATCATGAAGGAGGACAGACGGGAGAACGGAAGGAAGGGCCGTTGAGAGGAAACGAGAGAAAAGCAGGCAGTGCCATTCTGCACACACACACACACACACACACATGCTCACATCGGGTCACACAGACGCGCTTGTGTTTCTAAGTCTCGGTATGTGTTGTGAAGGGTCTTCTGTCTCGTGTGTGTGTGTGTGTGTTCGCTCATGTCAGCTGGGTCCATATGTTTCCTGCACAACATTGTGTCTGAATGTCTCACGCCTGTAATGGACATAAAACGTAAAGTGTGTCAATAAACGCTGCATTACTGCAGGAGAGCCAGTTTTAGATGCATGTGTTTTTGTGCTTTTGCATTCAATGCCAGCTTTGTTGCAAATGTTGTTTTTTCTGAGAAATAAAAAGTGAGTCAGTGATCTTGATGAGAAATTAGTTCATGTATGGAAGATACTGCCAAATACTTTTAAACAAAAAGCGTTTTAGTTGCAGTCCGGCGTTTTTTCTCTTTGTCGCCATCTCTGTTCGAAATCTGCAATTGCAGTCATTCGTGGGATTATCAACTTTACGTGAGTTGTGCCTCGGCACGGCACAGCGCAGCGCACTGAACACACTGTTTGAGGAGTGTGTGTGTGTGTGTCAGGCGTTCAGAATCACAGATTATTCTTTTTGGGAGTATGACTAATTTTCACCGGAAAATGTCTGAACAAGAAACATCCACTTTTGTTCTGAGTTCTGACTCTGACATTGCAGTAAATCGTGCTGATTAAATCTAAAAATCACATATCACGCAAAACCGTGCAAATGATACTTTGTTCTCAACTTGTTAATGTTAGCAACGTCTGCATTGCGTGACTTGTAATGTCCTTCCGATATTATCCTTGTTTTTGCACGGGTCCGGTTGCTGTCTCTTTTTTCTGTCGCCTCTCAGAAGACCGAACGAAGTCTTGTGTATTTTACAGCGGGTGAATCTGTCGTCACTGGCGATTATCGTTTAAACTTTCTGGATCCACCATCAAATTAATACGTTTAATTATATCAAGTGAGAAAAGGCTATAAATCTCCACCTCCAGCATCCACACACGCAATATAGCTTATACTAGCCGAGACTCGTCTTTATGTGTACAGGTGACGTAATGACGCAAAGACATGCTCGAATCTCCTGCGTAAATCCACCAGTACCGTTGGAATTAAAAACATTATTACAAGCTTACGGCTTTGAATCGAGAGTTTAGCACTGGCTGGTTATGTATTTTCTCAAATATGTATTTTGGATAACTTTTAACCCCAAAAAAGTTACAGACTGCAGCTTTAAATTGTACTTATTGAAAATATCTTGTGAGGTCGACGACTCGACTAACAGCAGATGGGGATCATGAATCGGTACTCTACTGATATTCCTGCAGGTCCCGGATAGTGTTGAAATTCAACCAATGAATTTGTGGAAGTGAATTTGCAAAGCGAAAAAAATTGACCGAAATTTGCCTGTTGAATATTATAGGTTGTATTTTTTTTTATATTCACAGCTTAAATATATGACTTTGTTGAATTCAGCAGATAAAAATGCAAGCACGGGTAATCCAATGCATATTTTTACAAGTAGTGCAATTCAACAAGCTTTTTTGTTTCAAAAGCATTTGTCATTATTTTACTTCCATAATCATGAGATATCTGACTGCAGACTGAGCATGATTTCAGACAGTTTCTCTTCTGCAAGTCTAGAGGAGACGCATGTGAGATTACGGGAGTTTGAGGAAGCGGAGACTCGTCTGATCAGTGTGTTGTAGGAGAAACGTGGGCGTGCTCCTGTTCATCATATTTTGAGGATTTTCCCAATGTCAGTGCTGAATAATTTATTATTGTATTTATTTTTATGAATGCTGGTTAAACTAGTTCATTTGTATTCTAGATTTTGCCCTTGAAATGTTGGAATATTATCAAATAATTTAATCAGTGACGTTGTTACTTAATTGCATTTTCTTCCCTGCGAATGTTTTCTTTTATATATATATATATAAATAAGTATTATTATCAAGAATTTCAAGTTTATCAAGTTCAATTATCAAGTTTTTTTTTTTTAGATTGATTGTGTTTCTCAGAAATGCTCTCTTGTTTTCTGAAGTCACACAAATATTATCATCTCTGTTTACAAGAAATGGTATCCACAGGAAGAGACCTGTAAACTTCCTGTTACACACACCCCCTTCCATAGTGTGTACTTATGTTGTGTGCTGTGCTATTTAAATATTATTAATTGTGTGTGTGTGAGTGAGTGAGTTATGTTGTGGTTTTTCAGAAGCAGAAACTCTTTTCTCTGTTTGTGGTAAATGTGAAAGTCTCTATTTTAGTTCCACACAGGACACTCACCATGTCAGACAAAAGGAAAAAACGCTTATAATGTCATTAAACTCTTTCTTTTTTAGACCGAACTGCCCACACACACCACAACTCTGTTTTAACACAGATTTTCATTGCATTTCTGCTGATGCCATCCTACATCTGTGCCTGCTTTATGTGTCATTTTAGTGTCATTGGAAACACTGTACTATTAAAGTTTTCATTCATATTTCGAATTTAGCATTATTATTTTATTTACATTTTTAATACTTTAACTACACCTGAAAAAAAAGTTAATGTTTTAGAAGTTTTTTTAATATTTTTTATTCATACTGAAATAAAATAAGTTTACGTTTTCTACATTTATTTCAGTTAATGTTTATTTCATAAGGTTTTAGTGTTAGTTAACTCTTTAATGTTACAGCTTAGCTCTGTCCTCTTACTGTACATCAACTACTGAGATCTTTAAGATAATTATCAGAGAATATTTAAATGAAGCACAACTGAAATGACCATTACACTTTATAAGAGCAAGCGATGAGCAAAAACAACACGTGTGTGTGTGTGTGTGTGTGTGTGTGACAATCCTTCTGTTTGTTTTGCAGGAGTTTACCTTCAGGATAATATGAAATTATTGCTGAACCTGCTGATGCTTCTGCCTCTGTGCAGTGCTGCAGATCCCACTGTAAGTGTGTGTGTGTGTGTGTTAAGTGACCACGGTCAGTCTGACAGCAGTAGATGTGAAAGATAAAAATTATGTTAATTTAGCCAGCTCACATACCTGTATTAAATATTATGTAAAAATTTCTGGCTGAGCTGGCTGAATTAACATAATTAGATAAAAATTATGTTAATTCAGCCAGCTCACATACCTGTATTATCACATACCTGTATTAAAACTCGACAATCGGCTACTGTGGACTTCGACCGAAAACAGGAAGTAAATTTTACTTCCTGTTTTCGGTCGAAGTCCACAGTAGTCGATTGTCGAGTTCAAACGCGCGATCATTGGTAAATGATGTTCAACATCCGATTCAGATTAAACTATCCATTTGAACCTGATTTGAACTGATATTCTCAGAACACCACACTGCACCGTCATCGGCTGACTGTCTGAGTCTCCGCTGTTGCTTTTAGTTACCAAGGATCGCGCGCGTGAACTCGACAATCGACTACTGTGGACTTCGACCGCTAAAAGCACTGAAGTCAACAGGGTGCGAATTTTAAAAAAGACGAACACAGTGTAGGCAACACCGATTTTTATCGTTTATGTCTGTACTGACAACACTCCAAATGTACAAAAATAAAATGAGCTCAATGTTAAAATTGACCGGAGTTCTCCATGATATCTGTATTGATCATCGTTCTGCGTCTCTGACAGGAGCATCGCAGACCCAAGAGAGGAACACGCACTTACAGCAGAGGTGAGTTTTATTCTGACATCTCTGCTTTATTCAAAATAACATACACGCACACATTATGTCTGCATATATAGTCTGTTTAGCGTGCTGATTTACTGTATGCATGTAATAAAGCATTAGTGGTGTCACACGTCAATAACTAAAAATAAATAAATCACTTTCCTTTTCATCATATTTATTTATGTATGTTCATTCAATCCCTTTCAACTTCCAATTCTTTCTCATGTCTGTGTCCGAAAATGCGCTGTCTATTGAGTAGTTACTTTACCCGGCCAAAAGAAGGGAAAAAATGTCTGTTTGGATTTGAATAGGCAAGATTGGGTCGTTATTGCAGTGATGATTATATTTCCAGCATGTTATTTGTTTGGCAACAGTTTACTTCTTAAACATCCATGTATGAAGAAACATGATGGCCATATTCCAGGATGACAATGTCAAGATTCAGACTCAGATTGTGAAAGAATGGGAAAAATAACTTTCACACATGAATCGTCACCCAAACTCACTGAGTGTGTGTGTGTGATGTGCTGGACTCTTGACAATATAAGAAATTAATGCACCATTCTGCAAATCGTATGTTAGTATGCAGTTCCAACTGTACACAAAATGTTGTCCACTAGGGGGCGCAATGTAAGCGGAGAAAACTAATGTCTCACACACACACACACACATTCAAAAGCAGAACTGCAGCGTTTGGACAAACACAGTGAGGAAACACAGACTCTCTGTCCTCTTTCTTTCCCAGTCTGTGTTTCTGATGTGAAGTATAAAGCATGAGTCATTTAATTTGCATCTATGCCTGACCACAATCATTATGTGTCTGTTTCCGTGTGTGTGTGTGTCAGAAGCTTGTGTGGACGCTGATTCGGCCGCGGTCAGAGATGTTGGTGTGTCGTGGCTGCGATGGAAAGGTCAGAGGGTCGAGTTCTGCCGCTGCGCCGTGCGAGGAAGAGTCCGCTGTCACCAGATACCAGTGACCAGTGAGTGCTGATCACACACACCCTATTATTCTGTACACGGATTATTATAAACTAATCTTTTTAAAGACAGAAACATTAGTTTAAAGTGTAAGGAAAGTATAAAATATTTGTGTGTTATTTTGTATTTCCATAAGTGAGTGTGTGTGAGAGTGCGTGTGTGTGTCCACTGGATGTGTGTGTGTGTGTGTGTGTCCACTGGATGAAAAACACATTTTAATGATCTGAACTGATGTAAGGGTCAGTGTAGAGTCTCACACACACACACACACACACACACACACACTCCTGGTGAGTCACTCGCTCGAGCAGATCCAGAATATATCCTCATCTCTGAAATCACGGAAAAATCACTGGAATTAAAAACATGTGTCGTTCTGAATTATGGCTCGGTATTATTAGCATTACGACTCGACCATCATTTATCAGGCCGTGTTATAAAATTTGTTCCATTTCTAAATATAAAATGATGTAATCATAATGTAAAAACAACTTTACACCCAATTAATTACGAATACCATAAATTAGCACACTTAAAATAGCGTTTTACTCTAGAAATGATACACAGAGCAGCAAATATCATTAATTAAAGATGATTGTACACATAGATATTGATTATTGTGTTTGTCTGTCTGTTTCCCAGCATGCTTCGTGTCGAGGTGTTATAATGGCGGTGTGTGTAAAGAAGCCGTGTACTCCAGTGACATCATCTGCCAGTGTCCGCCGGGCTTCAGCGGCACACAGTGTGAAATCAGTGAGTCACATTTACTGATAATACTGATGTGTGTGGCAGCTGCGTTTAGATGCTTTCATTTAATATAATATAATATAAGTAATTAAGTATAAGTACAAGTAATATAAGTCAAATTAATAATATAACTAGTATAACTTAGCCTACTAGTTTTAGTATTGATAATTGCTATTATTATCATTATAAGTTGTAACTAGTATATCATTCTAGTATTGTTAGTTGTTAGTAAAAGTGGTATAGTAAATAGCAAGTAACATTTATTTATATAACACATTTCACAGATAAAAATCACAAAGTGATTCACAATAAAAGAGGAATACACAACATTAATAATACATTACAATAGTAGTTATACTAGTATAACTTGCTTATTTGTTTAGTATAGTTAGTTACTAGTAGAATTAGTATAACTAATATAACTTACTGTTTCTAGTATTGTTAGTTTCTAGTAAAATGAGTATAACTCGTATAAATTACTATTCTAGTATTATTATTTGCTAGTACAATTAACATAACTATTATAATTTACTATTTTTGATGTATTACTTGCTAGTACAATTAGTATAACTTACTACTCTTTGTATTGTTAGTTACTAGTAAAATTATTTTAACTAGTATAACTTACTGTTTCTACTATTGTTAGTTTCTAGTAAAATGAGTGTAACTAGTATAAATGACTATTTTTATTATTATAATTTGCTAGTACAATTATCATAACTAGTATAACTTACTATTTTTTATGTATTACTTGCTAGTAAAATTAGTATAACGTATTATTTTTTGTATTGTTAGTTACTTGTAAAATTATTATAACTAGTATAACTTATTGTACTAGCAAGTAATAAATCAAAAATAGTAAGTTATACTAGTTATGCTAATTTTACTAGAAACAGTTAGTATAACTTACTTACTATTTTTCGTATTGTGAGTTACTAGTACAAAAATTATATTACGTATAATTAATATATATTTTAAATATTATATATATATTATCATACTATACTAGTATAACATACTATTTTTAGTATTAGTTTCTAGTACAATAAGTACAGTTTAATGTTTCTAGTATTGTTATTTGCTAGTAAAATTGACTATTTTTTTTAGCATTGTTAGTTACTAGTAAAATGATTATAACTAGTATAACTTACTGTTTCTATTATTGTTAGTTTCTAGTAAAACTATAACTAATATAGTATAGTTAAGCTGTTGAGATTCTTTACGGACCTTATATATGGAATATCAGCTGAATTAATATCTGTGTAAATCCGTCAATAAACACATTTTGATCTTATGAAATTATGATCTTTTGGTCATATCAGAGATATTTCTTAAAATCAATAGAGTCAGCTGCATTCTGCAACGTTAGCCTTAGCTACATCTACATGCGTTTAAGTTTACGTTGAACTGATGGATCAATCAGAATGTGTTGATGTAAACATAAAGGCACGCAGTTTAACTAAACGCTCTTCTTTTATTAGAGTTTTGTAACTTGACAGACAACAGTTTGACCAGACGTTTGTACGTTTGTTTTAGACACAGCTGAGCGATGTTTCAGGGGTCAGGGGTCAGGTTACCGTGGCACCTGGAGCATGAGCTCGTCAGGACTGGAGTGTGTTAACTGGAACTCCAGCTCACTCCGAGGAAAGAAATTCACAGCCCGGAGAGTGGAGGCAAACACACTGGGACTGGGAAACCACAACCACTGCAGGTACACACACACACACACACACACACACACACACTCACTCTCCACTCTGCATGGAGTTATTCGTCAAATATCTTATTTTGCTTTTCTGTGCACATTGCAAATCAATGTCCGCATGCTTTTAAATCAAAAACTAAAAACAATGACGTATTGCGTTTAGCTGCGTTGTGTTTTGGGTGAGTAATAACAGTGTTTTCTTCCTCAGGAATCCAGACGGAGACACTAAACCCTGGTGTTATGTGTATAAAAAGGCTCAGATCACATGGGAGTTCTGCTCCGTTCCGACCTGCATCATAGGTACACACACACATATAGTGTGTACTAATGTCGTGTGCTGTATTCAACAATATTATTGATCTGCCTGCATTCAAAGGGACAATGACATCACTGTTTTCTCCAGATAAATAAATATGTATAACTAAATTAACTAAATAACTTTTTTACAACAAAAATTAGCCATTTCTGTACTTTATAAGCTGGACTGTGATGCTATTTTCTTCTAGAAACAAACTCTGCATTATTTTCCTGTTCTCTCAAAAGCGCTGTATAGTTAAATGTGCCTTGTCTTGACTTGTTGTGGCGTCAGACCCGTATCTAGAGTGCGCTCGGGGATCGGGACAGTCCTACCGAGGGACGAAGGCCGTCACACGCAGTGGTCTGAAGTGTGTGCCGTGGGATTCGTACGCTGCGTCTCATAAGATCTACAGCGCGTGGAGATCCGACGCCAGAGACACGGGCATCGGCAGCCACAACTTCTGCAGGTGCCAACAATTACAAGCTCAGCTAAAACAGACATTAATTAGTTGCACAACAACAGGCACCTGAAGCACTTCTCACGCCGGGATGCTTTTCCTCATACATGTAATATGCACATTGAGCTCCTATTGACCTAGTTTCATGTTGCATGTATTACACATGACGGGATTGATTGAAATTTCCTAAAACTTGCACACAACGTTTTTTAATTTTGACATCTAATAAACCTCTTTAAATAACAAACAGTAAGTTCAAGCAGCAAGTAATGTAAATATAACCTACCTATAATGAAAATAATTTTGCATAAAACCACCGAATTTAATGATAACTAATCATTCAGTTCAGTCCCACAAGATCAAATCAATATTCGACGATACATATGTTGAAATATGTTTTATAGTTGATTAGGCCAGTCGTTCCTATTCTACTTGGATGACTTGTTTGTTATGAGTAAATTTAAAATAGGTCTATTGCAAATACACTGACATAGGAGTCATTTAGATCCATAGTATTATACAAGTGAAACTCGAAAAATTAAAATATCGAGCAAAAAATTCATTTATTTCAGTAATTCAACTAATATATTATATAGACTCATTACATGCAAAGTGAGATATTTCAAAGCTTTATTTGTTATAATTGTGATGATTATGGCTTACAGATATGAAAACCTTTTCACAATATTCTCATTTTGAATTTGGGGTTTAAGCCATAATCATCAAAATTATAACAAATAAAGGCTTGAAATATCTCACTTTGCATGTAATGAGTCTACACTCTTAGAAGAAATGGTTCTATTTAGAACCAGAAATGGTTCCATCCCCCGCTTCATATATGGAACTCCAAAATGGTTCTACGTATATAGAACCATTTTTTTGGTAAAAGGTTCTATTGGACAAGTACGGAACCCCAGGGTTCTATATAGAACCCAGAGGAACCCTTTTTTTAAGAGTGTATAGAACCTTTTAGGGGTTCCAAATACGTAGCACTGATAGAACCTTTTAAGGTTCTATACAGAACCTTTTCTTCTAAGAGTGTATATAATATATTAGTTTCACCTTTTAAGTTGAAATACTGAAATAAATGAACTTTTGCACCATATTCTAATTTTCCGAGTTTCACCTGTATGTTAATCTACTATTACCATCATGAACTATGAACTATTAGTACTATTAGTATCATGAACTAATCATAGTATTTTTTTTTTAACAAGAGTTGCATTGGTTTAGCCATGTTTGAAGGGTTTCTATGCCCAATAACAACTCTTCAGAAGCTTTAAGTGTGGTAAAAACACTGCTCAAACTCACACTCAAACTCTCTTTCACACGCAGGAACCCGGACGGTGACCTCGGCCCCTGGTGTCACGTGTATAAGGGCTCTAGGTTGACCTGGGAGCTCTGTGACGTCCCCAAGTGCCGTAAGTCTGCAGTCACATCTAATCTGTACAGTAGAGCCTGATCTACAGCACATGACGAACAGATGCGCTTCAGTGTTTTGTCTTAAAGGGATAGCACACCCAAAAATGAAAACTCTGTCAGTAATTACTCTCCCTCATGTTGTTCAACCCCGTATCTTCAGAACACAAATTAAGATATTTCAAATTCAAATTAAGTTAATTTAAATGAATTATTCAAATTAAGATATATAACGTTTTGCATTTGTATAATTTTGAATATCCTTGTGGCTTTTAAGTGTTTAAAGCTCATAAATATTACTAGTGTAACTTGTAGTGTATATAAAATGTATTTTAATTATTAATTTTATTTTACAGGACAATTGCACTTTATAACAGCAATATATTTCTGTCTTAATTTGTATATTTAGAGTTAAAATAATAAACAATATAAATAAAAATGTTACTACTAATAACAACAATAATTATTATTATTTATTTATTATTATTTTTATTATTATTATTTATTTATTTATATTAAGTTGACTGGATTCCTTTCGTAGAATCCTATGTGTATGCAATGAAAGTTTGTAATATTTTTGACTACCTGATGAGACACAGGGTATCCAGATAGAAATGTATTGCCCATTTTCAATCGCTCGGCAAGATTGCCCAGTGACATTGCTCAAAATGTTGCCCTGTGCATCATCACCTTGAAAGAGTCGAAGTGTTGTTGTCTGAGAGCTCTGTTCCCTCCATGTTTTTTGAAACATGTGTGTGTTCCTCCACAGCGAGGAAAGTGCCGTCGATCACCACACTCGGCCCACGAGCCCCTGCAACCACCAACAATCAAGGTGAGACGGTGAAAGATAACTCAACAAATAGAGTTTTATAAAGAAATCCAGTGCATTAGGGTCTCCTGGGTTGTATTTTACTGTCAAAACATTTATTTTGTGTGTACAGAGCACATCTCGCCCCTGAGCTTAATGTTTGTAAGGCTTCTTCACACAGCGCTCTCTTGAAGTGTTGCCATGTCCACTTATTTTAAGCGTTTTGGGGCTTAAAACGATCAAGCCTGTGGGTCACGATATTTTCGTCTTTTCAATTCAATTCACGTTTATTTGTGTAGCGCTTTTCACATCATTTCGAAGCAGCTTTACTGAAAATGCAAAAGAGTCCGCATTATAATTTAGAGAACGATCTGTTATCAGAGGAGACTGGCTAAGTTATGTACTTGTAAATGTACGTAATCACAGTTAGCTAAAAATGTAAACAATGTAATAATTTAAGGCAGAAACAATGAGCTCATTGAAGTAATGAATACTTGTTTGTTAACAAATTATTTTGAATTAATTTAGTTTTATTATGAGATTGTTCTTGTTTGTTCCTTAGCAAGATCTGGCAACATGAATGAATGCATTTTTCTCACGCATACAGAAGAGAGACATCATGCACGTTTAAATACGGCATTACCCGCGTATTGCATTCACTTGAAGAAAAAAAATCTACTCTGTTTTTCTGAATTAATGAGTTAATTTTTCATGAGAAAAAAAAAAATTTTGCTCTGTTTTTCTGAATTAATGAGTTAATTTTTTTAAGTGAAAAAAAGTTTTTGCTCTGTTTTTCTGAATTAATGAGTTAATTTTTTTAAGTGAAAAAAAGTTTTTGCTCTGTTTTTCTGAATTAATGAGTTAATTTTTCATGAGAAAAAAAAATTTGCTCTGTTTTTCTGAATTAATGAGTTAATTTTTCAAGTGAAAAAAAGTTTTTGCTCTGTTTTTCTGAATTAATGAGTTAATTTTTCATGTAATTTTTTTGCTCTGTTTTTCTGAATTAATGAGTTAATTTTTCATGGAATTTTTTTGCTCTGTTTTTCTGAATTAATGAGTTAATTTTTCATGAGAAAAAAGTTTTTGCTCTGTTTTTCTGAATTAATGAGTTAATTTTTCATGAGAAAAAAAATTGCTCTGTTTTTCTGAATTAATGAGTTAATTTTTCATGAGAAAAAAAGTTTTTGCTCTGTTTTTCTGAATTAACGAGTTAATTTTTCATGGAATTTTTTTTGCTCTGTTTTTCTGAATTAATGAGTTAATTTTTAATCAGAAAAAAAAGTTTTTGCTCTGTTTTTCTGAATTAACGAGTTAATTTTTCATGGAATTTTTTTTGCTCTGTTTTTCTGAATTAATGAGTTAATTTTTCATTAGAAAAAAAGTTTTTGCTCTGTTTTTCTGAATTAACGAGTTAATTTTTCATGGAATTTTTTTTTTGCTCTGTTTTTCTGAATTAATGAGTTAATTTTTCATGAGAAAAAAACGTTTTTGCTCTGTTTTTCTGAATTAATGAGTTAATTTTTCATGAGAAAAAAAGTTTTTGCTCTGTTTTTCTGAATTAACGAGTTAATTTTTCATGGAATTTTTTTGCTCTGTTTTTCTGAATTAATGAGTTAATTTTTCATCAGAAAAAAAAGTTTTTGCTCTGTTTTTCTGAATTAACGAGTTAATTTTTCATGGAATTTTTTTTGCTCTGTTTTTCTGAATTAATGAGTTAATTTTTCATTAGAAAAAAAGTTTTTGCTCTGTTTTTCTGAATTAACGAGTTAATTTTTCATGGAATTTTTTTTTGCTCTGTTTTTCTGAATTAATGAGTTAATTTTTCATGAGAAAAAACGTTTTTGCTCTGTTTTTCTGAATTAATGAGTTAATTTTTCATGAGAAAAAAGTTTTTGCTCTGTTTTTCTGAATTAACGAGTTAATTTTTCAGAAAAACAGAGCAAAAAACTTTTTTCCATGAAAAATGATCTCGTAATTCTGAGAGAATTAACTTGTTAATTCAGAAAAACAGAGTAGATTTTTTTTCTACAAGTGAATGCAATACGCCTCCGTAGAAACCGTCTCTAGTAAACGACTGAGTGAAAAAAGACAGCAGTATTTTGCGGCGGTGTTTTGTGTGTCCTAAGAGTTTTCCCACACTGTCCCGCTCAGGTTCCTGCGGTCAGCGCCTCGAAGCTCCTTCAAACTCTCTGCCCATGTTCAGGATCCGTGGCGGTCAGGTCAGTGATATCCGCGAGCAGCCGTGGCAGGCCGCCATCACCGTCTATCTCCCTCGCGCTCAGTCACACAACTTTCTGTGTGGAGGCGTCCTCATCGACTCCTGCTGGATCCTCTCCGCTGCGCACTGCTTCCAGCAGAGGTGTGTGTGTGTGTGTGTGTGTGTGTGTGTGTGTCACTGCCTCCAGCAGAGGTCTGTGGGTCCACTCAACCTGCTGTCAAGTGATTTTCAACTTCAATTTCAACTTTTATTTATTTATATAGCACATTTAATGGCCATATTTTTCACTAAAGTGCTTCACAGTTATAACTAAAAACAATAATAACATACATAATAATAATAATGCTTTTTATTTATAGGCGCCTTTCTCAACACTCGAGGTCATCTCAACAATAAAACACTCTATTATATAATGCATTTAACCTGCTGTTACAAATGAATGCATATATAATAACATAAAAAACTATATATGAAAACATACGTAAACCAAGCCTAGCAAATGAAGGCATGAATACATACTATTAGACATACACCCTCACACAACTGTATAGAGAGAAAGAAAACTAAATAAAAATATGTTTTCTTAATAAAAATTACTATAATGTACAGAAAATTTTAATTCACTAATGTCATGACGTCAAGAATCAAATCATTCATGCAGTCAGCCGGATGCGTTTCGAATAGAAATATACTGATTATTCACCATTATTGTTTATAACACACGTCCAAAAACATTTATCTGAATCAGAATTTGGAATTATTTAATGCCTTAAATAGTCTTTAATTTAGTTTTACTAAAACTGTTGTTTTTTTTCATACCAGTGCGAAAATAGACCCATATCTGTACGCATGTAGTGTGATAAATGTTAACTGGTGGTTAAGAAGAAAAAAGGTATCTAGAATATTATACATACTCATATTTTAAAGAAACATATTTTTTTATGGTTTAAAGGCTGAAATCAGTACACTTTAAAACATTTTTTTCTAACCTCCCCACCTCTAAATTTTTCAATTGGCCCAAAGTGAAAACCTTCAATTTGATTTAAAAACCCTGCAGATAAGCCTGTATTTTGCTTAAATTCATTTCAATATTTTTCTGAAAATTCAATGAATTTTGACATTGTGTAGTTCTCGCTTGACTTCTGTGGTGTGTGTTCAGGTTTGATGAGAAGCGTCTTCGAGTGATTCTGGGTCGAACCTTCCGGCTCCAGAACTCCAGCAGCGAGCAGATCTTCGACGTGGAGAAATACTGGATCCACGAGCAGTACGACGACGAGACGTACGACAATGATATCGGTGAGACATTCTCATTCTCATCGTCAGCTGGTGTCACTGCGCACATTTCAACAGTTTTTAGACTGATTTAATAAACCTCATGATTTCAGACCCATCAAGTGATTTTTAGGGTTTCTATCAATTTATTATATTTTTACACATATTTAACTTATTTTATGATTTTATTAGGGCTGTAAAACGATTAATCGCGATTAATCGCATCCAAAATTAAAGTTTTTGTTTACATAATATATGTGGGTGCACTGTGTGTGTATAATTATTTTGTATATATATATAAATACACACACATGCATGTATATTTAAGAAAAAAATATTATTTATATATAAAATATTTATATTTATATATAATATAAATTATATATAAATCTATATACAGTATATACATGAAAATAATTCGTAAATATATACAAGCATGTGTGTGTATTTATATATGAAATAATTATACATACACAGTGCACCCACATATATTATTTAAACACAAACTTTTATTTTGGATGCGATTAATCGCGATTAATCGTTTGACAGCCCTAGATTTTATATATTTGATTTATTTTGTTTATACACCGTTCGGTAGGATTTTTAAAACATTGTTGAATTCATTGCATTTATTTACTCAAAAATATTGTGAAATATTATTGCAATTTTAAATAACTGTTTTCTATGTGAATATATAGTAAAGTGTAATTTATTCCTGTGATTTTCAACATCATTACTCCAGTCTCCAGTGTCACATGATCCTTCAGAAATCACTCTAATATGAGGATCTGATGATCAAGAAACATTTAGGATTATTATCAATGTGGAAAACAGTTCATATGTTTGTGGAAACCGTGATACATTTTATTTTTCAGGATTCTTTAATGAATAAAAAGTAAAAAAAACCACAAAAAAAACAGCATTTATTTGGAATAGAAATATAATATTTTTGACTTTTTTTAATCTATTGTCTAATTCTAAAAAGTTTTGGTAATAGTATTTTTTATTTCTCTGACATGCTTTGCAACAGTAGAATATAAGAAACGATCATATGAATTTTTTAATCATCATTTCAGTATTTATATTATTATATTATTTATATTTATATTATTTGACTTTGTGTCTTTAGCTCTGCTGAAGTTGAAGAGCGAGTCCGGCATCTGTGCGATCCACTCTCCTGAAGTCCTGCCGGCGTGTTTACCAGAAACCAACTTGGTTTTACCGGATTGGACAGAGTGCGAGATCTCTGGATACGGGAAGGAGGAAGAGTGTAAGATTCATTACCAGCATTACTGTCTGACACAGTTGCAGAACTTATTAATAATGCATTTTAAATTGGTCTTCTTGTTCATCTAAAAATCCTTCAAAAAAAAAATTACTTATTTATTTAATTACTAAATTAAAATATTACCACTTGTGGTCATAGATTGGGTCTTTAAAACAAGTGTATTTTGTGTTAATTCACTGGCAGATTTAACTACAGTAGAACTGTAAAATGCTAGCATTAATCCTAGTTAATGTTTATTTCAATATATTATTGAGCACAGTAGTGGCCAAAAGTGATGTCCGGCCTTGGAAATCTTCATCCTTTACTCAAATATTATTAAAAATCTGTAAAATTTTATTGTGTAAACAAATGTTCATTGTTAGTCCATGTTAGTTAATGCATTAAAAGGGTCATGAATTGAGAAATAAGAGATCATTGTACTATAAAAAATATCCTGTAAGATTCAGAACTCAAAACTTCCTTGTTTGTAAAAAACAGCGATTGAAACCTCAGAAAAGCTCAGAAAACGACTTTGTATTTTGGATTTTGTCTCACTATTACGTCACATATAGTCGTAGTACTGTGTGTGTAGTGATTTTTATATATTTCAGATGCTTTGTGACTGAGTTGTATAATAATTGTCCTCTTCCTTCTGTGGTTCAGTTTCTCCGTTTTACTCTGAGAGAATTAAGCGTGGTATGGTGCGGTTGTGGCCGCAGGATCAGTGTGTGCCGGAGAAGCTGTCCGGTCGTCTGGTCACCTCCAACATGCTGTGTGCCGGAGACACGCGCGGCCTGGACGACGCCTGCAAGGTAACGCCTCTCTCGGCACATGCTAGTTATTACCAGTGTCCAGTATACTGTATATGGTCTACGATAATCTCGTGGTTGTTGTTTCCATAATGTGCGATCTGACGTTATCAGTTACTTCCCTCACTTTACAAAAAACACACATTAGCTTTATGCCCCGTTTACACGAAGGGAAGATGCAGATATTTTATATTTTAGCCTCTCATTTACACTAAAACCCCGTTTTTATCACCGAAAATTATTATTTCCAAAAACTCCGGCCAAAAAACGCTGGTTATGTGTTGCCGTGTCAACTGGGAGAAATGGGGTTTTAGGTTTTCAAACGTCACATTATGCACCAGAAATGCTAAACGTCACACGAGCGCCCAGTTTGGCAGAGTTATGATGGCGCTCGACGGCGTATTTATGCGGGGTGATGTAAATGACAGCTTTTTTTGAAAACGATGTGTGCACAATGTTATTATTGAAAATATTTGTTTATATTCGTTAATATGTGTAAAGAGTGCACTTTTTCACTGCGTGATTTACTCAATATTAGAATTCCCTCAATATTCAAGATATGGGGGCAAAAATACCTCTGAGTTTTATATTTATATCAGTTAATATAGTTAATCAATATCGCACGAAGAGCGCCATTTTTCTCCAAATACCAGCATGATTATAAACGCTTGGTTTTATACAACAGTTCAATAAACAAGTTAATATTAAGTGACTTAATTTTAGACACAATACTGCCTGTTTTTGCTCTATTTAGCCCATGCAAGTAGTTCCAGAAAAAACCACAGCACTGTTTAGCGTCTCTGAGTTACACACAACAGTGCTTTGTTGCCGAATGAACAATTTGGTTGAATGAATGATTCAATGACTCGCTCATTAAAGGAGTAGTTCACTTTAAAAAAAACTTTTGCTGATAATTTACTCACCCCCATGTCATCCAAGATGTCCATGTCTTTCTTTCTTCGGTGGAAAATTAAGGTTTTTGATGAAAACATTCCAGGATTTTCTCCATATAATGGACTTCAATGGGGTCCAAACGGTTCAAGGTCCAAATGAGAGTTTCAGTGCATCTTCAAAGGGCTTTAAACGACACCAGACGATGAATAAGAGTCTTATCAAGCGAAATGATCGCTCATTTCAAATATAAATAAAAAACGTAAAATTTTATAAGCACAAATGCTCGCCTTGCTCTGTTCTGTGATGCATGTTCCTGTTCATCAAAATGAACGAATCTTTTTTCGAGTCATTTCGTTCATTGTGTGTGGTGTGAAATGTTTGTGCATGTTGATTGATGAGTTTCTCCGGGTCTTTCTTTAGGGAGATTCCGGTGGTCCTCTCGTGTGTCCGAATAACGGCAGAATGACTCTGATGGGTTTGATCAGCTGGGGAGACGGTTGCGGGAAGAAAGACACACCCGGCGTTTACACACGCGTCACAAAATACTTAAACTGGATCTCCAGCAAGACGAGAGCGAACTGAGACACAAACGAACATCATCAGCACAGAACACAGAGACTGTTGGGTACGGGAAGTAAGGTGGTGATGGGGGAAACGTCTCCACATTCGCCGACCTCAACATCGACTAGACCGCTCTCCAGTTGAGTTTGAGGAGGACGTGGGAATGTGACACTGATGTGACATGTGACATCTGAATCCAAAGACACCAAACAATGTGGCCTTAAATTTGAGCTTAAAAAGGATGACATGGAAAATACATGATGAAGACTTGTGGGTGCTAAAGTGCAAACTGATGTACGAGATCCTTTAAAAGTACTTCATATTTCAAAATAATAGATTTAGAGGCACTTTTGCTTTGCTTTTAGATAGTGAAGAGACAAGCGATGGCACTTTTGAATGTTACGTGATGCTTCTGCTCTTATGATGATGTTAGATCGTAATAATTGTACAGGTTTTTAACACTAAACTTCTGCTGGGTCAGAGAGATGTTTGTTTCATGGTCAGTGTCCAAATAAGTTCATTTGACTGTATTTAATACGACTTCAGGTCCTTGTTAACTGGATGTTTGACTGAAAAATGTCTTTATCAAATCAGATCTAATATTTTTAATCACTGACTTTAAATGTTGGGACGCGTATTAAGTTAATATTTAACTATTTTATAAACTTTTATAAACTTGAGCAGCTAGTGCTAAATTATTGTTTGTTTGTTTTATACAGGAAATGCTTGTACATTATTTTATTATTTCATTTTCACTTTTTATAAAACACGAAATTGAAACAGTTCTTTGACTTCTGTGTAACAATTCATCATTCGAGTGTTTTTTCTGAATTCACACTATAATTGTTTGAATTTGAAAGATTAGTCGTACTGAATAATGGGTTCGTGATTTCAGGAATAACCGAGAAACAGTTACAAAATAACAGTCATACAAAAAACCCATATTTTATTGCCAATGTGTGAACAGCCTGTGACTCGAATGAGACCTTCCTCGTCTTCCTATGAAAGCCCGTAGACTGATATATGAGGACTCGGGATATTTTTGCTAGGAAAATTCAAAGGATCCGGCCGCCATCTTGAACCAGTCGTTTTCCTTTTATGTTGCATTGCAGCAGTAGATGCCAGAGCACTCTCTAAAATAGTAAGTACGAGTACATAATAACTTCGAGTATATAAAATGTAGACTTGTCACAACTTGAATAGCCTACTTTTCAACAGTGAATATTCAATAGACAAAAATAGTTGCAGAGGGCGGTGAAAGATATCCATTATCTACAGAACAAAGCAGCAGGAAACACTCAGACAACTGGATGACCAGGAAATACACCAGAAAGATTTTAATCTTGTTTTATTACTGTAGAAGAAAAGTAAAACCGCAGGATTCCCGTCTATGCAAATGAAGGAGGAACAAGAATATTTAAATCATTTGAATCAAAATTCCTTACAATTGGATTTTTATAGTTTTATTGACACAAATACAATGCTTTTATGTTTAAGATTAAAATATTTTTAATGTATAAGTCTTTTGATAAGGATTTATTCATATCTGATCCTCTCAGCTGATTTGTGACTCAATCACATGGTGATGATGATGATGATACCGGCTCAATTCTCGTGACCTCAAAAGAGTAGATGTCATTATACTGTCTTAAGTAACTCTCCACTAAAGCGCCAACCTGAGAAACAAGATGACAGGAAGTGAAAAAACAGCAGGTGCAAAAGAAGAAGAAGAAAAGCACAATAAAGCTGCGTCCAAACGTACGTTTGGAAAATTTGTAATTTTATGGTTCAGGAAAACAACAAGCAATAGAGTATTTCTGATCAGGCACAAAATGGAAACACTATAAAAGTCATTCCGGCTAATTAGAATCCCTTTGGGGCCTAAAGGACGTGATGGCACAACTGTTAACTACAGTATCAACTCGATTATGAAGCTGCAACTGCAGCTTACTTGTTTAAAAAGTAGGCCAGTCAAACGATTAATCGCGATTAATCGCATCCAAAATAAAAGTTTGTGTTTATATAATATATGTGAGGGTGCACTGGGTAAAATTATTTTATATATATATATATATATATATATACACACACACACACACACACACATGCTTGTATATATTTAAGAAATATTTTCATGTATATACTCTATATGTATAATTTATATTATATATAAATATAAATATTTTATTCATAAATAATATTTTTTCTTAAATATACATGCATGTGTGTGTGTGTGTATATGTATATATATATATATATATATATATATATATATGAAGAGTTCAGATGCAAAAGCGTCTAATTGCCATTTGAAATTTTCTTCTAAAATGATCATTTTTCTCAAGCTTGTATATTTAAGTTCAGTAATTTCACTTAAATGGCAATGATAATTACCTATTAAATGTCATTTAAGTGAAATTACTGAACTTAAATATACAAGCTTGATAAAAATAGTCATTTTAGAAGAAATTTTCAAATGCCATTTAGAGTCTTTTGCATTTGATCTCTTCATATATATATATATATATATACACACACAAAATAATTATACACAGTGCACCCACATGTAAACACAAACTTTTATTTTGGATGCGATTCATTTAGCTTGACGATAATGCTTTTTATTTTATTAAAATAGCATACTTTGGTTTGAAATACTTAAAACGAAGTACTTTCCCATCCCCAGCACACTTAAGCACATGTAGGGTGTAGTAGTGTAAGTATGTGAACTGGATGCTCCTCTCACCTGACGCAGTGCAGCCTGACGCTCCTCTTCAGTGGACGACTCCTCCGCCAAAATCTCCACGTCCAGATTAGTGAGTAATGTGAGAACATCTGCATAAGACCAAAACACTTAGTAGTGATTTCAGGTTTCACTGCCTCTCAGTTGCAGCAGTTATGGTAAAACTTACACGTTCAGACACAAACAAACTACCTGTGGGTGGAGCTGTGGAGTTGACTGGTGGAGCTGCAGTTTGGGTATTATTAAAAACTGTAGAGAAAGTAGTTGCAAATGTCATGAATGTTGTATCTGAGAGAATTCAGAAATCATCGTGCAGTAAATACAATATTGATTACAGTGACAATGAATACATGACATCAGAATCGTCTCAACGTACTTCAGCTCATAGAGAGCTTTTGATTGAAATCAGCCCATTAAACAACGTGTAAACATCTCTATATCGGTGTATGTGAGTTCTTACTGCAGGTGCTGTTGAGGTCGGGACAGCAGTCATTGAACTGTTTACAGACCTCGTCACAAAAACAGCCTCTGAAACAGTCGTAGTTTAGGCCACTGCAGCACAGAGTCGGCTGTGAACACTTTCCTATAGAAGTGCACACGACATGTTCACTCCAACATATTACTAACTATTTCATATTATACATATTTATGTTTTATCCCCAAAAACTGGTTGTTTAATGTGGTGGGGGAAAATCACTGAAAACGATTTTTTTTTATACAGAATCACATGATAAGTAATATTTATAGGAAATAAAGAAGTATAAAATATACCTGTCAGTGTCAAAGTGTTGTTTGGTTTAGTGCCGTTGGAGCTGTTATTGACTATAAAAGGTGGAAAGAGATGAAGATTTTAGTGAGATGTGCAGTATTTTTTGTAGTATCTGATTACTGTGGCTGTTTGATTCATTTCAGCACAGATGAATCAGATTTCCAAGTATGAATGTTTCTGAGTACCTGTGAGGCAGGTGGGTTTGAAATCAGGGCAGCAGTCGCCAATTCTCAGACAAGCAACGTCACAAAAACAGTTCAAGCGGTGACAGGAGTTATTCACTCCAGAGCAGCACAGATCTGGATCCGCACAACTACCTGTCAGACAAACATCACTATAGTGAAACAAATGAAATGTAATCAACACTAACTGGCACTTTGATGGAACGGACACACACACACACATTTGTGTCACAGTTTGTCTCACAGTTTCCACAATTTTTTTACTATTCTTTCACTTACAGTGTTAGTAAAACTTGGCCTACACATTCACACACACAAACACAGATGAATTACCTCTGGGTGGAGCTGCAGTGGCGTTGAATGGTGGGTTTGCACTGGTGTTGATTGGATGGTTTGCAGTGGAGTTGAATAGAGGGTTTGCAGTGGCGTTGATTGGACGGTTTGCAGTGGCGTTGAATAGAGGGTTTGCAGTGGCGTTGATTGGACGGTTTGCAGTGGTGTTGAATAGAGGGTTTGCAGTGGCGTTGATTGGACGGTTTGCAGTGGCGTTGATTGGACGGTTTGCAGTGGAGTTGAATAGAGGGTTTGCAGTGGCGTTGATTGGACGGTTTGCAGTGGCGTTGATTGGAGGGTTTGCCGTGGCGTTGATTGGACGGTTTGCAGTGGCGTTGATTGGACGGTTTGCAGTGGAGTTGAATAGAGGGTTTGCAGTGGCGTTGATTGGACGGTTTGCAGTGGCGTTGATTGGACGGTTTGCAGTGGAGTTGAATAGAGGGTTTGCAGTGGCGTTGATTGGACGGTTTGCAGTGGAGTTGAATAGAGGGTTTGCAGTGGCGTTGATTGGACGGTTTGCAGTGGAGTTGATTGGACGGTTTGCAGTGGAGTTGATTGGACGGTTTGCAGTGGAGTTGATTGGACGGTTTGCAGTGGTGGTATTCGTAACTAGAGAGAAATTGACATATCATAAACATTGTTGTGTCTGAGAGGATTCAGAATTAATCTTTCAATAAATATAATATCATTTTTTACAGCAAAAATTTGTTAGAGCAAATTTGCTAAACGAAACTGAAAATCTCTCGCTAATGAACCGATCCGTATAGAGCCACAGAGCTCTGTCTAAAGTCAGAAGCAGTTGCACCTCTTAAGAAGGCAAGGAAATATTACTGTGCGTGTATTGGGATGTTTCACACTAACAGAAATAAATTGCACACTTTTGTAAACTACATTCGTAAAGGTATAGGAATGTGATGTACAGTATAGCAGATTAGAATAGTTTGATAAGTTTAAAATTAGCACTGTAAAATAACGTTTAAATAGTCAGGTTTTTACATGCTGGTGGATGAACAGTAGTTGTAGTTGGTGATGATGAGGTAGGCCCACTTGAATTGGTGGTGGGAGCAGATGAGGTACTTTGAGCTGTGGAATAAAAGAAATGTTTAGTTTCAATAATCAGAAGCATTTAGATTAAAACTATATCAAAAACGGACATAGAAGCAGTGCATCTGATGTGAACGTTACCTGTGGTTACGCAGCTGATTGTGGCCAGCAGACAGCCGATGAGAATCACAGCGGGAGCCATCAGGATCAGTGTGTGTCAGGTCTCTGACTCCTCTTCACTGCTTATGTCTGTCCAAACACACGTTCTTCAGAGACGGATACGTCCAAGAGTTTTTCAATCAAGTAGTAGGTTACACAAAGATCCTGAAATACTGGATTGCTTTATGATGCATTTAAAATACCAGATGAACTGCTATATGCTCCTAATGAGTCATCTAATGAGAAAGATCCAAATGTGTCTCTTGACTTTCTAGTTTCAGTAGTCATTAGTTTCTCTATTGTGTAAACGTGGCCTTAGATTAACTACAAATAAAGTCAATGATCTCGCCAGAGGATGATTAAACAACTCATCAACTTGTTCACTTATTATACCCCTTTAGCTTTTTCTTTCATATGGTACATTTACAAAAGTAGTTGAAGTCACCATCATGGTGACCAGTGTTCCATTTAGTTGGGTACGTGGCTCTTGACTTTGGTTTTAATTAATTAATTAATTAATTAATTAAATTGCATGCTATCCCTATTATCTACAATATCTACAATATTTCATGCTTCTGACAGCAATGACTCTTTTTATGAACACTTTTTGGAATCCTTTTAACTGTGTTTAACTGAGAATTTGAACTCTAAACTTCAGGTGACATTGATTAATAATAGCCTATGATAACAACTAAAACATTTTTTTAAATTTCAGTTTTACTTTCAACAGAGGGAGCAAAAGAAATTAAAAAGTTATAATTATATTTATAGAATATATTTTGTTCTATGGTCGGGCCAGTAGTTAAAATTTTTACTTGCCCTGCCAAAATGTTCAATGGCCACAATAAAAGTATTTTAAATAAATAAAATAGGCCTAGTTATTTGTTTTGTTGTTGTTGTTTTTGTAACCTTAATAACCAGAAACTACAAGCCTAACTCATATTTTTAATATTGTTAAAGGTTTTTTTTTTTTAAAGTTTTTCATGCATGTAAAAACTACATTTTCTTGTACATGAATAGTAATCAAATATAAAATAGCCAATCACTATATAGTCTCCACTGTATACATATAGCGTAACCCTAAAGTTCAGGCAAGAGTAGAGAGAGACTTTTATAAGTGTTTTTACAGATCCATGCCCTTGAGGTAAGCTAAAACATATCAAAAAATAATTTCAAAGTGAACTATCCCTTTAACAGTGTTTGTTTATTACTGGTAAAAAAGACATCCAAGTTTGGTAGAGCTGATTAATGGTATGATGGGTCATTTATCCCATAAATCCCAGAAAAAAATTTTGATTGAGTCAATTTTTTAATCAACTAAAAACACAAATATGTACACACACACACACAGGCTATATACTGTATGTGCAGAAGTCTTAAAGACACTATTTTTGCCTCAAAGAAATGGTTTTAAGCCAGTTATTTATATATTTTGTTGTAGTGTTTCAGTAGGAAATGTCAGTTTACATTTCCAGACATTAATTGTGCCATTAATTGTAATAATCCAGTGAAAGTTTTGAATGCACAAGGATTCAATGCTCCACACGGAGGTCGGATCTCACCATCATTGAGTGCATCTGAAATTATATGAAAAAACAGAAAAAAACATTTGCATTTATTTATGCTAACTATTTATATTTATCAACTATTTAATCTTGAATTTATTGTATAAATTTAATGTATTGATAAATACTTGTGCTGTTTTATTTCGAAAGGATTTTTTAAAAATGCACCTTTGTGGTTGTAACAAGAGTAATTTCATTGAGCTACACGATGACAATAGCTAAAGTACTTGAATGAATTGATTAATGTGTATTTCATTTCGTTTTGATAATGTTTTTTCTATTTTAATGCAATTTTTTGTTATTTAATTACCTGCAAGATTTTATCAGTGCATATAATAGGCTAGATAAACAATAATTTAAGCACATTATTCACATTCTTTTAACTTAAATTCAAAACAAAATTTAATGGATAAGCCCTTTAAGTTTATGATCTGATATTGTGTCTTTGCCGACCTCTTGTGGAAAAAAAATATATATAACATGATATTTTGCATCAACTGACCCGATCGAGGGAAGGGCTTTTGAATCCAGTAAGTGGGGATAGTCAATTAATACAATTTCGGAATAGAACTCGGTTTATTAAAATAATACAGCCTGGCCAAATGTATTTTTAAAGGCTATTATTATTATTATTATTATGTTGTTGTTTTTCTGGTCTGGGGAGAGAAGGAAAAGAGTATCCGACCCACAGTAAGTTAGATGGTAGTAATGCTCTATTCATGATCGAAAAAAAAAACAAAAACTGTGACGTTCGTGACTCGAATTTATAAGTTTCAATGACATCATCAACGTCGTAATGAACCTGCAGCCGTCAGGTGGTACGTACAGGTCAGGTCAGTGCCCTTTAAGGTGTTTATGTTCATTATTATTGAAATGTTATGTGTTTTGAGACATGAGGTAACGTTAGTTTAACATGACGCGTGACGCATGCTGAGCGAGTTCACTGAAGGGAGGCTGCATATTTTCAAAGCTAGTTTGCTATTGCTAGCCTCTCAGAAAAGTGCCTTTAAATAAAACATGCTCTCTAAAAAAAAAAAAAAAATCAAGGCTGGAAACATGTCCTGAAAAGTCTTAACTAATTGAAGCCGTAAGTGATTCAAACTTGGATGACAATATTTTATTTATAAAGTGATTAAAAGCCCACAAGTCGCCCTGGTCTAGATGGTGTCTGGTCCTGTCGAAGCGGTCTGGTCTAAAATAAGGTATTCTCATAGTTTTACGGGTTTTTTTAGTGGAGGAGGTCAAATGCTGTAGCTCCTGCCAACTTACACTGATGTCAGAGACAGATAAATCAAAGAATTTCTCATCAGATTTCTCTCATCAGTTAGTGAACAGAGTTCCTGAAATACTGGATTATTTATGACGTTATTAAAATACCTGATGAAGGTCATTGCCAAAAGATTTCCTGTAGTGATAGTGTTCGGGAGTGTTTTTTTCCTGTTCAGTGTCTCACCCGTTTATAATGATATTAGATGTTTTTTTTTTTGTTTTTTTTGTTTTTTTGTTTTTTACAAAATTTTAAGTATCTGCCAAGGCAGAGAGACTTGTGACTTTTTACGGTCAAACAAATTCATATTTCTCAGGAAAACTCAGAGAAGTTGTTGCTCAGATTCAGCACTGGATAAGCACAGAATCCAAGTTTAAAACATCTGTTTCTTATATTTTCTAAATGTTTTGGTTAACAACTTCTTCCTCATCATGTGTTTATTTTCAGTGTGATTATCATACAAGAACCTCAAAAATACAGAAAAATGAAGACCGTGTTAAATAAGCAGCAGATTCCCGTCTGTGCATATGAAAAAGGAACAAGGAATTACATGACAGCAGATAATTAACAAGGTTTTCTTTCACATTCGTCCCATATCACACATATAAAGTGCTATATTCAAGAGTTCAAGATTAATGCACATCAAACCTAAATGGATAAGATGTGTTAGCAAATGCAATGTTTGAGTTGAACTATCTATCACCATAAAAATCCCATATTAAAATAGTAAAAGTCCAGTAGCGATGAGGATTTATTCATGTCGGTTCTTCTTGGGTGATTTGTGACTCAATCACATGGTGATGATGATGATGATACCGGCTCAATCCTCGTGACCTCAAAAGAGTAGATGTCATTATACTGTCTTAAGTAACTCTCCACTAAAGCGCCAACCTGAGAAACAAGATGACAGGAAGTGAGAAAACGGCAGGTGCAAAAGAAGAAAAGCACAATAAAGCTGCGTCCCAATACTGTCCATTATTCATAGAATGCAAGAATTATGATATTAAAACATATAGTTTGATTTGAAGTTACATTAAAACATACATCCCTTGACAATTGTGATATATAATGTGAAAGACATACTCTAATGGTTCAGAAAAACAAGCAATAATGGAGGATTTCTAATGAGGCACAAAAAAAAATAGAAACTCTAATAAAGTTATTTCAGCCAATAGAATCCCTTTGGGGCCTAAAGGACGTGATGTCACACCTATTATTCACTATCAACTCGATTGTAGAGCGACTGTGAGGATGAAGCTGCAACTGCAGTTTAATGTAAAATGTTTTATTAATTTAGCTTGAGGCTAATGCTATTTATTCTCTTAAAATACTGGCATGCTTTGGTTTGAAATATTTAAAACCAAGTTCTTTCTAAGGGTTAGTTCACCCCAAAAATGAAAACTCTGTCAGTATTTACTCACACTCATTTCGCTCATCTTCGGGACACAAATTAAGATTGCTGGATCACTCCTCCATAGGCTTCTTAAGGGATTGAAACTTGCCGGCCCAGAAAAGTTATTAAAGACATCGTTAAAATAGTCCGAATGACTACAGCGACTCAATCTTAAGTTAATCAAGCGACGAGTGCGCAAAAAAACAAACAAAAATAACGACTTCATTTCCTTCCCGTAGTGTAACAGCGCAGCATCATGTGTGTGACGTGCAACACAGAAGCGCTGCACGGTTACACTACTTGAACTCACTTGAGAAGGAAATGAGTAGTTGAATAAAGTTGTTATTTTAGGTTGTTTTTTGCGCACAAAAAGTATCATCGCTTGATAAACGTAAGATTAAGTCACTGTAGTCACTCAGACTATTTTAACAATGTCTTTAATAACTTTTCTGGGCCGGCAAATTTCAATCCCTTAGAAGCCTACATGATCCAGCTCTCAGATTTAATCAAAAATATCTTTATATTTGTGTTCCGAAGATGAGCGAAAGTCTTACGGGGTTGAACAACATGAGGGAGAGCGATTACTGACAGAATTTAACCCTTATAGGGGAACTCCGGCGAACAATGAACCTTTGGTCTAATAAAACATCGGTACCTAATCAATTGTTCTCTGAATTTTGTTTTCATGATAATCAAATGTAAAGAGTTTTATCTCTAAAAACTGTTTAGCGTATAATGCTAGTAATGGGGGCATTGACTAAGTAAATAGAAATCGCTAGTTTATACCACTAACAAGGCTCAAAATAGCCCCACACTAACACAGTAACATAATGAGGCTCCATACATACAAAACGAAGCATTGAGAACTTTGTAAGTGTACAGACCGTTTAATAAGAAGATACGTTATAAAGACAGTTCACTTCGAGTATACAGACAGGAGCCATCTTAGAAAATAGTCTCGATAAGTCGATCCCCGAACGCCGTTCATACAGTTCAGAAGTTTGTTGAACTTCATAGAGTTCAGATCATTCAGCACGACATTCGTGGTTTGACTTATCGAGACTATTTTTTAAGATGGCTCCTGTCTGTATACGCGAAGTGGACTGTCTTCATAAAGTATCTTCTTATTAAACGGTCTGTACTCTTACAAAGTTCTCAATGCTTCGTTTTGCATGTATGGAGCCTCATTATGTTACTGTGTGAGTGTGCGGCTATTTTGAGCCTTGTTAGTGGCAGTGTTGGGAGTAACGCATTACAAAAGTAATACATTACAGTAACATATTACTTTTTGCTGTAACGCAGTAGTGTAAGGCATTACTAATCAATTTTCAGTAATATTTTACTCGTTACATGTTCAGTGAGGCTTGTATTACAGTTGTATTACAGTGTATTGTCTGCTTTTACTTCTTAAAGGCAACAGACTATGTGAAAGTTTTAAAGCAGTCTTTTAGTGCCAGTTCAGAGCGGTCGTGTCTGTAACATTGTTTTTTCCTCATAAATGCGAACACGAAAACTAAAATAAAATGAATATTTTAAGTTCTATGGAGACTGGAGAGCCAACCCTTCCTCATCCGATTTGCGCAGTGTAATTAACAGAATTACAAAAAAATGTATTTTGCCTCCTATTTTTTTTTGTCACGCATGAATGTGTGTCTTTTCCCTAATATTAAAAATAAAACATAGACTGATATTTGTCTAATGTCTGGAGTCCTTTAAGGAAGTAGCCTATGTACGTTTCAATACATGAATTTTCTGAGAATTTTTATTTCAAGTTTTGACTGCAAATGTCATCATGTCCATAATGCTGGACTTGCCCAATTTTAAATAATTTATCATCAACTAGTTTTGTGGTGTAGGTCTACGTATTTTATAATGTTAACTTCAAATAATACTAATAGCCTAATTTAAAGATAAGGCAGCATTGGATCTGGACGGTAAGGAGAATAACGCTGGAGTTGGAAGAGGTGTGTCGCGATTCTGTAGGTTCGTGGATCTGAGTCGTGTGGCGAATCGCGATTTCGGTTTCATATTGCATATCGTTACAGCCCAAAAGTTAAGTTCTACTTAGTTATTTTGGTGAAAGTAACTCAAATGTAATACATGAGTAATGTAACGCATTACAATTCTGGGACAGTAATATTGTAAGGTAATGAATTACTTTTAAATAACAGTAACAAGTAATACCTAATGTATTACAGTTTGAAAGTAACTTGCACAACACTGGTTAGTGGTATAAACTAGCGATTTCTTTTTACTTAGTCAATGCCCCCATTACTAGCATTATACGCTAGACAGTTTTTAGAGATAAAACTCTTTACAATCGATTATCATGAAAACAAATCTCAGAGAACGGTTGACTATGTACCGATGTTTTATTAGACCAAAGGTTCATTGTTCGCCGGAGTTCTCCTTTAAGTACATTAAGGGTGTAGTGTATGTGAACTGGATGCTCCTCTCACCTCACGCAGTGCAGCCTGATGCTCCTCTTCAGTGGACGACTCCTCCGCCAAAATCTCCACGTCCAGATTAGTGAGTAATGTGAGAACATCTGCTAAAGACCAAAACACTTAGTAGTGATTTCAGGTTTCACTGCCTCTGTTGCAGCAGTTATGGTAAAACTTGACCTACACATTCATACACACAAACAAACACACAGATAAATTACCTTTGGGTGTAGCTGCAGTGGAGTTGACTGGAGGGGGTGCAGTTGTGGTATTGAAAACTATAAAGAAAGTGACAGATGTCATGAATGTTGTATCTAAGAGGATGCAGTAATAATCTTTCAATAAATGTGAGTTCTTACTGCAGGTGCTGTTGAGGTCGGGACAGCAGTCATTGAACTGTTTACAGACCTCGTCACAAAAACAGCCTCTGAAACAGTCGTAGTTTAGGCCACTGCAGCACAGAGTCGGCTGTGAACACTTTCCTATAGAAGTGCACATGACATGTTAGATGCTGAATCCATCCTCAATACAGTTAGGGTGCATCTAAGGCTATGTTTACACGGAAACGATTCTGAAGAGCAAACGCAAAAGTGGCGTTGCGTCATCTTTTTTATTCTGCATTTAGACGAGCGTTTTGTGTGGGAAATCCGCGTGCAAATGGAGATGTAAAAGTGTGTGAAATTCAATGTAGTATGCACGTCAGGCGGCTAGGAGTGCATACTACAACAACACCAAGTCCACGCGGCTGCGTACAACCTTCACTGTCAAGCAGAGGGTGGTTTCACTTTTTTGCGTTTTTGAGCCTCAAAAACGCTGTTGCCGTGTAAACGAAAGGCACATCCGATAAAATATTTTTACGTTTTCACCCGCGAGCGTTCTCGTGTAAACAGGGCCTTACCCAGATAGCAAACTGACATTGAATCAACGTGGAAATATGACATTGAAACAACGTTGATCTTACATTGTTTTGCTCATCGAATTAACGTTGAACCAACGTCAGACGCGTCATTCTTTCAAAACTAACGGAAAATCAACTTGAAATCAACGCGTTGTTTCAACGTTATGAAAGCAAACCAATTTTCGATTTTCCGTTAGTTTTGAAAGAATGCCGCGTCTGACGTTGGTTCAACGTTAATTCGATGAGCAAAATCAACGTTGTTTCAATGTCATGAGAGACGTCGTTTCCACGTTGATTCAATGTCAGTTTGCTGTCTGGGTAATCAGCTCCCTTGTCCAGTAGGGCACTGAACAGAGAGTCGGACATTTTAAGGGCTGTCTGAGTGAAATGTTTGCTCACAAAAAAAGCTATCTTAACTGAAATTCTTAAGCGCAAAGCGTAAATCGTGTGAACCAGTTCAATTGTAACACTGGTCAGACTGATCTCACGTGTACAGACACGCGGAATCACTCGGACGTTAATGGCGTAGACATACACGCATACACGCGGATAGCTCAAAATACGTAGAGATAACACCCCACTTGACTCGAAAGTGGCGTGTATGTTTACGCAAAAGTCATGATGTCATGTTGCACTGGTTAGCTTTAAAAATGCAGGAGAGTAGGATTCCAATTGCAATAAATGTTACCAAGAGGTAACATTTGACATTCAATGCAGATTTAAATATGTAGACAATTCAAAATTATTTCACACAGTCACATGATAAAGAATATTTATAAAAAATAGAGAAATATATAAAATATACCTGTCAGCGTCAAAGTGTTGTTTGGTTTAGTGCCGTTGGAGCTGTTATTGACTAAAAGGTGGGAAGAGATGAAGATTTTAGTGAGATGTCTTTGTGTATGTGCTGTTTTTGTTGTGTTTTACATTGATAGTACTGTACATTAATCATGTAGTACAGAGTAGAACACAATCTGATTACTGTGACTGTTGATTCATTTCAGCACAGATGAATCAGATTTCCAGTATGAATGTTTCTGAGTACCTGTGAGGCAGGTGGGTTTGAAATCAGGGCAGCAGTCGCCAATTCTCAGGCAAGCAACGTCACAAAAACAGTTCAAGCGGTGACAGGAGTCATTTTTTCCAGAGCAGCACAGATCTGGATTCCCACAACTTCCATCTATGACAGAAACATCATGTGAAACAAATCAATTAGATGTAATGAACACAAACTGGCACTTTGAACACACACACACACACACACACTTCTGTTTCAAGTAAATGCTTTTCCTTTTAACTTTCTATTCATCAAAAAATCCTGAAACATATTATCCCAGTTTTTCATAAAATATGAAGCAGCACAACTGTTTTCAACATTGATAATAATAAGAAATACCTTTTTAGCATTTAAATCAGCATATACAAATGATTTCTGAAGCATCATTATTATTGTACACACAGAAAATAAAAACTCACCGGCAGGAGATTGAGTGGTAGTTGTGTTTGTTGCATTGGTCACTCCAGGCCGTGTGGTTAAAGGGATGGTGGTCGCATTGCTGGGGTTGCTTGTCACTGTGGTAAATAATAAGTTAGTGAACTAAAGCCACAGAGCTCTGTCTAAGCAAGTACAACCAAATATTTCACACTAGTGGAATTAAATCGCATGTTTAATCACATTCTATAAGGACAGAAATGTGACATACTATTTAATACCAAAACACATTTTAGGTTTCACTGATTTTAGGTTTCACTGTCCTTGGTTGCAAAAGTGATTAGTAAAACCTTGACCTACACATACCTACACAAACACAGATGAATTACCTTTGGGTGTAGCTGCAGTGGCGTTGACTGGAGGGTTTATAGTGGAGATGACTGGAGGGGCTGCAGTTGTCGTATTGGAAACTATAAAGAAAGAGACAGATGTCATGATTGTTGTATCTAAAAGGATTCAGTAATAATTTTTCAATAATAAGCTGGATGTTTTATCCAGCTAATGTGGTCGTTTTCGTGGCTTGCCTCAACATTAGCATTTAAATAGCGCACACTCTCAGTGAGCGTGGTCATATTAGCACGTCAAACGCTATAATTAGGTGAAAGAAAAAAGACTGACATCTCTTTTCTTACAGATTACATCAACTGAGAATAGGTGTTTTTTATATAAATTACTTAATTTAAAAGAAGAGAATTTCAGCTTCATAAAGATAAATCTTTCGTGTCTCTGTGACAAGTATTTACTAAGTTACAGTTCATTTTTCAGACGCGTTTCAGAATGAACTTCACTGACAGAGAGAAGGCAAAACGCGCATCATGTTTATTTTTCTTCATTTGACAAAAAGCAGAACACTTTGTTTTTATTGTGAGTATACACAAAAAAATAGACACTTAACAGGATCGAATGATGTATAACACTTATATGTAAGATCAAAATCAGCAGAGTAATTTTAGTCTCTTTTGCACTTATTAGAAAAAAAGTGAGTTTTTATCGCTGGCGATACCGCCGACCCCAGAGGGATAAAGTTAGTGTGTAGCCACAGAGCTCTGTCTAAGCAAGTACAACCAAATATTTCACACTAGTGGAATTAAATCGCATGTTTAATCACATTCTATAAGGACAGAAATGTGACATACTATTTAATACCAAAACACATTTTAGGTTTCACTGATTTTAGGTTTCACTGTCCTTGGTTGCAAAGTGATTAGTAAAACTTTGACCTACACATACCTACACAAACACAGATGAATTACCTTTGGGTGTAGCTGCAGTGGCGTTGACTGAAGGGTTTATAGTGGAGATGACTGGAGGGGCTGCAGTTGTCGTATTGAAAACTATAAAGAAAGAGACAGATGTCATGATTGTTGTATCTAAAAGGATTCAGTAATAATTTTTCAATAATAAGCTGGATGTTTTATCCAGCTAATGTGGTCGTTTTCGTGGCTTGCCTCAACATTAGCGTTTAAATAGCGCGCACTCTCAGTGAGCGTGGTCACATTAGCACGTCATACGCTATAATTAGGTGAAAGGAAAAAGACTGACATCTCTCTTTTCATACAGATTACATCAACTGAGAATAGGTGTTTTTTATATAAATTACTTAATTTAAAAGAAGAGAATTTCAGCTTCATAAAGATAAATCTTTCGTGTCTCTGTGACAAGTATTTACTAAGTTACAGTTCATTTTTCAGACGCGTTTCAGAATGAACTTCACTGACAGAGAGAAGGCAAAACGCGCATCATGTTTATTTTTCTTCATTTGACAAAAAGCAGAACACTTTGTTTTTATTGTGAGTATACACAAAAAAATAGACACTTAACAGGATCGAATGATGTATAACACTTATATGTAAGATCAAAATCAGCAGAGTAATTTTAGTCTCTTTTGCACTTATTAGAAAAAAAGTGAGTTTTTATCGCTGGCGATACCGCCGACCCCAGAGGGATAAAGGTAGTGTGTAGCCACAGAGCTCTGTCTAAGCAAGTACAACCAAATATTTCACACTAGTGGAATTAAATCGCATGTTTAATCACATTCTATAAGGACAGAAATGTGACATACTATTTAATACCAAAACACATTTTAGGTTTCACTGATTTTAGGTTTCACTGTCCTTGGTTGCAAAGTGATTAGTAAAACTTTGACCTACACATACCTACACAAATACAGATGAATTACCTTTGGGTGTAGCTGCAGTGGCGTTGACTGAAGGGTTTATAGTGGAGATGACTGGAGGGGCTGCAGTTGTCGTATTGGAAACTATAAAGAAAGAGACAGATGTCATGATTGTTGTATCTAAAAGGATTCAGTAATAATTTTTCAATAATAAGCTGGATGTTTTATCCAGCTGATGTGGTCGATTTCATGGCTTGCCTCAACATTAGCGTTTAAATAGCGCGCACTCTCAGTGAGCGTGGTCACATTAGCACGTCATACGCTATAATTAGGTGAAAGGAAAAAGACTGACATCTCTCTTTTTTCATACAGATTACATCAACTGAGAATAGTTGTTATTTACATAAATTACTTAAAGGGATAGTTCACCCAAAAATGAAAATTCAGTCATGCTGTACCAACCACGTAAGACCTTTGTTCGTCTTCGGAACACAAATGAAGATATTTTTGATTAAATTTGAGAGGCGGATCACTCCTCCATAGGATAAGGGATTGAAACTTGACGGCCCGGAAAGTCAATGAAGAAAATGTTGAAATATTCCATGTGACTACAGCGGCTCAAGTAGTTTATCAAGTGACGAGAATACTTTTTGTGCGAAAAAAACAACAAAATAAAGACTTTATTCGACTATTCCTTTTCTTCCGAGTTCAAGAGATTTCCACGACGCATGCGCGAGAACTGAACAATAAGGAAAAAGATCCCAGTTCTCGCTCATCCACCTCTCAAATTTAATAAAAAATATCTTCATTTGTGTTCGGAAGATGATCGAAGGTCTTACGGGGTTGGTACAGCATGGGGGTGAGTAGATATGAAGAGTTCAGATGCAAAAGCCTCTAAATGCCATTTGAAATTTTCTTATTGAATGATGATTTTTATCAAACTTGTATATTTAAGTTCAGTAATTTCACTTAAATGGCAATGAAGATTACCTATTAATTGTCATTTAAGTGAAATTACTGAACTTAAATATACAAGCTTGATAAAAATGGTCATTTTAGAATTTTTTGAAATAATAATTTGAAAATAATTCAATTTGAAATAATTTGAAATTTTTGGCACTCTTCATATGATGACTTAATTTTCATTTTTGGGTGAAATATCCCTTTAATATTCAGCCCTAGCAGAGAGCTCAGATACATAAAACAAAACCTTTTGGATTGTTAGAGCCAAATTGGTCAACTGAAAATCTCTCGCTAATGAACACATTAGTATGGAGCCACAGAGCTCTGTCTAAAACAAGATGCAATTACACTTAAGACAGGGAAATATTTCTGTATAGTATATGGTTTAAAACTAATTTAATTTAATTGCATACATTTGTAAACTCCTTCATAAGGGTATAGGAATGTGATGTACAGTATAACAGATTAGAATAGCTTGAGAAGTTTAAAATTAGCATTGTAATACAACATTTAAATTGTCAGGTTTTTACATGCTGGTGGATGAACAGTAGTTGGTAATGGTGAGATGGCGGTTGGAGCAGCTGGGCTACTTTGAGCTGTGGAATAAAAGAAATGTTTAATGTCAACAATCAGATAATCTGAAGCATTTACAAATTGTTCTTGTTTAACCAGTGTAATTATTCGATCCATGTCTGAATTCCTGACGGTGCTTCTCAAAATATCCCAAACCGATTATAATGAATATAATCAGATGTAGATTTCAATAATGAAAAATATATCCAAATGTGACACAAGCAGTGCATCTGATGTGAACGTTACCTGTGGTTACGCAGCTGATTGTGGCCAGCAGACAGCCGATGAGAATCACAGCGGGAGCCATCAGGATCAGTGTGTGTCAGGTCTCCGGTAGTGATTTTTCTAAGCCGAATCTTCTCCTTTTTGTGCTCCGGATTTTATCGAGGCCAGCCCCCTTCCGACAAGCACAGATTTCAGAGACCGATACATTCAAGTCATCTTTCCTTAATCAGATAGTGAACAGAGTTCCTGAAATACTGGATTCTTTAATGACGCTGTTAAAATACCCTGATGAAGGTCGTTATCAAAAGATTTTGGGACTTTCTTTCCTGTTCTTCCTATTGCACTGGCAGCGTCTCACCCGAATGAGGCCATCCAAATTTAGATTTTCTTTTAATAGTGAAGATATACAATAAAGCGATACCTCTTAAATTGATGTTAGATCTGCTGAGTCACAGAGACGTTTGTTTTATGGTCAGTCTAGCTGTATTGATCCAAACAGATAAAAGGGATAGTTCACTTTAAAATTAATTTTTGATATGTTTTATCTTACCTCAAGGGCATCCGAGATGTAGGTGTCTTTGTTTCCGCAGTATTTTCAATTTTGATATTTTTAGGTCAAACCGTTCTTGTCTGTCAGTCATATAATGCAGGTCTATGGTCACCACCTGTGGTTACAAATCGCCCGCGCCCTCTTGGCACTTTGGACGAGACTGTGGTTACAAAAGGTAAAAACGATATAAATAATGTTGGTTTTCTCACACAAACCGCTCGTTTCGTGTCTTAGGCCATCAATGTGTGCTTACATTTACGAGTCATTAAATCATGTTTAATCTGGACTTCTCTGTGCATGCTCTTTGAGGTGGTGACCATAGACCTCCATTATATGACAGGTCCGAAAAATATCAAAATTGAAAATACCGTGGAAACAAAGACACCTACATCTCGGACGCACTTGAAGTGAGATAAAACATACCAAAAATTAATTTCAAAGTGAACTATCCCTTTAATATTTCCCAGTAAAACAAGTTTTACTCATTTGTGTCGTTTCATCTTCAAAATGTTTTGGTTTACAAGAGTTTTTCCTAAATCGTGTGTCATGTGAAACCTAATATGCAGCCTTGCCATGCTGACCTCTGACCCTCACCACATTGGGGGAAGCCGTGGCCTAATGGTTATAGAGTAAGACTGGTAACTTGAAGGTTGCGGGTTTGATTCTCAATATGATTGAGCAAGGGTGCCACAGCAAAAATGGCTGTGTGTGTGTGTTCACTACTCACTTCTCCTGCACTAACTTGGATGGGTTAAATGCAGAGGACAATTTCTGTGTTTGGGTTACCAATCCTATAACCTGGCTCCACCGTCCTACATACTTTTGCACAATTTTCCTTCAGGACCTGATGATGATCCCCAGGGTTTGAGACGTTCACAGGTGTCGTGCTGCACACACACAGACCGTCTCTTGTCACCAAACTCTGTTCCTCTGAAAGGCTTGATTACACTTCTTCTTTCTGTGGTCAGATGCATCTAAACAATAGACGAGAGAGAGGACAAAGTGCTTTAGTGAACTCCAGTCGAAGAGCTTTCTGTTAAGAGCTAACAGGTTATGATAATCAGCTACTTGCTAAATCATCCAACTGCTTTGCAAATACTCAAACTCACACACACACACACACACACCGTCAGCACGCTAATATACAAAGTTCTGGGATATTTGCATCCAAACCTCACAGAGGAGAGCTTCTGATGAACTGGACGCCTCATGCATCATGGTAAAGTACAATTACTTATATTTATTTAATTATTTGCATTTTAAACATTTATGGAATCTAGACTACCGTACAGACAGGAATCTCCCACAAAAGATAAAATCTCAATTTCCATAGTTTGCGTCAAATATGTACAATGCTTGTATGTTTAGGATTAAAACCAAACAAAAAAAATCAAATGGTCGTGTTAGAACATAAAATGTTTTATTTGAACCATTAAATAATCTCAAAGTCTAACAGCGATGAGGATTTATTTCCTCTCGGCTGGTTTCTGACTCAATCACATGGTGATGATGATGATGATACCGGCTCAGTTTTCAGAAGAGTAGATGTCAGTATTATTATACGCTTTTAAGTTACTCGCCAGCAAAGCGGCAACCTGAGAAACAAGATCTCGGGAAGTGAGAAAACAGAATGTCTAGAAAAAGAAGAAGGCTGCGTCCTCATTTACAGTCACCTAAAGGATTATCAGGAACACCACACTGATACTGTGTTTGACCCGCTTTCGCCTTAATTCTACGTGGCATTGATTCAACAAGCATTCTTTAGAAATGTTGGCCCATATTGATAGGATCGCATCTTGCAGTTGATGGAGATTTGTGGGATGCACATCCGTTCCACCACATCCCAAAGATGCTCTATTGGGTTGAGATCTGGTGACTGTGACGGCCATTTTAGTACAGTCAACTCATTGACATGTTCAAGAAACCACTTTGAAATGATTGGAGCTTTGTGACATGGTGCATTATCCTGCTGGAAGTATCCATCAGAGGATGGGGACATGGTCTGAAACAATACTCAGGTAGGCCGTGGCATTTAAACGATGCCCAATTGGCACTAAAGGGGCCTAAAGTGTGCCAAGAAAACTATTATACCACCACCACCAGCCCAACAGTGGGAACAAGGCATGATGGATCCATGTCCTCATTCTGTTTACGCCAAATTCTCAACAGAAATCGAGACTCATCAGACCAGGCGACATTTTTCCAGTCTTCAACTGTCCAATTTTGCACATTGTGGCCTCTTTTTCCTATTTGTAGTGGAGATGAGTGGTGCCCGGTGGGGTCTTCTGCTGTTGTAGCCCATCCGCCTCAAGGTTGTCTTGACCAGGACCACACCCCTAAATGCATTGAAGCAGCTGCCTTGTGATTGGTTGATTCGATAATTTCATTAATGAGAAATTGAACAGATTAGTGAGTAATTTGAGAACATCTGCAGAAGACCAAAACACTTAGTTAGTAGTGATTTCAGGTTTCACTGCCTCTGTGCTCTTTGACAGTACAGTGTCCCCGTCTTTATACTGGGGCGTTAGGACCCACACAGGAGTCTCCCATCCAGGTAGCGCTTGAAGAATGGTCAAACATTCCCATAAACACACTCCTAAACCTTGTGAAAAGCCTTCCCAGAAGAGTTGAAGCGGTTATAGCTGCAAAGGGTGGGCCAAACTCCATATTAAACCCTACGGATTAAGAATGGGATGTCGTTAAAGTTCGCATGCATGTAAAGGCAGATGTCCCTAAACTTTTGGCAATATAGTTGTTTCACAATTGGGAAGAAAAGGCGATCTTCTGTTTTCATGCAAACTTTAAAAACACTCCACCGACCTCATCATCGCTGCGACTCTGCATTTGAATATTGTACGTTTTAAGAAGAAAAATCACATTTTGTGTGAAGAGCCTCTAACATGATGATACAGAATAATATAAAGACAATACCTGTCAGTGACAAAGTGTTGCTTGGTTTGATGCTATTATTGAGTATAGAAGGGGAACAGAGGTGCAGGTTTAAGATATATACAGTATATGTGCAGGACTTAAAAACCCTTTTGATCACAATGAAGTGCTTTACTTTTATTAAGTGATGTGTCCACAAACATATGAACTGTTTTCAACATTGATAACAATCTGAAATGTTTCTTGAGCATCAAATCATCATATTAGAGTGATTTCTGAAGGATCTGAAGACTGGAGTAATGATATTGAAATTCAGCTTTGATCACAGGAATAAATTACACTTTACTACACTCTAAAAAATGCTGGGTTGTTTTAATCCAATTTTTGGGTAAAATATGGACAAACTCAAACTTTGGGTTAAAAATGTCATTTAAAATGTTAACCCAATTACTGGGTTTGTCAATATTTGATCCAAATTTGGGTTGAAATAACCCAGCATTTTTTTTTAGAGTGTACATATCACTAAAACAAAGTTACTTAAAATTGTAATAATATTTCGATATTTAACCGTATGTTTGATCAAATAAATGCAGCCTTGGGGAGCTTCTTTCAAAAAAAAATTCAATAAATCTTATCGACCGCAAATGTTGAATGGTAGTGCAGGCATGCAGACAGGAAGTTATCGAGTTGCTAGTGTTGGATTAGAATGTTAGAAAGAATTTTTATCAGATATGTTTCTAGAGGAAGATAAGGAAGTACATAAATACAGGATGCTTGCAATGTTTGTATGTTGTTTTACCTGCTCCAACTAGTTTCATCAACGATTATCACACTCTTAGAAGAAATGGTTCCATCCCCCGCTTCATATATGGAACTCCAAAATGGTTCTACATAGAACTATTTTTTTTTGGTAAAAGGTTCTATTGGCCAAGTATGGAACCCCAGGGTTCTATATAGAACCCAAAGGAACCCTTTTTTAAAGAGTGTATAGAACCTTTTAGGGGTTCCAAATACGTAGCGCTGATAGAACCTTTTAAGGTTCTATATAGAACCTTTTCTTCTAAAAGTGCAGTGTGAAACTGCTATTTCTGCTATATGTATATTTTCAAATAATTTGTTTCCTTTAAACTTCATGCAGTGAAAATTGGGCCACATCATGGTCCATTTGTGTGTGTGAATGTTGTTGGATGCGTTCACACTGCCATCAGCTGGTTGAGATCAGGAACTGATGATGATCCCCAGGGTTTGAGACGTTCACAGGTGTCGTGCTGCACACACACAGACCGTCTCTTGTCACCAAACTCTGTTCCTCTGAAAGGCTTGATTACACTTCTTCTTTCTGTGGTCAGATGCATCTAAACATTAGACGAGAGGGAGAACAAAGTGCTTTAGTGAACTTAGAGCCGGTCGAAGAGCTTTCTGTTATTAACAGGGATAATCAGCTACCTGCTAAATCATCCACCTGCTATGCAAATACTCAAACTCACACACACACACACACCGTCAGCACGCTACTCACTGTCCTCATATACAAAGTTCTAGGATATTTGCATCCAAACCTCACAGCTTAGAGCTTCCTGATGAACTGAACACCTCATGCATCATGGTAAAGTACAATTATTAATATTTATATAATGAGTTGCATGTTCTGCATTTAGGATTCCAGACAAAATTGACATGTTTTGGGCATTTTGAGTTGGTTTCAGATGCTGTTTTATATGTGAACATCAACATAGCCTAATCATAATATAGTGTGGCAACATCCAGGCAGTATAGTTTCATTTATTACCTGTAGCTAATTGATATCAGATACTGTAGGTATCTTAGTTTAGAAAAGTTAGTTATTTTCTGCTTTAAAATGTTTCTGCTCCTCATTCGCATTAAATAAAGCATTGTTCTCTGCATAAAGCAACTGAACCACTGATCTGATAAAAACGGAAAATAGCAACGCTTCAGCTTCCCCTTAGTCACACCAGTTATATACAGTACATGCTTATTTATTTCTGTGATATTTAATCTCTTTTTCCCTCACCTTCAGTCAAGACAAAGTAAAACAGCCTTTTATGCATTGAATAGTTATGAAAGAGAAAGTGCTGTGTTTTTCTCTGACACTGTTTATATTTAAAATATTACTTGTGTAGCATTTATGCATGCTTCATCCATATACATTTACACAATCTTTTACCAGGAACTGTTTAACAAAACCTACTTGTAAAGATCGATACATAGCTAATGTTCTTGTTAGTCATTACCTGACTTGGGAAATATAAAGGTCTTCAATCGAAATGTGTTTTGGTCACCAGAGAAAAGTTTTATTGCTCAGAAAATTGGAAAATGGTGATTTCTTTATTTTTAGAGTTTCTTTGAGAAGTTCAAAACATCTGTACTGTAAGTGTTTTTTCATCAAACATAATTTTTTTCTCATGTAGCCTACACCTTGCTTCACTGTTATTTACCTGTTATTTTTCTTCTGTACAGACATGGACCACCTGCCCCTCCCAGGAGAACAGGTGCATTCATGACAATAGGCCTTACCTGTGTAAAAACAGTCAAAATTTATATATGTGTGTGTGTGTGTGTGTGTAAATAATCACTAATTATTTTATTATTCACTGCTCACGTAGGCTATATTTTAATAGCCTAATGATTAAAAGTACAAATGTGGCTTGTTAATATGAGGTATGTACATATATTAAGTTTGGCAGAATTATAAATAAAACCGCAGTTAATTTTTGCTACAATGTGAATAATTAAAATGTAACTAAATAATATAAATAGAGCATAGTCCTATAGCCTATAAAAACGAAAAACATCTAATGCATAAAAATAGACTACAAATATAAAACACACACACACACACACACACACACACAGAGAGAGAGAGAGAGAGAGAGAGACCTTTCAAACAGCAGAGAGGATGGTAGTTAGTTTGCAAATAAACGGCTCACATTATTTTAATTCTTTGAGGCGATTATTTTTGACGTCTCGACGCGCGCGACTTTTCTTCACGTCATGTTTCTCTCTGCCACCCCAGTGTGCTTTAAATAGTAAAAAACAAGAGCACCAAAGACTGAATAATCAAAAGCAAGCGTTTTTTGCGTTGTATGTCTTATTTCTTCTGTCGAACGTGAGTGTTTTGAGGGAATAACAACTCAAATTCCCAGCAGGCACCGCGGTATGAATAAATTATAGAGGGTTACTTGTTTTATTTTGTTTTACGGTTTATCGTTTTTATTTTTTGCTGCTGTTGTATATCCAGTCACTACTAGATACTTCGCACTTTACGTCGTGATGATTATTCATAGTTCGGATTTATTTACTACTACTTTATTTATTTTTGTCGCTGTTTTCGTCATGGCTTCATTAAAGTGGCGGAAATGCACTAATAGCCTACTTGGTTTGCCAGCCGCCACAAACACAAGAACGAACGAAATGCACTATTTTGACGATCTATCTATTTTGAAATGTATTTGTGTTTCTTCAAACTTTGCATGACCTCATTTCAACTCTCAAACACAGATAATAGCGCTGCGTACGGCTGGCCAGAAGGGGAATTTGTAAGTAACTTACTGTGCAAACATCACCTGTCTTAAAAACACACACACATACACAAGGTTAAAAAGTGTGGGAACCGCAGTGTTTATCTTTCTTCCTGTTGCTGTGTCACCACCACAAGGTATCAGTTCCCTTACCAATAGATAATTGCTGATTTTTGTCAAACGCTTGTTATATTTTTTTATTTGACATATATTTTTAGACACATCTGAAAAAGATCTTTGTTAACTTAAATCCGTGCATTTACAGGATGAGGAAGATAGTGATACATATGAAGCCCCACCATGTGAGCATCCGACCATTAAAGTCCAGCCTCGCCAAGTAGAGGAGAACGTTTACCTTGGTAGGTCCATCCATCCATCCATCCATCCATCCATCCATCCATTATTAGTTCTATCAATCCATCCATCCATCCATCCATCGTTAGTTCTATCAATCAATCCATCCATCCATCCTTAGTTCTATCAATCCATAAATTGTTACTTCTATCATTCATTCTATCAATCCATCGTTAGTTTTATCATTCATTCTATAGTTTTAACATTCATTCTGTCTGATCGCTTGTCTATCTAATATGAATTGCATACTTAGTTATCTTTGCATGGATTATAATATTGAAAAATATTTGACCGTTAAAAATATTCAGGTGAAACTTGTGCAAAAGTTCATTTATTTCAGTAATTCAACTTAAACGGTAACTAAAACTAATATATAAAAGGAAACTAATATTATAGACTCATTACATGCAAAGTGAGATATTTCAAGCCTTTATTTGTTATAATTTTGATGATTATGGCTTACAGATATGAAAACCCCAAATTCAAATTTAGAATATTGTGAAAAGGTTTTTCATATCTGTAAACTACGATATTCAAATTGTTTGAGTTTCACCTGTACACCATGTATTTTATATTTCTATTTATTGTTAATATTGGAATTAATTATGCTGATGAATTTATATTTAATGTGCTAATATTTTTGATTTAGTTTCTAATATAGCGTTTGCTTATATTAGGTTATCCAGAGAGAGGCCCAAACCCGGGTCTTCCCAAAAGACAGGCAGCACCGCCGCCACGACCAGCCAAGATCCTCCCGATCGGGAAAAGCCCAGTAAAACATCTTTGTGCTCAAATGATTGAAATATCTGTTTTCAATATGATTTTATTTAACAAAAGAGGCACGTGTTACTTTCAGATTGAGTTGTGTTTGCTTTGCTTCTAGAAGCCAGAGCCGCCTCATGATCCAGAAGAGTTTTACATCGACCCCAATGATGGAAAACGTGAGTCTCTTTGAACTCTATTCTCACACGCTGTTCTCTACACGCCCCCTGCGGACACGCCCCCTGCAGACACGCCCACTGCAGAGTGGGACACGCCCCCAGCATTTGAGAGCAGAGAATAACTAACACATTCCTCTGTGGTGTGACAAACTCAGAACACATACTTAATTTTGACTTTACAGGGACTTTAAGTCCACGAGACCGAAAGTCCGAATGAAGTGCGCCATTTGAGACAAGTCTTACCACGGCTGCATTTGAAGAGTTCAGATGCAAAAGCCTCTAAATGCCATTTGAAATTTTCTTCTTTAATGATGATTTCAGTAATTTCACTTAAATAACAATTAATAGGTAATTATCGTTGCCATTTAAGTGAAATCACTGAACTTAAATATACAAGCTTGATAAAAATCATCATTCTAGAAGAAAATTTCAAATGGCACTTAGAGGCTTTTGCATCTGAACTCTTCATTTGTTTGATTAAAAAGTAAAAGTAATAGGAACAAGTAAAAAAGTATTTTTTTCCAGTAAAAATGTAATATTGTGATTTTTTTTAATATGTTTTCTTTGTGAATATACTGTAAAGTGTAATTTATTCCTTTGATCAAAGCTGAATTTTCATCATAGTCTTCAGTGTCACATGATCCTTCATAAATCACTCTAATGTGATCTGATGCTCAAGAAATATTTCAGATTATTATCAATGTTTAAACCAGTTCATATATTTGTGGAAACCGTGATACATTTTATTTTTCAGGATTCTCTAATGAAAAAAAGAACAGCATAATATTATAAATTTTTACACATTATACACGATTTTGATCAAATGAATGCATTCTTCCTGACCCCAGAGATTTGAATGGTAGTGTAATGCAGAGATGGATGGATGGCGTATATATAATAAACTTTATATTCTCTGTCTCAAGCCCCTGAGGTGATACGAAAAGATAAACCTGGCAAAAAAGCCCCACCTATGAGACCCCCGATGAGACCTCCACCGGCCCCTCAGAACGACGAAGGTCATTTTAAGACTATATTCATCAAACTCAGATTATCATATTGGATTTTATTAGTTGATGACACACTGCACTTTTAGTTACTGTTCTCTCTGACCTTTTCTAGATGTTTACTTGGATCCAAATGAAGGACAGGTAAGCTTCAGAAGTGCTAAAGAAACGCATTACGCCAGATGCCTTGTGATCATTTTAATATGACTGTATTTTTGTTTCTGTCAGGATGATGATGATGATGATACCTATCTAGATCCTGTAGCAGGTCAGTGCTCCATGAATTTATAGCTTAAAATTATTTTATAGATTGATAAGGTGACTCAAATCATATTTGCCATTTTCATTGTTTGTTTTATTTTTTCTAGAACCTCCTCCACCCCGAAACCCGAGCCGTATGCCGAAGCCCCCTAAAAGTGTAGGCCTTCGAGACCCGCCATCACCAATGTACGTGTCTAAATCAGGCTTTGTAATATTACTAAAAGCATAAAAAATCATCTGAAATCAAACTGAAGTAAAATTAAAAAAATGTATATATGAAGAGTTCAGATGCAAAAGCCTCTAAATGCCATTTGAAATTTTCTTCTAAAATGATAATTTTTATCAAGCTTGTATATTTAAGTTCAGTAATTTCACTTTAATGGCAATGAAGATTACCTATTAATTGTCATTTAAGTGAAATTATTGAACTTAAATATACAAGCTTGATAAAAATGGTCATTTTAGAAGAAAATTTCAAATGGCATTTAGAGGCTTTTGCATCTGAACTCTTCATATATATATATATATATATATATATATATATATATATAAATTCAGCTAGTTGCCAAAGCAATAAAATCATTTGTAGTAGTAAAATAACTCAAACTGAAATGAATATAATTATATTAGTGCAGTCAAATTGATTAATCACATCTAACATAAAAATGTGTGTGTGTGTATAAATTAGGGCTGTGAAACAATTAATTGTGACTAATCACATCCAAAATAAAACTTTGTGTTTAGATAATGTATGTGTGTGTAGTGTGTATATTTATTTTGTATAAATATACATGCACAATGCATGTATATATTTAAGAAATATTTGCATGTATATACTTTATATATATTTATTTATACAAAATTAATATTATACATAAATGTTTGATATATTAATAATTATATATATATATATATATATATATTAATAAATATATACATGCATACATGTGTATTTATATTTCTATTTATGTATTTTGGATGCGATTAATTGCGATTATATATACATATTTTTATGTGAGATGTGATTAATCACAAATTAACTGATTTGACAGCAATACATTATATTGATTCAAATTATAAATATACCTATATAAACTATATATTTAAAAATATAACTTATGACAAAAACACTTTAATTTAAACTAAAATTAAATTGAAATCGTAAAATGCAAAAATAAAGAATAATTCAAAATATTTTTAAAAAAGTAACAAATTTACAGTAAAGGAGGGACCCGAGTCTTCAGTAGAGAGTGCATACACACACATACACACACCCTTTAATTAGGCCCAAAACTGCCTATCAACACCTTAGCAACCCCCCATAACCGCCACACAACGTTACGTGTCCAAAATCACACATTTGCAACTGTAACTTCTCCGATCACATCTGGCATCCTGTGAGTGACTTTTGCACAAGTGAGCATCTAGTTTGCAAAATCTAGTTTGGTAATACTATTTCTTCTGATCTTCCAGAATGAAACCCCCTGTTCCCAGAGCCCATTCTGTGAGTACTGTACTAGTTTCACACACATGCACTCTGTAGTGTTCTTCTCTTGAGATGTGATTTGTTTGTTGGTTTCCTCAGAGTTCGCTCCTGATCAGTGAGAAAGGTTAGTGAGTTTCTCATGCATGATGATGTAGATCGTTTGAGCCACATGCAAAGCTTCACTTGTCATCTTGTCGGATTGTTTAGCTCCGCCTCCGGATGTAAAGCTCAGAAGTATCACTTTTTCTGGCCAGCCGCTTCCACCCGCACTAACCAGCAAACCCATCCCTCCCATCATCGTCCCCAAGGAACTCAAACCCAGGTGAGTCTGTGAAGCCTCAGATATATTAAACAAAAAAATATGAAATTATATTGTGCATGAAATATTCAGCCTATGGGTCCACTATTCATGATACTATTTTCATGAAAATTCCTCCAAACTCACCCTATTCTCAGTTGTCCAGTATGAAGCAAAAATTAAACTTCATTAGTATTTTTTTTACATAGCTTTCTATTCATGTTGAATTTATTTTTAAAATATTAAAATAAATATCCGTATCATTTAAATCTTTTGCAAAAATTAAGAATTTAGACTATATATTTATAATATGAATATTATTTATATTATTTATAAATGTTATTTTATTTATTTTCATCTAAATGTATTTCCACAGAGTGTTGCTCTAAAATTAAGTAATAAAATTAAATAAAATGTAAAATAAAAAAATAAAACAGACATATATTTTATATTGGGTGATTTTTTATTTTTTTTTAATCTTTAGTTATTTTATTTGATAACTTTAGTTATTTTTATTTTTTCCACTTAAACCAAACGAAAATGAGAAAAGTTACTTGGCAATATGCTAAAATAAAATAAGTTTTTTTTTATGTTTTATATTATTTCAAATAATGAAAATGTTTTTTATGGTTTTAGATTTAGTTAACAATCATAACCCTGGATTTTTTTCATTACCGTCTTACAGTTTTGTTGTAGTAGTCCTATTACCTTCTTTATGCAAAACAGTTTTTTTCATGTGAAATATAAAATGTACAGCACATTTCATTGTCATATTCGCCTCTTCCTCATCCGTTGTCAAACTCAAATGTCTGTAAATATGTTGTTTCCAGTCCTCCTCCTCCTCCATCTCTGGACAGCACAGGTGATCACATTTATCATTTTCATTTTTTGTCAGTCTCCATTGCTTGACATGAACACTTAGGGCTGGTCCTATGCGATAAAGCTGTGACATTTATTTGAGATGTACGATCAGTGACCACATCAGTATTCATATATTTTGTAGATTTGGCTTGTATCAAGTAAATTAAATAATATTTTCACACGACAAGAGTCAAAATAATTTAACATTTTAATCTTTTTTTATTGCACAGGATTCATCTGAACTTTTTGTAACTTGTCATATGTAGCCTATGTCACATAAAAACAATTACTGTTATCAGATTCAGTCATAATTTCCATATCTGTCCTTCCCTAATTCGTTGATGCTCTTTCCTCATACAGCGCTTTCTTTTGGAGTGAAACCAGTTGCACAGGTAAACACAACAGACACAGTCAACACTTTATGTGATTGGTGGCAAACACACTTTATTCAGTAACTGATTGGCTGGTGGTTTTGATCACGATCAGGGGGCGGGGCTTCAGGACAGAGAGTGGTTTGCTGGAGTTTGTGACCGTAAGACTTCAGAGGAAACTTTGTTCAGGATTAACAAGGTGTGTGTTTTTGTGTGATTTGTATTTTATTTAAATGCTGCATGTTTTTCATCTAAATGGGAATCTTGTTCTGAAAGCGAGTAAGATTAAATAAAATGTAAAATAACAAGAAAAAAAATATATATATAATATATATATATATATTAATAATACTTTTTTATTTTGTATTTTATTTTCATCTTAATGGGAATGTTGCTCTGAAATTAAGCCATAAATAACGTAAATGTATGTTTTTTATTTTATTTAAATGGTAATGTTGTTCTGAAATAAAGAAATGAAAAAACATGTAAAATGCATATATTTTAACATATTTTTTAATTTGTATTATTATTATTTTATTTATTTTTCATCTTATTGGGAATGTTGCTCTGAAGCCATAAAATAACGTAAATGTAAAATTTATTTTATTTCATTTTATCTAAATGTGAATGTTGTTCTGAAATAAATACATGTAAAATGTATATATTTTAACAGATTTTTTATTTGTATTGTTTTTATTTAATTTATTTTTATCTAAATTTTTATTTAAATTCTAAATTTTTATCTAAATTTATTTTTATGGGAATGTTGTTCTGAAATTAAGCCATAAAATATAATACATTTTTATTTCATTTTTTATTTAATTGGTAATGTTGTTCTCGCAATAAAATCAAAAACTTATATAAAATAACATGTTCCAAATAAAACATATATAATAAAAAATGTAAATATACATGGAGGAAACTTTGTTCAGGATATATTTAGACATTTGGATGGTAATTTTTCACTTTGAGTATTGGACATTTGTGGTTTTTTAAATTGACAATCTCTCTCCAGTTTTGCTCAAACGTCTATATCTCATGGCTGTGTCTTTCGGCCCTGTGTTCACGCAGGACGGCACGTTTCTGGTCCGGTACAGTAACTCTCAGAACGGCCGTCAGCCCTTCACGCTGGTCGTTCTCTACCATCAGACCGTTTACAACATCCCTGTGCGCTTCCTAGAGGACTCGCAACACTACGCGCTGGGAAAAGAGGGCAAGAAGACGGAAGAGGTAGAGGACGTCGGCTCTCACACGTTCTGTCTCTGTGTTCACATGTCAAATTCACATGTATTGTGATCAGAAGTATTTTGGTGCGTGTTGTAATCACGAATTGCTCTCGCGGTACTTTGATACAAGTCGAACACGCCTTCAGTCCACAGTGGTCAGGTGGTACGGCAAGTCGTAGCTCTCAAAAAGTTACGAGTTACACGTTGTAATTACAAGTTCTCCAAGCACGGGAAGAATGCTTTTACAGTTACGGTAATTACGACATTGCATGAACGCAGAATGAGAGGTACTGTAGAGTGTGTGTATGTATGTATAGACACAATATACATCCTACATTCGCTTCCTGGTTGTTTTCATTTATGCATTTGGCATTTTATCTGAAGTGACTTGCATTGTATTCAAGTGATCCGTTGTTTTCAATGCATGCATTGCATTCCTGGGAATTGATCCCACGACACTTAAAATAAACTTAAAGCATGTTTATTATACCCCCCTAATTTATTATTTTAAAATGTATTATTTAATTATGTGTCACATTATTATTTCCATATACACGGTTTAAATGCTTAAGCTCTATCTCAGTCTCATCTCATGTGACCATGATTATGCTTTTGGCAAACTCACAAAATACTTATATTTTTAGATTTTTTGTGTGAAGAATATTTTCTATCATCCATTTTCTAAACTATCACATTTAAGCAAGTCACTTTGAATTCATCATCATAATAATAGTGAAAATGATTATTGTTTTACTATTATTATTATTGCAGTATATGTTCATTATAGTATATGTTCATTATGAACGTACTCGCACCTCTTCATCCTTTATCTTCAAATATTTTGTAGTTTTTCTTGGAGCTGAATTTTTTATTTTTATTATTATTATTTTTTTTTTTGGTTATAAAAATGCAATGAAACCTGCCAAATTGGTTGGACAATATTTTTGGCCAGACTGTCATACGATGCATTCAAAAACAAGAGAGAACCAATGAAATATTAATACCTGATTATGTTGTAGTCTTTGTATGCTTTTTGTAGCTGTAGTCATTGTAGCCAAATGATTTTGTCAGATGAATACTTTAATATTTTCCTCATATTTTGATTGTTTAATCGAACTTGTAGGCTCATTGCAAACATCACTTGTATCCACTACCACATACTGACATATTTCAATAACAGTAATTACAGTAGTAACGTGCAATATTTCTGATCCTCTCTGTGTGTGTTTTCCAGCTCTTCAGCAGTTTGCAGGAGATGATCTCGCATCACATGAAGAACCCGATTCTGCTGATCGACCGTAAGAGTCAAGCTAAACACAGCACACTCCTGTCTCACGCCGTACGGCCCTAATGCTCACGTCAGCCTGATGTTACGGATAAAAACACTCACTCGTTCAGAATTATTTATACCGTCATGTTTGTGATGCAGTCAAGCGTTGTCTTGTGTAACTTTAGTACTTTTCATGTTTGGGGATTTTATATGTGGTGACTATGTAGTTTAGCTAAACTCGTTTAAAATGTTTACAGAGCAACTTGTTGTCTTAGTGTTAAATAGTTTGAATAAAATAACATGTGACATTTCTGACCTTTTTTTTTAATCACACAAACATTGAATAAAATCAAAATGACTTCATGTCAATGGCACTGTTGTGAAGCTACTTTGAATCCTGACAAGCTATAATTGTAATGTTAAGCGGTTTGAAAAAGTATTTATCAATATAATGGTACTTTTGAAATGATTTTCATATTAATTCTTACTTGATAGATCTTTAAAACATTGATGGATATTTAAAACAATACCGTGCTATATCCAAAAACTGTGGCAAAAATAGACTATTTTAATAGAGAGATCATAGAACTGAATGGGACTGCTCATATGTCAAGGAACACTACACTCTTAGAAGAAAAGGTTCTGTAGAACCTTAAAAGGTTCTATCAGCGCTACATATTTGGAACCCCTAAAAGGTTCTATACACTTAAAAAAAGGGTTCCTCTGGGTTCTATATAGAACCCTGGGGTTCCATACTTGGCCAATAGAACCTTTTACCAAAAAAAAAAAAATGGTTCTATATAGAATCATTTTGAAATGGTTCTATATTGAACCATTTTGGAGTTCCATATGGGGGATGGAACCATTTCTTATGGTACTTTTCTATTATGTTTTGTTTAACGCAGTGCTGCCATTGTTAACATTTCTGGTAATTGAAATAAATGTTAACTTAAAACAAAATAAAGGCAAAGCATAAGTTTACAGTGTCCATGTTTCATATACTTAGTTGTAATAACAGTAAACGATGCATATTTACGTGCAACTAACCCTGAAACAAACCCGGTAACACTTTATTTTACAGTGTCATTGTTACACATAGTAGTTACTATAGTGAAAACAACAAATTATGCATAATTATATGCAACTAACCATTTAGTAAGTACTGTTAATATTACTCTCAGTACTTAAATGTAGAATTACACTGTAACAAAGACACCTTAAAATAAAGTGTAACCAAATAAAGTATAACACTAAGTTAATTAACATCACTCAGTAATGTGTAAAAAGACAAAAAAAACTGTTTTATAGTGAGTTTAAGTTTGAGTAGCTACTTAAATTACTTAAACTAAAAAAAAAAAAAAATCACTAAATAAAAGCTAAAAATAAATAGAAAAACGAAACTGAAATATAAAAAAAACTAATAAAGCTGTCATTAAAAAATATATTGAAAATATAAAAATAAATATTTATAAAATTGTGAACGAATACTATATGAATGATAGGATACTAAAATAACACGGGTTTGATGCCCTGTGTGTTGCTGTTGTTCCTGCTCTGAATGAGTGTGCAGAAATAGACCCCAGTATTTTTAGGGGGTGGTGGGGGAGAGAGTTCCTGCTGTCACATGTCTCGAGCGGGCGGAGGGGTACACGAAACCCCTTCACAGTCCCTTCAGCTGTAAAACTCCTGTGTTTCATTGCTATATCAGCTTCTGTGAGAGAGTGTTTACAGCATCTGCGCCGCAGCGCTGGAGTTTCTCCCACATTCAGCTCGTATCAGTGCGCGCGGATCTACTTTCTCACGCGGAGGAGTCCGGCAGCGCTCCGAGAAGTTGCCTGGAGTGAATCTGACCGGCTGAAGAGGGAGAGATTCACGAGCATTCGCGGAATATCGGTGTCTAACGGGACACACAACTCGGGAGGAACAGAACACAAACACAACTCTTTATCTGCGCCTCCTCCTCCTCCTCTTCCTCCTCTTCCTCCTGTCCTCTCAGTGTTGGTGCTGGAGAATGGCGCAGATTTTACCCATCCGCTTTCAGGAGCATCTGCAGGTAAATCCGCACAAACACACACATTCGTGGGTTTCCGCTCGACGCGTCGCGAGCCGTCAAACTGTAAACACGCAACTATGTACCAGCGGCCTCGCCCGCGCGCTGCGCGCACACACGCACAAGTTACATACTTGATACATATGTGACATTTAAAAGAATAAGGAGTTGCGTTACATGTTACATTGTAGCCTGACGTGTAAAAGAATGATTGGAACGAACCGGTACATTGTAACATCGTTGCATGACGTGTTCGAATTTGTTACAGAGTTGCATGAATGAATATAGATAAGATCATGGAATGCTTTTTTTTTTTCTTTGCATACCTGAAATTGCAATGAAATGTTACACACTTGCACTTGTCCAACATTTAAAATAATGTAATTACATCATTTTTTTTAATTAAATATCAAACATTGTATTGCTGATTTTGCACAAGCTACTGTGACAGATCAATATTACTTTTTTTCCGCATTTGATCACATTTTTGCTGTCTTGCAATAGTCCTATAGTGTTTTATAATGACGTACAGTAATATGAACTCATTGTACAGAAATTAGAAATGTGTTAGATCATCACACAGCATGTACAAAAATGCTTGACATTTTATGCCAGTAAATAGTTGCATGATGGGAATTGCCACCGTGAGAAAGAAATATTGCAGTTGTTTCATGGCATGCAAGTAGTGAAACAAGCGATGATGAAACGGTTAATAATATTAGATGACGCAGGTACAGTATGTACAGTGAAATACTGTTAATATCTCTTTATAGAAACCTGGTCTCGCTTTATAAAAGACAAGGCATTGAAATTACACAGTTGTTTATATCATTTCACAGTTTCTGAAAGTTGTTGTTGGTGGAGCTCAATTGTGTGTTGTTGTCAGTGTTGAATCTGACCATTAAGTTGTTCATTTCCCTACACAGATTTTTAATGCTGACGTATTGACACTGTCTGTGTCTGTTTTCCTCCTCAATGCATTAGTCAGACTTACTGAAATTGTGTTGCACCGTCATGCGCTATTCCTTCCTCACAGATGCAACATTCAGCACACTGCCGTCATGTCATGTGTGGTGTTAACACACACTCCGGAGAGGACCGTCAAATCACAGTGCTGTTTAAACATGCAAAAGTGCTAAATCTGTTATTCCAGCCTTAACCCTTTAGTATCATCAGCAATATCAGTGATTTATGATGATAATCAGTTCTAATCTGTGAAAGATTTCCACGTTTCGAAACTATTTATATAGTGCCTTTCACAATGCACACAGTTTTAAATCATGTGTGTTTGTGTGTGTGTTTATCTTAAAATCTTTATAAAAACCGTAGTTGCATTTAGAAGATTAGAGTTGTGTGATATTATAGTTGCATTTTAAAATGATACTAGCAATCAAGTTGAGATTACTTAATGTAATGTATGTATGCAGGTAAAGTTGGATGTATATATCTTAATAATATCAGGCATTATTTTCCCACTTGAATGTGAAAAGATGGGAATGGCAGGATTATTGATTTTTTTTTGGTCAAGAGACAGTGATTCATCTTTTAGAAATACAGGTTATTACAGCGATGCGGTGCAATAGAAACATTGTTGGGACCTCAAAAAACTTTTCAGTGATCCGTTCAGAAAAGAATAATTTTTTTCTTATTGTGGCGAACGTTTAAAACAAAAACTTATAAATAATCCTTTGTGGAATGGATGTTAAAGGTGTAGTTCACTTTTAAAAAAAACATGCTGATCATTTACTCGCCCCCATGTCATCCAAGATGTCCACGTCTTTCTTTCTTCAGTCGAAAAGAAATTAAGGTTTTTGATGAAAACATTCCAGGATTTTCTCCATATAATGGACTTCAATGGGGTCCAAACGGTTCAAGGTCCAAATGAAAGTTTCAGTGCAGCTTCAAAGGGCTTTAAATGACACCAGACGATGAATAAGGGTCTTATCTAGGACCCTTCGAGTCATGACTTGAAAGATTTGTTCATTTTGATGAACGAGTTCGGACAGGAGAGTCACGAACGCGCATCACAGAACAGAGCAAGGTGACCATTTGAGCTTATAAAACTTAAACTTTGTTATTTATTTTTGAAATGTCCGATCGTTTTGCTAGATAAGACCCTTATTCGTCATCTGATATCGTTTAAAGCCCTTTCAAGCTGCACTGAAACTCTCATTTGGACCTTGAACCGTTTGGACCCCATTGAAGTCCATTATATGGAGAAAAATCCTGAAATGTTTTCATCTAAAACCTTAATTTCTTTTCGACTGAAGAAAGAAACACATGGAGATCTTGGATGACATGGGGGTGAGTAAACTATCAGCAAATGTTTTTTTTAAAGTGAACTACTCCTTTAAATGTTCTCCATGAAACCATATGCAGGATTTTCAAGTTAAAGACTTTCCTTGCACTGCACTGAAATGTGTGTATGCCGTGATGGTATCCATTGGAGACTATTGGACAGTGTTATTTTAGTGTTCGCACAGCCTCAGCACAGTTGCAAAACCTAATGAAGTTTCATTCTACACGCCTTTGACAGAGACGTGTGAGCGTCTCGTGGATCGTCCCGGATTCACCTTTCCACAGGCTGTGTTTTCTTTGCCGTTCACAGAATGCCTCACACACATCTGGATTTCACTCTCTTGCCGATTGAATCCAGATGCTGCCGTCTCTGGGATTTGAGATGATATTTTGTTGTAATATGTGAAATTTTATAGCATGTCTCTTGAGATCCAGTCCCGGTCTCTCTCTCTCTCTCTCTCTCTCTCCTCATTCCGGTGTCGAACGCTCAGCCGGTGCAGTTCGGTGAAAGAATGCCAAGAATCTGCAGCCGGCAGGACTTTAGGCCTCTAGCAGCTCGGCTTTATGTCTTGAACGTGTGTTTGAGTTCATTCAGTGCTGGATTGTATTGTTACAGTTTGATCCTGAATGGGAGTGTGTGTGCATGTGTGTTTAATTGTGTGTGTTATTTTATAAATAGACACAGTTCATTCAGCTCGTGTCTTATAAATAATGTTAAACTGAAAAACAACAGACGGAATAAATACAGCAAGCTTCACTAGTCTTTCAAATCTCATTTTATTGATCTTGAAGTGCCCTATTTTATTTAAATGACCTTTCCCCGGCTGTATCTTTGTCCTGCTCATGTTCTAGCTTTTTCTTTCTGCAGTGTCATTTTACTCTGTCTTCTGATTGGCCGCTGGCGCTGATGTAAAGCTGTAACCCAATCGAGATTCTGCTAATGAAGTTATTACGAGCAGGAAACATGTTCATCACCACAAGGACTAGTTTTATGACACAAACACACTCAAACTAAAGTCTAGCAGTGATCTAAATATGTCATAGTAGGAAAAAATATATAAGCCTACTATGGAAGTCAATGGGACCAGAAACGGTCTGGTTTACTGATATTCTATTAAATATCAGAAAATCAGCTGAATGGATCTGAAAACGGTAAAGCCCAACTTGTAAAATAAACCTATTTCCAAAAAAAGTGGAGTATCCCTTTAATATGGAAGCTTGTTTCCGCCACTCAATGAAAAATATAAAGGTAATTGTGACTTTTTATCTCACAATTCTGACTTTTTTTCCTCACAATTGTGAGTTTACTTCTCGCAATTCTGACATTATTTCTCAGAATTGCGAGATGGAAAGTCAGAATTGCGAGATATAAAGTCAGAATTGCGTGATATAAAGTCAGAATTGCGAGATATAAAGTCAGAATTGCGTGATATAAAGTCAGAATTGTGAGTTATAAAGTCAGAATTGCTAGATATAAAGTCGCAATTGCGTGTTATAAAGTCAGAAATGCATGATATAAAGTCAGAATGGTGAGATTTAAACTATTCTGAGGGGGAAAAAAGTTAGTCTTTTTTTCCCCTTAGAATTGGCCTAATAAGTCGCAATTGAGAGTTTATATCTCACAATTCTGAGAAAAGATGTCAGAATTTCGACATATAAACTCGCAATTATGTGTTATAAAGTCAGAATTGCGAGATGTAAACTCGCAATTGTGAGAAAAATGTCACACTTCTGTCTTCTTTTCTCAGAATTGCGACTTTATATCACACAATTCGGACTTTATATCTCGCAATTCTGACTTTTATAACACACAATTCTGACTTTATAACTCGCAATTGCGACTTTATATCACGCAATTGTGAGAAAAAAAGTCAGAATTGTGAGATAAAAAGTCACAATTATTTATTATATTTTTTTATTCAGTGGCGGAAACCATACTTTAAGGTCTCGCCACAAAATGTGTTGATTTCTGGACTTGTGAGCCGGTGCAACCTTGATTCTTTACTTTTTCAGTCGTTCTGTTGTATTTGCTGCTGTGCTTGTGAAGACAGTCTCAAAAACACGCTTTGAAATCGCTGGTGTTTCTGACGTCACAAACCACCTTGTAACCAATCAGATCAACGAGTGGATCTCTGAGCTGAGTGAGTGAGTGGAGGCGGGGCTCATTTGCATATTCATAGAACCGCGTATACTAAATGAGGCGAGTGTCGAGTTACATACAAGCATTAAGATTTTTCTTTTTTTTTTCCGTTTTTTGGCACACATGGCTTCTTCATTTAATGTCAAACAAATGTCATGTGATGTTTTTCATCTAAGGTTGTATTTACCTCATTTTAAGGTATCACTTCCCTGATATGTAAAATCATAGAATTCAAACCGGGTGTACTTTCTTTTTCACATGACTTTCCAGGGAAGCTCATGCTGATCAAATGTTTAGTTTTGCATAAAAGCATGAATGTAAATGTCTTGCAGTAACAGATCAGCAAGCGGAAGAGGCCGAGAGAGACAGAGAGACAGAGAGAGAGAGAGAGTCTGCTTTATCTCACTCTGCTCTGAATGCTGGGAGACGAAAGCCGGCAGGTCAGAAGCATCATCGTAGACGAGCCCATCAGGAAATGAGTTTAACTCCTTGTTAAGATGTGTGTGTGTGTGTGTGGACATATGGATCTTTCTGCCTCACTGAGTGTCCTGTGGGACTTTATTGAGGGCATCTCATGAATGCATTGCTTTTCACACAAAGCTAATGCTATGTACAATAACGAAAGCCTTTCCCTTTACTTAAACGTTAGATTTAAAGCCTGATTTGGCTGATTTTCTTCTTACAAAGTGATGTTGCTGGTCAATAGGCTTGTGTAACGGCGCAAGTTTAGCGAAACAAGCACGCTGAATCAATGAATATTCACAAAAACGTCTGTGGTTTTAGCTTTAGGTTGCAATAACCAATTACCACACAGTAAAAAATATTTTCAAGATTTGTTATCACAACATATTTTCTTTTGATTTAACTTAAAACTTTAAGGCAACCAGGTTATTTACTTTTTTAAGTTAAACCAACAATATTTTTTTACAGTGCAACATCTGTAGCGGTTCAGTGCTGTTGGTAATGTCGATATGGGAGTTTTCGAGTATGTTTAACATATATTTCTCTGTTTTTTTAGCTATGAAGCTCCAGACAGTTTGTAAATTGCAGGCAGCTTTATTCAAATGACTCTGTTTAGATGACGTTTCTAAAGCACCTGGTTTCCTGATACTCATCAGATTACCGTAGGTGTGTTTGGAGTACATTTGAGACAGAAATGTACGTATTTCAAGCGGACAGTGGTGGACTTTACTTGGAAGTATGTTTTGGCCTGTACGTAAACAAAAGACGTGTGCTGGTTGCTGCAGCAAAAACTATTTGTATTTTATTTATTCCCTTGAGACTCATCTTTGATCACCAAAATGACATATTTTTAAAAAAAAAATTCCTTGAAAAAAATTAGTCATGCCGTAGCCCTCAAACCGTATAGCCCTTAATCCTGTAATTGTGGACAAATGTGGGCACAGAGGACTCGGGTGTGATGCTAATTTTTATTTATTATAAATGTTATATCACTGTCTTCGATAAAGTTTTGTCTATCCATTTATGGTGGGTTTTTTTTATTTTGGGGGTATTTTTGAATTTATTTACTTCAGAAAGTACCATATTTTCTATGTAAATTATGTTTATTTGTATGTTTTGTTTTTTAAATTTTTTTAACTACATTTAAATATCGTTCCAATAAGTTCTTAGAGCTAAAACCTAAAGATTGCCGTCACCTGGTGTCTTATTTTGGCTTATTTTCGAATGCTCTAAATTAGTTTTTCCCATTCATTTCTATGGGTTTTCCCATTTTTGACCCAAATACAAGATTAAGGAGTTTTTTTTTCATCCACTTAACATTGTAGAATTGAGTCAAAAAAATTGTGTGTGTTCAGGAGGCAAACTTAGGAAAAGCAGCCAAGTCTAGTACCGCTCAAATCAAGGGAAGTATTTTTTAAAAAATAAATCAAAACTATTTTGCCCACAATTGTCCAGAATACGGTTTTAGGCTTAAAATATCTTGAATGTAACTCGACACCCTTTCCTCATTTAGTATTCGCTTTTACCATGAATATGCAAATTAGCTCCGCCTCCCCTCACTCAGACATCCACTGGTTGTCGATCACACGTTGATCTGATTGGTTACAAGGTGGTTTGTGACGTCAGAAACACCAGCGATTTCAAAGCGTGTTTTTGAGGTTCACTGCAGTTTTCAGGAGGAAATACTCAGCAATGCTGTCCACTTATCAACTTACACATTGTTTGTCTTAAAGCACATTAAAAACACCACATAGACACATAAATAACATTAAAAGCTGGATTTACACCACAGGATATCATTTAGAAGAGAGACCTGAAGATAATAGGTTTTGTGAAGTCAAAGAAGATAATTAGAGTACTAACCACAGCTCACACCTGTGTGTGTGTGTTTGAGTCAGTAATGCTGAGACAAGAAAAGGGAGGGAAGAATTGTGGCTCTGTTTTCTCTGACTCAGTGTGTGTGTGTGTGTGTGTTCTTGCGTCAGCAGTGTGTTCCTCTAAGACAGACAGCAGGTTTGCGTTAGGCCTGTGTTTCTCGGCAGTGAATCACGTCAGACCCCAGAGAGAGACTTCTGACCCCTGAAGAATGCGGAGCTTCACCCCTCCGTATAATCCAAACACTCGTGACGTCCCCGGCCGGCCTGGATCTCATCAGAACATGTTTAATGTGGGACATATATGAGTTTGAAGTTCTGTGAGAAGTAGTCTAGAATCTCCACACTATTGACAGTTCGGACAGAAACTCTTGATTAAAGGGGTTGTTCGACCGAAATATGTTAATTCTGTCATCCTCAAGTTGATCCAGACCTGTATGAGTTTCTGCTGAAGATCTTTTGAAGAATATAGATATCCAAACCACACTCTAAAAAATGCTGGGTTGTTTTAACCCAATTTTGGGTAAAATATGGACAAACCCAGCCATTGGGTTACATTTTTAAATGACATTTTTAACCCAATGGTTGGGTTTGTCCAAATTTTACCCAAAATTGGGTTAAAACAACCCAGCATTTTTTAGAGTGCATTGACTTCCATAGTATTACTTCCATACTATGGAAGTCAATGGGGACCATGTTATCAGTTACGCATATTCTTCACTTGAGGGTGAATAAATTATGACTTAATTTTGATTTATTGGGTGAATTATCTTTAACATCAGAGATGTTTAACTTGATGCTTTATTGCAGGAGTGACTAATCTTAGGGTGAATTCAAGTCAATATTTCAATAATTTTACACCACGTGTGTATGGGTCTCTGGCGTCGGTAAATGGTCACATGACATGCAGGTAAACAAATAATTGTAGTTTTTTTATTGTGATTCAGGTTTACATATTTTATTACTCATTTCAATTTTACATTTATATGATTTTCATTTTTTTAAGTTATTTTATTTTACATTGTTATGGTATAATCATTTTCATTAATTTTGTTTGTTTTATTTTAAAATCTTTCATATTAACTATAGATTATGATTTAACTCATTTTTAGGAAGTGTTTTGTTTTGATTGACTATTTTAAAATCATTCATTTTAATTTAATTATGATTTAATACATTTTAGTAAGTGTTTTATTTTGATTATTCTTTTCAGTTATTTATGTTAAATTGACATTTTTATGATTACATTGTTTAGCAATTTTTATATATATACATATTCTACATAATTTTGTTTTATTTCAAAAGTTTTCATTTTAATCTTGCATTTTTTAAAAGTTTTTAGTATGTTCTTTTTATTGTAATTTTTATTATGCATCATATTTTTATTTTATTGTATGTTATTACATTGTTTTGTTTAATTTGAAAAGTATTCATTTAATCTCAAAGTAACGATTAAAGTTCTTAGTAAGTGCTTTTTTATTTTTCATGAATCATTTTTTATTTTATTTTGTATGTATGTTAATAAATATTGTTTTGTTTAATATTACATAAAAGTAATTTTACGTAAACAATTTTTTACGTAGTTATTTACTTTAATCTTAAAGTAGGCTTAAAGTTCTAAGTAAGTGCTTTTTATTTTTTATGAATCATATTATTTTATTATATTATTTTTTTTAATTGCACTTTTTTATTAAGTGCTTTTATTTTAAATGTTTTTATTCATTTTAGTTTGTCATCATCTATGATTTTTTTATATAATTATAATTAGCTTTTCATCTGCTCCTGTGTTATGGCTTTGGGTTTAGCTAGTTAGTTAGTTAATTAGTTAGTTAGTTAGTTTAGTTCATCACTCTTATAATATAGATTCATGCACTTTCAGTAAAGCTGCTTTTGTGTAAAAAGCGCTATAGAAATAAAGGTGAATAGAATTGAAGGAGTGTCCGTGTCTCCCTCAGCTGCAGTCTCTGGGCGTGAGTCCGGCCGGGATCAGCTTCAGTTGCCTGACCATGGAGTCGGACCGCTTCATCTGCATCCGGGAGAAGGTGGGCGAGCAGAACCAGGTGATCATCATCGACCTGAGCGACCCGACCAACCCCATCCGCCGGCCCATCACAGCCGACAGCGCCATCATGAACCCGGCCAGCAGGGTCATCGCCCTCAAAGGTGCCGCCGCTTGTGTCTCCTCAGTCTGACAGGCTTCACTCTTGTTTCTGATATGCTTCTCAAAAATGTCATTTCTCACTCTAACCACTAAACTGCTCTCTGAACTCGCTGAAGATGGTGAGTGTTTCAGCCGTCCTGGAATGACGCCTGTCAATCATTGTGGTCTTCACACACACACATCTCTCATATGTATGTGGACGTCCGTGTCTCATTGACTGAATATGCATGATCACTGTGTGTATCCGTTCTTCGTAACCATTCTTTGGGGACAAATTTGTACGCAGAAGTATGACAAAACAAAAATTTTTAAAACGTATATAAAAAATTAATTTAATACATTTATTTATAAAATAAATAAAATCAAGTAATTTATTAAATTAATTTATTTTATTTAATAAAATCAAATAAATACGCATTTGTAAAACGTATATAAAAATAAAGCAATTCATTTTTTTTTTTAATTGTAAAAATGCATAAATATGTCCGATAGGATCAGGGAATTATGGATGCTTGTTTCCGCCACGCAATAAGAAAATAAAAAATTAATTGCGACCTTTTATCTCACAATTCTGATATAAACTTGCTATTGCGAGTTAAAAAGTCCAAATAGGATGATATAAACTTGAGGGAAAAAGTCAGAATTGTTTATATTGCGCATTTTTTTGAATTCTTGCTATAACTAAGTTTATATCACAATATTCAGAGATTTTTTTTCTTTTTACATATATAAACTTTCAATTCTGACTTTTTCTCGCAATTGCAAGTTTATATCTGGTAATTATGACTTTTTTTTTCCTGCCTGTCTATTTTGACTTTATAACTCGTAATTGAACATTTTATACTTTATATATACAGTGTATATATATATATATATATATATATATATATATATATATATATATTTATATATATTATATACAAATTGGATTGGACTTCATATAAAAATAAAAGCTGATTCTAAATATTAAAAAAAAACTATAATAATAATAATATATAAATAACACTAAAATGTTACGGTCTCATCTGTTTTTGTGATGAACAGGGGCAAACATTATACATTTAATATCAGATCATGATTAATTGAAGTGCAGTTGTAGATCATTTATTATATTTAATAATGATATTCAGTGTTCAGGAATAACACTTTTAAAGTCAACCTATTTACTGCCGTAATGCACATTCCTGCATGTTATTCCATAGACATGTTTGACTTCATAATCTTTCATCAAAATACAACAACCTCTGAAACGACCTTCCTCTTCGGCCTTTAGTGTAATGATGAATCTCATGTTTCTTAGTAAATAAATGTCAAAAATAAAGTAATCTACACTGTTCTGGGCTTTTTCAGATAACAACCCTGAGATCGAACACTTTGATACTTTGTTTTAAAGTAAAGTATTGAAAGCAGTAATGAGATTACGCTCATCACTGCTGATATGAAGTGTTTGGTCTGTTTATGGTGAAAGGTCAAAGGTCACGTGTGGTGTGTGTGTCCCACAGCGGAGCGAACGCTTCAGATCTTCAACATGGAGATGAAGAGTAAAGTGAAGGCTCACACCATGACGGATGAAGTCCTGTTCTGGAAGTGGATCTCCGTCAACACCATCGCCCTGGTTACGGACACGGCCGTCTATCATTGGAGCATGGAGGGAGACTCTCAGCCAATCAAGATGTTCGACCGGCACGCCAGTCTCGCTGGATGTCAGATCATAAACTACAGAACCGACGAGCAGCAGAAGTGGCTCCTGCTCATCGGGATATCAGCGCAGGTGAGAGTGTGTGTGTGTGTGTGTGTGTGTGTATTATACAAAAAACTTTGTGGATTGGACAAACAAGGTAAAATGTATTAAATGGAACCAAAATTAAATAGTATTAAAAGTAAATGAACGTATATCAAATACCAAAATATTTGTTACATAAACATACGAGTCTGTATTATGGTGATCATATTGGTATATTTAAAGGTGTAGTTCACTTTAAAAAAACTTTTGCTGATTATTTACTCGCCCCCATGTCATCCAAGATGTCCACGTCTTTCTTTCTTCAGTCGAAAAGAAATGAAGGTTTTTGATGAAAACATTCCAGGATTTTCTCCATATAATGGACTTCAATGGGGTCCAAACGGTTCAAGCAAACGAGCGCTCATTTAAAAAAAAAAAAACATAGTGCAAGTTTTATAAGCACAAATGCCCGCCTTGCTCTGTTCTGTGATGCGCGTTTGTGACTCTCCTGTTCGATAAAACCCTTATTCGTCGTCTGGTGTCGTTTAAAGCCCTTTGAAGCTGCACTGAAAGTTTGGACCCCATTGAAGTCCATTATATGGAGAAAATCATGTAATGTTTTCATCAAAAACCTTCATTTCTTTTCGACTGAAGAAAGAAAGACATGGACATCTTGGATGACATGGGGGCGAGTAAATAATCAGCAAAAGTTTTTTTTAAAAGTGAACTACTCCTTTAAGCTTAATGTTATTTTTTAAATTACATTGGAGTGTAATTGGCATGTAAAACTTTTAAGGCTTTATAATTTGTTTTGGACTGACAGAATAGTGTAGATTTGTTGACTTATAAAGAATGTATATATATATATATATATATATATATATATATATAAACAAAAAATAAGTACCCCTGTGTATATGAAAGCATGTGGTTTGGTGTGTAACTCTCTCTCCGCCGGTGGGTCCTGCAGCAGAACCGGGTGATCGGTGCGATGCAGTTGTTCTCCGTGGACCGGAAGGTTTCTCAGCCCATCGAGGGTCACGCCGCGGCGTTTGGACTTTATAAACTGGAGGGAAACTCAAACGCCTCAACGCTCTTCTGCTTCGCTGTCAGAGGACAGGCTGGAGGAAAGGTGACCATTCATGCACAGATCAAACCTTACCAAAATGATTCCAGTTCACATGGACGAAAAATTCAGTATGATGCAGGCCAGACAAGTACTTTGGCAATGTCAATTTGTAAATAAAGACAATAAAAATAAACAATAAAGACAAAAAAATATTCAAACATGCATATCTATCGTGTACTGTCTACTGTAGGCTACTGTCACTTTAAGACCTGACACACAGACCCATTATACTGTTTTATATAGCCAATGTACTTGTCTTTTGGTGTGAGCACAAAATCTGCGTGAATGAGTAAAATTGTGCTCAATCCCTCGCCAGATTCAAGCCCTGTACCACCATCAATATTCATCCGTAGCAAATAAAACGAGTGAGTGGTGTCGACTCGCTGTCGCAGAGATTGGAGAGCGAGAGCTGGTGTCTTTTGTGTCTATTCTGCGGAAGACTTTCAGATATTTCAGGATCAATATGTATCGAAGAATCAATATTACTGCCAACACTAGATTGCACTTAGTTTATTATTTCAGATGCCTTTTTTAAAAATGTATATAAAATTCAACTCGCCAAAGTGGCTAGTAGGAGTTACTGCGTTTCACGCCAACGCTGAAATACACGTGCATTTGGCGAGTTGGCGGGTGTTAATGTCAAGCCCTGATTGGAACCGATTTTAAAGTTTGCGTTCTCGAGCCACCAAACACTGTTGTTGTGCAAAACAGAAAGAACGCATTAAAGATTACCGTTTTCAGTTAAAGCGGTGTCGTGTTAGCGCCCCCTAAGTTAATAACTAATGATTTTTACAACGGAAGTGACTTTAGATGGACATTAACTTTATTCTAGAGCTGCTATAAAGCCTAAACTATCTCTGTTCCATTCTTTTCCTGTAATCACTGTAAAGCTGCTTTGAAACGGTCTATATTGTTAAAGCAACACTACGTACAATTTTTTTTACCTTAAAGTAATGTTTCCAAAATCGTTTCATCAAGTCGTAACAGTGTGAAAGGCACTTCTGGATTTGTTTTACGCTCCTATATCTGCTATAACCACGGCAACGCTATGTAAGATTGCCAGATCAGGTCGCGTTTCTGTAGTTCTAATGAGACATAAGAAAACTACAAATTTGACTTGCTTGACGTCAAGCGTTACAATAGTCATTAATTAGTTTTTCTTAATTTCTGATGTCGCGATACATCATCCTTTGAAGTGAAATCATGCAACATACTCTAGCTTGTCTGTGGACATCGTTCACTCCAAAGCCGGTGCTGGATAAACAGCTAGCGTGTGTGTGTGTGTTGGTAGGCTAAATTATTTACGACAGCGGTAATGGACAATTCCGCTTCCAACCTGTAGGGGGCCCGCAGAGGAAAAGTTCCTTGGTGTTGCTTTAAAAGTGCTATATAAATGAAGGTGACTTGACTTCTGTACGGGACTGTTTGCATGTGTTTGTGTTCTCCAGCTGCACATCATCGAGGTCGGCCAGCCTCAGACTGGGAACCAGCCGTTCACTAAGAAAGCGGTGGATGTGTTTTTCCCTCCTGAAGCACAGACAGACTTTCCTGTAGCCATGCAGGTTAGATCCTCACTCACGATTACCCGATCACCTGTGTAATTAACCGGCACACGTTCACCTCACGCCTGTCCTGTGTTTTCTCTCAGATCGGTCTGAAGCACGGCGTCATCTACCTCGTCACTAAATACGGCTACTTTCACATGTATGATCTGGAGTCGGGTGTGTGTATATACATGAACCGCATCAGCGCTGAAACTATATTCGTCACGGCGGGTCATGAGAGCACGTCTGGGATCATCGGGGTTAATAAGAAGGGGCAGGTACACACATCTGTACTCACACACACACACTCACACCACCTCTCACTTATCTATCTATCTATCTATCTATCTATCTATCTATCTATCTATCTGTCTGTCTGTCTGTCTGTCTGTCTGTCTGTCTGTCCATCCATCCGTCCATCTGTCCATCCATCCGTCCGTCCATCCATCCTACCATCCATCCATCCATCTATCCGTCCATCCATCTGTCCATGCATCCATCCGTCCATCCGTCCGTCCATCCATCCATCCATCCATCTGTTCATGCATCCATCCGTCCATCCATCTATCCATCCATCCATCCATCCATCCGTCCGTCCATCCATCCTACCATCCATCTGTCCATGCATCCGTCCATCCATCCGTCCATCCATCCGTCCATCCGTCCGTCCATCCATCCGTCCATCCGTCCGTCCATCCATCCATCCATCCATCTGTTCATGCATCCATCCGTCCATCCATCTATCCATCCGTCCATCCATCCGTCCATCCATCCGTCCATCCGTCCGTCCATCCATCCATCCATCCATCCATCCATCCATCCATCCATCCATCTGTTCATGCATCCATCCGTCCATCCGTCCGTCCGTCCATCCATCCATCTGTTCATGCATCCATCCGTCCGTCCATCCATCCTACCATCCATCCATCCATCCGTCCGTCCATCCATCCGTCCGTCCATCCATCCGTTCATCCATCCATCCATCCGTCTGTCCATCCATCCATCCGTCCATCCATCCGTCCATCCGTCCATCCGTCCGTCCATCCATCCATCCATCCATCCATCCATCCATCTGTTCATGCATCCATCCGTCCATCCATCTATCCATCCGTCCATCCGTCCGTCCGTCCATCCATCCATCTGTTCATGCATCCATCCGTCCGTCCGTCCATCCATCCATCCATCCGTCCGTCCATCCATCCGTTCATCCATCCATCCATCCGTCTGTCCATCCATCCATCCGTCCATCCCTCCATCCATCCGTCCGTCCATCCGTCCGTCCATCCATCCATCCGTCCATCCATCCGTTCATCAATCCATCCATCCATCCGTCCATCCATCCGTCCGTCCGTCCGTCCATCTGTCCATCTGTCAACACAGTTACTGTATGTCATTACACAAAAAATATTTGACCACATTTATTATCCAAAAGAGAATGCTGTGATCGACCAATTAGAGTCAAGTAATCACACCCCCTACTGCTGATTGGCCCTCTCTCTCACCTCCCCTATGATGAATGGACACACCCCCTACTGATTGGCTACATGTTTGTTGTGGTGCTCAAAAATCGCTTACTGCACTTTTAATTATTCAAAAAACAATTAGTTTAGATTTTCAGCCCAGTCTGTCCAGAAGTTTCATGTTCTGAAAACCCTTTTCTGTCTGGTTATTCCACATGTGTGTGTGTGTGTGTGCTTTTAGGTCCTGTCGGTGTGTGTTGAGGAGGAGAACATTGTAAATTACGTGACTAGTGTGCTCCAGAATCCCGAGCTGGCGTTACGGATGGCGTTACGCAGTGATCTTCCCGGAGCCGAGGAGCTGTTGACACACAAGTTCAACACACTCTTCTCACAGGGCAGCTACACGGAGGCGGCCAAAGTCGCTGCGTCGGCTCCCAAGGTAAAACCAAGCGGCAACCTTCCCGTCTCTCTTGACTCCAACACTGAAGTGACTTAAACTGCAATTCATCGACTGGCCACTAGAGACAGGCTGCAAAAGAGAGTCAGCCTTATAGACATCCATGTTAAAATGGCTAACATTATAGCTATGGGTAAAACACACATAGAGCCCTATTTCACCAATCTAAGCGCATGGTTTAAAGCATAGGGCACAATGCACTTAAGGCATGTCTGAAATCACTTTTGCTAGTTTAACGATCCGAAAAATCTGGTATAAAAAGGTTATCCCTATTCTCTTAACGAGTAATGGGTGTGTTTTGAGCGTAACGTGTAATAAACAACCAGCAATGCTCCAACAATGCACCTGAACACACACCTCGTTCTCAGGGCAGCAGCCCATGGGCACACAGAAGGGTGCAAATGTATTTGCTATTTAAATAACGTGGTGCAAGACGTCAAAATCATAACTGCGTCGGGCTGAAACTAGCAAAACACACTTGGGTCACGTTTCTCCGGGTGTATGATAGATCTCAAAACTGAGTGACTCTCGGTCACTTTCAACACAAACGTTTGCTGTCAGCTCTGAATGCTCTCTCTCTCTGTGTGTACGACTGGACTCAGGGTGTCTTGCGTACGGCGGACACCATCCGCAGGTTCCAGGCGGTGCCGGCTCAGGGCACGCAGGCGTCTCCGTTACTGCAGTATTTCGGGGTTCTGCTGGACCGCGGGCAGCTCAATAAGCTGGAGTCGGTGGAGCTCTGCAGGCCGGTGCTGCAACAGGGACGCAAACAGCTCCTCGAGAAGTGGCTCAAGGGAGAGAAGGTGTGCTGTTACCATTCCTGTTTCTCACTTGTTACTTATCAATTCTTGTTTTATACATTTATTTCAATATAATTCCGTATTTATAGAAGTTTGTGAAAAAGAAAGTTAGGTTTAGACAGTATTTTGAGATGCAAGTTAAAAGTAAGTTTAAAATCAAGTTAGCTTTTAGATCCACCTAAGATTAAGATCTATCTATCTATCTATCTATCTATCTATCTATCTATCTATCTATCTATCTATCTATCTATCTATCTATCTATCTATCTATCTATCTATCTATCTATCTATGTCTATCTATCTATCTATCTATCTATCTATCTATCTATCTATCTATCTATCTATCTATCTATCTATCTATCTATGTCTATCTATCTATCTATCTATCTATCTATCTATCTATCTATCTATCTATCTATCTATCTATCTATCTATCTATCTATCTATCTATCTATTTATCTCTCAGTCTATCTATCTATCTATCTATCTATCTATCTATCTATCTATCTATCTATCTATTTCAATTCAATTCAATTCAAATTGCTTTATTGGCATGACTGTACATATTACAATATTGCCAAAGCTTGTAACACATAGCATAGTGAAGACATCAATAAAAACAAAGTATTATAACAACTTAAATTGAAATGTACAAATTAAATTAATTGCAAAAAATAACAGTGTAACAGATTATAAATTCTATGAACGTTTGATACCACAGTGTTTTAACATATATATACACACATACACACATTACTGAGGGTCACTGTGGTGGACATTAGGGAGACACACTGAGGTCACACATTCACACACATTCACCTACTGTCTCTCAGGCTGTGGCACGCACACACGTATCTGGCAGTCAGTGCTGCGGTCTGTCCCTCTCCTAGTAAGATCTTTATCTGCTCTACTTCAGTCATGGCTGTAAAGTTCTGTATTAGTTTATTAAGTTTATTGAAGTAGAGGTCTCTGATGGAGCTGTATTTGTGGCAGTGGAGGAGGAAGTGTGTCTCTGTTTCAATCTCTCCTGTCCTACACTGAACACACACCCTTTGCTCTCGGGGTAGCCAGCTCTTTCTGTGTCGGCCGGTCTCGATGGCTAGACTGTGTTCACTCAGCCTGTACTTGCTCAGGATCTGTCTCTGCTTTGTGTCTCTCACACTCTGGAGATATTCCTCCATTTCGTAATTTGATTTCAGATTTCGATAGAATTGTAGTTTACTTTGTGTTTTGGTTTCCTGATCCCAATGTTCCAGATATGTATTTTTAGAGTGTTTGGTAATTTGGTTTATTCTGATGTGTGTGTGAGGAGCAGTGCTGGTCTGAGACTGGTGAGTGTTAGTAGGGTTAGTCGGGTTAGTGAGTCTCAGGACCAGCTGACTGAGGAGACTCTTTTCGGGGTTCAGTTCTTGGGTCTGTAATGCTTTAAAATGTAGCGATTCTGTGGGACTTGATTTTAGATGCATCCAGAATTTGAGGGATCTTTTTTGCATATTAATAATCAATGGGAATCGGCCTAATTCTGCCCTACACGCGTTATTGGGTGTTTTCCTTTGTAGTTTTAGTATCATTTTGCAGAATTCTGTGTGTAGGGCTTCTGTTGGATGTCTGTCCCATCTAGTGTAGCTCTGATCACTGAGTGGACCCCACACCTCACTTCCATACAGCGCAATGGGCTGAATCACACTATCAAAGATTTTACACCAGATTGGAATCGGTAATTCAGAGTTTTGGAATTTCTTCTTAATGGCGTATAGAGCTCTGCGAGCTTTATCTTTAAGAGCATTCACTGCCAGACTGAAACTCCCCGATGCAGTGATGACCAGGCCGAGGTAAGTGTACTGCATCGTGTGCTCTAGGCCGGTGCTGCCTAGACTGAACTGGTATCTGTGTTCCTGACATCTGGGCTTCTTCTGAAAGACCATAATGTTGGTCTTTTTGAGGTTGACTGCCAGGGCCCAGTTCTGGCAGTAGTTGTGCAGCAGGTCCAGGTGCTGCTGTAGTCCCTGTGCAGTGGGTGACAGCAGCACCAGGTCGTCTGCGTACAGCAAGAGCTTGATGCTCCTGTCCTGTAGGGTGAGTCCAGGGCCTGTAGACTGCTCCAACTGCACCGCTAGTTCATTAATGTAGATGTTGAACAGCGTTGGACTCAGGCTACAGCCCTGCCGCACTCCTCTCTTTTGGGTAAAGAATTTTGTATGTTTGTTGCCAATTCGAATTGCACATTTGTTGTTCGAATACATTGATTTTATAATGTCATAGACTTTACCCCCTACACCGCTTTGTAAAAGTTTGTAATATAATCCGTTGTGCCAAATAGAATCAAATGCTTTTTTGAAATCGACAAAGCATGCAAATATTTTTCCGTTTTTGGTCTGTTTTACGTGTTTATTGATTAGGGTGTGTAGGGTGTAAATGTGGTCAGTAGTTCTGTGTTTTGGAATGAAGCCAATCTGACTCGGGCTCAGGACATTGTGTTCGTTAAGGAAGCTTACAATTCTATTGTTTAAAAGACTGCTAAATAACTTCCCCAGATTACTGCTCACACAAATGCCTCTGAAATTATTAGGGTCTAATTTATTTCCACTCTTGTGAATTGGGGTAATAAGTCCTTGGCTCCAGATGTCAGGAAAACAGCCTGAACGGAGTACGATGTTGAACAGTTTGAGCAGCGCCGCCTGCAGCTCCGGTGTGCTGTGTTTCAGCATCTCATCTAGAATGCTGTCAGGACCACAAGATTTATTTCCTTTTAGGCTTTTGAGTTTGTTTGCCAATTCTTCCTGTGTTATAGGGAAGTCAAGTGGATTTTGATTATTTTTAATTGTCTCTTCATAAGTTTGTAGATTTAGTTTGATCCGATTATAATTGTCATTGAGTTGTTTTGATGGGATTTCTCTGTATAAGTTTTCAAAATGATTTGTCCAAATTTCTCCATCTTGTATTGGTAGGTCTATCTATCTATCTATCTATCTATCTATCTATCTATCTATCTATCTATCTATCTATCTATCTATCTATCTATCTATCTATCTATCTATCTATCTATCTACCTGTTGTTCTATCTATCTATCTGTTGTTCCATCTATCTATCTATCTATCTATCTATCTATCTATCTATCTATCTATCTATCTATCTATCTATCTATCTATCTATCTATCTATCTATCTATCTGTTGTTCTATCTATCTATCTATCTATCTATCTATCTATCTATCTATCTATCTATCTATCTATCTATGTCTATCTATCTATCTATCTATCTATCTATCTATCTATCTATCTATCTATCTATCTATCTATTTATCTCTCAGTCTATCTATCTATCTATCTATCTATCTATCTATCTATCTATCTATCTATCTATCTATCTATCTATCTATCTATCTATCTATCTATCTATCTATCTATCTATCTATCTATCTATCTATCTATCTATCTGTCTATCTATCTATCTATCTATCTACCTGTTGTTCTATCTATCTATCTGTTGTTCCATCTATCTATCTATCTATCTATCTATCTATCTATCTATCTATCTATCTATCTATCTATCTATCTATCTATCTATCTATCTATCTATCTATCTATCTATCTATCTATCTATCTATCTATCTATCTATCTATCTGTTGTTCTATCTATCTATCTATCTATCTATCTATCTATCTATCTATCTATCTATCTATCTATCTATCTATCTATCTATCTATCTATCTATCTATCTATCTATCTATCTATCTATCTATCTATCTATCTATCTATTTATCTCTCAGTCTATCTATCTATCTATCTATCTATCTATCTATCTATCTATCTATCTATCTATCTATCTATCTATCTATCTATCTATCTATCTATCTATCTATCTATCTATCTATCTATCTATCTACCTGTTGTTCTATCTATCTATCTATCTATCTATCTATCTATCTATCTATCTATCTATCTATCTATCTATCTATCTATCTATCTATCTATCTATCTATCTATCTGTTGTTCTATCTATCTATCTATCTATCTATCTATCTATCTATCTATCTATCTATCTATCTATCTATCTATCTATCTATCTATCTATCTATCTATCTATCTATCTCTATCTATCTATCTATTTATCTCTCAGTCTTATCTATCTATCTATCTATCTATCTATCTATCTATCTATCTATCTATCTATCTATCTATCTATCTATCTATCTACCTGTTGTTCTATCTATCTATCTATCTATCTATCTATCTATCTATCTATCTATCTATCTATCTATCTATCTATCTATCTATCTATCTATCTATCTATCTATCTATCTATCTATCTATCTATCTACCTGTTGTTCTATCTATCTATCTATCTATCTATCTATCTATCTATCTATCTATCTATCTATCTGTCTGTCTATCTGTCTGTCTGTCTGTCTGTCTGTCTGTCTGTCTGTCTGTCTGTCTGTCTGTCTGTCTGACTCATGAGTGATGGATTGCTGTCATCTGGTCATCTTTTTCCCATGATGCACTGCAGCTGGAGTGCTCGGAGGAGTTGGGTGATCTGGTGAAGGCCGCTGACATCACTCTGGCCCTCAGCGTTTATCTCCGCGCGAATGTTCCTGCTAAAGTCATTCAGTGCTTTGCTGAGACCGGTCAATTCCAGAAGATAGTTCTCTATGCTAAGAAGGTACCAGCTTTCTTTTAAAGTGCCCATATTATGCTATTTTTAATGTTTCTTATTTTGTTTTGGTGTCTCCTACAACTGGTTCACATGCATCCAAGGTCAAAAACACTTTAAATTTCTCATAATCTCCACTGCAGCATCAGCTCTTTCTCTCAGTGTCTGAAACGCTTCGATCAAGGGTTCACTCTCTCTAAGCTCCGCCTCTCTGAGAGCTGCTCTGCTCTGATTGGCCAGAAAGGAAACGCTCATTATCATATCTGACTCTCAGCTCTTGATACGAACAGTAACGATGGCGTGTGTGTTACCGTATCAATCTCATCAGAGTGGATTTGCTTTGTCTTCTCCACATGAACAACACGAACCAAACTCTTCCAGTCTCAGATACACTACAGTGATTGAGGGCGGAGCTAAGAGGCACTGTTCAGCCAATCAAGACCAGAGGCTGGCATTATGCAAATGAGTTCCAAACCTAACTGAGACTGAATTACTGACGACTCGTTTCAGTTCAGAATCACGTCATTATTTTAAAAAGACAAAAACTCTCTTTATCTGCACTGAAACTTTGCAGAGCTTTTACATTCACGAACGGCTCTAATACACACTTCATGAAAGATCATATCCCAGAAAGCATAATAGCGGCACGATTCCACCATGATCTGTGTCTCTGACCTGTGGTGTTGTTTCGGGGCAGATGGGATATTCTCCAGACTGGGTGATGTTGTTGAGGACTGTGATGAGATCCGGACCGGATCAGGGGCTTCAGTTTGCTCAGATGCTGGTCCAGGATGAAGAACCGCTGGTCAACATCAGCCAGGTCACAAACACACTCACTCCGCCATTTCAGTTATATAACTGTGATAATGTGAGAAATGTTGAAGATGTCTGAATATATTTAGGTTTGACTGTGTGTGTGTGTCAGGTGGTTGATGTCTTCATGGAGGCTCCGCTAGTGCAGCAGTGTACTTCATTCCTATTGGACGCTCTGAAGAGCAACCGGCCGGAGGAGGGGCCTCTTCAGACACGCCTCCTGGAGATGAACCTCATCCACGCCCCTCAGGTGAAGCTAATGTCAGAGTGATGAGTGAGCACAATATCTTTGTATCTGGGACTAATGACCATCTGAAGACCTGTGTTATTTTAGTTTTATTTATATATTATCGTGGTATTTATTAATTGGTTTTAAATTTATATTTTCAGTTGTGGACCTTCATCTAAGAACCAGTGTTATTTTTAGTAGTATTTATTCATAAATATATATATATATAAATCATTTATATGTTTTATTTTTATTTTTTGTTTGTTTTAGTGTTTTGTTATGTGCTTTTGTTATTTTTATTAGTTTTTTCTATTTATTTTTATTTATGATTTTTTTGTGTGTAATTTTAGTACTTAAACTTATTTATTTTAGTTAATTTAATTTAATATTTATTAAATAAATGTGCTTTTGCCATTTTTATTCGTTTTTTCTATTTAGCTTTAATTAATTTTTTTTTCTGTTTTTTGTTTTTGTTGTTGTAATTTTAGTACTTAAAATTTTTTATTTTAGTTATTTTCCAATGCAACATTTTTTATTTAATTTCATATTTATTAAATAAATGTGCTTTTGCCATTTGTATTTGTTTTTTCTATTCAGCTTTAATTTATTTTATTTCTGTTTTTTTGTAAGTTTAGTACTTTTTTATTTTAGTTATTTTCCAACGCAACATTTTAAATTTAATTTAACTTTCATATTTTTATTTTTTATTTTATATTAGCTTTATTTCAGTTAATGAAATTTATTTTTAAAAGTTAAAAAAAGTTTTTTTACAGCAGAGATTGAGCCATGTAAATTAAAAATTGAAAAATCAGTCACAATTAAGAAAATGTTGAGTTTGTGTTTTGTTGCTAAAAGTGCAGCTTAAAGATGTTAATTTAGCTGTTTTGTCCTAGCGTATCTCTTTAAAGGGTTGTAAGAACACACAGATTTCAGGAAGTGAGAGAGAGAAATGATGTTTTTTGGCCGTCTTGATCATCCAAATGCACATCACATCATAATATCGACTTCTGAACTTGTCAGTAAGATTCCCAGGAGGATCTGATGCAGCGATAAACCCTTCAACGCTGCGTCTCTGAGCCTGGTGTGTGTTTGCAGGTCGCAGATGCGATCCTGGGTAATCAGATGTTCACACACTACGACCGCGCTCACATCGCTCAGCTGTGTGAGAAAGCCGGTTTACTGCAGAGGGCGCTGGAGCATTACACCGACCCCTACGACATCAAACGAACCATCGTACACACACACCTGCTCAACCCAGAGGTGAGAGAGTGTGTGTGCGTGCTAGTGTGTGTGTGTCGTGTGTGAGCTAAATAAGAGTAGTGTTGAACGTTGTGTGTTCTTCTGCTTCTCGCAGTGGTTGTTGAATTTCTTCGGCTCTCTGTCTGTCGGCGACTCAGTGGAGTGTTTGCGAGCGATGCTGGCGGCAAACCTGCGGCAGAACCTGCAGTTGAGCGTTCAGGTCGCGACCAAGTACCACGAGCAGCTGGGCACGCAAACACTGGTGGAGCTGTTCGAGTCCTTTAAGAGTTACGAGGGTGAGACGCCTGTGTATTTAAAGTGCCTCTATTATGATTTTCAGGATATGATCTTTCATGAAGTGTGTATTAGAGCCGTTCGTGAATGTAAAAGCTCCGCAAAGTTTCAGTGCAGATAAAGAGAGTTTTTGTCTTTTTAAAATAATGACGTGATTCTGAACTGAAACGAGTCGTCAGTAATTCAGTCTCAGTTAGGTTTGGAACTCATTTGCATAATGCCAGCCTCTGGTCTTGATTGGCTGAACAGCGTCTCTTAGCTCCGCCCTCAATCACTGTAGTGTATCTGAGACTGGAAGAGTTTGGTTCGTGTTGTTCATGTGGAGAAGACAAAGCAAAAGAGCCAGACCGATATTATCGGCCGATATTAGGCATTTTCCATAATATCGGTATCGGCAGGTATAATGGCCGATAAATGAATATTTCAAAAATAAACATGGACGAAACACGCTTCAATCATCTCTCCTTGGCCTGTTATATTGAAAACGGATGTTTTACAATTTGCAGTATGATGTCATCTATTGCTAAATTATGGCTTATCATAGACTAGCTAACCACAAAGCTAGCTAATGCCACTATCATCAGTGGGAGACCGCTAACGTTAACATTAATGAGCTTGGAAACCACAATGAACTTTTTCTGCCTAAATAAAGTAATGATTACTGTATTTATAACTAGCATATCTCTAGTTACAGTCCCTGCATTGTAAAATGTAAGTTATACTTGCGAGGAGTGAACATTTAGACATAGAGAAGAATAGGGCTGGGTAATAAATATCGATTTCTCGATATTAATCGATTCTCATTTTTACAAACCGATATCGATTCTTAAATCTCAAGAATCGATTAGTCATCCTGTTTCATTTGAATGAATGAGACATTGTATCGCGGCTGCGCGCATCCAACAAATCGCACTAATCTTTGTCCTGCTTTGTTACTATTGATATGAAACAAAGTCTCAATTTTCAAATTACGTCCATTTTCTTTAGAAATTCCAAAACATAAATAGCGTTTTGCCGTTTTGGCGCTGTGGCGTGAGATCGCTCTGGCACAGCTCAAGAGAAGCAGCAGCGCTGATCTCTCTTCCGGGTTAATAATACCGGTCACAGCGCCAAATAAACATGAATGAGCATCTGAAAGTGTGTTAAATGATAGAGTACAACTTATCCAAATCCGGATCATGTCACATTGATTCGCTCAATCTGCGTTTCAACCGTGGAAAGACGTCAATTAAACAGCTTGTAATCAATGTATCGTCATATTTACCTCAGAAAACCCACATCAACTCGTTAGTCCACACTCGTTAGTGTTCTTCAATATTTAATGCATATTTGAATAAATCTGGCAAGTTTTTATGACAGCCACCATTTAAATGTTTATATTTCATATAATCTTATTATAAAAATAAATAAAAGTGTATTTTAAGTGTTTGTATATAGCTACAAAACAGTTAATTATTACCTTCATATTAGGTTAATGAAGTTATTACAGTATTTAGTTTATAGTTTACAGCATTTAAGAGATTTGATTCCCTTGAGAAAAATTGCCATTTATTGTAACTGATATCCAAAATAATCGATATTGAATCGAATCGTAATCGAAATCGAATCGAATTGCAAGCTTGTGAATCGAAATCGAATCGAATTGTGAAATTTGTCTCAATACCCAGCCCTAGAGAAGAAGTATCAAACGTATCTTGTGCAGAAAAGTTAGCTTTTCTTTTACACGTGTGTGAAATCCAACAATATTTAATTAAAAAAAAAATATCCGCCGATATATCGGAATATCGGATTTTAAAACCCAAAAATATTTGTATCGGTATCGGCCTTCAAAATCCTTTATCGGTTGGGCTCTAAAATCCACTTTTGCTTTTTGGCCAATCACAGCAGAGCAGCTCTCAGAGAGGCGGAGCTGACACCGTTTCAGACACTGAGAGAAAAGAGCTGATGCCGCAGTGGAGATTATGAGAAAATGAGAGTGTTTTTGACCTTGGATGCATGTGAATCTATTGTAGGAGACGCCAAAACAACAGTAGGAACAGCATAATAGGGGCACTTTAAAGCTTCAGAGATCAAGGTTGCTTTGGTGAAATATTCTTCCTCTCTTTCAGGCCTGTTTTATTTTCTGGGATCTATCGTGAACTTCAGTCAAGACCCAGATGTGCATTTCAAATACATCCAGGCGGCGTGTAAGACGGGCCAGATCAAAGAGGTGGAGCGCATCTGTCGAGAGAGCAACTGCTACGACGCCGAGCGCGTCAAGAACTTCCTCAAGGTACACGACAGAGACGAAGATCATCAGTGCATGACCAGCTCACTAATGTCCAGTTCAGGGCGTCTGGCTTCATCTGTAGCTGTTTCCATCCACGCGTTTTTATCCACATTATGTGCTATCCAATGAAAAATGCCTTGTGGAAACAGTAATATTCGATTAAATTTCATGAATATCGACTCAAAATGAAATATGTTCGGTCTCACTGGGTTTTATCTTGATTGATGTACAATAACGATACACGTGTCGTTGCACAGGAAGCCAAGCTCACCGATCAGCTTCCTCTCATCATCGTGTGCGACCGCTTCGACTTCGTCCACGATCTGGTTCTGTACCTGTACCGCAACAGCCTGCAGAAATACATCGAGATCTACGTGCAGAAGGTACAACCAACGCAACAAACACGAACACGTCAATGAATCATGTATCTGAGGTATCCACATGTGGGCTGCACGATTAATCGCAATATAATGGACTTCAATGGGGTCCAAACGGTTCAAGGTCCAAATGAGAGTTTCAGTGCAGCTTTAAACGACACCAGACGATGAATAAGGGTCTTATTTAGTGAAACGAGCGCTCATTTAATAAATAAATTAAAAAAAAAAATAGTTTTACAAGCACAAATGCTAGCCTTGCTGTTCTTTGAGACCTTTTCAACATATTTGCGTATTACGTGGCGTGACGAACGCGCATCACAAGGCGAGCATTTGTGCTTATAAAACAAACTTTGTTATTTATTTTTGAAATGAGGGATCGATAAGACTCTTATTCATCGTCTGGTGTCGTTTAAAGCCCTTTGAAGCTGCACTGAAACTCTCATTTGGACCTTGAACCCTTTGGACCCCATTGAAAGTCCATTATATGGAGAAAAATCCTGGAATGTTTTCATCAAAAACCTTAATTTCTTTTCGAGTGAACAAAGAAAGACATGGACATTGTGTGTGTGTATGTGTGTGAGAGACACCCTCTGGTGTTAAGAGGGATATGTGGTGTGTGTGTGTGTGTGTGTGAGAGACGCCCTCTGGTGTTCAGATGGAGCATTTACCACCGATCAGCCGCTGCTCTGACAAAGTAATCGCAGCCTTTGCCAAATTGCGCGCGGTTTGATTGCGATTAATCGTGCAGATCTGATGTGCAGGTGAACCCCAGCCGGCTGCCGGTGGTGGTCGGGGGTCTGCTGGACGTCGACTGCTCCGAGGACACCATTAAGAGTCTGATCCTGGCCGTACGAGGAGATTTCAGCACCGACCAGCTGGTGGAGGAAGTGGAGAAAAGAAACCGGTACAACCTGCCCTATCCTTCCTCTTCTCAAGACTAAAACATGCATTTTCATGTGAAAAAATACATTTTTATAGCAGTTTATGTAAATAGTATGGCTGTGCAAAAATTAATTGCGATTAATCGCATCCAAAATAAAAGTCTGTGTTTACATAATATATTTGTGTGTGCTGTATATAATTATTTTGTATATATAAATACACACACATGCATGTATATATTTAAGAAAATGTGTTATTCATATATAAAATATTTATATTTATATAATATAGATTATGTATTTATATATATATACAGAATTTAAGCGCAAATAATTCTTAAATATATACATGCATGTGTGTGTATTTATATACACAAAATAATTATATACAGCACACACAAATATATTATGTAAACACAGACTTTTATTTTGGATGCGATTAATCGCAATTAATTTTTGCACAGCCCTAGTAAAAAGTCATTAGAAGCAATGCATATTTATGATTATATTTATAATATATTAAATACAATATAACATAACATCATATAATATGTTTTTAATGTAGAATTATCAGTATTTAAACAGTTAAATGGTATTTAAATTAAGTATTTGGATCAATTGAAAATATATTACCTATAAAATGTATTATATTTTAACTATTCAATGCGTCATAAATATTTGATATATATAATGATAATATTTGATATATCTAAAATAAAAAAAATGTATTGATTATATCTAAAATAAAATAAAAATATATGAAATCAGCCATTTAAGAGTTAAAAAGACTCTTATTTCAGATATATTAAATAACTATATTTATTTATTACTTATTTTTTTGACCGATCCGTGTCTCTGTGCTCGTTGTGTCCAGCCTGAAGCTGCTCTTGTCCTGGCTGGAATCTCGAGTTCAGGATGGCTGTGAAGAACCTGCTACCCACAATGCCTTGATGAAGATCTACATAGACAGTAACAACAGTCCTGAGCGCTTCCTCCGAGAGAACCTGCACTACGACAGCGCCAACGTGGGCCGATACTGCGAGAAGAGGGATCCGCACCTGGCCTTCGTGTGCTATGAGAGAGGACAGTGTGACCGGGAGCTCATACAGGTTCACATTCGTTTGCATAGATAAATGTCCTTTATAATCAGTGTTGGGGAAAGTTACTTTGCAGTATAATATTGCGTTACTCCCTTAAAAAGTTACTAATGGCGTTATTTAGTAATGCTTTTACTTTTTCTCACCTAGGGCCTCATTTATAACCAAAACTGGCCCTGAAAGTAATTTATAAAAACAATCTTTTTGGAAAAAGACAGAGCAGTTTGGCGACACCCATGGTGAGCTGGAGTTAAATGTCTTTTTGGTCACTTTCTTAAGAAAATTATACAAAGCCTATACTTTGTATAATTAATATAATATTGTATAATTCATAAATATAGATTGCAAATGAGATGCAAAGAAATTACACATTGTTGGGTGTTAGATTTCTTTAAGCCGACTGTCGGCTGTCGGGCAGTTTTTGTCAACCTGTAAGAAATCGAAAGGACATAAGTATTCGTTCATTCAACTTTTGACCTATAACCCATGTTGAACTTACTATCAAATCTGAGATTTCTCAACAGCAATCGGGTGAAAGAGACGCATTTAGCCGTCTAGTTCCATAGACTCCCATTCATTTTGCACTCGGATGATCGCCCCCAGTGGAACTCTGGCGGAACTACAACCACAATTTTTTTTTTTAATTTTTTTTTTCTTTTATTTCCAAAATTATATATTAATACATTAGAAACAACAAATCACATATATTTTCCAAATTATTCCAATGCACCATACAATATAAAACATTAAAGTTAACATTCTTATCAATGAAATTAAAGAACATTAGAATTACATATAAAAATAAAAGAAGAAACATAACACAACATAAAGGAGGTAGGTATACAGTATACATATATAATTACATTAAATAAGAGGAGTTCAATTCTTTGAAGATGTCCATCGTTCTGGTTACTACAACCACAATTCTGTTTAATACATACAGTCGGCAACGCGTCATAGTTGGGGGGCGTGGTCGGCGAGCAGCGCGACCATATGTATTTGAATGACAAAAATGTCATATTGCGAGTCATTTATGCCTGCCGACCGGCAACGGTACATTGCACAATGAACTGTAATAGGTTATGATTGCCCTTATTTAATTAAAAACTGGGTCAATGACCCAAGTGTCGTTTCCAGACTATTGTTATCTGGTTGAATCTCCAGGTAAGACTAGGGTTGGGTATCGTTTGAATTTGAACGATTCTGATTCCGATTCCTTGTTTTGATTCCGGTTCCCAACGATTCTCGATTCCGATTCTTTTAAGAGGCAGGGTCAAAAAAGTGTAGCTAACTTTGCTAACCAACGGTCTTTCTGAAGGAAATACTCCTTTTGTCACAAATTTTGCATTTTGCCGAGATTTCGTTATTTTTAGAAAAGTGAAGCCACACTTTGGACCGCCGACGTAAGCTACTCATGTTCGACTCGCGCAGTTATGCCAACACTTCCGGTAGACGCTTCTTCGTTGGTGTTGTTCAGCGGTTTCTTCTTCCGCTCGGCGGACTGTGAATATCGAAACTAGGAATCGAAATTTTTACTTTTGAACGATTCCGGGAAAAATAAACTCACTCCAAACTATTAATCCTTTTGTAAAACGGTGATCAGTAGCACAGGGACTTTGCTGACAGTATCCGAATTCTCACAGATCTGATAACGCCAATGTGACTGAGACATCCCTTATGAAAACAACTAAAGGAATCTTGTAGTATTTTAGGACAAAATATTATAGTAACGTTAATCCTATAGGAATACTATAGTATTTTGGGACATAGCCTAGAAGTATAGAGGTATTAATGAACATCACAGAAGTATTATACACTACTAGAATACTAATAGCCATAGGATTACTATAGTTCTTTTTCGTAAGGGATGTAACGTCAGACAAATCTGGCCCACTGCCTAATACAAGTTAAACATCTACTATATCACACAGGGACCTCTACTCACACAGTAATCTAATAAGATATGAAGAGTTCAGATGCAAAAGCCTCTAAATGCCATTTGAAATTTTCTTCTTTAATGATGATTTTTATCAAGCTTGTATATTTAAGTTCAGTAATTTCACTTAAATGGCAATGATAATTACCTATTAATTGTTATTTAAGTGAAATTACTGAACTTAAATATACAAGTTTGATAAAAATCATCATTAAAGAAGAAAATTTCAAATGGCACTTAGAGGCTTTTGCATCTGAACTCTTCATATGATTAATTTTGCCATTTTGTCCTCCTATCCGGTTCTGTATGTATGTAAGAAAGGCTGTAGAACTTCAATTTATAATTTGTTAGTTTATTGGTGGTGCAGAAAACGACACCGCAACTCTTCGGCATGATTGTCGCATGTATTTCAATGAGCGCCAAGGCATTGTTTTCCCCCACGGGCTAAATTCACATCACGTGACGGGGCGTTCCCAGACCAACCGACTGTATCTATAGGACTTAATAGGGAGTGGCCAGGCTCTCCGTAGACGAGCTCTGGCGCCGCTCAAACAAACCTTTCAGCTGTGCTGATATTCTGGATAACAGAAGAAAAAAGTTTAACACCACTAATAAAAGCTAAATATATGAAGAGTTCAGATGCAAAAGCCTCTAAATGCCATTTGAAATTTTCTTCTAAAATGACCATTTTTATCAAGCTTGTATGTTTAAGTTCAGTAATTTCACTTAAATGGCAATAAAGATTACCTATTAATTGTCATTTAAGTGAAATTACTGAACTTAAATATACAAGCTTGATAAAAATGGTAATTTTATAAGAAAATTTCAAATGGCATTTAGAGGCTTTTGCATCTGAACTCTTCATATAAAGTCATTTTTGCTTTAGCAGCAAGTAAATTGGTCAAAAAGGTGAGATTAAATGCATAAAAATATTTGTTTTGTTTATTTAATTTTTGGATGTTTGCATTGTCTGATTCATTTTTAAGGAATACTGAATCTTTTTTGTGCAAGTGAGTAAATGCATGCTCACATTTAGTCTAGAACTACAATGACCATCACGTGCTGTCAGACAATAAATGGGAAAGCAAAGTAACTTGCATTACTTACAGTATTTGAAAAAGATAATTTGTTGTAAATTTTAAAAGTAATGCAATGCTTTACTAGTTACTTGAAAATGTAATCTGATTACATAACTGGAGTTGTAATGTATCTTGTTACTCTCTTGTAGGTGTGCAATGAGAACTCGTTGTTTAAGAGCGAGTCTCGGTACCTGGTGCGCCGGAAAGACCCGGATCTGTGGGCTGAGGTTTTGCAGGAGTCAAACCCCTACAGACGGCCACTGATCGACCAGGCATGAGTCCCACATCTGCAAACATCACACTCACAGAACAACAATATATGGGAAGAAACTCACAAATATAATGCGATATATTACATAATACATTTCCATATGGGAAACTGGTGCTTATATACTGCAATATATGCATTGACCATATAAAATATTGGTAACACTTTACAACGAGGTTCATTACCTTAGTTAACATAAACTATGATTGAAAAATACTTCATAAATCTCAACATTTACTAATACGTATCAATGGCTGATTTCTTATGTATCTGGAGCTCGCCTCGTATAGATACAGGAAAAAAACTCACACACAAATGTAAATGTAAAACTGTTACCTGGCCTTTTTTATAATGAGGGTCGTTCTCTTTTCCTAACGTGAATATAGAGACACTATCCGATAAATTAGAAGTAGGAATACCATAACTTACTAAATAAGTTAACTTTAAGAATGTGTTCTTGTTGGTAACTGTTAGCATATTAAAAAGACAATTATTTAATTAATATGATTCATTTTGGTAATTTTAAATATTACTTTTTTTTATCGAAATGATTTAAATAGTTTATAATTTAAGTTGTAGTTTTTATTATTTATATATTTTTTTATTAGATTTTATTATTATTTTAGTGTTTTTAAATACCCTTTTTTACTGTTTCATTGGAGAAAATAAAGCCTGATGTTATTATTCTGCATAATATCATCCTAGTCAAACTTTGAGCGATTTAAATAAAAAAAGGTTTAAAAATATAATTTAAATAAAATAATATAACTAAAATAATATACAAATAATACATTTATTTATTTATTTATTTTTTAATTAGATAATAATAACACTTTACTTTTATTACTGACATATATAGTCAATTTCCCAGTTATTAACTGTATAAATGATTTAAATGATTACATTAATGATTTAACCATTTGTGCACAGGTGGTTCAGACGGCTCTGCCGGAGACGCAGGATCCCGAGGAAGTGTCTGTGACGGTGAAGGCGTTCATGACGGCGGATTTGCCCAACGAGCTCATCGAACTCCTGGAGAAGATCGTTCTGGACAACTCCATATTTAGCGAGCACAGGTCAGTCCACACTAGAAGTGGCGAATGGGCAGAATTAAATATATGATGATTAAAATACAAAAGCAAAAATCTAAAGAAATGTGTAAGTGAAATAAATTTCCTGACTGACTGAATATTTTTGTGTTTATATAATATATGTGTGTGTGTATATATTGTATGTAGAGACTGAGTGTGTGTGTGTGTGTATACACACATTTACAGTATAATAAACCGTATAATAATATACACACACACTTTATATAAACAAACTTTTATGTTAGATGTGATTAATTGTGATCAATCGATTTGACAGCACTAATTATATTATATGATGTCATATTACGTTATTAGATGATTAATAGCTTTTTTGTGTTTTTAATTTGTAAGTACCTTTGAATTAAAACCTCTGCTAAAAGAATAAATGTAACACATTACATTGTTATATTATAGCATTTATAATACATTAAATTAGATTAAAAGTTTTTTTTTCTCATTTGTAAGTGCTGTGAATAAAGCATCTGCTAAATTAATAAATGTAAATTATTATATTGTATTATTGTTATATTATATTATCATTAATTGAATGAATCTATTTTATTTTTATTTTATTTAATAAATTTAATACATTACTTTTGTTATATTATATTATTACGTTTATAATACATTAAATTAGATTAAAAGTTTGTTTCTCATTTGTAAGTTCTGTGAATAAAAGCATCTGCTAAATGAATAAATGTAAATTAGTATATTATATTATTGTTATATTATATTATCATTAATTTAATTAATCTATTTTATTTTTATTTTATTTAATAAATTTAAAACATTACATTGTTATGTTATATTATATTATTACATTTATAATACATTAAATTAGATTAATTGTTTTATTTCCTCATTTGTAAGTTCTGTGAATAAAAGCATCTGCTAAATGAATAAATGTAAATTATTATTATAAAATTATTGCTATATTATCATGATGTATGGAATCTATTTTATTTTTATTTAATCTTGACATCCTCATTTGTGAGACGCTTTGGATAAAAGCATCTGCTAAATGAATATATGTAGATATTCTATTCTATTCTATTCTATTCTATTATTTAATTATAATATAATATATTATTATTATATTATATTATTATTATAATAATATAATATTTATTATTATATTATATTATATTATATTATAATATTATATAATATATTATATTATAATATAACCAACATTATAATATAATATATTATTAATATAATTATATTATAATGGGATCGATCCCATTATGACCAACATTATAATATAATATATTATTAATATAATTATATTATATTATAATGGGATCGATCTAGTTTGCTGATGTCGATTACGCAGAACATACTTTGAATGCTGACATGTGTTTATGCACAGAAACCTGCAGAACCTGCTGATACTGACGGCCATTAAAGCGGACCGCACGCGGGTCATGGAGTACATCAACCGCCTGGACAACTACGACGCTCCTGACATCGCTAACATCGCCATCAGCAACGAGCTGTACGAAGAGGCCTTCTCCATCTTTAAGAAGTTTGACGTCAACACCTCAGCGATACAAGTACACAAATACACACTCACACACTAGAGCCCGACCGATAACGGATTTTGAAGGCCGATACCGATACAAATATTTGTTGGTTTTAAAATCCGATATATCGGCCGATATTTTTATTTATTTATTTTTTCAGAAACGCGCAACAAAACATTAACAGATTTCCCTAACATTAGTTATTTGTAGTTATTTATAGTTATTTCTGAGTTTTAACTAAAATAATATGATAATGCACTTTAAAAAGAAACAGAACAGACTGATGATAGTGGCATCAGCTAGCTTTGTGGTTAGCTAGCTAGTCTATGATGAGCCATAATTTAGCAATGATTGTGTCATACTGCAAATTGTAAAACATACATTTTCAATATAACAGGCCAAGGAGAGATGATTCGTCTCATTGCTATAACTGTCACGCGCTATTAAAGAAATACTTCAGTCACATTGTCAAAAGTTAAAAGGACAGTCAGTCAACTACACTGTCACAACGTAACATAACTATTACTAGCTGATTCCGCTTCACTCTCGGCTTATTTAACAGCAAAACTGGACTTGATAGTCACAAATTTTGTCCTGCTTATTTGAGTTTAGAGAACTGATGGGGATGATCTTTTAATTGTTATTCCAGCAATGACCAACTCAACGAGTGTTGCCAACAGGGACTGTAGAGTGCCCTCTGGTGGACAAACTATACAACTTCAACACTCATGACATGCTTCAAGCGTGTTTCGTCCGTTTTTATTTTATTTTTGAAATATTCATTTATCGTCCATTATAACTGCCGATACCGATAGTTTGGAAAATGCCTAATATCGGCCGATAATATCGACCTGCCGATATATCAGTCTGGCTCTATCACACACTCACCGGCACACAGGCGCCTGGATTGACATGGTGCTTGTCATCTCGCTCGCAGGTTCTGATCGAGCACATTGGGAATCTGGACCGGGCGTATGAGTTTGCGGAGCGGTGTGGGGAGGGTTCGGTGTGGAGTCAGCTCGCTCAGGCTCAGCTTCAGAGAGATCTGGTTAAAGAAGCCATCGACTCGTACATCAAAGCTGGAGAACCGGCGGCGTACATGGAGGTGGTGCAGGCCGCCAGTAAGAACGGTGAGATGATCCGTCCTAAAACCAGCTTAAAGGTTCACCCAAAAATGAAAATATATATATACATCACAATAGGCAAGAAAAGACCATTTCAACCTCACTTTCACGCTTTAAAGGGTTAGCCATGAAAGTATTTTCTTGCCTATTGTGTCGTATATCCGAGTGAAACACGTCTGGAACAGGAACACATGTGGGCGGGGCTTGATAGTGTCTGTGTGGAATTGATTGGATGGTTGTGGTTTGCTATTGGCTGATCTCATGTGAGTGATAGGTTATAGCCCCGCCCACATCATCAGAGAAGAGACACTGCAAGAGGAACTTATTCTGATTCAAGATTACCAGGAACAGGAATTTAACACAAAAATGATGTGCACGGATCAATCATTTAGAATAAAAACTGCAATAATCTATAAATAATATGAATTGTCGATTTTGATTTCATGGGGACTTTAATGGCTATGATTGCTGAAATGCTTCTATAATATGCTGCACATCAATCTGATATTTGTTTATATGTGGCTGTAAAGTGCGGTCTCATTATTACACTGATTCTGATTTATTATTAAATGTGCACTTTTTGTTGCATTTTATATCCACTTAAAATGTTAGTCAAATTTTCTTCTACTAAAAACAGTCCAAATGTAGTTTTCAGGATATTTTGAGTCGTAAATGTTATAATTTTATCAAAATCTCTTTTAAATGTCATAGAAAATCATGTATTTTATGATATACCCTCATTATTTCACTGAATAAAAATCCTGAGCGTAATATAATATAATAAAAGTCTGTTTTAATAGGTAACTGGGAGGATCTGGTGAAGTTTCTTCAAATGGCGAGAAGTAAAGCCAGAGAGTCTTACGTCGAGACGGAGCTCATCTTTGCGCTGGCTAAAACAAACCGTCTCACTGAACTGGAGGACTTCATCAACGGGCCAAACAACGCTCACATACAGCAGGTACACAGCTTTACACACACAATCACCCAAATAAATCTTCCTGAAACCGAAAAAATAATTTTTTTGTGTGTGTGGAATAACTAGCCTATAAAAATTTTCAACATTATACTGTTTATTGTTTCGAATCTACGGAAGAGGATTAAGGCCAAGCAATAATAAAAAAATAAAACCATCTCGAGATTAAAGTTATCATAATGCGAGGTTAAACTCGTTAAATTTCGAGAAAAAAAGTCGAAATACAATCTTCAGAATAAACTCATTAAATATCAAGAATAAAGTCGTTGTGTTTCGAGAAAAACTCATTAAATTTAGAGAAAAAAGTTGAAAATACAATCGTTATTTTGAGACTTTATTCTCATTATTTAATGAGTTTATTCTCAAGATTGTATTTCGACTTTTTTTTTCTCTTAATTTAATGAGTTTTTTTCTTGAAACACAACGACTTTATTCTCGATATTTAATGAGTTTATTCTCAAGATTGTATTTCGACTTTTTTTCTCTTAATTTAAAGATTTTTTTCTCGAAGCACAATGACTGTATTCTCGAAATTGAATTAATTTATTCTCAAGATTGTATTTCGACTTTTTTTATCAAAATTTAACGAGTCTTTTCTCGAAACACAACGACTTTATTCTCGATATTTAATGAGTTTATTCTTAAGATTGTATTTCGACTTTTTTTCTCTAAATTTAAAGATTTTTTTTTTCTCGAAACACAGTGACTTTATTCTCGATATTTAATGAGTTTATTCTCAAGATTGTATTTCGACTTTTTTTCTCTAAATTTAAAGATTTTTTTTTTCTCGAAACACAACGACTTTATTCTCGATATTTAATGAGTTTATTCTCAAGATTGTATTTCGACTTTTTTCTCTAAATTTAAAGATTTTTTTTTTTTTGAAACACAACGACTTTATTCTCGATATTTAATGAGTTTATACAAGATTGTATTTCGACTTTTTTTCTCTAAATTTAAATTTTTTTTCAATTGTTCGTGTTTCAATTTTTTATTTATTTATTTATTTATTTATTTGTATTATTGCTTGGCCCTAATCCTCTTCCGTAAGAATCCCATTAAACAATGTTAAATACATTTACATTAAATTATATAATTATCGCACACACACACACACACACACACACATTTATATAAAACTTTATTCTTGTAATAATACATTTTAACAGTAGTGTATTTCTTGTTTAGCATGTCTTTACACTGTTTACAGTAACAAGATCTGAACAAATAGCAATATTAATTAATATTACAGTAATATAAATCTTCACACAACTTAATATATCATATTTTATTGAATCAAAAGCATGAGCAAATATTAGCATAATGTATTTTGTGTGTGAATAATAACATAAAAGTAATAATGAATATCTGTAAAAGTATTATTTAAATGACTTAATTAAAATTAAGTAATCATATTTGGCCTATTTTCCCTTTGAGTCAATTGACTTAACTTTTGGTGCATCTCTAATGCAAACTGTATATATTGTTATTTAAAAATGTAAACTATTACCTATCTATTGTCCATCTATTAATCTATAATATATTTGAACTCAACATCACTGTGCACATATGATGATGCTGATAGCAGAGTGTGTGTTGTGAGATCTGTGTGTGTTATTCTCAGTGTGTCGTGTCTCTCTCCGCAGGTTGGCGAGAGGTGTTATGAAGACTGCATGTTTGAAGCCGCCCGTCTGCTCTTTAATAACGTGTCTAATTTCGCTCGTCTGGCGTCTACGCTCGTTCACCTCGGAGAGTTTCAGGCGGCCGTCGACAGCGCACGCAAGGCCAGCTGCACTCGCACCTGGAAAGAGGTGAGATTACCACTGAAGGATCTTTAAAGTGGCACTCGTCTTTATTTCCTTATAGTGTGTATGCATGTGACAGCACCTTCGGTCGGTCATCACAGTGAGTTTTCAGCGTAAATGCCGTGGAAAAACGCATCTAAAACGGGAAAGAGACAATAAATACATTTGACAAGAAATCTGAGGTGTGTTTTTACAGACTGCCGAAAGATGAAGAACAGAGAAGCAAACGTATCGCTGCGATTCACAGAATTTGTGTCAAAATGCTGAATTTTAGGGGTAAAATCATCCCCTATTTATTGTTTTGTTATATATTATATTGACAACTCATCAATTAAATATTTACACTCTTATATTCTCAAATAAACACAACATACTGTAGGAACCGCAGTGTTGTTCAGTGATACACAGAACCGTTGGGTGAAGTGGTCATAGCCGTGTCCGTGTGTTATCATGAATAAAGCACGGCTATTGACCAATCATGATCAAGGATTGGAACTAACCGTTTTATAAGACGATATATTTAACATTGATATTGATGAGTGATGTGGATTTGATCCTATATTGTATTTATTTAAAGCGTTCGCGGGCAAATTTGCTTTATGTATTTCACCGGTGTTGAAATCAGGCTCATATAAATGTCAGGATGTCAATATCCATGATCATTGGATCTTTGGCAAGTTGTAAGGGACACTATATCGAGTCCAATCTTTAGTTTGAACTGATAATCCCTCATTTTACTCAATCCAGCTCTTCTGCCACTCAGTCCGGCTTGCGGGAAAGTGACGTCAATGCATATCTATTATACCGTATATCCGAGTGAAACACGTCTGGAACAGGAACAAATGTGGGCGGGGCTTGTTTTGTCTGTGTGGAATTGATTAGATGGTTGTGGTTTGCTATTGGCTGATCTCATGTGAGTGACAGGTTATAGCCCCGCCCACATCATCAGAGAAGAGAAGCTGCAAGAGGAATTTATTCTGATTCAAACACAATAATGATGTGCACGGGTCAATCATTTAGAATAAAAACTGCAATATTCCATAAAAAAATATGAAATGTTAATTTTGATTTCATGGCCTAGTTTCCTGATGCACCTTCTCATGCATCCTGTCATTATTCGATTCAATTCACATTTATTTGTATAGCGCTTTTCACAATACACATCATTTCAAAGCAGCTTTACGGAAAATGCACGAGTCCACATTACATTGTTATCTTTTTAAGTTAAGTATTTCAGAAATGTACATATAGAGAGCCTAAGTCCCGCCCCTCCGCTTCCGGCTCATGGGACCTTATTTCGGAAAAAATATGAATGGTAGTCAATGGCGAGAGACAACTTATCTTTTTATTCCGTCTGAACTGTGCCCTGAATTACACATATGATGTTTGTCAATTTAAAAGATAATCCTGAAAGTCAAAAACGTCGCAGTTTGTCATACAACAGAAGAGTAACATTTAGTTTTATGTGAAAATCACTCTGTGAACTACATCTCCCAGGATGCGAAACGAGATCCGCTGCTCGTGTGTGTGCAGTCTGGCACAAAACACTCAGGTATGACGGCGTAACGTTACGATTATAACGTAAGACTGTAGAAACAATGACAGACAGCCTCAGTAAAGTTAACTTCATTCATTGGGAGAAAATGTGCGCCTTTGGGGTTTGTAGTCTTTGTAATTACGTATTTTCACAGTCTTATACCTCAACGGTTTCACATCAAACTGCGACTTTCTTTACTTTAAAATGCATCTTTTAAATTGACAAACATCATATGTGTAATTTAGGGCACAATTCAAACCAGATCAAAATATTTGTCTCTCGCCATTGACTACCATTCAATATTTTTCCGAAATAAGGTCCCATGGTGGTCGACCAGAAGGGGCGGGACTTAGGCTCTCTATACAAATCACCGTTAGCTAAAAACAATGTACCAATGAGCTCATTGAAGTAATAAATACTTGTTAACAAATCAAATGATTTCGAAAAATGTTGCATTTGCATGTTGATTCAGAGTTTGCGTCATTATTGATTATTCTGTCCTCACTGACGTCACACTCGTCATGTAAAGTTTAATCGTGGTGTGTTTAGGTGTGTTTTGCGTGTGTGGATGGAGAGGAGTTCCGGTTAGCGCAGATCTCCGGCCTTCACATCGTCACTCATGCTGACGAACTGGAGGAACTCATTAACTACTATCAGGTGAGCGACCTTCATCATCATCACCACCACCACCACCACCACCACCACCTCAGTCAGTCTGCGGGTTACCTGACGTCTTCTCTGTGTGTCTCAGGATCGTGGGTATTTCGAGGAGCTGATCGTGCTGTTGGAGGCGGCGTTGGGCTTGGAGCGCGCTCACATGGGCATGTTCACTGAGCTGGCCATCCTCTACTCCAAGTACAAACCCCAGAGGATGAGGGAACATCTGGAGCTCTTCTGGTCTCGAGTCAACATCCCCAAGGTGACGCGTTTCTCCAGAAGTCAGAGCAAGATCAGGGGTTCGATTCCCAGGAAATGCATGAACTGATCAGATGTAAACCTTGAATGCAATGCAAGTCCCTTTGGATAAAAGCGTCTGGCTAATGCATGAATGAAACACTTTGTTGCAACGCAATGTTTTTAAGTCATCCAAGCCTCAACATTAGCACTGCAGGAACAGCACGCATCACATTTTCTTTTTTGTATATTTTTTATATTGTAACGTTTGGATGTTACATTTTGGTTTGCCTATTATATCAATATATTTGCTCACCATGACTGCATTTATTTGATCAAAAATACAGGAAAAACTGTAAAACATTGAAATATTATTACTGTTTAAAATAGCTTTTTTTTTATCTGAATCTATATATAGTGAAATGTAATTTATTCCTGTGATCGAAGGTGTATTTTCAGCATTATTACTCCAGTCTTCAGTGTTACATGATCCTTCACAAGATATTATTTATTAATTTATTTTAAAATATATTGTATTTTATTCTAATTATATATATAATTATATTTTTTCTGATTTTATATGTGTATATACGTATTAGGGCTGTCAGTTAAACGCGTCATTAACGGCGTTAACACAAACCCATTTTAACGGCGTATATTTTTTTATCACGCAATTAACGTTTTTTTTGGCTTAGCAAACTTTGTAGTTTTTTTCACATGCTTTTGCATGTGAAAAAGGACGCGGCGCTGCGCTATGAAACCCATTCATTTCAATGGCTTGTGTCGCGCGAGGACGTTTTGTTGCTTCGTCGACCAAAGCGCAAGCGGATCTAGCTAGCTAGACCGGAAACAAAACAACAGGCACGCCGCACACTTGTTTGGGTATTTCTTTCACCCTTTTATTGATGAACAGTATTACGTTGTGTGAGAGATTATTTGCTCCAAGTGAGAACGTTAGTGTGAAATTGAACACTGTATATGGCAATGTTGTTTTTTCAACAAAAAACATTCCACTTTTCCATGTTGATAAGAGCATTAAAATGAGAGAAAATAATGTGAGAAAAAGAAATCAAGAGACATTTAGAATAGATAAAAATGTGGGATTAATTGCGAGTTAACTGTGTCATTAATGCGATTAATCGCGATTAAATATTTTAATCGTTTTACAGCACTGTGAATTATAGAATATGAATTGTGTTGGAAAGTCATTCTTTGTGTCAGTTTATGATATGCTGTCTTGTGATTGGTCAGGTGTTGCGAGCGGCTGAACAGGCTCATCTGTGGGCGGAGCTTGTGCTCCTGTACGATAAATACGAGGAGTTTGACAATGCCATCCTGACGATGATGAAACACCCGACAGACGCCTGGAGAGACGCGTCCTTCAAAGAGCTCATCAGCAAGGTGAAACAATCCTGTAGAGCAAATTAGAGCTGTCACATTGTTTGTCAGATGCATAAATGTGCATGTAAATGAACAAAAATGTTGCTTGTTGCAATAACTTGCAATAAAATGCAATAGCTTGTTTTCCCTGGTTGCGCCTGACGGTTTATTTAGCAACCAGAGATATTTATAGTCCGCTCAGCTCGAACAACCCATAGACATCCACAATAAAGGCTAGATGTCTCGTCCAGGCTAACGTCCGCACTGGCGGCCATCTTGCCACAGTCAGCTCGCCCACTCGTAACAATGTGTTTTAATGGTGCATGTACTTTTTAAATAACCGTAACTTGCTAAATTTTCTACCGATTTTCAAACGGTTCGGGTTGTTATGAACGTCAGAGATGTAGTTATGACACTGCACACGTTTGAATAATAAGTGTATCGATAAATAATCATCCAGAATTATAGCCACGTTAATAACGTTTGTAAGAAACCAAACCGATGTTGCCAACGCATTTATTTATTATTTTCGAACGGTAAACAGTCAGTTTCACCAGAACTCTTTTACTAGGTGTCCTCTAGCACTTTTTAATGGAGATCCTGCAGCCAATCAGAATCGAGAACTCACCCAGCCCATGGTATAACGTTGTGTATTTGTCTTCTGTTCACTCGTCTCTCTCGTGAAGGTGGCGAATGTGGAGCTGTATTATAAATCTCTGCAGTTTTATCTGGACTATAAACCGCTTCTGCTCAATGATCTGCTGTCTGTGCTCACTCCTCGACTGGACCACAGCCGAGCCGTCAGCTTCTTCAGCAGGGTACGTCATAATATATATACATATATTAGTGCAAAACATTATGTCCAGCCTAGAAAAATGTACATCTTCTTCACTCTTTATTCAAATATTCTAACATTTTCTTAGCATTTTGCATGGTTGTGATTGGAGTTTTTGATAAGAATGCAATGAAACGTATTAAATTGTGGGACATAATTAATTTTGGCCAGGCTGTCATACAAAGAAATGATGAACACATGCAAAAACAAGAGAGAACCAACACAATATTAATAACTCATCAATATGTAGTCAATGTATGCTTTTTCCTTTGAGATTGTTTTTTCATGCATTTTTTTTTTGTATAGTAATAAACCTGGCAGTTGTAGTTTACTTTTTTTTTTGTTGAATAATTTTGTCAGATAAATACTAAATTTAGTGTTTTATAGTTTAATTCAACTTGTTTAATAATTATATATATATGCAGTGTTTTTTTAGTGTTATTTATATGCTATTAAAGTATTTATTTATACTTTTTCCTTTGAGATTGCATTTTTTTGCATAGTAATAAACCTGGCAGTTGTAGTTTACATTTTTTTTGGTCAAATAAGTTTGTCAGATAAATAGTAAGTTTAATGTTTTGTTCTTCCCTCATATTTAAAATATTCAAAAAATATAAAATATTTTCGTTGTAATTTGATGGTTTAATTTCATCGAGTAATTATATATATATATGTAAATGCAGTGCTATTTTAGTATTATTTATATGCTATTGAAGTATTTATTAATGTTTTGAAATATTTTAATGTTGAACTTTTAGTAAATTTATTTTCAGCTTTTGTCATTTTTAGTCGTGTCTTTTAAATAGTTCTATTTTGCTTTACTTCAATATAATTTCACTTTATTAACCCTTGTGCATCAATTTAAAAAAGTTACACATAGGTAAAAAGTGTCATAAAAATGTGACGCTTTGGAGCACAGACTTAAGTTTGGTATCATTTTAAAGAAGACCCTTTGCAGATTATTGCTGAAGTAAAAAAAATAATAATAAGTAAATCAAAAAAAAGTTATATAGGTATAAGTTTATGAAAATTATTTATAAAAAATATTTTATATAAAATATATATATTTTTAAATCAGGTTGAACTCAAAACTGCAATAAAATCAAAGCCATAAATCTAAATAGGTTGTGTTCCAAATTTGAGGATGATATCTCAAAAAATGAGCTTTCGGTAACAGTTTGTTTGGGCGTAGTAACATATTTTCGCCATTGGGTGCCAGCAAAACCCCACTGGAGCTCACAGTGATTGGATTTGAATTTGCAGTTTTTCTCTCTCACTATTACAAACACACACATGCGCACACACACATATTTTTTTATAACACACTCTGACATCCATACCAACCACACCCACACAAATATTGTTGCATAATTTATCCAGTCGGCTCTATAGTATGCCGAACCAGAAAACAGGAATAAAGCCATATTTGTTTTATTGGCCAAACTTAAAAAAATGACACCATCTGATAAAAAATAGTAAAAAATAAAATTTTGAAGCCTTGCCATCAGAATGAAAGCCTCTTAACAAAGATTGCATCATTTTATAGTTAACTGAACCGGGGATTAAAAATGGCAGTTTTAATGGGTTTCAATGGGGACATTTTTGTCCAAAAGGCGCTGAGAGGAAGTATTTTTTGTACCTAATGCAAAAAATATTTTTTTAAGAAAATGACGGTGAAATAGTAAGATTCCAATAAAAATACACACCTGTGCCAAGTTTTTTGCAGTTACCTTTAACACAGGCAAAGTGATCAAAAAAACAAAACTGAAAAGGACAAAAATGTCCATAAGGATGCACAAGGGTTAAAAGTTGAACCTCTTTTATTTCAGTTAGTTTCTAAGACAACATTTCTAATGTTTTTCATGTAATATTAGTATTTTATTTCAGCTGTATTTCACTTAACAGAATATGAGCGTCATGTGTGTTTACAGGTGAACCAGTTACGACTGGTTAAACCGTATCTCAGATCAGTGCAAAGGAACAACAACCGCGCCGTGAACGAAGCGCTCAACGCCCTGCTGACGGAGGAGGAGGACTATCAGGTACACACACTCGTCCTCTTCATCTCTCTTCACGAGAGTGCAGTGATGTGACGTGGTCCTCTGTTGTCCCGCTCAGGGTCTGCGCGCCTCCATCGACGCGTACGACAGCTTCGACTCCATCGCTTTGGCTCAGAGACTGGAGACGCACGAGCTCATCGAGTTCAGACGCATCGCTGCGTATCTGTACAAGAGCAACCAGCGCTGGGCTCAAAGCATTCAGCTCTGCAAGAAAGACAAGCTTTACAAGGTACAGAGAAGAACAACACACACACATATATATCTATATTAATTAATTAAAAAAAGTTGTTTTTATAAGTTAATAAGCATTTTATAAGTTTAGCACATCTCATGAAAATGAGAAATGTTGCTTTGGCAACTATAGCTAAAATAAAACAAGTTTAAGGTAATTCAGGTAATATTTCTTTTATTTCAAGCAACACAATTTTTGGGGGTTTTATTTTATTTTACTTGAACTCATAAATCTCTCTCTCTCTCTATATATATATATATATACACACACACATTTAATTATACTTTTTAATAGAACGCATTAATTATGCAAGACACTAGGTTTCATTAGGATTATTTTTTTATTATTATTATGGTTATTTAGTTGTTTAGTCTTATATACTTTATTAAAAAATATTTAAATTTTTGTTAGATTATTATATTATGAATTAAATTATTAAACATTAAATGATATCCCACCAATTATATTCTTTTTTGTTGCTTTATGTCTATAGAGGATTTTTCTGATTTACCCAGAAATTAAAATTCTCTTTATTAATACATATTCTCACTGAAATGTTAAATTTTGTTGTTTGTTTTCATTTTTATTAATTTAGTGACTATTTTTCACCCTCTTTTCGATTTTTTTCTGTCTGTAAAGGAAAAAAAATAAAATTTTTTAATAATATTTTTTCATTGATCAAATGTAATTAAGTGGCTATTTTTTTATAACTTTCATAAATATATATGTGTTTGTTTGTTTTTTTCTGCTGTATCTCACATATACAAAACCATATGACTTCCTGTCATTATTACAGCATATATGTCAGGGCATGACAGGTTTCCGTGTGTGTGTGTGTGTGTGTGTCAGGATGCGATGCAGTTCGCGGCCGAGTCTCAGGACGGCGCTCAGGCTCAGGATCTCTTGCGCTGGTTTGTGGAAGAGGGAAAGCGTGAGTGTTTCGCTGCGTGTCTCTTCAGCTCGTATGATCTTCTGGCTCCTGACGTGGTCCTGGAACTGGCCTGGAAACACGGACTCGTGGACTTCGCCATGCCTTACTTCATTCAGGTGATGAGGGAGTACCTGAGCAAGGTGCGTATGAAACACACACACACACAGCTGGAACATGGCTCATTTACTTTTATTGTAAGTCCAGTTACTGTATAACATTAATCAAGGTTTCAAATGACCTTTTTTCGCAATTGTGAGAAAAAAAAGTCAGAATTGTGAGATAAAAAGTCTCAATTCTGTCTTAATTTCTCATAATTGCGACTTTATATCTCACAATTCTGACTTTATATCTCGCAATTGCGACTTTATTTCTCAGAATTGTGATTTTATATCTCGCAATTGCAACTTTATTTCTCACAATTCTGACTTTATATCTAGCAATTGCGACTTTATTTCTCATAATTGCGACTTTATTTTTTCAGAATTGCGACTTTATATCTCGCAATTGCAACTTTATTTCTCAGAATTGCAACTTTATTTCTCAGAATTGTGACTATATCTCGCAATTGCAACTTTATTTCTCAGAATTGCAACTTTATTTCTCAGAATTGCAACTTTATTTCTCGCAATTGCAACTTTATTTCTCAGAATTGCGACTTTATTTCTCATAATTGCGACTAGATCTCGCAATTGCAACTTTATTTCTCAGAATTGCAACTTTATTTCTCAGAATTGCGACTTTATATCTCGCAATTGCAACTTTATTTCTCAGAATTGCAACTTTATTTCTCAGAATTGCGACTTTATATCTCGCAATTGCGACTTTATTTCTCACAATTCTGACTTTATATCTAGCAATTGTGACTTTATTTCTCACAATTCTGACTTTATATCTCGCAATTGTGACTTTATTTCTCACAATTCTGACTTTATATCTCGCAATTGCGACTTTATTTCTCACAATTCTGACTTTATATCTAGCAATTGTGACTTTATTTCTCAGAATTGTGATTTTATATCTCGCAATTGCGACTTTATTTCTCAGAATTGTGATTTTATATCTCGCAATTGCAACTTTTTCTCATAATTGCAATTTTATATCTCACAATTGCAACTTTATTTCTCATAATTGCGACTATATTGCAATTGCGACTTTATTTCTCACAATTGTGATTTTATATCTCGCAAATGCGACTTTATTTCTCACAATTCTGACTTTATATCTCGCAATTGCGACTTTATTTCTCAGAATTGCGACTTTATTTTTTCAGAATTGCGACTTTATTGCTCAGAATTGCGACTTTATATCTCGCAATTGCAACTTTATTTCTCAGAATTGCGACTTTATATCTCGCAATTGCAACTTTATTTCTCAGAATTGCGACTTTATATCTCGCAATTGCAACTTTATTTCTCAGAATTGCGACTTTATTTCTCAGAATTGCGACTTTATATCTCGCAATTGCGACTTTATTTTTGTCACAATTCTGACTTTATATCTCGCAATTGTGACTTTATTTCTCAGAATTCTGATTTTATATCTCGCAAATGCGACTTTATTTCTCAGAATTGCGACTATATCTCGCAATTGCAACTTTATTTCTCATAATTGCGACTATATTGCAATTGCGACTTTATTTCTCCGAATTGTGATTTTATATCTCGCAAATGCGACTTTATTTCTCAGAATTGCGACTATATCTCGCAATTGCGACTTTATTTCTCAGAATTGCGACTATATCTCGCAATTGCGACTTTATTTTTTCAGAATTGCAACTTTATTTCTCAGAATTGCGACTTTATATCTCGCAATTGCGACTTTATTTCTCACAATTCTGACTTTATATCTCGCAATTGCGACTTTATTTCTCACAATTCTGACTTTATATCTCGCAATTGCAACTTTATTCCTCAGAATTGCAACTTTATTTCTCAGAATTGCGACTTTATATCTCGCAATTGCGACTTTATTTCTCACAATTCTGACTTTATATCTCACAATTGCGACTTTATTTCTCACAATTCTGACTTTATATCTCGCAATTGTGACTTTATTTCTCAGAATTGTGATTTTATATCTCGCAATTGCAACTGTATTTCTCACAATTCTGACTTTATATCTCGCAATTGTGACTTTATTTCTCACAATTCTGACTTTATATCTCGCAATTGCGACTTTATTTCTCACAATTCTGACTTTATATCTCGCAATTGTGACTTTATTTCTCAGAATTGTGATTTTATATCTCGCAATTGCAACTGTATTTCTCACAATTCTGACTTTATATCTCGCAATTGTGACTTTATTTCTCACAATTCTGACTTTATATCTCGCAATTGCGACTTTATTTCTCACAATTCTGACTTTATATCTCGCAATTGTGACTTTATTTCTCAGAATTGTGATTTTATATCTCACAATTGCAACTTTATTTCTCATAATTGCGACTATATTGCAATTGCGACTTTATTTCTCCGAATTGTGATTTTATATCTCGCAATTGCAACTTTATTTCTCAGAATTGCGACTTTATATCTCACAATTGCAACTTTATTTCTCATAATTGCGACTATATTGCAATTGCGACTTTATTTCTCCGAATTGTGATTTTATATCTCGCAAATGCGACTTTATTTCTCACAATTCTGACTTTATATCTCGCAATTGCAACTTTATTTCTCATAATTGCAATTTTATATCTCACAATTGCAACTTTATTTCTCATAATTGCGACTGTATTGCAATTGCGACTTTATTCCTCAGAATTGCAACTTTATTTCTCAGAATTGCGACTTTATATCTCGCAATTGCGACTTTATTTCTCACAATTCTGACTTTATATCTCGCAATTGCGACTTTATTTCTCACAATTCTGACTTTATATCTCGCAATTGTGACTTTATTTCTCAGAATTGTGATTTTATATCTCGCAATTGCAACTGTATTTCTCACAATTCTGACTTTATATCTCGCAATTGTGACTTTATTTCTCACAATTCTGACTTTATATCTCGCAATTGTGACTTTATTTCTCAGAATTGTGATTTTATATCTCGCAATTGCAACTGTATTTCTCACAATTCTGACTTTATATCTCGCAATTGTGACTTTATTTCTCACAATTCTGACTTTATATCTCGCAATTGCGACTTTATTTCTCACAATTCTGACTTTATATCTCGCAATTGCGACTTTATTTCTCACAATTCTGACTTTATATCTCGCAATTGTGACTTTATTTCTCAGAATTGTGATTTTATATCTCGCAATTGCAACTGTATTTCTCACAATTCTGACTTTATATCTCGCAATTGTGACTTTATTTCTCACAATTCTGACTTTATATCTCGCAATTGCGACTTTATTTCTCACAATTCTGACTTTATATCTCGCAATTGTGACTTTATTTCTCAGAATTGTGATTTTATATCTCACAATTGCAACTTTATTTCTCATAATTGCGACTATATTGCAATTGCGACTTTATTTCTCCGAATTGTGATTTTATATCTCGCAATTGCAACTTTATTTCTCAGAATTGCGACTTTATATCTCGCAATTGCAACTTTATTTCTCATAATTGCAATTTTATATCTCACAATTGCAACTTTATTTCTCATAATTGCGACTATATTGCAATTGTGACTTTATTTCTCACAATTCTGACTTTATATCTCGCAATTGCAACTTTATTTCTCACAATTCTGACTTTATATCTCGCAATTGCAACTTTATTTCTCATAATTGCAATTTTATATCTCACAATTGCAACTTTATTTCTCATAATTGCGACTGTATTGCAATTGCAACTTTATTTCTCAGAATTGCAATTTTATATCTCGCATGTGCGACTTCATTTCTCACAATTCTGACTTTATATCTCGCAATTGTGAGATAAAAAGTCACAATTATTTTTTTTTTTATTCAGTGGCGGAAAGAAGCTTACATAATAGTGTCTTTTCCCTGCAATGTAGGAATAATAACATCAAATTTACTTCATCCACAAGATTCTCTGAACAGCAAGTATTGCTTATTGATATGTTTAATGAAGTTATCCTTATTTTATCACGAAAACGGATTTCAGTTTTCGAAAACACTTTACAATAAGGTTTCATTTGTTGACATGAACTACTTTTCAACTAGCAATGCGTTTATTAATCTTAGTTCATGGTAATTTCAAAAGTTGTATCTGCTAGTATTATTTAATGGACCTGAACATTGAACAGTTGTATTAACTAACATTAAAAAAAGATATAAGATTTTAAAAGATTTTAGTGCCTGAAAAATATTGTTCAGATTGCATAAATTAAATTGTATAATCAGATAGAGTAGATATGAGGAGATAAAACAGCCTCATGTGGATAAACGTAACTATGTAACTTTTGTTTGTTCAAGATTAACAAAATGTAAGTAAAATGTAAGAGTCGATACATCATCAATCATGTTTTGATTGTGTATTAAAGCTCACGTGAGTTTCCTCCTCCTCAGGTGGATGAATTATCCGGACTGGTGAAGGTCTCTGACCCGTTCTGTGTCTCTGTAGATATTAGCGCATGTTTAGCACAGATGCTGCACTCTTTTAGAACAGGATCCTCAATAGTTTGCTTGATTACCCACAATGCACTGCTGTGTAGCTCTAATGAGCCTGTTTGTTTGTGAGAAAGAGGATTATTCAGATGTGAAGTGTTTCGCTGGTTCAGTCCTCACAACAACCGGAACCAACATGACCTTTCCAGATTAAAATGAGTATTCATCAATATGTCTGCTGTGTGTCTTAAAGACGCAGTACGTCAGTTTGACCTGCAGATGGCAACATATCACTCTTACATTTAAGCTGGGAAATCCTGGCATGTGACATAGTTTATAAAATAAACTGTTTATTGTACATTTAGACAATAAAAAAAAATGCGTGTGTCACATTTCATGCATTTTTTGGCTCGTATAATATGATAAAGTATGAATATGGAGCAGGAAAAAAACAGCTCCATTTTATTCAGAGGCACAAACTGAGCATAAATATGCAATTTGCTGCAGATGTTGATATTTATGTGAAGAAAACGTTAGATTGTTGAGTAAATGAATGAGATCTTTATAAAAGTATAGCAAATGCATATAAAATATTGTCGTCTTAGATGATCTTTAAATGCTTAGTTTGATGATCTGTAGTTTTAATGCAATGCAATACAAAGATGATTGAGAGATGAACAAATAAATCTTCCTCAAATAATTTTATAATAAATGATGAGCTGCTTCAGTCCAGTTGAAATATTACTAACAATATGAAAGTTATTCTGGATAAAGAGTGTAAATGATCAATCAGAGACAGAAGGACTGGAGGAGATGGAGTGCGACAGGTTTATCAGATCATCTTCATCATTAAGAGCTCTATCAAATATTATACTGGCTATGTTTCACAAACTTATTGCATTTATAAAACTCCAGGAACCACAATATACAACAATATTTAATTTAGTGGTGTTGATGTTGCATCACAGAGTCATCCGACTGAATTCATAACTGATGGAGGTTTAGAAGAAACACTAAGCAGAGGAACCGCAACAAACAAACAGAGTTTGAGGTCCTTAATTTCACTGTGCTTTCATGTTAGCATTTCACATAACGATGAATATGAAAAATGTGGGGTTTAAGAGTCACTGTGTTTCTCTAACGCTCCTCAGAAAATCATGCATTAATGCATTAAACAGTCGTTAAGTGAATGTGAGTGTATTTTGTCATGCAGCATTTTGTGCATGTCATGTGTGACATTAATGGGCATTTGCATGTAGTGATGATGATGTGGGTTTGTATGCGGACGAGTGTGTGTAGACGGTGTTATGGAGGGTGACACTTTGACAGTGATGTTTGACTTCTTCTGCATGTCTGACAGGTGGATAAACTGCAGGAGGACGAGAACAAGAGAGCGTCTGAAGACGAGACTCCCGAATCCTCCGCCATAGTCTACGGTACGCTCATGATCACGTCAGTCCAGTGTGCACAGGCATCACACCGCGCTTTGAAACACTTAACAAACTCATCTGAGGGGTCAAAACATTTGCATTTTCACTTATAATCTATAGGGGTAAACACGTGATGCTGAAGACACTCGAGCTCTTTTGACTCTTTTTCTTACAAATAATGATTTCATTCACAGATGTACTGTATATGTGATTTATTGCTATGAATTATGTCCGTTATAGGCCAGATTTGAATAAATTCTTTACTGTTGCATCAAAGCCAGCTTATTATGTTTCTTGTCAAACTTATTTAAATATTTAAATAATATACACCATGTATACATTGTGTATGCCAATGCAAATTATATTTATATAGGAAATATATTTAGAAAATAAATTTATGCAGTTATTTATGCAATAAGCATTTATTTATTTGTTTATGCATTAAGCATTTATTTATCCATCCATTTATGCAATAAGCATTTTTTTAATCAATTTAGTTATGCATTAAGCATTTATTTATTTGTTTATCCATTTAGTTATGCATTAAGCATTTATTTATTTATGCATTTGTTTATGCATTAAGCATTTATTTATTTATGCATTTGTTTATGCATTAAGCATTTGTTTATTTATGCAATAAGCATTTATTTATTTATTTATGCATTTATTTATGCATTAAGTATTTATTTATGCATTAAGCATTTATTTATTTATGCATTAAGTATTTATTTATTTATGCATTTAGTTATGCATTAAGCATTTATTTATTTGTTTATCCATTTAGTTATGCAATAAGCATTTATTTATTTATGCATTAAGCACTTATTTATTTATTTATTTATTTATTTATGCATTTATTTATGCATCAAGTATTTATTTATTTATGCATTTAGTTATGCATTAAGCATTTATTTATTTGTTTATCCATTTAGTTATGCAATAAGCATTTAATTATTTATGCATTAAGCACTTATTTATTTATTTATGCATTTATTTATGCATTAAGTATTTATTTATTTATTTATGCATTTATTTATGCATTAAGCATTTATTTATTTATGCATTTATTTATGCATTAAGTATTTATTTATTTATGCATTTATTTATGCATTAAGCATTTATTTATTTATGCATCAAGTTTTTATTTATTTATGCATTAAGCATTTATTTATTTATGCATCAAGTTTTTATTTATTTATGCATTAAGTATTTATTTATGCATTAAGCATTTATTTATTTATGGATTTATTTATGCATTAAGTATTTATTTATTTATGCATTTATTTATGCATTAAGCATTTATTTATTTATGCATTTATTTATGCATTAAGTATTTATGCATTTATTTATGCATTTATTTATGCATTAAGCATTTATTTATTTATGCATTTATTTATGCATTAAGTATTTATTTATTTATGCATTTATCTATGCATTAAGCATTTATTTATGTATGCATCAAGCTTTTATTTATTTATGCATTGAGCATTTATTTGTTTATTTATGCATTAGGAATTTATTTGTTTATGCAGTTATTTGTTTATTCATTTATTAATTTGTGAATAATTTATTGATGCATTCAGCCATTATTTATTTGTGCATTTTTATGCATTGAGCATTTATTTATTTAGGCAGTTCTTTATTTCATCTTCTTATTATTCTTTTTATTATTATATTAGTATTTTAATTAAATTATAGATAAACTTGTCTTGGATACACACTGTTGCTGAGGTACTGCATGTCCTCATGCTTTCATCTGATTGGTTAGTGGCAAGAAAGCATGTCGAAATGACATGCAGTTTCAACATTTCCAGTGCAATACAGTATCGTTGAGAAACTGATACTGAGTGCCTGTGTTGTAGTATCAATCACAGATCAACTTAAATGCTTCCATTTGTTGTTTTAAATGTGTGTGTGTGTGTGTGTGTGCAGGGCAACAGCTGATGCTGAACGGCGGTCAGACAGCAGTCACACCCCAGCCGGGTTTCCCGAGCTACGGATACGCTCCTCCTGTGTACGGCTTCAACCTTCAGCCTTAAGTCCCATGCATTCCTACCGCTAGGAATTCTGGGAAACGTGTGCCTGTGACACCGAAGCTCGGCTGCTGCTTTCAGGAAGCATGAAAACTGTATCTCAGCAATCACACACACACACGCCGCACGAAACGCTCCTAAACACGCGTGTTGTTCATGCAACAAGCTGCTCGTTAACTACATATCGCACTGACGATGAGAGGAAAGACATAAACGACACTACTGGTGTGAACGCTAGTGAGAGTGAACGCTACGATGTTTTTAGTGACCGTTCTTGCTTTTTTTGTTTTTTTTTTAATTCTCCAGTATTAACTTTGTTTACATTTTAAGTGGTACTAAGTTTCATTTGTACAATGTGAAAAACGTCCCGCCCTCTCCGTCTTGACCGTTTACTAGGTCACTGTAGTTGTGCATGATCATCAGTGTTACTGCGAGCCATATGCACTGTCTGTTGTGTAATGTTATAGTAAAGAGAGACATTAATTTTTTAGTAAAACAATATGCACAAAAAAAAACCCCACAAAAAGTGAGGATGCTTGGGTTGCTCAGTGTTGTGTAGTGACTCAGATTGAAGAGTCAAGAATAAAGTTTACATTTCATGTGCCGTCGCTGTCTGTCTCATCTCTCGGGTCACTTCACAGTTCACAGTGTGTTCCGGCGGCTGAACGTGGGTTTGTGTGTTTTTCACCGCACATTCGTGTCGGTTCTTTCTCAATGTTCAACGTACCAGGAAGATCACTGATAAAAACACAGTTGGGATTAGTTTTGCCTTCAGTTTCACGATAGTGGCAGAGATATGATTCAATGAGAAAATAATTTTATATTCCCTAGTACCATGATACTGGTTAATAATGTACCAGTAGCTCCTTTATTTCGCTCACACTCAGGTATAACTGATTTGTGTTTAACAGTCTGGCTTGATTTAGTGATCAGTGTTTCTGTTTGTTTTTTGTGCAGGTCTGCTGTATGAAGGCCCAGACCTACAGAAATTGAAAATAAATAATAGGAAAATAAATATAGTCTAACCTAACTATTAAAATAACTAGTTGCTTAATAGCAGGTATATAACTTGTCTGTTTATTATTTTACATTTTTATTTTATTTTATAAAATAAAATTTGAAAAAAAAATTTAAAATATATTTTATTTTATATTTATTTATTATTTTTATTAATACTTATAAAGCACATACTACTTATACTTATAACTAACTTATAATGCCTTATTGTGCATAATCATATTCTACAATCCTTAATCCACCCTAGTAACTATTAATAAGCAGTAATTAGGAGTTTGAGGCAAAAGTTGTTGTTAATAGTTTCTTGAACTACACTGTGAACATATATATTGTGTGTATTTTTATAAATCGTATTTATTTTTTTAGCCTTTATTTTTATATTTTCCCCCACATGTTTTTTTTTTTTCATAGGCTAATTGAATATTTATTTATTTATATATGTCTGCAGGTTTGGAGCTCCGTACTACTGATTTTTAATGCTTATTTCAAACTACAATCTAAAGCTATTTTCTATAATCATATATGTGCTGCTGGAGTTTTAGGGTTGAGAGATTCGGCTCGGATCCTAAATCGAGTTTCTATTATCGAGGGCGTGGCGCGGAGAGATGGAGAGCGAGAGTGAGAAAGAGAGCTGCAAGCCCCGCCCCTGTGTGAGATCTCACTGCTGATTGGCTGAGAGCAGAGTCATGTCATCAGTCTATGATCGCGAGCTGCTCTCGGACGCAACAGTGCTGCGCGCGTTCGTGAGAGTCTCGACTGAAGATGACGCGTGAACGCGGAGCTGCGAGCAAAGCCAAACTCACTCATCCTGGAAAAGCCATCCTGGCAGGTCAGTTACACATCATTTCATCATAAAACTACAGATTAAAACACTGTTCATCCAGAACTGAACTCACGACACATGTGAGATGAAGTCTGTTGATTGCTGAATTGTTTTCATTTTGAACTTGCGAAAGAAGCTTTAGAAAACGAGATCAAATACGGAAAATTTAATTTGTGTTGGTTTCTGCAATATGTGTGAATGAATATATTCAGAAAACTACTGTTTTTTTTCGTTTTGTTTTGTTTTTTAGTAGTTTACATGTACTAGATCTTTTGGTAACTAGTTACAGCGGTTTATTGGCCTATATTACCTAATGCAAAAACAATAAACAAACAAAAAAGTTACTTTACCTGCGAATGCTGTTGTTGACCCATCAAATAATGTTATTTAACGGATAAATCATTACATTATTAAGGTTTAAGATTCATTAAGTATATATACACAAATATATATAATGTGTGTGTGTATATACTATATAATTCAATTCTCACAACTAAGTAGTTGCTTGTTAGCATGTATATTACTAGGATATTGACTGTTTAATATACGTATAAAGCACATATTAATGCCTTATTGTGCATCATTATATTCTGCATCCCTTAATCCTACCCAATACCAACTAGCCTACCTTACTAACTACTAATAAGCAGTAATTAAGAGTATATTGAGGCAAAAAGTCGTAGTTAATGGCTACCTAAACTAAATATGTGTTTTTATATATTTATATATACATTTTATTCATATATGCACACTACAGATTAGCCAAACTCAGATGAATGTTATATTTGTGCATTAGAGGAGATGAAATATGCCGGTTTAGTTAAAGTAAAGGTCAGATCCACACAAGGACACACAGCGGATGTCCTCCAAACAAACCCTGACGCTCACTTATCAAAGACAGACTGGAGACAATACGTAATAAGAATAAGAAGTCCATGACTTTTAAGATAATCAAACCTAGTCAAAGGGTATGAAAATGTCATTCTTAAGTTAATTCATTACTTAAATGAACTTTCCATAACAATTGTTTTTCTTTATTCTTTATAATTATTGTTATTAATATTTATAAAATATGTATTGCACATCTGTGTCTTATCACACGCTCATGCCACTGTAAGCAACTCAAGGCCATAATTAGTGTTTGCAGTGCTGCATAAGAGCATTATTGTAATGATGGTCTTAGAATAGATTCAGTGCAATTATAAAGTAGGTTTGGTCGCTGCGATCGCTCCTCTACCTGTCTCTGTGAACGCTGGCGGATCCGGTGTGGGCTTCTCTGGGTAATTGGTGAACTACCATCTGGAAACTGTTCGTCTGAAACCAAATGACAGGTTTTAATGTCTGATATTTTTCTCTATATTTGCTCGTGTGCTCGGCTCCTCCCGTCTGGAGTTATACAAGCCAGCCTTCAGATGGAAATGCCACGTCTTATTTATTTTAGAGAGTACACTCTCAGAAAAAAAGGTACAAAAGCTGTCACTGGGGCTGTACCTTTTCAAAAGGTACACTTTTGTACCCAAAGGCTGCATATTGGTACCTTAGTGGTACATATTAGCACCTAAAATGTACAAATTAGCACCTGAAATGTACATATTAGCTCATGAAATGGACATATTAGCACCTAAAATGTACATATTAACATCTAAAATGTACATATTAACACCTGAAATTGACATATTACCACCTAAAATGGACATATTAGCTCATAAAATGGACATATTATCACTTAAAATGTACATATTAACTCCTAAAATTGACATATTACCACCTAAAATGTACATATTAGCACCTAAAATGGACAAAAGTTTACCTTTTAAAAAGGTACAGCCCCAGTGACAGCTTTTGTACCTTTTTTTCTGAGAGTGTATGACAGGCTGGTGCTGGAGTGTTTAGCCCAATTAACAACATTATATATAAAACCACATATATATATTGTGTACATAAGTATATGTAATATGGCTCCTGATAATGTCTGATGTTACCAGACCAGTAAAAAGTGTTGGATTTAGTCAGTGACACTCCGCAAGCAAGTTCGTCTAAAATAATTCTGTATTGTTAGCCTCTGAATCATTACTATTTTTATGCGGGTGTCTCTATTATCCTGTGCTTTGGGTTTCCAGCAAAGGGTGTGAGGGTATTGTCACAGTCACACCCCTAGTTTTGGCAAGAGATGGTCGTGCGTGGAAACCCCAGTTGATCAGCAGTTTCTGAAATAATCAGCAACCATGTCACGTTCAAAGTCACTTAAAGGATTGTTCAGTTCACTTAAAAATGAAAATGCTGGCATCATTCACTCACTCTCAAGTTGTTTCAAATCTGTATGAGTTTCTTTCTTCTGCTAAACATATTTAAGATATTTTGAAGAATGTCAGTAACCAGGCAGTTTTTGGACCCCATTGACTTCAATAGAATTTTTTTTCCCTACTATTGAAGTCAATGGGGTCCAACAACCGTCTGCTTGTCGACATTCTTCAAAATATCTTCCTTTGTGATCAGCTGAAGAATGAAACTCATACAGGTATGAAACAACTTGAGGGTGAGTAAATGATGACTTTAAGTTTCATTTTTAAGTGAAATATTACATTAAATCATCTTTTTTCCCCATTCTGGAGCTCAGTTTGAACTGGAAATGTCCAGGAAATGCTTTCAATCTGTTAAAACTATGTAAAAATCAGTAGTAGGATTGAAAAGCTCTTTCGTTTGTCGTGTTTCTAGAAGTTCAGGATGTGTTTGGATCTCCGGTGTATGGACTAACAGAACAGACGTGTGTTTGTGTTGTTTTCGAGTGTGTTTCAGCTTTTAGCTGCTGATTGTATTGTATTGAATTTGAGAGTGGCTCTGGTCTACTGTCATACAAACCCAGCAGTGACCTGGAAACATTTCACATGTTACACACACACACACACACACACACAGCATTCCAGAGCAGTTTTCCACAGTCACATGTGGTGAGATTACACCATTGACAGAAGAACATGGACTGGAATAAACATTTTGTGTAATTAATAGGGCTGGGTATCGTTTAAAAAATTTCAGTAGCAATACTGATACCGATACCTTGATTTCGATACCAGTTCCTGAACGATACTTTTTTCGATACCAATTTTATGAAATCCATTGTAACAAGATTACATAACACATTACCTCAGAAAACCGGTTTTATTTTTTTCAGCCAGTGCATAAAAGGAACATATTTTTTTTGATTTTGTGTCGTTTTGCATTTCATATGTATTTGCTTGAGTACTGATTTAACGAGTTAACCCCTTAGGTATCGAAATCTGGTACCGAACAACAAGTCATTTTTCAAAACTCGATATCGAGGCAATTCGGTCGGTACCTAAAAAGTATCGAACTCGGTACCCAGCCCTAGAAATTAAGGTGACATAGTTACAAGTTACTACATGTACTTACTATAGTCATAACAGTGAATTATGCATAATTATTTATATGCATAATCTAGAGTAAGTACATGTAGTTAATTAATATTACTCGGTACTTATTCGAGTAGGTACAATGCAACTACACTACAATAAAGTGTAACCACGTTTTGAAAATATGTAACATATATTGCCGTGTACACGATTAATTGCTTCATCATTCATTCTTCTTGCATATTATATTATTTTTAAAAATACACTAAGGTAAATACAGCTGTTTTTAACTGTAAGTTCATGTTTGTGATCTTTTTTTAAAATATTATCCTTACATGTGTTCATTTAGTGAAAATAAGAATGTCTTCAGTATTTTAATAAAAACAAGTCTTTAAAATTTTAGCGAATTTGACTGTTTTACCTTTTTTTTTAGTATTTAACATTTTTATCTACTTGATACTAACAGTTCAGTTAAATTGCAGAGCAAATACATAAATACTCAGATATACGTACTGTAAATATTGAGTATTGTTTGCACTATATTGATATTGAGTCCAAAATCGTTTTTTTTTTTTTTTTGGGACATTTTCAATGTGTTCTCAGAACTTTGTCTCTCTTCGTATATGAAATACTCTCAAGAGGCTGAAAGATAAGCAGATATTGTTGCGATATTTCATGCAGCCATTATGGGTCAGATGAGTGTCGCCCGCAGCGCTTCTGTCTAATGGAGAACGTCAAATCACTGCTATTGTGTTCTCTTCAGCACTCAAGCCTTTATATTGCTGTGTGTGTGTGTGTCTGTGAGTGTGTGTGTTTTTGTATATGGTTTATGTGGACACAAGAGTGTATGATGACATGGGTATTACAATGTAAATATGGTTATAAGGATGTCTCTTGTGACCTCATAAACCAAACGGCTTAAAAAACATACTATGGTGTAAAATGCAGAAAGTTGTGTGTGATGGGTAGGTTTAGGGGTGGGGTTAGTGTGTGTGTGTGTGAGGAGCAGAGTTAGTGTAAGGGGACAGAATATACAGTGCCTATAAACCTCATATACAAGTGTGTGTGTGTGTGTGTGTGTCCTGCCGGGAGGCTGCTATAAGTGCAGTGAGTGCTGGTCTCCTCCGTTCATCAGCGTCTCTCCCTTCATTCTCAATCACTCGCTCTTCTGTCTGTGTCTCTCCCTCAGAATCAGTTCCCCGTCTCTCCTCTGTGTGTGTGTGTGTGTGTGTGTGTCTCTCTCCACTCACATCGAGCAGATCAAACATCAGGAATATATAGATCTGTAATGTCACCATTTGCTTCATGGAGAAACATGAGAGGAATTATTCATCTGTCATCGGCCTTTAATGTAACGCCAGAATCCTGAAACACACTTTCCTCCGGCGGGAATCACCACGGCTAATTAAAACAGATTCTGTGATTATTTACCTTCTCAAAGCCTGAATCACTTTATTTCTTCTGTGAACCGAGACGTTTGGGGTCAGTTATTTAAATAAATGATTTATTTTATTCATTAAGGACGCATGAAATTGACTAAAAGTGACTGTAAATACATTTATAATGTTACAAATATACTATTTAAAATAGATACTGTTGTTATGAACTTCCCATTCATCAACGAATCCTGAAAAACAAAATGTATCGCGGTTTTCCACAAACATATGAACGGTTTTCAACATTGATAATAATCGTAAATGTTTCTTGAGCATCAGATCCTCATATTAGAGTGATTTCTGATGGATCATGTGACACTGAAGACTGGAGTAATGATGCTGGAAATTCAGCTTTCATCACTGCATATAAATTATATTTTATGATATATTCACATAGAAATTGGTTTTGTAAAATTATAATAATATTTCAGAATTTTTACAGTATTCCAGTGGAGGGGGGAATAAAGACACTTTAAACCTCTGCTCTTCGTTTCGGAGTCACACTTGTTATCTTCCCGGTCAAAAGTGACCGGACACCTAAAAATCCAGCCCAGTATAACCAATGCAATTTATTTTTGTTCTATAATATTTATTCTTTGTAATTTAGTATTTTGAGACAATTTGATTGAATTTATTAATATTTATGCAATATTTATGGTCTATTTTTGCCATGTTGAAAAATATATATTTTTCTATATATATATAATAATTTTTTCAATATAAAAAATTATTGATGCAGTATTTTAGTTTAATATAGAGTCTAGGACTTCGGAAAAAAATATTTTTTGAAGAAAATTAGCACCATCTGGTTAAGGTATAGAGAAAAGGCGTTGAATCATGCTGTAACCACTAGATGGCATGTATAGCTCTCTATGGAGAGGCATGTGTATTCCCCAGATGTTTATGAACACATTTTTTTTTTTTTTTTTTTTGGTGGACTTGAATATATTGTTGAAACAATCTCAAAAACGATTTTTTATTAAAAAAAAATGTAAAAAAAAAATAAAATAAATAATAATAATAATAAAAAAATAGATAAAAATGTGTGAATTTTTGTGTTTTTGTCAATTTCCCATTCATTTCCTATGGGGGTCATTTTTGACCAAAGACCACAAGTGTGACTATTTTTTTAAGACCACTTAGCATGCTCAGATCATGACCTCAAATTTTTGTGTGTTCACGTACATAATGCCATAAAAGTCACCAAGTTTCATAACATTGCAATGAAGCTGTAATTTTTACAAATTCAAAACATACTTTTTGTAATCAAAATTTATTGGTGTGTATGTGTATAAAAGTGTGTTTGTATGTGTGTGTGTGTGTGTCGATGGGTGTGTCTGTTTTGCACTCTAGATGTTGTAGAGTGTCACCCCTTTCCTGCGGTGTAGTATTTTTTTTAGAATTGTGGCCGATTTGTAGATTTTTTTTTTGTCAATTTCCCATTCATTTCCTATGGGTGGGTCATTTTTGACCGAAAGACCACAAGTGTGACTATTTTTTTTTACGACCACTTAGCATGCTCGGATCATGACCTCAATTTTTTTTTGTATTCACATACCAAATGCCATAAAAGTCACCAAGTTTCATAACATTCCGATGAAGCCGTGATTTTTATAAATTCAAAACAGAAAATCTTTCGGTCAGAAATGACCGAAGAGCACCTGAGGGTTAACCAAACATATTAAGAGATGTTGATGTTTTACTGTAGTATTTGAAGAGTTCAGATGCAAAAGCCTCTAAATGCCATTTGAAATTTTCTTCTTTAATGATGATTTTTATCAAACTTGTATATTTAAGTTCAGTGATTTCACTTAAATGACAATGATAATTACCTATTAATTGTTATTTAAATGAAATTACTGAACTTAAATATACAAGTTTGATAAAAATCATCATTAAAGAAGAAAATTTCAAATGGCATTTAGAGGCTTTTGCATCTGAACTCTTCATTTCTACCCGTGATGAATGCTGAGAGACAGTGTGTGTGTTTTATTGAGGTGTGTGTGTTGTGACTGATATTTCAATAGTGGCATTAGAGTGGCGGGTGTGAAAACGAAAGTGGTTATTCCTGAAACACACACACACACGAGCGCTGACTGATTGTGCTCATGTAAATCCGTCGTGTTTCACTGGCAGGTCTCAGATGTGGCGTCTGGTAATTTCCTGGCGTTCGCTGTTTCTGTTTCCAAACGCCGACGAGAGTGTGTTTGAGCGCTTGGAAAGGCCTTTAGCTTGATTTATGACGCTTCAGGGAGAAGAGACCAGCAGTAGCTCATGGGGTTATTGATTAGCTGTGTGTGTGTGTGTGTGTGTGTGTGTGTAAGAGTGATTTTAAAATAGATTTTTCAGTGTGTACGACTAAAAACAACCCTATGTTATGAAGACAAAATGTCCCCACAAAGATGGCAATATCTGAAATCCTCGTCCTTGTTGGACCATTTTTAGTGAGTGAGAGAGTGTGTGTGTGTGTGTGTGTGTGGTTCAGAGCTGGGCTAATGGTCTCTCTCAGTGTCCCGATGGGCTGATGAGATATTACAATTAAAGAGATGAGAGGATCGTTGGTCTTATTTAATCCTGTATCTGATTCTTCTGTATCAACTGATCGGGACTGACTCTTAGGGCTGTAAAAATTAGGCCTTAACAATCAGCTTTAAAAAGATGTGTGTGTGTGTGTGTGTGTATGTATATATATATATATATATATATATGAAGAGTTCAGATGCAAAAGCCTCTAAGTGCCATCTGAAATTTTCTTCTAGAATGGCCATTTTTCTCAAGCTTGTATATTTAAGTTCAGTGATTTCACTTAAATGGCAATGAAGATTACCTATTTATTGCCATTTAAGTGAAATTACTGAACTTAAATATACAAGTTTGATAAAAATGGCCATTCTAGAAGAAAATTTCAGATGGCACTTAGAGGCTTTTGCATCTGAACTCTTCATATATATATATATATATATATATATATATACTATATGGGGCTATCCATAAATAAATTTAAATCCGGTGTGTGTGATCTGGTGTGTGTGCAGGCGGCATCGCAGGTGGCATTGAAATCTGCATCACGTTTCCGACAGAGTATGTGAAGACACAACTACAGTTAGATGAGAGAGCCAATCCACCCCGATACAGAGGCATCAGTGAGTACACACACACACACACACACACAGACGTAATGTTTTTTTTTTACCGTACAAACTGTATATTTTATCCCCTTACACTAGGGATGGGCAACGATTAATCGTGATTAATCGCATCCAAAATAAAAGTTTGTGTTTACATAATATATGTGTGTGTAGTGTGTATAATTAATTTGTATATATATAAACACCCACACATGCATGTATTGTATATATTTAAGAAATATGTGCCTGTATATATTGTATATATATTTATTCACAATTAATATTATATATAAATATAAATATTTGATATATTAATAACACATTTTTCTTAAATATATACATGCATGTGTGGGTATTTATATATATACAAATTAATTATACACACTACACACACATATATTATGTAAACACAAACTTTTATTTTGGATGCGATTAATCGCAATTAATCGTTGCCCATCCCTAACCCTAACCCTGCTCATCACACACACACACACACACACACACAAACCCTAACCCTAACCCTGCCCATCACACACACACTAACCTTACCCCTAAACCGGCCCATCATAGGAAATATTCTGCATTTTTAACATAAAAAAAAAAAAATTCTGTATGATTTATAAGTGTGTTTACCCATGAGGACCTCGATTTAGGTCCCCACAGTGATCCCCACCGGGATCATGTACACACTCTCACACTCACACACACACACACATGTATGACGTGCTTATCCTCATTGGAGTTAATTAGTGAAACTCTCCGGGCCAGAACTGATTTCAACCTGATGCTGCGCTCAGGAAGCAAACAAACTTATCTTCTCTCTCTCTCTCTCTCTCTCTCTCTCTCTCTCTCTCTCTCTCTCTCTCTCTCTCTCTCTCTCTCTCTCTCTGTCTCTCTCTCTGTCTGGCTGAAGCTCAGAGAGCATTTTAACGATCCTTCTGTTGATTTAGCAGAAACACTGACAGCTGTTCTCCTTTACACATCTCTAACTCTCAGAGATGATTGATCTGTGTCCAATAACAGTGTAGTTTTTTTTAAATGTGTAATTAAAATCAATAGCAATGATTAAAAATGCTGTCATTAAAGTGTGATGTTGTGTTTTCAGCGGACTGTGTGTCCCAGACGGTCCGCCATCATGGAGCGAAGGGTTTATATCGAGGCCTGAGCTCCTTACTGTACGGATCCATCCCAAAATCTGCAGTCAGGTACACACACACACACACACACACACACACACACACACGCACACTCACCGAAGCGGCTGTGTTTAATTCAGACTGCTGACATTTATTATGCGGACTGTTTTTGTTCTGGCGGGATCCGTCTCTCTCTCTCTTTCTCCCCTGAGTGTGTGTGTGTGTGTGTGTTTAACTGACGGAGGCGACGGTGTGTGTCCAGCGCTGTCTGTCAGACTGATGCTCTCGCAGCTCTTCTGGTCACTTCATCACACAAATAAAAGCATGTCACGTATATAAATATATATATATATATATATCTCAGCTCTGCGCATGTGAACTTCTGTCACTGTTTACTCTCCTGCTGTCACACACACACACACGACTTTACGGATCATGAACCCTTCACAATAACACTTCATAGTGGCCATAACCTGACATAACCTGACTTGTGCACTCCAAGCTTTTTAAGGATCATTAATACACTATTATATTCTATTACGGCTTTTTATTAACATTTTAAATTAATTTTTAAAAATTAACATTTTAAATTAATTTTTTTAAATTAATTTTAATATTAATTTATTTTAGTAATTTTATTGCCATTTTTAAAAAATTTTAAATTAATTTTTGTTTTAGCTCATTTATATATTGTTACAGTTTTTGCTCATATTTAAATTTTTTTATTTTCAGTTTTTTTTAATTTACAGTTTACTTTTTTAAAATATCTATATAGTTTTCATTTATAGTTAGCTTATTAATCCACTGTTATAATTTTCAATAATATTTTCAATTAGTTTTTATTTTTGTATTTTTTCATTGGAATTTGGTTATGTGCTTTTCTATATTTGTTTTAAAATATATATTTTTTGTTTTAGTTCATTAATAGGCTGCTATAGTTTGATTCATATCGTTTTCATTTTTCATTTTAGTTTTAATATGTGCAATTATTACTAATATTTCCTATTTTTATTTTAGTCATTTTAGATTGTCAACTTAAACTAAAAGCAATGAGAAATGTTGCCTTTGCATCTAACTGGAATTTTATTTTATTGTTAAATATTTTAATTCAGTTATTTAAATTGAACAGTTTTATTTAACTATAATAACGCTTATTCTGAGTCTCTGATTTGAACTGTAATTCAGTCGATCATAATTGGTCATAATACTTTATTGACATCAAACCTGCTGCAACTGAATTGAATATTGAATTGGATGAAATGAGCCTCATGGGAACAGATATTACCCAGACTGATGTCGTCTGGTCACTATAAGCGTTCAGTGTTTGAAATAGGCATTTTTATAAAGCGCATTTGCTTATTAAAAGTGTTTTGTATAAAAAAATAATCATAACAGATGCATAAGAAATAAAAATAGATTTGAAATGTATTAAAAACAAGAGGTTTCTTATTCCCACTGAACCGTCTGTCATCCTCCATTGATCACACTCCAGTTATTCTGAGTGTACGAGTGAGACGGATCCGGCCCCGACCGGTTCTGGATCCGCAGGTTTGTTTCTTTAAGTGTGTGTCACTGTCCCTTCATCCAGCGCTGCATCACTCTGATTGATTCTCCGCGTCTCGTCCTCCTCTTTCTTCCCCCTCTCTTCATTAGCTGATTGGACTGGTTTTGTGTGTGTGACCTTGCGTTCGCTCCACTAATGGAGTGTGTGTCGCACACTGACTGCTGGATCCAGCCCAGAATGCATTCGTGACCTCAGTCTTATTTTAATGCAGCGGTGAACACACACCCAAACCACTGAAACCCGTCCATCTCACCAGCTCAACACACAATCTCCAAATCAACTAGTTAACCAATCGGCTTCAAGTTCAAGCCCTGGATATTTATCTAAGTGTGTGTGAGAGAGAGAGAGAGAGTGTGCCAGTGTTATCCAGACAGAAGAGTGTGGCGTTATAGAGTATCAGACAGTTTGTTTTTAGCTCTTCTGTTCATTAATTCAGTGCTATAAATATCTGCAGTCTTGAGCTAGGTAATAAACGTGTGTAAGACGTGGAGTGGGGGACAGAAGCGCACCTGTGGCCGTGCCACCGGCGCCGGGATGCTGTACTGCTGACTCCGGAGGAAGTGCACTTTAAATACGCCTCCGGTCCGAGGGTTGAGTTAGTTCACTAGCGTCGCTGTATCGAAAGGCCTTTTCTGTTGAGTTCTCCAATGACAAGAGGTCTTCACTTTTCTGCTCAAGATTGGATTTGGTCCGTGTTGGGTCATATGGATGCATTTTATTTTATTCCATTTTACTTTTATTTTGTCTTATTTTATATTTTATTCTATACCATTTTATTTTTATATTTTATTTTATACCATTTTATTTATTTAATTCAATTTTATTTTTATTTTATATTTTATTTTATACCATGTTATTTTATTTATTTAATTATATTTTATTTTATACCATTTTATTTTTATTTATTTAATTCCATTTATTTTTATTTTATACCATTTTATTTTTATTTATTTAATTCCATTTTATATTTTATTTTATACCATTTTATTTTTATATTTTATTTATTTAATTCCATTTTATTTTTATTTTATTCTATTTTTTTATTTTTATATTTTAACTATTTATTCTTTCAAAAAAAAATCTTGAATTATTTTAGTTATGTTTTGGCTTTAGCTTTAGTTATAGCTATAATAACACTGCTGTTCAGTGTGTGTGTTAACAGGCTTTCTGAGGTTCAGCATCTGATTAATTTCCTTGCCTCCAGCTCAGCTTTATTCTCTAATGATTGCTTGTATCACGTTTGAACCAGAGCTGTGTATGATGATGATGATGAAGATGATGATGATGATGATGATTTCTCCGTCTTCACAGGTTCGGTGTGTTTGAAATCCTGAGTAACCAGATGAAGGATGAGTTTGGGAAGCTGGACAGCACTCGTGGTTTAGTGTGTGGTTTGGGTGCGGGAGTGATGGAGGCAGTCCTCATCGTCTGTCCCATGGAGACCATAAAGGTGAGGTCAAAGGTTATTTAGTTTAAAGCTGAATATTACATTCTGCTGCAGCTTCATCTCTCACATTTCCAGGTGAAATTCATCCACGATCAAGCCTCCACTAATCCCAAATACCACGGGTTTTTCCACGGCGTGCGAGAGATCGTCAGAACTCAAGGTGAACGACACAAGCTTTGTTTTGTCTATTTCAGAACTCGTAAGGCCTTCTCATTCTTCCTCGACTCGTTCTGTTGAAGTTCCCCATGACAAGAGTTTTAAAAAGAAGCCATTCATCCTCATCGGCCCTGTCGGGATGTGGTTTCAACTACAGCCGCCTAATGTTAGAATGCCACACTGATTTGTTGTCAGAGGTCTAGTTGAATACCATTACCTGAGTCGTTGCGTCAATTTATTTGCCGATAGGCCCGGGAAAGGATGGAATAACTGGAGTACCATGCAGGAAATCGTTGAAGGTGAATATTGAGGACAGCTGTCTCAGCACACGTGCTTCAAATCAAGTTCAAAATAAACAAAAGAAATCATCAAAAAAATACTCAAAATAAACATTACAAAACATAAATAAAACATGCTGAAAGCAGCAAAAACATGGCATCAAATACAGCCTCGAGGAATCAACCTCTGACAATCACGACACATCCTACAGCATTGGACTGTACTGGCACATGGCCCGTCTCTCCCCACTCAATTAGCCTCACTCCTTTATATATGCTATTTTCCGCCAAAACTAGTGGGTCATACCAACTGTAGGGTCGAATAACTCCCTGACAATGGAAACATTCAATATCAGTGTTCTTGCATATAAATCCAAACAGATACATAATCACAAATAATATCCTTAATCAAAAATAAACAATATGAAAACAATTATAACATTAAACAAAAAGACAATGTAAACAACAACACTGTGAACGGATGTTCACATGGTGATAACCTACAGGTTCATCATCACAGGCCCCTTCACACTTAGCAGTATTTGATAGATTGAAACCATTACAGTATAGAGGCTCATATAGGATGATGGAGCTTTCATTTTACTTTACTTTACTTTCATGTATGTTCCATACCTTTTTTAAACCAATTTATTTTATTTTATTATTTTATTTTATTTATTTATTTTATATTATATTATTATTATTATTATTATTATCCCAAACCACTTTTCCTATATAGGATCATGGGGACGCTGGAGCTTTAATTAATTTAATTTAATTTAATTTAATTTAATTTAATTTAATTTAATTTATTTAATTTAATTAATTTAATTTAATTTATTTATTATTTATTTTATTTTTCCAAACCACATGTACTATGTAAGGTTATTGGATGCTGAAGCTTTAATTTTATTTAATTTAATTTAATTTAATTTAATTTAATTTATTTTAATTTAATTATTAATTTTATTATTTATTATTTTATTTTCCAAACCACATGTTCTATATAAGGTTATGGGGATGCTGATACTTTATTATTTAATCTAATTTTATTATTTATTATTTTTTTTTCCAAACCACATGTTCTATATAAAGGCTGGAGCTTTTATTTTATTTTGTTTATTATTTATTTTTTAAATGTATTTATTATTTTTTGTTTTGTTTTATTTTATTATTTATTTTATTTTATTTTGCCATACCACTTGTCCGCTTTTTATTATTATTCTTATAAGTATTTTTTTTTAAACAATCACATTTTTTCATCTCAGATCTGCCACTTACAGTGAAGTGATTTCATATAGATATTCACATATTTGCAAATAAGTGACAAACATCACCATACTAGCATAATACACATGATCGGGTGTTTATAGCGTGTGTTTCCCACAATGCTCTCCGTCTCTCAGGAATCAGAGGGACGTATCAAGGCCTCACAGCGACTGTCCTCAAACAAGGATCCAATCAGGCGATCCGATTCTTCGTCATGACCTCTCTCAGGAACTGGTACAAGGGTGAGTGTGTGAGTGTGTGTGTCTTGAGCAACACTGCCCTCTGCTGGCTGAAGTCTCCAGTGAAGTTTCCTCCTCGGGTCCGTCACCAGTTGTGTTGTGTGTTCTAGGTGATGACCCCAGTAAACCCATTAACCCCTTCATCACGGGTGCGTTCGGTGCGCTGGCTGGAGCGGCGAGTGTGTTTGGAAACACTCCGCTGGACGTCATCAAGACCAGGATGCAGGTACATTCAACATGAGTAAAGTAAACCAGTCCCGTTACACTCAACGAACCTGCCTGTGTTATTATTATTATTATTATTATTATTACCTTATGCTCTTCTATTATGGACCCAATGCATTTCTAATCAGGGGATTTTATTTTCCTGATCCATGTGCAGTAAATTCATTAATTCAATCATCATCTGTTTCAAATTAATTTTTTCTTTGCATTTTTTAAAATAAAGTTTGTAAAGATAATGATGTACCCCGTATATTCTCTTGGAGATAAATTATTGTTAGTTTTGGAAGTTTAAATTTAATGGTGTTTTTTTTTTTTAGGGTTTGGAAGCTCATAAGTATAAAAATACTATGGACTGTGCCATGAAGATCATGCGGCATGAAGGACTAGCAGCGTAAGTGTGTGTGTGTGTGTGTGTGAGAGAGGTGTGGATATTTGATTTGCATGTCATGTGACCATTAACCGACGTCAGACAACATGTGAAAGGTCTCCAGGCAGTAATGTGTGTGTGTACGCTGGCACAGGTTCTATAAAGGCACCGTCCCTCGCCTAGGCAGAGTGTGTCTGGACGTGGCCATCGTCTTCATCATCTACGAGGAGGTCGTGAAGCTCCTGAACAGAGTCTGGAAGACCGACTGAGGGATGAAGAGGATGAAGAGGAGGATCACTGTGAGGAACCTCGGCTGTTTCAGTTCTTTCCATTCGTTCTGCCTTGAAACATGTACATGATATTTAAAAAAATAATATTTTTATTTCACACAGACGCGTCTGAAATACTCTCACACTGTAGACACGTTAACTTGTGACAGTAAATGATCTAGAGAAAAGTGTAACAGTAAATGTATTTAATGTTAGTGTGAATGTTTTAACCACAGAAACCTTTACATATCAGGAGGGTATATTCATATTAATAAATATATTTCAATTTAAAGATAATTTTAACTACAGATCATTCCATAATACTGTATGATTTTTTTTAATGTCACACATTTAACAGATTTTGTTTATTAGTAGATGCTTTAACTCTTAGATTATAACAACTATAAAGAGAAAACCAACACACACACTATATCTCTCTCACTCACACACAATCACACACAACTCTCTCTCTCTCTCACACACACACACACTTACGTTTACAGACAGTAAATGATCTAGAGAAAAGTGTAACAGTAAATGAATTTAATGTTAGTGTGAATGTTTTAACCACAGAAACCTTTACGTATCGGGAGGGTATATATACATATTAATAAATATATTTCAATTTAAAGTTAAATTTAACTACAGATCATTCCATAATACTGTATGATTTTTTTTTAACAAAAATATGATTAAATATTTTATCTGACATTTCTACTTAAAATATTTTTACATATGTAAAACCATTTTTTTATTCATTGTTTTTAGTGTATTTTATATTTATTTCCATGTTGTTTTGCACATGTGCCTTTATTAACCATTAAACTCTGGTTTATTTTTTTTCTGAAAAACAGACATTTTTAATAATTCTTTTGTCGGTTTTTAAGCATCCGTGCGCTGATCTCAGACCTGCTGTATCTGTCCATGTGCAATATCAGATGTATTAGATATGTAACTGGAAGAATATGGATTCAGTGAATGTACAGTCGCTGCTGTCGTGATTTACACACATGTACAGTAAATATAGAGCAGTTTCTCCACTGAGCGGATCTGAATATGCATTATTTCCACTGTGATGTTTATTCTGTGTAAACCCTTCAGTTTTTGCAGCATGAGTCTACAGCTCTGTGTGTCGGTAAAATCGTGTCAAACATTGTTATTATTGATGATTGAGTGTTGCTGCTGGCCACTAGAGGGCAGAATCCCGCACGGAGAGATGCTAAATGTGGACGGATGTTGATCGTCTGTGTGTTTGTGTGTTATTGGGCCCTTTAGAAATGTTCAGTGGGTTTGTTGTGCCATGTAAGTTCTTGCCTTTGTTTCTTAGTAGATATGGAGCGAAGGCTTCTTAATACTGAATGCTAATGTGCTAATAAAACGATTTTATTTTCACAGTTAAATTAGCTGTCTGTGACATTATTGTATTTGCTGGTCTTTTTCACTAGAGATTC